AATACGCGGAAATAGTAGCCGAGGACTTACTTTCGTAGTTGAGATTTCGAGTAGCGAGAAAGAAAAGAGACGTATATAGTAGTTATAACTTTAACTAAATATTCGAATATATATACTTATTTTCTTATATATCTATTCTCGTATTACGATTAGTAGATAATAAATTAGTAAGATTAGTAAGTAATTATTATAATAATACTTATAATAAATTATTATACGCTATATTACTTTATTACAAAGTATAATATATTAAATATACTACGAAGATCTTAATTAATAATTAGATTTTAGAATTCTTAGTAAAACCCGTCGGATACCCTACCCAATTCTTAGTAAAACCCGTCGGATACCCTACCCTACCCGAAACCCGCGAGGGTAGAGTAGACGTAATTTTAAAAACCCTAATAGATTAACTAGGCGGGCGGTAGGTGCCCGAAACCCTGCCCTACCCAACCCGTTGCGCAGTCTACTTCTACTAGAGACCGGATTTAACGGTTTATTTTCTCTATCGCTATTATTTATTAAGCTAATTCTATACTTATACTATTCGAGCTAAGAACTCGTCTACTTTAACTTAGAGTTCTCGATATATAGTTTCTAGGACTTCGTACTATACTTTTCTCTTACGATATTTCTTATCGTTTATATTAGTAAAGGCGTCTCGTTCGCGAGCTTATATTTTCTAGAATTCTTTAGACTTCGTAGCTTTCTCTAGGTTATATTCTATCTAGATATACCTACCTATAAGTCGTCGTAGTAGAAGAAATATCTATTCTAGTTTAGTAGCTATATATACTACTAACGCCTTATACATTAGGAATTTTAGATTATCCGATATAAAATAGCGTAGCGCTTCTTCTAAATAGATTTTCTATCTCTATTCTTAATACGAAGTAGCTATCTTAAGTCTAACTAGCTAGAGATATAAGTTACCCTAGGCTATTCTTTTAATTCTTTATATAGCGGTAGAGAGATTACGTTAGGCTCTTTTCCCTTTTCTACTAGTTCCGGTTCTAGTTTCTTCTTATTATTAGGGATATAAGTCCGATTTCTAATATCCTCTTCTTTCTTATCGATAATTATAATAGATCAAGATATATTTCTAGTATTCTTAGTATAACCTTAAGATATAGCGAGATCGAGAGAAGCGAGCGGAACTTTCCGAGTACCTATATAAGAGGGTTAGCTCGGATAGATAGACGTAGAAGGTTCGAGAGTAGCGCTAGGCTAATCGCGTAGGTAGCGACCTAGAATATCTATCTATATAATCGTAGACTCGTTCTCGATACTAGACTAAGGGTTGGTCCGGATCCTAAAGCTAGGATCTACTAACGGTATAGGACTAAGAGGAGTTATCGAGGTCCGAGTAGTTATTAGTTAACTAAGACTAACGATCTCGATAGGGATTTAGTCGGCTCGATATACTTATAGTTAAATAGTAATGTTAGGATTTATGCATAAACCTCAGGCGTATAGGATCTGGACAACCTCGTTGGGCGTCACTAATAAGGAAGGATTGCCGAAGATCCGCACGTGGGAGTACGTGACTTCCGAAAGAGGTAATCTAGAATGCACTACTGTACTGTTACACTAGAGCAGTACAATAGAGCGATAGAGCAGTGAGAGCACTACGAGTTTCCTATATCTATATAGTCGTCGATCTTTTATAGTTGAGTTTATAGTCTCTCGTAGTTAACCTTCGTTATAAGTTGGACGGTATATTTCTCGATCTAACTGTTGTTCATAGAACTCGTCTCTTATATCTATACTTCGCTATAGCCTATATCTTACCTTCCCTTGTCAGTAAATACTGACCGAACTCGTGATATCTGTGGAGCGATTCGTGATAAGTAATTAGCGAGGAGTAAAACGTTCGCTAATATAGTAGTTTAGGATCGACTAATAATAAATTCCTATTAAAGTTAAGATAATCGTAGGCAATAGTGAATAATTATCGACCGATCTTAGCGTATTAATCAGGGAACGTAGAGCCCTAAAGTTAATATAATCGTAGGCAGAGATTAACGATATATAATTAGCATAGAGGTTTTTTTTTATAGCGCTCGGTCCACGCCTTATGGGCTCGAATCGGGTTCGTATAGGGTCTCTCTCGAGGTTAAGGTTATCACAAGCGAGAGAGGATTCCTATAGAATAATTCGATTAACTATAACAATAAATAAAAATAAATTCGTTAATACTATAAGATATTACAGATCTTAAAGGGGTAAAATTAATAAATTGCAGTATAAAGACTATTAACGAGTTGAGTAGGAGGTACGAGATAGATATACTGCCTATGTGCTGACTTAGGTCTTGGTATTGGCTACGTGATCTAAAGGTTACGTGGCCAGTAGTTATGCATATACTGGGTTAACCCCGTAATATATAACTAGTATATAGTTACTTAGTATATAACTTAGCTAGCGCTACTAAGCCTTATTTAGCTATTAGGCTTGGCGCGCCCGCGAGCCTTAATCTGGTACTTCTACTAAACAAGCGCTTTTAACTCCTCTTATAGTCCTTCGTTAATAATTTACTTAATTAACGCATCTCTTGCTCGCGCCGTAAGAGTACTAGGGGATCTAAAGTAGTGTTTATATCACGGAGCACTGCTACGAGAGACTTGCAGACGTATGTGCTGTTTATGATATGAATTCTAAGACGAAGGACTATGAAGAGAGTTGCGCTCGGTTGCGCGAGTAAGTAGTCTGCAACCGAGGCGTGCCAAGCCTTCGTCATGATCACGTGCTAATCACGTGTCAATAAGTATCACGTGGTGTGGTAGCGGTCACGTGATGGGAAGTTTGGCATGTCAATCCGTGACAGTTTACTATAATTTCTTCTTTATGGTCTTCCCTAAGCTACCTATCCGCCGACTAAGCAAGTTGCTATTTCGATCCTCTAGTGGGGATAAGGCGAGAGTTGGTACGGGTACCTAAAAGTGCTTCCGAAGAGTGTTGTAAAGTCTTTGAATTGGAAATGAAAAGACCAGAAAGATAGGCAGTTCTCGATTTGGATTAGCGTGGTTAGGAGACATAAAGGCCCCATCTTTGTGTAATTAGAACTTGTTATCCTTTAGGCAACTTATAATTATAACAAAGAGGGATGCTCCTTATGTGGAGTAGAGGAAACCTATAATACCGAAGAACCCTTGCTAGTGTTGGGTGTTAGTAGGGACGTATGATGGAGAAGCGGCTACCTAGTGGTTGTTCTCACGGCGCGAGCAAGAGATGCGTTAATTGAGTAAATTGTTGTACGAAGGACTACAAGAGAGTTGAGAGCGCTCGGTTGATAGAAGTACCAAACCGAGGCTCGCGCATGCGCCAGCCCTAAATACCAAATAGGGCTTAGCGTCAGTCAGATCACGTGCCAAGTGGTCACATGCTAGCCATGTGACCACATCTGGGCTTGTTCCGTGACAGTTGTTATGTCTCGCTGCGCACTCACTATGGTTTTCGGTAGGGGAAGAACACCCTATACGCAGCGAGACATGACAGCTACTAGGTGGTAGCCGAACGACCTATAAAGGGCGAGAAGAAGAATAAGACGAAGGGGCAAAGGCAAGAAGCCCAGATCGAGCGATATAAATAATAAGAACCCCGAAACGGCTACGCAGACTAAGAAGAGAAAGGGCGAAGTGAAGGACACCTACACACGCACTAGAAGGAGTCTATTATTCTCCCTGGTAGCCCGTAGCCAGCCCTAAGGAGACCATCTTAATTATTATTATCTATACCAGTCCTATTTATATATAAAAATATCTACTGCGTCGGAGCTCTCGCAGGAACAGGAAGTTCGCTAGGAAAAGAACGCTTAGGAGGCGGGCACACGACCCAGCACTGGATGAACAGGCACAGGAACTGGCCCTGGCAGAATTGCAGGCGTTTGAAGACGAGGACGAACAGCTATTCAAATTCGAGACTTACGTCAAAACCTACATCTACGACGAGCTGCCCAACACCGAATTTTACGTACGCCTCCGGCGAGGCCTTAGGCCAAAGCCGGTTAGCATTACAGTACTTAGTAACGGGCTAGATCGAGAGATAAATGATCCGAGGGAAATGCTCCGGATTGCCCACGCCAACTGGGCGGATTTATAGGTAGAGCGAGCTTCGGATAAAGAAGCTCGAGAAGCATTGCTGGAAGGAGCCAGACCGAGGATATTCACACGACAAAAGCGCAGGAAGCTGACTGCCGAGTTCTCCAATAGGGAGATACGTTTCGCTCTGCGAAAGGCGAACACAGGCCGTTCGCCCAGGCCAGATAAGCTACCTATCGACTTATTTCGACGCATTATTAAGAGATAGGATGGAATAGTGGACGTCCTAAGGTTGGTGCTCAATTCGATACGGGACTTACGACGCTTACCCTCGGACATAAAGAGGGGGTGTCTAACACTCCTATATAAGAGAGGGCTGCCGACGGACGTGACCAACTACCGACCCATTTCGGTAATGCGAATGGATTGTAACCTACTAACATCCATCCCGGCCACGAGGCTAGGATATATACTGCCGGAATTAATCAGACCGGCGCAAACGGCAGAGATATACGACAGACAAATAGGAGACAGCATCAAGCTCATACAAACGGTGATCGACAAGTATAAGCGAGATAACGAACAGCGATTTGGCTATATTGTTTCTGGACCAAGAAAAAGGTTTTGATCGGGTAAGCCACCAGTATTTGTGGGCGGCCATGAGGACCTTTCGGATCCCTAGGCTATTCATTAAGCTAACCAAGGCGTTATACTGGGACGGCCAGACGGTCCCTGGATCAACGGCTTCGAAGGTGAAGCTATACCAATACGAGGTGGGGTGAGGCAGGGTGATCCCTTATCCCTTCTATTGTACCTATTGGCCATTGAACCACTCAATAAGAAATTGGCCTACGAGCCCAGGCTGCAAGGGATACTACTTCCAATAGGATCCGCCACCAAGAATCAGGGCTACGCGGACGACATGGCTGTGTTGATCACTCGGCAGGAGGAAATGGCGGTCGCCCATGAATTCCTGACGATGTGGGAGCGCGCGTCCGGCGCCCATGTAAAGTGGAGCAAGTCGAAGGTCTTAATCATTGATCGCCCGGTTTCCGGGAAGAGCCCAACGAACACGAGCTGGATAGCGTCATAAAAGGACCACGCTGAAGAGAGCGAAGGAACTGGGATCTGGGCAAAACGTTCAGCAACTGCTGCAATGTTGGACAACTGGACAACACAAGAAGAGCATCCCCGGGCCCAATAACACCTCAACTGGCAGTTCGAGCAGCGATCCAGAAGACAGCGGCGCCTCGATATAACACCAGTCTGGGGAGATGACCATAATGTCCCTGAGAATCGAGAGATGATCGAAGTCATGGTGGTAGTGGAGGCGGCTGTCGAACATCGAAGACAAGAGTACAACAAACTCCAGATGAGATAATGGCAAAAAGGCCAACAATAAGGGACTTGCAACAGTAAGGGATTGCCTCAAAGAAAGCTGGGCTGAAAGGCGAAGGAAACAAAGGCAAGGCAAAGGCCGTGCCTGAGCCCGAAGAACCTGAGCCAACACAGGTGGGCGACCTGATATCGAACTTCAACCGACTCCTCGCAGAGGGGTACTTTTTGATTGCGACCCGATGCCACAAGAATAACAGCCCAATTGATGTTCTCATTTCTGTCGAATTGTGGAAGAAGGGAGTCGGTGCGGCCCTGCCTAGGCCGCTCGACGCGAAACAATATGGCAGAGAGGTCACAGTCATGTTGAAAGCCGTGAACATGTGGAGGCAGTGGAGGCAGTGGAAAACTTGCGGATACCAGCGGGGAACAAGCATTGTATTACAATGTTCAAATATGACAGTCCCCTGCATAAGACGTTCGTCATCAAGAAGACGTCCATGGTTCCAGCCGCCAATTTCACATCGCCATTGATGGCCGCATTCCCAGAAGACAGTTTCGCCTTATTCCTGCGGGCCGAGGGAGTGGTCTTGCTGGACACATTCTACGCCGTCTTCCCCTCTCCGCCGCCGGTGCGGAAGACAACCAAATTGACGTTCAGGGACACAAAGGGACATCGGGGCGAGCATTGGCACTCTGAAGACAAAGTTGAGACAGCATGCTTGGTGTGCGGGTGAGAAGAAGACCACACAAATGTCCCCGTGCCTGCGACACATGCATGTACATGGAAGAAATTTAAACCTACAGTGTGAGTGGACAAAAAATATATGGTTGAACATACAGATATGTGTGGAATCCTCATTGTAGGAGTGCTCTGTACGGCCCTCTGCCCGAGCGGGTGCTTAAAGAAGAATGCTAGCCACTGTAGAACCTACGCTTCAATTGTCCGGGACGATACTAGTAGTATTTCGTGCGACTCTCTCCTTCATCGCGCCACATTGAGTTTGAACAATATGAGGGCGGTTTGCTTAGATGCGTTGCCCAACTTGATTGCCGCAAGCACGCAGTAATATGGTAGAGTATTCCGGTCAGAAGAATCGCACGTTTATGCCTATACGCGTCATGGGTCTGGACGGGCTCGCCCAAGGCTGCCACCAGGTCTGCCACTCCGGTATACATTACAGCTTCTGTGCACTCGAGTTGAGCCATATGGCTTCATCCGATCTGGTAGGAGCATGATCCTCCCGACCAAACAGAGACAAGACCGCCGCGCTCGAGCGTAGCACACGCCCGGAGTGGGTGCACCTGGGTTTTACCGGACGATGTGGGACTGTGCTTTATGAACGACTTTGATTCGACTGAAACCATCAGCTCCATTAAGGGACTGTAGCATCCTCCAACAAATCGTGCAGCTCTTAGCCACACCGGTAGCAGCATCGTAACCCAGCTCAAGCAAATCTGCAAACGCCTTGCTCCGGAAATCGTGCCCAGTCTCGTCTGTATTTAGCAGCACTTGTTGCCTTTCGCATCTGGAGTGCCTGAAGGGGCCATGTCAATCTTCACGCCACCCGTGGGCGCCTGGGCCGCGTCGCCGCTGTCGAGTGCCTTGCTCGACACAATCCGGTAGATTTCTGTTGGTAGAAGTCAGCATGATCCGTGGACAGGAGTTGGGGAACTTGCCTGTCAAGATGTTTTGGAACGCCAATTCGACGTTGCTAGCATCGAGCGCTGAAGTCTCGATGAACGACAGGTTGTTCTCACCTGTGACGACGTAAGCACAAGATTAGCGACAGCGGGTTTGGGAGACAAACTTGCAAACTGCTTGGCCTCTTCAGTGGGAACGGCGCGGAGGTGTCGCAAATCACTCTTGTTTCCCACGAGCATGATGACTATGTTGGCGTCGGCATGGTCTCGGAGCTCCTTCAACCATCTCGTAACATTGTCATATGTCTGTCGTTTGCTGATGTCGTAGACCAAGAGAGCGCCGACCGCACCCCGGTAGTAAGCAGAAGTGATGGCACGGTATCTTTCTTGCCCTGCAGTATCCCAGATCTGTGCTTTGATTGTCTTGGTGTCAACCTGAATGGACCTTGTCGCGAATTCCACACCGATCGTGGACTTGGAGTCGAGGTTGAACTCGTTTCGAGTGAATCGGCTCAGGAGGTTCGATTTACCGACGCCGGAGTCGCCAATGAGTACGACCTTGAAGAGGAACTGCGTGTTGTCAGCGACCATTCTCGTGGGCAGGGGCAGGCAGACGTACGTCGTATTCGTCGTTGGCCATGCTGCAGGCTGGTGGGATCGAGCGCCGAGTTCAGGGTGGAAGGGTGAGAGTCGGCCACGGGGAGCGTAGAATTGGCGGGGCAATTGGGTTTGGTGTAGGATATTGAGGTTCTGGACAACTTGAATGACAAGATGCAACAGGTCAACACCGGACTGTCTGTCAACTTGAAGTAACAGTAGAAGTAGTAGTACCAGGACGGATTGAACGCGCTCTCACTGCAGTGGCCCTCACCACCTCATTCAAGTTGCAGGCTGCGACTGGCAGTGCACGAGCCGCAAATCGCGAGGCTTGGCACTATCTGGCGTGCCTCTCTCTGATTGGCTCTTTGTCCACTACACAGTACTTACATCCTCCTCCTCCTACTACTAGTACTTTGCCGTGCCATAGTACCTACTTCATTGTAAGGCTGCGAGTCGTTCGAGGTTCTAGTGTCCACCACCGACGACTTTGAGCTAACCTCACCGCATGCTTCGATGCTCGCCAGTTGAATGGAGCCAAGAGCGGTAATACTGGTTTGTGCTCTTCTACTTTCCAACAGCAAAGTCGCCAGTGTCGAGTGAGGCAACCAGCCAGCAGTGTGGCACTGTATACCTAAGTACGGGGACAAGGAAGATGCCGCCGCAGCAAAAACTGCACTGGTCTTTGCACTGCGCTGGGTCTGATCTATCATCTCTCCTACTGTACACTGGCAGATTTTGAGACCCTGCTACCCGTAACGCAGTGAGGGATATACCTGCCCACCATGTCTACTTCGGGGAGGGATGACCTGGAGTACGAAGTCGAGCGCATTCTGGCCGAGGACGATTCCTCTGGAGAAACATTGTATCTCGTAAAGTGGCTTGGTTATCCGGATTATCAGTGCACCTGGGAGCCTTATGAGAGCTTCTCGAATCCGCAGACCCTCGCTGACTGGCACCAACAACTTGCTCAGGGCGACACGCTGGACGATGAAGACATAGCAGCTCTTCAGGAGCGCATGAATGCATATGCCGAATCCGGTGAAGACGACTGCGATCGTATGCAGCGTGGTGTTCTCGATGGCCAAATTTCGGGGACCGCGGTTCAAGATGAGCGTTCGTCCACTGACGATAGCGAACTTGAACAGCAACCCAGAGAGTCTCTCCCTGCACCTGGTTCGAAGAGACTTCTAGATGCTCCTGCAGACACGGAGTCCGCCCTCATCAAGCAGCGAAGGCTCAGCCAGCCCTCATTGATAAAGTCCAGATCCAGGGACCATAATGGCACACCAGCCACATCCAGCAGCAATCTGGCCCCACAAGCGCTCCGCAGCCCAACTCAGGGAAACGATTCTTCCGTTATGACCATGGATTCGACAATGGAGCAAGCGAACAAGGCGTCTCGAAATACACAGCAGCGCACTGGCGAGAGGTTCAAAAATCTGAGACATCAGAACAACTACCTCAAGCTTGCTCGGCGAGAACCGCCACCAGACATGACCAAAATCGACATGAGACCACCTGAGGAATGGATCTCGTCGGGTCCATCGCGGTCCGGGACATCGGCTGGAAACAATCGGCCATCTACACAGAGAGATTGCGAAGCGCATATAATGGTGCCTAGTGAGGGCAGCGTTGGAGACAAACCCGATCAAGAATCCTCGCCATCTCTCCCACGCGGACGAGGCGATGAGAGTGGAAGTCGGTCAGTCTCCCAGAGAGCAGACAACGGTTTTGCTCCTCAGCCACGACCTGCTTCATGCAACCTTGAAGTACCTGCCTTTAGTAGGCCAATGGGAGGACCGCTAGTAACCGCTCGAAACGGACGGACCTGGCGTCGTGGCGACGTGGTAGTTCATTTACTTTTTGGAAACCACGCAGTTGGGGACGTGAAGATCCTCCAACTGCCATCATGGCTGAGGACCAAACTCTTGGCGCTGAAGAAGCCGCAGGATCACACTCTGGACATTCATTTTCAAGAGCGGAATGTTGTCACTGTCGTCACTTTCTCGGCGCTTTCCAGATGGCTGGACAAACCTACTGTTGCTGTGGCCCCAATCGAGTCTTATGAAGATACGATCCAAGCGACGGACAGTCTGGCGGAGCATTTGGAGACAAATAATGTTGCCGCCGTGTGGGAGTATCCTCTTGAGAGTGAAACTATCGTGATGATACTATACTCCTGTCGGGCTGACGGATGGCGCCATTTTGGTCGACGGGAGGTAACAATGTTTGAGCCACGCCTACACTTGCTGGTTCGAAACAAATTGCCTGGCTTCCGTCTGGCCTCCGACCCTGTCGACGTGGCCGCTCAGCCACCACGTCCGGGTGCTGTACACACTGCCGTGCCTTTGTTCCATATGGAGGGCGTGGTCCAGAGCCCGAATCAAATTTCGACGCCGCCGTCGGTTGAGAGTACCAATGACCTGGATATATGGCCGATACCGACAAGTATGCGATCGTCATCATCGTTGCAGAATGCACTCGGAGGAGCTAGAGCTGGGCTCGCAAATTTTCCATTGACCGATATTATATTCTCTACTAACATGGAAGACTTGCTTCAAATCAAAGATGGGTCAAAAAGAAAGCTAGCTATATTTCTTGCCTTTACGGTATCACACCCAATACAGGCCAACTCAGTTCAGAAGTGGCTTTGTAGCCACATCAACCCACGGTACATCTACACCGATGCGGAAAAAGATGGTTGGTCTGAATGGGTGGAAGAAATTGCCACGAAACGGGGTCTAATTATGTTCCACGAAGAACATCCCTCGTATTGTGATCTAAAGCTCCTGTCCCGATATTTGGCGTCTCAGGCACGGATCAGTTGTTTCAGCCTATCCTTCGAACCGCGCGATGATGGACTTGTCTATTGTGCAGCTTCCAAAATATTTCCACGAGGAACGGCGCTTTTCATCACCGAGCGAGCAATGCTAAGGTATCCGGAAGAATCTCTCCATGCAATGCAATGGTTTGCAAAGTCCTCGGTGCGGAAGTTTGACAGCTGGAGATTGTGTTTAATCCCAGACGCTGTGGAATGGATACTCAACCAGGCGGGGGAATGTGAATCCCAGAATCAGCAAAGGTATGTCTTCTCGGCTTGCGTGCTCACGGCGACATTGATATTGACAGCTAGGCAGTTACATTGGAATGCTTTCCGTGATTCACAAGCTGCAGATGGAGTCGTACAATTGGAACGCCCAGCAACAGGATCATGACGAAGAAACCTTGCTCTCAAATGATTCGCTCCATGAGCCACCCGGCCTTACACTGTCGCTGCCCTCTCTGACGTGTTATCAGAGCCGCCACAACGAAGGCTCTCCTGAGAGTGAGGACACAGTTGGTGCACGCGATGCAATCCTCCTAGAATATTTTTGTGGCTGGGCCGCAAGCAAGGCCGGACAATACCGAAAATTCCTTGTCTTGGACGATACGCTCACCAACAAAACACAACAGCACTCTTGGCATATACAATTCTGGGATCCCCGGAAGATCAAGAGTGAGATCAAGTAATAAGGGAAGACCAGCCCCGGTCTCTTCCGCATAAGAAACGGCGATCGATGTCTGCTCTTTCGGAACATCAGTGGACTGCCTGGAAAGGTCACGCAATTATCTCTCCATTCAAATCATCGTGTCAAGTCGTCTAAGCTCGTCTTGGTCTGCAGGATATAGCTATGCATTTGCTACCGGAAATGGCATCTCTTTGATTCTGGCTCCAGCCAGTTGGGCACATTGGGCACGGGGCAAGTCGCAGAGAGGACATAACGTTTGCCGTGCTCTGCACATAATCTTGGAACACAAACTCTGGTCCCGCTATGACTCCCTCCTTTTCCACATCTGCTGCCCTTGTGCAGCACCACTTTGCACGAATGGAGGTCCCATATGCTGCATAATCACCTCGACATCTCCAGGATCCCTTGTGGTGGCTGGATTAAGCCTTATTAGTCTTCCAGCTGGTACTGAGAATTCCGCTGGATTAGAGATCTGTAGTAGTCGCATAATACCTCGGGCTTTGGTACTATCCGCCACTCCATCCTCGTAAGAAACTCGAGTTCCAAAAGAGCAAGTTCCTTCATGCTAACACCGCCAACTCGGGCATATGTTTTGTTTGTCCAGAAGGAATCACTCAGTCCCTTGCTGGCCACGGTGGCGCTAGTGATCAAAAAGCGGTGCACCGTCAGGCTGCTGATAGTAAAGGCCGGGTACAACGCGCAGAGGCGATCAATGTAGTAAACGACACTCAGCAGAATCGGCGGAGAGAGAGTGGCGTGGGTGGTCAACCTCTGCAAGTAATCAAGGACGGAGATGCCAGGGGGCGCACGTGAATGGAATCTGGTCAATTGCCCTTCGCGCAGAGGGATTGCATCATTGTATCTGATGAGTTCCATGAGCATCGAACTTATCAGGATAACCAGATCCCGTGTGTTGCAATTTTCATACTGCCGGGGCATCAAGCGAACGGGAGGCGTGTCTGGCCGAGCCTTCTTTACTGGAGTTTGGCTCATGGGGTCTTCCGTCGGTGGTTTGACACCGTTCTGCCCTGGCGATGTTTCCGCCGCAGCTTCCACGGCTTGTCTTTTTGCCTGTCCATGTCCTTCGTTGGCCATTTTCAACGTACTGGTCGACTCGGTCGGGCTTCTCTCGCCCCCTCCTGCTTGAGCTGGCTGAAGAGCCAGGCCCGTGGGCCTCTTTGGTTCTTCCTTTTCAGTCAGCTGGAGGCCAGCGATGGTCGATGTTGGGGTCTTTGTCCCGGGCGGGGTGGGCGCTTTCTGGCCTGGCGGAGACCACTGCGTGCCTTTATCGACCATGTTTCGCGGGCGAAAGCTTGGACTGTAGCGGTCTAGTGACCTTGTGCTTGCGTTCCGGGGTGCCTTGTATGAGAGATCGGGGGAGAAATGGTATTTGCGGCCTGGGTCGTGATGCTTCACCGCCGGTCGGGTCTGGTTAAGAGGCTTTGCGGGTTGATCATACTGCGGCCTCGAGAATATAGGGCCGGCGGACTCGAGATTAGGGGACGGGGATGTTGCTAGCATATTCAACGAAGCTCAACATCTGACGCCGCTGTCGCTGCAAGTTTCTCGGAATCTGGGGAGAGCCTAGCATCACCACTGCGTGAGGGCGGAGGAGGGCGCGGTTCAAGGTGCGCCCATAAGGTGTAAATCGTCGCCGCAACAGGCCTCTGACTGCTTGACCGCTTGGATAATGTGCAGAGCGCGAGGTCAAGCGCCACAAAGAAGATTGCCAGGCACACTCCCTAGATGCGCGGGTGAGATTGACTGATGTACCAGGTACGCGGGTAGATAATAGTGGTGGGGGCAGAGAACTCGAACTTGAAGATCAAGATGCAGTGAGTGGCAAGCAAACCTGGAAAGTTGGGGGACGAGGCGAGGCGAGGCACTCAATACTATTGGCACTGGCGCTGCACTGGGCACCGGCTGCTTCTGTCGGGGAACATTTCCGGGGGCAGTTATTGACCTGCGATTAGCGAAAGGCACCGTCGGCGAGCACGAGGCGCTGTCGTGTCTTTACATTCGTCCACTGTGACCAAGACCACCTGCGTTGCAAACACCACCTTGAACTCATCTGCTCATCTGCTACGACAAGCCAAAAGTCAATTCCTTGCGTGTACACAGTTCTAGTCCAGTCCAGTCAGTATCTTATCTGTTACTTCGCTTCGTTGGGTTTAGTCTCACGATCTGCGCTCTTTGCAAAACCCTCAGCAGCCTCACGCCCCAGTCGAGCCGACCCCGGATTCCTTTGCCGGGAGACCAGTGGGCGTGCACTCACTTCTCTGGAGTCTAAAACCCTTCCAATTCGAAGACTGCACCGCGAGCTGTCGGCGGCGCGGACAGATAGATACCTCCGAGGCACTGCATTGCTCTGATGCCGATGCTAACATTCGGTATCTGACAAAGCGCCACTCTCGAAAGCATGGCATCTGCCTCGCGGCCCAGCACCACTGTGCTACATCACCTACAAGAGTTGCGCGCCGCGGCTGATGGGCCATTATCGGCGCTGCGGAGGATCAAGAATGACCTGACCGGGCATTCATCACGGAAAGCAGAATACATCCGAAATGGATTGGTCCCCGCGCTGGCAGAAGTTATGCTTCCCAGGCTCCCGTCGAGCGAGGCGGCTTCTTCCAAGCTGGAGGCGGACGAGGAATTGATCTTTGCGCAGATTTCCCAAATCTTGTGTGTGATCGCTCATGGTGGGTGTAAGAATCCAACTCACTGACAGGACTATGCTGACTGTCTTGAGCAGATGGGCCTTCTTTTGTCCAGCCGTTGCTGGACACAGATATGCTACGGGCCCTGGTCTCCTGTCTCCTCCTGCCTTTATCCTCCAGGACATCCCTTGCACTATTACGATGCCTCAACGCAGTGGCAGAAAATCTCCCTTCCATGGACCCTGGACAATGGTTGCCTCACCGCGAATTGGCCGACTTGCTCTATTCCAAAAGATACATCTCATGTTTTGTCAATATTGTTGGCCGAGCTGGCGACTCGATGCCTTCACAGCAGGCCTGTGATGCAATCCTGTCTCTGCTCTGCAAAACTGTCTCGCTCGAATGGCAGAAACGTGCGCTCGTCGACAGTGGGCTTCTCTCGCAGCTTGTGGCCCGCCTGGCGTCTTTCGTGGTTGCGGAAGGCCTCGTTCCCCCTGGAGTAGCACTCCCCAGCGGCGACAATGGCGCATGTGGCACCCTGCCTGCCTCTGCGCCATCCATTGCTCACTTGTCACCGGTCCTGGAATCGCTATCAGTTCTAGTCGAACGTTCGAGACACCGGGCGACTCTGTTTCTCTCCGATCCGATGATTCAGTCTGTACTGCCAAACATGAAGGATGATTTCTCTCCCTCCGATATTCGACGTGCACCATGGGGAGCAAGTTACTTTTCAGGGGCGGCTGTCCCGCGCAGCTCTCCCCATGGTCCGTTCGATTTCCTTCTCCCTTCCATACCCGTCCCTGAAATTGCGAAATCGGCCATCCAGTCCGAATTTCCTCCGCTGGGCATAGTTGCAGGCTTGCCGAAAAGGCGAGCATCGCTAATACCATCCACCACTGAGCCTCCGCAGATGGCACCGAACCACCTTTCGGTTGATGAGATGGAAGAAAGCTCCGTTATACCCTGGCTCCTCTACTTGGTTCGTGCGTCAAGAGGCAAGCGCCGCCTCCTTGCCGCCCGGCTGCTGGTCGACTTGTATTCTTTGGACCTAGTCAACAAACGTCGGCGTGCTAAGTTTCCTGCATTATTGGTGCCCCTTCTTACCTCGATGTTGGACTCTGACACTGCACAGGCAGAATTCGGACCGCAGGTTGGGCCCGCGCATCTGTGCAGCGGTATCCACTACACAAGAGCCGTCCCTATTGTCCTGGCCTCTCTTGTCATGGATGATCCTGACATGCAGCGGGTTGCAGTGGATGGGAATGCCATAACTGCTCTTTCGAATGGGCTAAAAATGACGTTTGATTTCACTGCGGGCCAGAAGCCCTCACCCTGGCAGCCATACAAGACCTCGGAGATCGTGACCGAACAATCCCTGCACGGAATGCGCCTAGGTCCAGGTGGGCCAAGCTGGAGGACGAGGCGAGACATGGACTACCGAGAGGGTTGTTTGCGGGCATTGGCAGCAATTGCACCGTTCGAAGATGACTACCGCAAGGAGATTTGCGACCAAGGCGTGCTTAACTACGTGATGCTAGCGCTTGAGCCTTGCCACATCCAGCACAATCCTGGTCAACAAGTCGAAGTCAGCGGAAATCCTGTTAACGTTGTGCTCGCTGCTTGCGGCGTGGTGAGGGTGCTGACACGCTCAGTCAAGGCGCTGAGGACGAAGCTGGTGGAGGCTGAAGTTGCAAAACCTATCATAAAACTCATGAGTTCGGCGCATCCGGAAGTGAGGATCGCGGCCACTAAAGTGCTCGCGAATCTGGCAATCGACTTCAGTCCCGTGAAAGAGAGCGTGGGAGACACAGCCGTCGTCAAGAAATTGTGCGAACAGGCCCACTCGGCAAACGCGAGGCTACGGTTGGAGTCCATATGGGCGCTCAAGCAACTCGTTCTAAACGCCAGCCAAAAGTTGAAACAGGACGTCGTGGACGAGCTGGGCCCAAGCTGGATAAAACTGTTGATCAAGACCGATCCCAACGACATACCAGAGGGTGAAGTCATTGGGCTTGTGGAAAGGGAATATCCTCCGCTGCCAAGGGGTCGTCGACCGTCGGGGGGCGTCAGTGCTTCCAATGACGTGATCATGAGCGACGATTCGGACAACGAAGGCGGCATCACCCACCATCTGGGCCATGCTATCGTGGGCGCCGACAACAACGATGGCCTTGACACCAAGCACACGCCCGAAGATGACACGGAAATCCAGGCGCAGCTGCTGGACCTTCTCCGCAACTTGTTTTGTGGGGACAATGCTTCCGATATGGTGCAGTATATCTTCGACGAAATGGGCCAGGACGACTTTCTCAGGATCATGCTTGACCGGCTGAGACCACGCACCATGGCGGGTCCAACACGCAAGGAGAACTACAGCACAGCTGCACCGAGCACAATTGTCAGCAAAGTCCTTTACATTCTCGTACACATTGGAGCATGCGATGCAAGATGGCGGAATGCGATCGCCTCGCACCATGCATTGATGAAACAGGTGTTGACATTCTGCAGCCACTCGGACAGAGAGATTCGGGCGCAGTGCTGCTGGATCGCCATCAATCTGACCTACGAAGACGATGCCGCGGATCGGTTGGCGTGTAGACAACGGGCAATTGAACTGCAGAAAGTCGGCTTCCTTGGGCAGCTTCGGAAGTTGGAAGCGGACCCGGATCTGAACGTTCGAGAGAGAGCAAAGTCAGCCATGCATCTGATGTCTAAGCTGATGGCGACGTGAAAACGTGCAGCGCTGTTGATAGCACCTGACTGCGCGGGAACCATGGCGCGAGACGGGGTCATCTTCGATGCAATCCTGTTATTAGTATGCCTATATAATATACCCGCAGATATGAACGACGCGAGTTGTGGTGCGCTTGAAGTTTGTAGCAGACCTGGAGGCTCACACTCATGTTGATGTCACCAGTGATACGAGTAGTAGTACCCGTTTGAGATACCTACGGTAGAGGTACATTATGGTATGTACCACTGAGGTATACCACTACTAGTAAGCACCTGGTAGGAGAAGTGAGAGCCCAACTTGAAATGACGTCGCACCCTCGGCCAAAGGTTCTCCGGGCACCGAGCTACGTTCGACCCGGAGTTCAAGTTCATTGTTGTTTACCCCAGTCTTGGCATTCGAGATCGCGTACTATAGGTACCTACTAGTAGGTAGTATTGATGTTGCTGCGCTCGAATGTGAAGCCTGGCTAGTATGTAAAGCTGTCTGTCACTTTGTGCATGTATATGAAGCAATGCTAGGCCATTGATACACCCCTGGCCATCAACAGCGCGTACCCTTCAGCTTGCTTCGCACGGCCGTGCACACGGGTGTGGAATCATGGCTTCCTCCAGGGCATTGCGCTATCCAAGAGCAACAATGCGGAGGATCTTGAAGGGTCACTCCAGGAAAACCATGGGACGAGGTGTTGACCAACTTGTCCTGCTTGATTACATGCTATTCATCGAAGAGTAAGACCACATGCTCTTTGAGAATAACGTGTCTGACATGGAACTGGACAGGCTGCTTCGAAACGCATCTCGCAAGGCACGAGCCGACGGAGAAAAGAACATTGCGGCCAAAAACATCAGGAAAGTCACAATGGTATTTTTTCCTGCCCTGTACGTCCTGGGTCCAATATCACAAGCTGAGAAGCCATGACAGCATACTCTTCGGCGATTCAAAGGTTGAAATACACCCCTGCCACTCCTGCCAGAAATGGTATTAAGTTACGAATTCCCGGACCTAACAGCCCAATCCCCGCGAGCACCTCGAAATCCTCATCGACATCATTGACTCGAGTGTCCCGAACTCAGAAAGCTCACGAAGGATAGTGGGAAGCGCTACAAGCCTTGCGAGAAAGACACATAGCAGAGGAATGCCTCAGGTTCAGGATACTAATCGGCTTCTTCACAAATACCGAAACAAGGGAATCACGTCGTTGGGACTTAGGATTACTCTACGACGCCGTCGTCGAGGGCCTGTGTATAGGTGGGCAATTAGCTTGGGATAAGGATACCATGATGCTGGCAGGTCCGACAGTGTAAAGAAACCTCCCCAAGTGAGAGACCGAGGCGCCCAGCAGCCATTATTGAATCCCCAAAAGTTTCAATGAAGACAGTGTCTTCGCCGCCCATTACTGGTGTTCTGATACGCCTTTGTCCTATAGTGCAGCTTGGACGCGTTCATCATGCATACAGCGCCATTGAATCTTTCATATTCAATGTTATGGCCGGCTTTGAATCTGCTGCATTGCCACGTCCACATGAGTGTCCACTCAACAGGAAAGTTCCGAAACGCCATCCATATTTTGTCTTCTGTTCTGTTTCTGTTTTGTGGGAGGCTAAGGTACGGCCGACAACCGAACTTCGACATGCAGGGAGCGTACAGGAGTGCGGATTCAAAGGCTATTCGTCGAGGACGAGCGGCCTCTCTCAAACCCTCCGGGATCGGACGCGTCAAGAAGGAGGTGCTGTACCTGTTCTTGTACCACTAATTGGTAGCCACCATACCTAGGTATTCAAGGTGCAAGCTGGAAACCTGAATGTAATTGGAAATGTGAAGCTGGACTGTGAGTCGGAGATGACGAACTGGAGTGCGCAGGCTTGGCGAGTTCGGATGAAGATGAAGCTGTGGTGCGGGCGAATGCAGCACTAGTAAACCGCAGGTGATTATCTCACTTGTCCGCCCAATTAATTCGTGGCAGTCTGTACTTCTTGCAACAACACTGCAAGCCTCACACGAGCAAACAATTTAACAACTGCAAAGATCACTCCTCCCACTCTCTGCAAGCTCTTCAGCTGGCCTCCAACAATTCCTCCATTCTTGTCACTCGGACAGTCTCACAGGTCGAAGGCGGCGCAAGCCTCGTCATATTCAGACCGTTCTCTACTTTCTGTCTATTTGTCCCAGACCACACCGTCACCGGCCGCTTACCCGTCTCTCCGCCATGTCTACTGCTGGCTCTGTGACCAACGACTCCAAGCCGGGCAAGAAGCGCAAGGCGAAGGGTGAGAATGCTCCCTCGGGCAGTGGTGCGGCAACTCCCTCCATCGAAGCACCAGCGTCCGAGACTCCTGCTACCACTAACGGTGTCGATTCCCACAACCAGAGTCAGCATGTCAAGGATCTGATGAGGTAAGTATACCACTGGCCTGACCACCGCATGGTTGAAACTCGGCTGACCATCCTAGAAACATCCGCAATCTCCACAAGAAACTCGCTGCCTCCGCAAAGGCCGACGCGGTGATCAGTGAAAACCCCAATGTTTCCCTCGATGACTTGGTTGCGGCAAAGAAGCTCAATGTCGATCAGAAAGCCCAGATACTCAAGAAGCCAGCCCTCCAAGCGCAATTGGCGCAACTCGAAGAACAGCTGAGCTCTTTCCGTGCCTTTGCCCAAGAGCTGGAGGAGCGCTTTGCGAAGGAGAAGTCACGCCTGATTGAGGCCCACGAGTCGGCTATCGCCAGCGTCAAAGAGGAGGCCACTAGGGAAATCGAAGATCTCAAAGCCAAAGCCGTCGAGGACAGTTTGCGGGTCGTGTCTCACTTTTTGCATGCTGCGGCCTCCAAACGTCAATCAGAGGACGCCGACTCCGATGAAGGACGTGCGTTCGAGGGTGCTCTTCTGCTAGTCTACCAGGGCAACGAAGCATCACTTACGGCACTCAGGAACCTGGTTCACGGCACCGACGACAAAGTCCCAGATGTCAACGGTGAGAGCTTGGAGATCACCTACGCACAGGTCAAACAGTCGTCTCTACAGGGAGCACAAGAAGCACTTTCGACCACCGAACAAGAAGCGGACCAGACAAACCCCACCGATTCTGCACCCGCTGCGACCGAAATCCGAACGGATCAAACCGTGGCGAGTGCCGGCTTGACTGAGCTCGACGACACCATCGCCATCCAGACTCCCATTGACCCCGCTGCCACTACCCCAGCCGATGCTCTCCCGATTCCCGAACAAGCTTTGACTGGCGCCGATGCCGCAAACGCAGTTGCCGAGGCCACATGGGACCCCCAGGCATCAGTGGTAACTGACACCAGTGCAACCAACGAAGAATGGGTGCAAGTTCCCCGTGACCCTGCTGAGACTGAGACTGGTGTCGCTGCCACCCCGGCGGATGTACATGCCTCAAGCAGTTGGGCCGAGGAAGCCGGTGCTGCTGCAGCAGTCGAGGAGAAGCCAGCTGCCGAGAACGATGGATTTGAACAGGTGCGTCGCGAACGTGGTCGTGGACGAGGTGGCAGAGGCGGCCGTGGTGAGTTCCGAGGACGTGGTCGTGGTGGTCGCGGAGATGGCCATCGCGGTGGACGAGGAGGAGCATCGAGAGGTCGAGGTGGTCCCAGAGGTGACAAGAGCTGAACTACGCCTTACGCCGGAAGCTGAGGTCAATGCTACGCCCATAGCCTAGTTCTGCACCTAGGACCCTCAATTTGACCCCCTCCCTGCCCGAGTGAACACAACCCAGTGTTATCGGCTGTATGATTTGTTTCTACTCATCAAGCGGACGGTTGTCATGTGCTAGCCGGCAAGGAAGGGGGAAAAAGCGATTGTTGGCGATTTCTGCTCGCATACCACGTAGAGTCAAGGCATATGCGCTGGCACGCCAGGGGTTAGTCTAGTTCTTCGGCAAGCGACAAGATTTGCGAATCGCAAATAGTTAATTAGGTGAACGAACATGGTTCAAGCCTACTTCTCACTTCTAGTTGTTTTTGTTGATTCTAAGGGCATTCTCTGCAGTGTTTTAGTACCGTAGTCTGGAATCAGTATAGCGGGAAGGGAAATACGAAAAGACATTGGTAGACTCTTGGTGCATTGAGGATCTCGACCGCCACCGTGGTTAATGCATCTAACAAGTCCAGGATATGAGTCTTATGTGAATACCTTATCGTCGTCCCTCAGGCGGCATCGAGCCTATGTCGGCATTCCTCGACCCCTGCTTATTCGAGGTCGTGAGCGAGGTCTTGCACCCGAACGATGCCACTACCCCAACCTATGGCTGCGATTCCCGCGCAGGCGAGGTTGGGACAACAGTCAATTGACGTGACGCTCTGCTCTTCCTCGAATATAGGCTCTGCAATCCCAGTCTCCCTGTGCTGTGGCTTCTTCTTGGCCAACGGCACCGTCCCAACTTCGATTTTCTCGGGTTTGAAGCCTTCATGAAAGCGAGAGACACCAGGTCTCACGGCTGCGCCATGGTAGAGATCGGTGTCTGCATCTTCCCGGTTCGTTGGGGGTTGTGCATCGTCTGATTCGCCTGCGGCAAGTGGGCGCCATTCATAGTCATAAAGCTTCTGCATGTAAGCTCCTGTGGCGTTTCGAGAATCCGATCTTCGGTGTGGAAGGACTTTCCGCAAGTAGTTGCTCGATAGCACCTGGCCATTAGAGGTCCCAATCAGGATGCAAGGGTGACATGGCGAGTTCGCAAGTGCTGTTGCTGCACCCGACAGTTCTGGAAGCCTGGCAATTCTGTGTCCGGTATGAAACTCTCGCAGGTTGTGGCAAATGATGAAGGCCGCCAAGTGTGCCTCGACTTGCGTGTTTCCTACCCTATCAAGCCCCGTGATGAATGACCTTGTGTGAGGCGAGAAGACGATGTCGCACTGAGGAAAGCATGCGCGAGCCACAGATACTCTGTCTTGCTGGGGGTTGCGCAAATCCGTCAGGACCAGCTCGCCAGCCGCCGAACTGCTGGCAATAAAGGTGGAGAGTGATCCTGGCCAGGCAGAACACAGCGAGGTAATGTATGTGTTATGTATCTGTTGCCGCAAATAACCACTGGCGGCTAAGCCATTTTCATGCACTGTAGCCAAGTCGAACAACTGGACCGAGCCATCAGAGGCTCCCAGTACTAGAGTTGTGGGATCCGCAAAGGTAAGGGCGGTGAAAACCGTACCAAGCGGAGGCGACATTGTGAGTCCAGCCTGCGCAACCTTGACGGCAATGGGATTGTTGTCCTGGTTGATATGCTGGGGCAAAGAGAGTGACAGTACTCTGGCAAAGCCATCTGTTGATACGATACCAAGACGATGATTCACGGTAGCTGGCCCACCGTCAACATGTACATCCCTCTCAGAAAGCGTTGGCGGACACCACTTAATGCGCCGAATATCGCCGTAATCGGTCCCAACCACCATCACCAACCTTGGGGGGACGGCCAAAGACAAGGTGCGAACGCGGCTGTTCGGTATGGCCTGGGTTTGAAACCCCCATATCTCAATGTGCGAAGGGTATGGAGGAGAAGGATGGAATGCCGGTCGAACGCGAACATGTCCTGGAACACTCAGTCTTTGGCCAGGGGTAGCCCGCGTGACGATAGCAAGGTACTGCAGTTCGGCAGTGGCCAGCGCCCAGGACAGGCATTGAACTTTTTCGCCCACATTGATTAACCAGCCTTCTTGCGGTGGGCGAGTTGGGAGCTGATTTTGGAGCCGGCCTCCCACGGGTATATCCTTTGGAGCATGTGTTGACCAGGCTTGTCCTAGGCTCAACGGGCATCGTGGAGGAAGATCGAATTTCGTCTGCTTATCCCAAGGGCCGAGCACGACCGAATGAGAGTATGGCTTTCGTGGCATGTATTTCTCTTGAAGTTCCTTGTCATCCATTGCTCGAAGGGTCTGATTCTGACGGATCACATCGTCTACAGGAGCCCCGTTAGTTGACCTGGAATGTGAAGGATCCGGCGCCTTGTCAACAGTGGCAGCAGGTGTCGACGGCAGTCCCTGGGACTTCTCGATGGCATCAGATATCGACCTGCGGCTGGGGAGTGTTACGTCACGACCCTTCAGCCAAAGATCCCGAGCATCGAGCACGGTAGACAGGTCCTCCACATCAGGTCCAAACGTATCTGGGTATGCCGCACTTTTGGAAGCATGTTTCCGTCCGGTTGCAAGGCCGCGAGAATGAGGCGTCGAAGCGATGCCGCTCGAGTCAGACCAACGGACTTGGTTTAGGGGCTTTTTATGAGCTAGATGATCCTCGTCGCTTGTGGCCAGGCTCATGTCGTCCTCACCTTCGCTCGAGGTAGCCACGTCTGAAGACTCAGAGCCTTCGGGAACCACAGAAACGTCGTCAGTGGGCCCTAGGGGAAACTCCTGGCCATCATCAGATAAAGCTGTATTTGATTTCCCGGCTTGAAAGACAACCCGTGCTTGTAGGTTTTCGTCTGGACTGGAGCCAGACGATTCCGATGAGGCACGCAGAATGCGCAAAGTCTCTTTGTCCCAGCCATCGTTGGCGTACTTTGTGTTGGCCTTCCGCTGCCGGCCAGAACGGCGGGCAGCGGCTTCCATGAGGGAGAAGAAGATGTTTAGTTTGATACAAGTAGTGAGGTGTGAAAAGACCTGATTACTCTTGTAGCTGCATTTCTGGTCGTCAGTCAGCTACCTGGCTCTACCTGCGTGTTGTGACGAGGAAGTGGTTTTGATTCAAGTTGTTGGATGACTTGGATTCGACGACAGACCAATTATCAGCCCATTTTCAATCACTGGGAATGGTTCAAGGCAAACGGCCGGGGACATGATGCCTCATATTTTTTGTGGTGAATCGCACTTGAGTCCCGCTAAGACATACTGCACTTAGAAGCCTTCTTGTGAAGCAACCGTAAGAATTTCCACGATGTCGTGCCTGTAAGGTACATGTATGGAGAGGAACCAAGAGGTACCAGGTACCTTAACTTTGATGGGAGAAAATATCACTTCGGTCTGTCGTTGATATCAATGCCGAGTTCGCCGGATCGCGTGGGCTAAGGATGCATATACCGTTGTCTTTACAACGAACACTCTGCGGCCCTCCGGCCCCGCCACCAACTTGGTCAAACCTCACGAGGTCTGCTTCATGCTCTTTCAGCCCAACACTGCATCATACTACTTTACTGTATAGTACAGATACTATTCTGCCGCTCCTGGTTGGATAAGGCAACAATAGCCCGGGATGAGGTTGCGGAAAATTATTCCTGGCTTTCATGGCGAACTACTACTAATACCTGTACCACGGGCAGTCAACGATGCCCCCAAGATGAGTCTCAACAACGTCCTTGGCCGACGCTTCGACGCGTCATCAGGCCGGAACAACAACACAACTACCACCGTTCTGTGAACGTATATGGCTACAGGAAAAGAAGCTGTTCCCAGATAACACCGGCCCCAAGCCCGTGGCTTGAGGCCACCCGCTGGTCGGTGGTTCGGAGGTAGGAGGCCGGACACAGCCCTCCAATAATGGCTGGCGCAATTGGCTGATGGTTGGACAACGGGCCGAAAGAGCTTGCGTACACCATAATGTTCCTGATCGCGTGGGACCCAGGCCATCCCTTTGATTCATGGGCGGGAAAAGGTAAGCATGACTTGAGCCATGTCGGAATCTTGACTTGCGTTTCCCCGGTCACTTGTTGCTCTTACATATAGATGGGCAGGTGAGCCAAGTGACAAATTCGCGGCTCTCCTCTCGATGCTTTACCTTCTGGTTCTCATCGCCAAAATACAAAAGGTGTGGCCGAGTTGTTGTCTACTTAGATCTGCTGAGCGCCAGCGCTTGAACATTGCTCGACCCCTCGACCCTCTGAGACAGCACAGCATAGGAAAACAGCAATGCCACAGAACAAGCTCTTTCTTCTCTTCGCAAACACCCTTCTAACCAGCGCTGTTAGCGCCCAATTCACTGGGTGGTGGGGAGACTCTGACAACGGTGACGGCTCTGATCCTCCCGGATCCTGGGGCGGCAGCGGTAACAGCAACAATGATGGCGACGGGACTGGCAGCTCCTCGACCGGGCAATTTGGCCAGGACTCGGTATTTGGTTCTTCGACTGCTTTCAATCGAGCCGGGCGAATCCTCATCGGCCATGCTGTCCTAGCCTCTTTAGTCTGGGTCATATTCATTCCGTCGCTTGCGATTCTCCTGAGACTGGACCTCAAGAGCCCGATGGTGCTCAGAATTCATGCTGTAGGTCAGATAGTCAGCTACATCATTTATATCGGCGCTGCCGGCATGGGTATCTGGCTGGCCCAGCAGTCATCAGCTTTTGGTGTCTGGAACGACCCTCACCCGAGACTGGGCCTTGCCATTCTTGCCATGGGCCTCTTCCAACCCGTCTTCGGAGCGATTCACCACAGTATCTACAAAAAGCGCGCCCTCAACGCGCAGGCGGGCAGACAACCCAAGGCGCCAGGTCGGACATGGGTCGGGCGCGTTCATCTGTGGCTAGGTCGTCTTTTGCTGTGCCTAGGTGTGATCAACGGTGGCCTTGGGATCAGACTGGCGTCTCACAGCCCGTTTCAAACTAATAAGACCTCCAACAAGGTCCGCATCGCGTACGGGGTGGTTGCGGGAGTGATAGCTCTCCTCTACCTGATCATTGTGAGCGTCTTTGAGGCCAGGCGGATGCGGCATCAAAACGAGAGGCGGCAGCAGCATGTCGACAAGTCGACTGCTACAACGGACCGCCTCCCTACATATGAACAGAGCGAAGAATCACTGGGCAGTAACCGTCGTTATGGATAGGAAGGGTGTCTTGAACGTGTCGCTATGATCATGATGGTAACAGGACTGGTTATGATCTAATACAATATGGGTTGGGCGTAACCGTTTTCTCAGCAGAGTGATTGGAGGAAAAGTGAATGGCGCGCTCGACGCGTGTCAATCACCAAACCCCCGGAATCAATGCGTAGGGTACATCCCGCTTCATCTTCATCCACTGCTCTCCATATTTGTTAGCCATGTACTCGTCCAGGATGGGGATGGCCCGATTGGCAAAGTCCCATAAAAAGAAAGACATCACAGCAGCACCCCATAGAGGGCCGCCGCAGGCCATGGCATAGCCTCCACGCCACAGGCTGTATCCCAGATACGATGCATGGCGCACAACCGAAAAGATACCGCCACGATAAATCTTCCCCTCGTTTTCTGGCCTGTCTTTGAACCGTTTCCGCTGAATCTCACCCACGGTTTCGGTTAGGACTCCCGTAAAGAACAAAGCCGAGCCGGCGTATACACTCCACGGCTCGAAATACGTCGGATTCTCGCCCGCCAGATCATACGCAAGCGTGTTCAGGGTATTGTTCAAGGTGTTGAAGACGGCGATGATGGCGGCCGCTGCTGGAGAAATGGGTTCGTTGCCCAGGAAAAGAGCCCAGAATATGTGTTTGGCGGCCGACCCGATGGAATACGCCCACACCAAGCTTTGGTACGGGGCCAGGCCTGTGCCAGCAAGAGGGAGGCCGCCTGTGGGCGGTGCTGCCGGCGGAGACAGGCCCAGCAGTCTGGCAAGATGAGGCAGAGGAGAATGAAGCAGTAGCTGTCTCTGTAACAATGGGTCAAGCGCCCGCAGACCTATGAAGATGGCAGTCCCCAGGGGTGCCTTTCCTCTGCTGCCTCTGGCGACGAGATCGTAGCCGTGGCCGTGGCCGGGGCCTTTTGCTGGAGGTGGTTCACCTGGCATTGCCGCACTTGCACCCTTTCAGGAGCCAAATGAAATGATGTAGAGCAAGCTGTTGACTTGGCCTGCGGGGAACTTCAAGTTGAGGAGTTGCAGTGTGTCAGTGCCTTTTAAAGCGGCTGCCTACCTAGGTATATTTCGCTCCATGGGATCCTTATTTCGCACCATTGCCAAGGCCAGTTCTGATATAAGGTTGCTAAGTGCTTAGAGATTACAGGCTTATTACACCTTAAATTACGATATACCTATAGCACTGACTAGCCTACGCCTATAATACCTATAACCACCCCCTCCCTACCCCAATTCTCGCACGCCTACAGCGCCTACAACGCCCGCAACTCCTGCAACCCCCCGTAACGCCTGCAACGCCTGCAACGCCTATAAGCCTGCACCGTCTATAACTGTATACCTATTACTGTGCGCCTACTACCACCTGTTAACCGAAAGCAACTGAAAGGAGTGTAGTGGTAGGCGTGCAGTGGTAGGTGTTATAGATGTTGCAGGCGTTGTAGGCGTTGTAGGAGTTGCGGGGGGTTGCAGGAGTTGCGGGCGTTGTAGGTGCTGTAGGCGTGCGATAATAGGCGTATGGATAATTACAGAGCATGTATCGGGATTACGTGATATACGGCGCTATAAAGGCAAAGCCAAAGTGGCTAGCGTTGTACAAAAAATTACTTGAAGTAGTTTAGCGGTGGTGCGAAATAAGGATGTCGTGGTGCGAAATATAGGCAGCCTTTTAAAGCCGCCACATGCCGCATTTGGGATGGATTACTAATCCTCCATACGTTGCACATTGATTCATACCTACCGGTACCTAGGTACCTACACAAACACAAACTATAAAGTGAAACAATACCTTATGGATGGCGGGATACCATGTAAAGATGGGGTTCGAGGCACTCAGTCTCCAGGACTAGCATTGTGACGGTAGCGAGATCGTCCCTGCAGTGTGTCAGACCTCATCATCCCATTGGGGCTGGAGAGAGATCGAGAAGTTGTAATCCAGCGTGACAATGTCCCCTGTACCTACGTACCTTCCAGTTACTACCTAATAAATAATGATCCAAAGAAAGCTGTCTCTGCTTCCGAGGCTGGCGATTACTGCCGAGGGGCGGAAGGGAGGCGTAAGACTGGCTGTAGCGCGCAGCAGCCTGGACTAATCAGTGCAGGGGACCATCCTCGCAGTCGGACCGGAGATGCAATTCGCGTTGGATGCGGCTTCTCCTCGATAGCCCAGGGTATGCATGCTCTTGGGCGGGAGCCGGACGGATCGAGCTCAACCACACGGAAACATGGTTTATTTTTGTCCCAACGACATAGCGTGCAGCCTGAGTGTTCAAGTTGTTTGATGTTCTGCCGCTGCATAAGGTACAACAGTGGTTGCTGCTGTCGACAGAGGGTCAGAGGCCAGCGGGTTCGCCTTGAAGTTCATGTCCAAGTTTGGATCGAGGTGTTAGCTCCTGTTAAAGACGGTAACTATGAGATACATGTGCATACTCTGCCAGTGCTGGTGCGCGTGTCCAAGTACAACCAAGTACTAGTAGGTATCTACCTGGTATCTGCCAGTGGATTTCAACTGCTTTTCAGCTGTCACAAGCTTGAAATCATGGGGAGACATTCCGGGGGAGGAGCGTCAGACTACTACCTAAGTACCAATTCAAGTTGCAGTGGAAGAAGCAAAATCAGAGCGGTCTTGGCTAGAATTGCTAGCGTGGTGCTATCTGGTTGCCACCCTCGAATGAATACCGGTAGAAGTAACTTAGCCGCCCCGCTAAAAACATACTAGGAAAGGAGTTAGCTGCGTTTGGTGATTGCTACTACGGTAGTAACTTGAATCCCACACGCACCACTGCAGTGCTGCACTGCAGTGGCATTGCGGTGTCCACTCCGAGTCAACCTTCAACTTGCCTCCCGCCCACGACTACAATCGCTGCTACTGCTGACCACCACTCACTGCAGGCTGCTAACTACTCCCACCCAGCTACTAGACTTGAACTCCACACTTTGGCCGCTTTCAACTGTGTCTTCGTTCGCCTTCGACGCCTCGTTAAACCACTTCGTTGACCAGCCAGCAAACGTCTGCCAACTTGTTGGCCGACTCTCTCATTGCTGCTAGGCCGCTTACCTTCTTGGTCGCCCTCTCCATTGCTTGCGGGCGTGGCAGAACCTTGGGAGCGCGACCAGTCAAAAGCCTACCTGAATTCTAGAAGGAATTACGAGACACAACCATTGACTCCCAACGACGTCTTTCTTTCGCCGACTTATCGCGCGCAGACCTCGTGCAGGGCGCACCTTTCGATCTGCCTTCCTCGCATTGCGTGTTCCTTCGCCCACCGGATCCTCACTTCAAAGGCTTGGGAAAGAGATGGCGTGAAGACTTTGGCGGACAAAACACAACACGACCTGCGCTGCAATCTGAAGGGCGCGCATGATGGCGTCGATGCAGGATGAAGATATGTATCTCTTCTCGGGCAACCTGGACCACACATCTACGTATGCCGGTCAAGATTTTGAGAGCTTCTTGGCCTCTCCTGCTCCCGAGGCGGATTCCTCGACGTCGAGCATCGGTTTCCTCAACCCTAGTGATCTCTCGATAAAGAGGGAAGCGGACGCTTTCACCCCGCTTCATGGCAGTGCCGCCTTCGTTCGCTCCTCGCGTGGCTCGGGTTCCGGCTCGAGTTCATCCTCCGCAGATTCTGGCGAAGATCAAAAGGGCAACATATCTGCCGCGTCTACAGCTTCGCCTCCGGCGCATAATGCTTCCATGCACGGGGCGTGGGGAAGTGGCATCAATGGATTCTCCATATCTTCCAATGAACCTCTGTTTGAGCACGCGTCTGTGGTTGCTTTTGACCCCGACTTCGAGGTCAGCAACAAGCAGATGGCGTCTGATTTTGATTTTGAGACCGCTGCAAGTACGCCTAGCGGGTTCGATTTGACCAACCCGAATACCATGAAGAGCGCTTTGATTGCTCAACCGCCCAATCGACAACTGAATATGGCCGCCGCTTATAACAGCCACAATCCTCCACCTACTTATCCACCCAAAGGCCAACCTTCTTTTGTCTTTTCAGGCTCCAGGGAAGTATCTCCGCTCAATGCGATGCTCCCAGCCGCCCAGAGCCAGTCTCCTTGGAGCCGACACTCCCCCTCCTCCGGCTTGGAAGAGACGTTCAACCACATCACCATGAACGGTGACTCTCCGGGCAATGCAACCTTTTCTCCCAATGCACAATTTTCCGCAACAGGCTTTAGCTTCGACCCGGAGTCGAGCACGACGCCTTCCACAATCGCAAAAGACACTTCTTCTCCCCCTTCTACCGTGAATTCCACAGAAGGGGCTCCCGTACTGACCGTACACCCGACGTCTCTGAAATCCCGCGTTGAAACACAGATACCAATCAAGTTGACCCTCTCATTTCTCCCCTCGGGCGCCAAGAAGTTAAGGCTCCCCAAGCATACCATTTCAAAGCCGAAATTCCTTGCAAAACCGGATCCTGAGCGCAGTCCTGAAATATTGGAACTTCATACATCTTTGGTCTGCACGAGTGCCATGCAAGATGCCGTCAAACTCAAGAGAGCCTTGGCTCGTGCAAGAGGGGAAGAGCGTCCTTCCACTGGCCCAAGTTCCACGCCGTCAGCAGAGTCTCCCGGTTCGAAAGAGGAGGACGAGAAACCGCTGAATGGCGGCGAAGTACGCATTTGTTCCGGCTGTATACAACGTGAAAGGAAACGGGCCTCCAGGAAGAAGCAGAAAAAACCAGAGGAGGAAGAGTTGTTCCAGAGAGACGAAGAGAGAAGAGTGGTGGTCTTCAACACCAATGAACTGAAAGACTGGGTTGAAGTCCCTCGTGACAATACTGACTTGCCTACAGCTGCCGACGGCCAGCAAGTTAGTTCACCTCCTGGGCCCGTGCAGGTTGAACTCCCCATGCGTATCGCATGTTACTGTCGCCACCAAAACGAAAAGATGGGCTTCCAAGTGATATTCACTATCAAAGACTACCGAGACAAAGTCCTTGCACAAGCCATGACCAACCCTATTATGATTACCGACGACCATAAAACACATACTGCCCCTCCAGCCGAGCCCAACCCTTCTTCAGCTCTCGGCAATCCGGCCTATCAACTACCTGGTTCCGGAGTATTTCCAACGTCCGGTGCAGGGCAAGGTCATCCGCCTCCAGTCAATGCCAAACTATTCAAGCAGTCCTTTTCCACGACCGACCTGCATGGACTGCAGCATAACTTCAATCCAAGCTTTCCAATGGCTCCGCCAAGCAACCCCTTCGCCATACCATCTGCATTATCCAACCAGAATTCGAAGGCGCTGACGCCGCGAAATCTGTCGAGACCTGCTTCCCCGAGCGGGCCATCCGGTCCAACAACGAAGCGACGGAAGCAAAGCGGATCTGGAAAACTGCCGTCTGGGTTGACAATGACTCGTCTAGATACTTCACAGGTGTCTAATTCAGGGACGGTGCCCAATACTGCGGCATCGTCTCCATACGCACCCAACATGGTATCCTACATGGGACCTAACGATCGTCAGTATCCCGGCCCACCTGCGCGAACTGGTCCCTACGGCACCAGTCCCCCAACACCGAATGGCAATGACCAATCCTTCCCCCAAAATATCAATCGCTCATATAGTCTGGAGCATCTGACCAGACAAGCTGCGCTCTCCGCACCACCGTCCCGTCAACAAAGCAGACCTGGCAGCCCAGGATCGGCGAGAAACAGCTTCGGTGCTACTGACGCAACTTTTGGACAGGCCGTGTCCAACCAACTCATGGGTCAGCCTACACGCCGCCCACCGCCTCTGATTCACAAGCTGGTTCCTGCGGAAGGTTCCGTAACCGGTGGGACTGAAGTTACCCTTCTTGGCAATGGATTTTATCAAGGGCTGGAGGTCATGTTTGGTGACACTGAGGCAACGACAACGACGTTCTGGGGCGAGAAATGTCTGAATTGCATTGCTCCTCCAGCCCTGCAACCAGGTGTAGTGCCTGTGGTCTTCAAACATGACCATCCACAATACTCTACGATGCCACAACAGTCCCAAGCTCGGCCATCCCTTTTCACATATATCGATGATAGAGAATTGGAGATGTTCCGTCTGGCGTTGCGCACGCTGGGCAAGCAGATGCAACACCCGACCGATGATCCGTACTCTGCCGCACAACAGCTGCTGCAAGCTCAGTCACATTCCGCCTGGCCGTCGCATGTCAACTATGGCATCAATTCGGGACATCAGCGCAGCGCTGGTTCTATATCGGGGGTCCCCGTCGATACCTTGGAGCTGGAAACCACCATGATGGATCTCCTCACGCACATGGACGAACTGAAGCGCTTTAAAACTCCAAGATTCGACCTGCGCCGTCCTTCTGGCCTGACGTTGCTTCATTTAGCCTCCTCCCTGGGGCTCACTCGCTTCGTGGCCGGCCTGCTGGCAAGAGGTGCGTCTCCAAATATGATGGACAACAACGGTCATACGCCGATGCATCATGCGGCCATGAACGGGCACACTCATGTCATTCATCGACTTCGCTTAGCCGGTGCCAACCACAAGGCACGCAGTATTCGACAATTCACTCCGGCCGATTTGGCGACCTCCCTGCTTGCATATCAAGCCACACTGACACCTATCGAGCACTATCGATCGCGCAGTGTTGGTGGCACACCGCTGCACCGCCGTAGTCGCAGCTCGTCATCTCTTCGTTCTTTCTGGGAGAACGCCTCGGACCAGTTCCAAGTCACGGACTCGGAAGACTCTATCGAATCGGAAGATGATGACGAGACCCCGACTATGGGCTCGCCCGAAGATGTTGAACATCCAGCAGCTATCAGCCATGGTACTCGCGATGAGGGTGTAGCCGGCGCTTCGCAGTCACGAAGGAACAGTACACAGCTTGCTGTACAAGGGCCAAAGTTGTCACAGACTCGGAAATCTGCCACTTCTCCGGCCATGGCGCCACCAGCATTCATGTTGGCGTGGCGTGGTCAACTGGCCGCACAACTGCAACAGTTCAATGAGAGTGCTCAGTCAGTCATGCCCAACCTTGCCAACTTGAACGGGCCGTTAGCCGCGCTGCAAGACTACCAGGCGTATCCGATGGTGCGCCGTGTTAGCTCACTGTTTCCACATCGCCCCAGCCAAGAGCGGCGGCAGAATATTCCCCGGGAGGGCTGGTGGGAAACGTTGACAGGCAGCTCATCCCCAGCGGCCTCCTCTCCCCCGGCATATGGGGATCTCTACCCGGAAAATGAAGAACAGCCAGGCGATTGGGGTCTGAAGAAGGAATCCGCCCTGCGGGCTGCTACCGATGCAGCTGCAGACCTCCACTTCGATGCACATTCGGACTCTCGAGGTCCTGGCCCGGGTTCGGCGACCGGTAGCCCTGAGATCTTAGCACGGAAGCAGATCGAGAGGGTGGAGCTAAGCCGTGACAGGAAGCTTTTCTTCTTTTGGGTAAGTTCTTCCTTCGCACGATTGTTCAATAAACTGACGCTGTTCAAGATCCCTCTACTGGCTATCGTACTGGCCCTGATGGTCAGGCGCTCTGGCCTGACAAGTTATGTCAGCTTATCGGGCAGTGCCAACCAGCTGTCACCTCCCCCAGAAGTTGTCGAGGTTTCGTAGCGTGACGAGTCTTTGTATAGTGTATGGTGTGTTCTGGCAAGATAACGCAGCGACCTCTACGAGGAATCTATGACTTGTGTTCTATTCATGAGGTGGACGACTAATAGCGCAGCCTAGGGTAATACTGTACTTCAAGATGACGGATCTTGATGCTGCTTGGATAGTCTTGTAATATTCATTTAGGCAAATATTGAGAGGTCCTACAGTCCCACTAACAGGCGTTGACGCCAGATACCTCAACAACAGCCACGTCCTATATCTGCCTGCAGAGACTTGTAGTAGTAGGTAATTAATTACTTCAAGTTGTACTGTACCTGGTACCTTAGTTCTAGTACTGCTAGTAAAACTGGTAAGTTCAGATTGGCTAGGCGTCTACTAGGTAGTTAGTACTATACCACTTCTAGTATATTTAAAGTTTAGCTCGGCTTTCAGTGCAGAGCGACCACTACTACCTACCAGGTAGGTAAGTACTAGTACTGTATGTCGTCGGGATCAACACTGCAAGTAATCAAGATCGAAAAAGCAACCTGACTCGTGGTTGTTTCTTCGGCCCTGCAGTCGCTGTACACCCTGCCTTCTCTTTCGCGTAGGGACCTCATGGCGGAGCGCAGCAGCGGCGACGGCGACGACTCGGAGCTGCAGTACGAGAGCAAGCATGTCCACGAGGTCTACGACCGGATTGCGACGCACTTCTCGTCTACGAGATACAAGGTTTGGATACCTTATGCCAGGGCAGACCATTATTGCGAGTGTGGACAGGTTTGACAAAGCATTCTAGCCGTGGCCGGTGGTGGACGAGTTCCTACGGAATCTGCCCGTGGGCGCCGTTGGGCTGGACGTGGGATGCGGCAACGGGAAATACCTCGTCGTGAACAAGAACGTCTTTATCGTCGCCTCGGACAGGTATGCTGTGGCTATGCACGGAATGGGCAATAATGCATTGAGCATGACTCCACCCCGATTCCAACTCCCGCTCCCGTTTTATTGATGTACTACTGGTAGCAGGTGCTGTACTGACCAGGCTTTCAAGATCGAACGCCCTCGTGGACATTGCGCGGCAACACCAGCCTCACGACGCCATTGTCGCAGATACGCTCAGCCTGCCTCACCCCGCCTTCCGCTTCGATTTCGCCATATCCATCGCGGTAATCCACCACCTCTCCACCGTGGAACGTCGAGTCCAGGCGATTCGGACGATCCTGCATACATTAAGACGGCCCGTGGAAGGCTCGGGTGGGGGTCAAGCATTGATATTTGTGTGGGCGCTCGAGCAGAAAAACAGCCGAAGAGGATGGGATCAAGGCGACCAACAAGATGTCCTTGTGCCATGGGTTCTCAAGCCCGACAAACCCACCGCGCCGGACGCCCCGCCGCAGACATATCAACGGTACTATCATTTGTATCACAAAGGTGAACTGGAAGACAACGCCGTCGCAGCGGGTGCTCGCATACTCAAGTCAGGCTACGATCGAGATAATTGGTGGGTCGTCATTGCTCCGAACGCCTGATAGATATGTCTCCCTTTTTCAGTGTCGCTCGCAACCGCTTGCTGTCATCTGAACAGTAAGCACAGCCCAGCCTCTATCGCAGCCAATTCTTGGAAGCCGCACCACGCTGCACATGTCCAAGACCGAAATGTAAAACAGAAGGGACCCAACGCCAAGAGAAACCCGAAATGATGACGGCTCCCGCCTGCTTGCGCCCCGTATCGGATATGCTTGATTCGAAAACCGACGATACACCCGCCCGTTCCGTCTACCGGTATGGTGGGTGTCGTCCCCGGGCATGATCGTAATGATGATGACGCTGGTGGTAGAAAGGGTCGTGTGGCTGATGGGGCACCGGTGAAAATGCTGGTAATCCGGCAGTGAGCTCTGCTAAGGAGGGCAGCTGCTGTTGACCTGGCAGTGGTGGGTGGTGCGGCATCGGTTCACCAGGGCCGCCATGTCGCATCGGCGGTCTAGGTGGCAGCATGGCTGGTTCGACACCGCTGGCGACATTGGCCAGGGAGAAAGGTGTCACGCCCGCTCGTTTCGCCATCTCATGCTCTCCCATCTGCCAATGCATTGCTTCGACCGCTCTCCAAGGCATGGCCATCTCCTCTGCGATTCTCGCCCACATATCCGCGCGAAATCTGGTCCGAAAGGGTCAGTGAGACGGTCCGTGTTTCTAGGAAGGATGTTGACACCTGTGGGGACACGGTTCACGAGATCTGATCCGGTGCCGACCATCTGGTGTGACGTTTCTCAGCATACCTCTCGTACAACCTTGCAAGCTTATTCTTGCGATCCTCATCCCATTCACTCCGCCTCTCCAGGTAATTCTGATAATGGAGTCGACAGCTGATGGCACTGCGGCCGGGCAAATGCTTGCTGATGTCCTCCCATTTCATTCCATCCTGTCGAAGTTGAATGATCTTGGCGTCCTCTTCGGGGGACCATTTGGATTGCTTTTTGGCCGGTGTTTGAATGGGATGCTCGTGGCTCCTCAAGAGTCTCTTGGCCGGCACCGCCGAACGCGGCCGGGGTGGCAAGGGAGCCACGTTGGCGGCGGTGGTGGGCGGGCCTGACTCTGGTTGGGACACCGAGGAGGGGGACTTGGCTGACTGGCTTTCCTCGTCGGTTGTGGGTTTGAGCAATGCCGAGATATCCACGATGGAAGATGGAGCGACAGCCCTGGTGCAGCAGGATCGGAGGGCAGCGGTTCACTGTCACTGGCGACCAGGATATGCTACCATACACATCAGTGGACACTTTGGTGTATGACCATCGGTAGTGGGCAGACGAGGTCGCAGCAGAAGGCGAAATATATGTTGATGTTCGGGAGCACCGCCTGGTGGACAGAGCAGCTGGTTTGGTTCTACCCAGACAGGGCGGTGCCGGATTGTCCGTTGGATTGTCCCAATTCGAGCACAGACAAATCGTCAACTACCGTGTAGGCAGGTATAGCAGGGCCGGCAGAAGAGATGCTAGATACCAGGCAAAATGAGAGATCCAACCGAGTGTGTTGGTTAAGAAATGTCCAACCGTCTGAGCGTGCAATACTGAAGCCCTCCAAAATGCGGTCTGGGTCTGCGGAAGAGAACGAGACGGGTCACATTCGCGCTTGGTCTCCCAGATGACGGACATGCTATTTGTTTTGGGGACTTGGTGTTTCTTCGCGTGTGTGATCGAGCCTGACACTTCATTAAGAGGCGGCCAGCACAAACAAGCAAACCTTGGGGGAACGAACTTGAACTGGAACGAATGTTAGTACTGTACAGTAACAGTCCGGGACCTCTCTTGACGTCTCCACGTCGTTGCAGCGGCAGCGGCTGCTGGCGTCTGCGCCATCCACTTCCGGCATTCGCCTGGCTGCTGTCTCCTGTGCCCCTGCGAGAACCCAGCGGAGAGGTCGTGCCAGCGTACCACTGTATCTGATATCATCCACCGGCTAGGATATCAGTACTAGTAGTGCAGTGGTTTGAGGTCGCTGGGGCCAAGGGAAGGTGGATATACCCATGCTGGCTCTGTCGTCCCATCGGCGCCAGCGCTAGCTTGCGCGTAAAGGGGAACTGCATTGCTAACCCAGACGACCTTGGACTCCCCTAGGAAGCCCCAGTCAGTATGAAACCGGGGGGTCAAATTTAAGGGAACGGACGGGTTGCATTCCAAGGCAGCTGAAAGACGGGGCACTGGCAAGCAGTAAGCAGTGCGGTGGGCAGAGGGCTTGCAAGTACCTACCAAGTAGTGCCATGGTGTCAGACGGTACTAGTAGAGTCGGCGGTTGATGGCGGCACTGCAAGCAGCGCAATGGGAGACTGTCCCCTACTAGTATTTGGATACTAGTAGGCGAGATATCAAACAACCTGACAGTGACAGCGGAGGGTTTGTTTTGAACTTGATGTGGCATAGCGTTCGCCAGATGCTGTTGTCGTGTTCATTCATGCAGGCTGATGTGCGAGTGGGCGGAAGCTAAAATTCGTCCTGCTGCTCTTCCAGCTTACTACTAGTAACCTTGGAAGGTATACTACTATCACTACCAGGTGCCTCTAGACCTACAGTAGAAGGTGGTAACAGTAGTAGTCGTAGTCGTAGTCGTAGTCGTAGTTGTAGTCGTAGGTAGCGCGACGACTGCCTACCAGGTACAGTACGGCCACTGCCATCATACTGCTTCACGTCCAAGTTCAAGTTCAGGTTGACTCCAGATGCTGCAGTGGTCTCTAGGTACCGTTCCTCCTGCCACGGCCACTGTAAGTGCGTTGTACCGGTGTAGGTCCCGCCCTTGTGCTGCGGTCGCCCGGGTTGTTTTGCAGGTCCAGTATCTGCCGTACTTGCTGTGTGCCTGCGGACATCATTCAGGTTGTTCCCAGCACCACCCTGCTTCAAGTTCCGCCTGCAAACACTGCTCAGCAAAGCATTGAATATCAATGCTCGCCAACTTTCCTCGGTGTTCTTGTTCCGCTCAGCCACCGACCGCCCCTTAGTGTCCCTGGCTTAGCTCCTCCGATCCAGAAACCGTCCAGTCCAGGATCCTCCTAGCCGGCCGCTTCGTGCAGACAGCCGTCACTCCAGTCCCGCCGCTTTCATCAGATCCAACCGCGGACCGCCGGGCCACATTGTGGGTTCCCACTAAGGAACGATTTTTTGGAGAGAAAATGTACATGAACCAGCTTGAAGCCTTGCAAGAAAAACAGCCCATGATAGCATTACTGTTACCCCGGTCAAAGATATTCTCCTTAAGGCACGCTGGATATGCCTGAAACAGGCTTGGAGGTGTCCCGGTGGAACTGCTGGTCAGTCAGATGGATCAGGAACCGTGTACAGTAATATGGCCGGGGAGAGCCAAGGAAACAATGATGGACTGGCAAAGTGTACCTAGGTACTTTTATTGGAAACTTGAAGCTGACAGCTGCACCTCGGCAAATCTAACAACATCCCAGGTATCGTGATGGAGCAGCCCGGCTTGTGGCGCCAGCTACAGTACTTTGTACTTACTCCTACTGGCACTGCCGTGATCAAACGGCAACTGCCTGGGCACTATGCTCATGACACCGTTACTCACGCCGCACAAATGAGATTCGCTATCATGTTCCAGAAGCTACAGCCAGGCCTATTCACGATCGTTTGATTGAGGCTGACAGTGGATCTCACTAGTCATAGGAGGAGCCCCCAAGGCTATCTTGGGGTCAAAAATACCTGACTGGGTGCTGTAAAACGATCGGACGTCGGATACGTCAACCATGTCTCAAGTGCAGATGCAGCCGACCGTCTACAGCAGCAGAGGCCGACAGCGTCGTACACAAAGCCGCAGTCAACCGTCCTCAATTTTCAGTACACCACCAAGGTATCTATGGCACGACAAACAATGTATCCCGGTAGCTGCCCAGCCACGGCATGCTAACAGTTGTCAAAATCACAACTTGGAGGCCATAATGGCGGTGAAAAGCGGTGTACACACCGACAATCCTCAGAATTGTGAAAAACATTGAATTGACTTCAACCTGCAGCCGGGGAGGAGGGACAAAGATTCCGCTCCTGATTCCTTTGGCTATAACAGAAGCCAACTGGCCGCCTTGCTGAACATGCTCACGAACCCCGGGCTGGCTTTGGCAAATAACTGTTTCAAAACGCCCCGCGCCATGCTTGCATCGACGCCCGTCGCTAAGGGTTCAGGGGACTGCTGTCATTGGTAGCCGATCCACAGAGAGGCGCTCCCCACTGACCTGCATCTGGGCTGCACAGACTTCAGCTGGCTTGCGAGATACGGCCAGAGATACTGCCAGCCTTGATCTTCCTGCGGCGCTGTCTGATCACGTGCCTGGCGACTTCGGCATGGAGGATTTCGGCGTGTACAACGTATCCGATGCGGATCATCTAACAGCGAGCGAGTGCCCAGAAAAATGCCGAAGATGCTCGCAAAAATATCTACCCTAGGAACTTCCAAGCGTGCAGGTATGGCGTCTTGTGTTGTTGGCCTCTTTCGTCTGATGTGAAACCACTTTTCAGTGGTTGGCGGCTTTAACTGTTGAGAGACGCTGTTGCATGAGGTTGCCGATGTTCCTTTCCCGGTGCTTTCCTTGAACCCATTTTTCCTGTCACGCCTTCGCCTGGCTGCCATGGCTTCAGACCATTTGCATCGGTCTGACCGGCATCTTCCATTTCAGTATTGTCATGATTAAACCTGATGAAGCACGTGGATCTGCCAGACATGCGGCTGTGGGACGCCTCTGCCTTGACCTTCCATTGCTTCACTTGGCCCGGTCAGATTCAAATCCCTGAGCATCGCTACCTGTGGGTCATGTTCTTCCCACTCGAGACTGTCGATAGAAGTGGCCAGCGGTCGATTGCCCTAATTGTCCAATTTCTACCAGACATGGTGGGCGGCCTCAACAAGAACTCACAGTCAGGTGTTGTTTATTTAGTAGAGCTCCCTTGGCTCCACTTGACTTCTCGGGGCCGTCAGATGGTCCAGACAACAAGATGGCTCACTCACCAAAAGATCCGGAATTCACTTCGTCACGATGATGGATTTTGAACGGCCCTCACGGCCGACCACAGTCTGTCTTCAGGACGTGCGCCTTTCTGATGATCAGCTAACTTGGTTATGGAAACTCGCCCACTACTAGTAGTAGGGATGTGGGCAAGAGACCGCCCACGGAGAGATGATGGCTTTGACCGTGCTTTGCCGAGGAGTCAGACCGTCAAATGATTTGCTATCGACTGCAAGGCTTTGAGCCGAAGAAATCAACTATCATCAGCCCCTACAAGTCTGTCAGGTATAGTTACAAATGGACTGGTCTTCTTGTTCGTGACCTCCAACATAGCCTGCTAAGCACCCACCAAGTACAACCAACTGATTCAGCTCCGGGTACTTTTGCGAGTCATCATGTTGTAGGTGGAGTTGTTGGATCGACACAGAGGATATCTCCATTAGGGAGCTCTTCTTGGAAGCATGACAGTTCTAGGATATGGTACGCTGGCACCCGGTGGACTAACAACATCCTGGCGAAAGTTGTCCTGAGAGCGGCACTTAGGCTGCATATGAAGTCGAGGTAGGGCGATGTGTTTGTGCTGTATCGTGGGGATTCTCAGAGCCATCACTCGCTGCCATTAGACTCCATCTGACCTGGGACACGATCAGGATGGTTGTCGGTAGCTTGCTCGCCGAACTTTTCCTCGACATGTTCGTGCAAGTATGTATCAAACTTTCCGGCCTGCCTTTCTTTGACGGCCTTTCTCGCTTGATTCTGCCAGCCTTTCTCATAGAAACCCTCGCTTACGTCTTGCTTGAACCTGGAAATGGCAGCTCTGACATGCGGGTCATTGAGGACAAAATCCACCGAGATGGGGCAGACAAGAGCCCCGGAATCGTCCAGCTCATACTGGCGATATGGCGGGGGCATGCTGTCGATGATTGCACGCTTTTCAGCTTCGTTGTACCTGTCATGCCAACCAGAGATGCATGTCACCAAGAAGCCGTGGATGTCCTTTTTCAGGACCGGCGAGGCGGAGTTAAGGATTCGGAGGGACGACCAGGGGCCCGTGTTTCGTTTGGTTCTCTTTACTGAGGGCGCCATACTTGCTAATCGTGCGATAGTCTGTACTGCTAGAATGATAAGTCGTAGGGCTGCGACTCTCAGGCTGTGTCTCTCTCGGATCTGTTAGGTCTGCAACCGAGCTTCAGCCCAGGGACGCACATGGAGGCGCGCTAAAGCGGTGGGAGGGCGAAGATCTCTTGCTTTGGTCTGGGAAAATAAGACACGTCTTTGTTTATGCCTATGGCTCGAGACGACATAAAGGTAACAAACAATCAGTAGGAGTAGTAACTAGCATTCAAGTTACAAGTGCAACCGGAGGAGACAACAAGGCTCTTCGGTGATCACAGCACCACACGTGATTGATTCTGCCTGTGCAGCACTGCGGTGGCAGAGGGCGCCGTTGTACGTTGTTGCTGCTGGTAGCAGACTCAATCTATCACCATGTTGGTACATAGGATGTGTATGCTGGTACACTACAGCTCCAGTCAGATGCAGTATAAAGAACCAACAGCAGCTTTCAAGTTTGAGGTTCCGCCGTTTTAATAAGTTGGGAACTTGGAAGATGCCTCGGCACAAATAAGGCACTGCAAGGCAAGCCACAGCTGCCGCAGGCTACGTTGTCCACCGTGACTTGCACTTGCACTGGCTGTGGCTGTGGCTCGTGCTGTGGCTCTCTCTATCCCTTCTGCTCATCCACTGCTCGTTCAGTTCATCTCTGTTCACTGTGCCTTTGACCGCGATGGTTTGATGGTTGTTATAGTGCTCCAAACCTATCCCAGCACTGCCCTCTATAGCAGGCTAACAGCATCAGGAAAGAGATATTGCCCCTAGGTGCGACGCGACTGTCGTGCCTCCTTTGTGATGGCCTCATCGGGCCTGCGCCGGACAGTTCACGCGACCATGAGTGGTCTCTCTACTGTGTCTGCCGATCTGGCCAGAGCAGCCATCAACCTCCCATCATCGTATTCTGACTATGTCGCGTCCAACACTTCCTCAGTCTCGAGTGTCGAAACGAGCCTGCGGTCCCTGACCTACCTTCTCCCTGGCACAAAGTACCATGACTCTGAACTGGCGTCTGAAGCAGTGCATACTTCTGTGCAGTTGTTGTCCATCTACCACGACCACCTACTGAGGAATCGCGCCGCCCTTGCCGCCTTGTCGCCCACTGCTATCAAGGCAGGCAATGGAAAAGGCCAGAGGCCAAAACTCTCGCTGCATGCACGGTATACAATGTTCTGGTCATCGACTTTTCCACTATACACCAAGATTGCGACATTATTGAAGATCGCACAGTATACCGAATTGCTTTGGGAAATGATTGCACGGCGCAGGGGCGGGGAAAGAACGAGATGGCGGGTAGTGGTCCTGCTCGAGACCTTCAAGGCTGTTTGTCGACTCTTATTGATGCGCCTCACCGGTTCACGACCGCTCGTCAGCCCACCAATGCCATTGAGAGAGGACTTTGCACCAGTGGGCTCGGAAGACGAGGAGGAAATGTCAGAAGAAGAGCTCAAGGTGACCCAAGATGGAGATTCATTCGATGTCAAAGGTGTCTTGGGCAATGCCGGCGTTCTGACGCCACCGCTGTCGGACGCTGGCAAGCCCACTTCTTCCTTGTCCACTACCGAGCCCTACACCATGCCGCGTACAGGCTTCACTCTCCCAAGCTTGCCAACACCAGACGCCGTGTCGTCGTATCTGCTCCGACATGTCCTCACGGCTGATGATGTCAAACCAGCCAAGGAGCTGCTCCATAAACTGGCCACCCTCCGGGGTCAGGCTGCCGAAGTCATGTACATTCTTCGACCTGTTGTGTATGCACTGTTGATGCAGAGGGTGGCTCGCACCTACGGATATGAAGGGTCAAAGTGGAAGCGGCAGTGGACACCGTGGTTGATGGGCATCACCATTGAGTACCTGGCACGACAACTTGCCAAGCAGGACCTGGTGTCACGCGTGCCGGGAGGCTCCAGGACTGGACTGTCGGCCCTGGAACGAGAGGAACTTCGGAAAAGGGGATGGCAACTCGCTTGGTGGGGCATGCGAGGTGCCTTTTATGAGAATATCACCAAGAAGTGGGTGCACGGGGTAGCCGCCGCGTTGAAAGGCAAGCCCATTCTTGACTTGGTCGCCGGTGTCGTTGACGAGTACGAGTTCCTCTGGAGCAATTACTACTTCAGCACGTCGACATTGTGATGGATCGAGTCTGTTGGCCATGCTGGTTTAATCGTCCGCCCAGTGGCGCTTCGGAGCTGATCTCCAGCGTGTGGCATTGCCTTGCAGCTGGACCTGTATGTAATGTGGTTGTTGAAATGGAGTTGCAGTACTCGGCAGATGAAACCGGACCATGTCGGTACCCTGTTCGAAAATGCCTTGGGGGTGCGGGTGTTTGGAGCAAACATTACCAGACTGGACCGGTCTAGGTTGAGATTCAATCACGACTTGACGATTCTTCTTCGGCAGGACGAGTTTTCTCATCGCTTGTGATCAATATGCATCAAAGCAACAGGGATGCTCCATGGAAGAAGGTCGCGTGAACAGGGAGACAAGATTGCTTGCACACTATCGCGGCTGGGTAATGGCGCTGGCTGGTTTCCTGCTGTGGGCGGCCGCCTGGCGACTGTTGGCCTGCGACTGTTGGCCTGCGACCACGTTGCCGGACGGTGTGCGCGACCTCGCCACGTTGGCCATTCCAGGATTGCTCTCTGGCCACATGTTTAGTATGTGACTTTCGATTCATGCCTGAACTCCGCAGCCGCTCGACTTCTTCGCCGACTGTGCTTTTGATCTCGAGGAGTTGTAGAAATCAACAATCAACTCTACATCAACACCACCAGAGTCCGACTACCATGGCCTCCCGTTTCACTACTCCCAAGGGAGACGATGATGCCTTCAGCCGGTTTTTGACTTCCCTCGACCTCTTGCACTGTGACGAGCACCTTACTGGCCTCGAAAATGCAGTCGCTAGAGCAGAACACGAGCTCAACATTTGGGCCCGTCAGTTGAGTTCCTCCGCCGCCGAAAACACTACGATTGCCGCAGCTGGCGCGCACGAGCGTCAGTTGTCCAACTCACACGTACGCCGTAAGCACGCTGCGACCGGTCCCGCCCAAACCGAAGGAGGCCTCATTGCCGAGCCAAACGTTGTCAACCGTCTGAGAGCTTTTTTGGACAGCGTCTCCAACATGGTTGCAGTCTCACGGGAGCTGTACCGGCTCTGGCAGTCCATCTGGAAGATCTACGAGGAAATCAATCGGCCTGGACCCAGCAAATCCGCAAAGATGTACAAAGCCCTGTTCAACGGCCAGTACAGAGATTGGCTATTGGGACGATTGAGTGAGATCGAAGGACGATATGAACGTGCACGCGAAGAGTTCCAAGCGCAGTTGGAGGCATGCAGAGACCTCCTCTGAGGCGGATGTTTGGACAGAACAAGGGACAGCTCCGGAGCACGGCTACATGTCCTTCGTTTTTTCGAGTCATGTTTCTGAAAGACGCACAATCATACGGGAAAGAGGGCTGTTATTCAGCGTCTAGACTTGCAGGGTCTGGTTCAACGACGATCATCTTGCAAACAAAGCCTTGAGGGTGGTGTCATCGTGGCACGAGTACCACTGGGACGGAGGAATGGCGCGGATAGCAGGCTGACTCGATACCGATTCCTCATTACCCACCAAGGTCTCGCAAATGCATGATGATAGTTTCCGTGGCCTCGATTGTTCTATGCTTCGTTTCTTCTGTAGCAGTAGTCAGTCATTGCCAAATTCGTCATTGCTCTCCTTTAGTTTGTACGTCGTCCTCGTTCCAGTAACTGGCTTCGTCCTGCGCCCAATACGTCCATCTGTCTCCTCCTGCCAGCTACTGTACATAGTAAAAGATCGAAAACCGCCTACGTGCACTCACAACTAGGGGCTTCTATCACTAGTACTCGAGTGGGGACAACCGACTTTACCATAAATGCAGGTCAATGGATACTGTACAACATCGCCGGCAATGTTGGTGGAGCTCTACCTTAGACACGGGCTTCAAGTTGTCCTCCTGCTTGACCTCTTGGGCGACTGGGCTACTACGGGAAGACATCGCCTGTGCAATATGTCCGAGCTGTTACTGGCGGCAGATCCACAGAGAAGGCAGAGAAAAAGAAAAGCATGAATCATCAAACAGGGGAATGAATGTCGAAGCGCAAATCTTTTGTTTTATGGCTTTAGACAGGCCTGTTTGCGAGGGTGGCCCTTTCGCCTGCACCCACATCAGTGCAGAGGCATGTTTGAGCAACATCAGCAAGACGCGTTCGCTTGGCTGGTGTCTGAAAAGCCAGGCGCCGGGTACATTGTACCACGCGCACTAAATAAATGAACTTTTATGCCACCAGCCTAGCAGCCATCATGCCCGCCGTGGTGCTGTGCTCCGTATTCTCCGCCACTCAGCGACTTCTGCGACAAAACCATGAATGCACCCGTCCCGTGTCGATATTGTGAAGAGGTCTGGCACTGCTTGCGTGGACCATTAAGCAGACGCTGCTTTGTTGTTCACGTATCGTTGGGCCAAAGCACTCATATTGCTTGCCCCTTCAGCAACCAGAAATCCTCCAGAACCGCGGCATCTGTTATTCTGGTGGCATCATGATTCGTACAGTAACTGTTGGACGAGTGGTGACGCAAGCAAGGGCATTGCGAACTAAACGTGAACGCGTCGGAATTCAACCACCCCGTGGTGCATCCTCTAGTTTGGGCATGCAGACTGCAAATGTCCCGGTTGCTTGCCTGGGGAGGGTTGTCAGAATCGCTCAAAAGAGGCAATGGACCGCGCTTACATTTGTAGCAGATGCGCTCAGAGCTCGCCTCAGAAGGGCAGTCTCTCGAAAGATGGCCTTGTTCACCACAGTTCTATCTTGACGTCAGCGAGTGAATGTCATATTGGAGCATGGAGACGTACGTAGCATTTTTGAGCTCGACCTTGGGTGCAGTCGCTAGAAGACAATTAGTGAGACAAGCGAGGAAGATTCATGATTTGTTGATGAAATACCGTGACATATGACCAACCCCGCCGCACGACTATAATGCGAGATAGGTCAGTAAGCAGTCGTTGACGAAATCAAAGCGGCGGCAAAGGACACTCACATAGCAGGTCTGACCCCCGCCGCCACGGCTGTAGCCTCCGCCATACCCGCCTTGACCGCCAGAGGTGCAATCACTAAACAAGTCAGAAAGGTCTCGTCACTCTGGGGTGAAGTCTGGCCAACTCACCGTGCGATGTGACCTTGCCCGCCGCATCGATAGCATTCTCGAGCAGAACCCCCGCCGTAAGCGTTGCCGCCTACATTGCCCCAACCGCCACCGGCGCCACCAGCAGGAGCGGCCTGGCAGTCACGAGCAAGATGTCCCTCATTGCCGCCTGTTTTCAATCAACACACGTTTAGACTTCAGTTCGCCACGGGGTACACACATTTGTAGCAAGACTTGGGCTTCGGCGCAGCGGTGCATTCTCGGCTGACGTGGCCTTCGGCTATAGGGACGGTGAGCGACAAGATAGGTCAGAGAATTTGGCCAACATACCTCCGCAGTTGTAGCTATGGACAGGTCAGCAGACTGAAGAAGATTGGACGCAGAATGACACTCACCAGGTCGGCGTGCCTTTCTTAGGGCAATCGCGAGCCTGAAGTAAAGTAAGAGGGAGTAAAAGCAAGATCAACAGCGGTCGCAAGCACCTGGTGAGACGAGTCGCCACAGTTATAACAGCCGCGTTCCATCGTGTTGAGGGTTCGAGTTGTCTGGTCGATTGAGACTGGTACTATACTGGCCAATTAGCACTGTTGGTTGGGCAGGAGAGGAGACGAGCGAGCGTGCCAAAGAAGGAGACGTACGAGAAAGAGGATTGCAAATGGAGAGAATACTCAATTCGGGTATTTTCTGAGAAAGGGAGGGTGTGAATGTGAGTGTGAAAGTGAAATCAATCGAAGTTGAAGTTGAATTTGGGGCAGAGGCAAAAGGCAAAGAAGGGTCTGCTCTGCGGTCGAGAATAATAAAGTGCAGGTTTAGAGGCCCACCGTAAATAATGGTCGTTTAAAAGTTCCACTGCGACTAGAAAATGTCCGATGACAGAAAAAGCGGAGAGCCACTCAGGGCCAGATTCAGACCAAATAAAACAGCCCCTTCGACGATGATAGTACTACAGGTTCCGGCTCGTCAGGCTGGCCTTGATTGAACTTTTACCAGCAAGCAGCTGTCCATGATTCGAGCACTGGCAAGTCTCTATGCACAATACAGACGGTGCCCTTGGATTGATTAGTTCTCATGTCTTTGCTCTCGCGCCTGGCGAGTTCTATATTTCTACGTAAAGTCGTACAGTGCCATCACTTGCTTCTGGTCTCGTTCACCCAGCACCACTACTTGTTCATCATCAAAGCCTACCCAGCGCCGTGTCAGGTCGAGCTCCTTTTTCATGTCCTGAACCGCCATGCGCAGCCCTGAGCCACGCCGTGCCAGAGCAGCGGCTGCACTGGAGAGCCGGTGGACGGCCTTGATTTCTGTGCTGGTCCGGGGTGGACTGTTGGTTGTCATGACGGCCTCCAGCTCCCACACTCGCATCTCGTCTCCTCGGCAGCTGATGGACACCGCCTTGCCTCGATTGTTGACTTCCGCCCCCGACACCGCAGATGTGTGGCCCCAGAGGCGTCGGCCGGCGCTGATCTCCAGCTTCTCTTCATTGGACGTCACCAAAAACGACATGATGGTGTTATCTGCAAGCGTGCCCACGAGAAAGGGATGCTCATAGGAAAGTGAGGTGGGTGCACTCATGAGCTGAGGATGGAGAGCAAAGGGCAATGAGCTGGCAGACCGCGTGGATAGCCCCCATTTGTCCCTGCCCTGGTATCTCGCCTCAAAGGGAGTGTCGATTGAAGAGGCCAACCTGCTGCCCAGCAGAGTCCCATCGGGAGTTAACTTTATTTCCTGTAGGGCCAGGCACCAGCCAGACTGGAGTCGGTTGAAGGCATACGCGACGGTTGCTGTCACGTTGCCTGGGGTTCTCCGAAGTGAGAGAGAAACCGGAGAGAAGGAGGCATCAGATTGGAGTCGAGCAATGGGCGCAACAGGACAACGAGGGTCTGCCGCGGACCTTATTATCGTCGTGTCGTACAGTGCGAGAAACTTCGTCTTGGAAACGGTCATGATGTAGGGCATCGCAAGTGCCACTGCCATGAGAGGTCCGTCACTTGAGTACTGGCTGACTTGACGATCAAAGCGTCCATCATCTGTGTACAGATACATCGTGAAGGAGCCGTCCGCAAAACCTAAGAGAATGTGAAGCTTGCCCGCGCAGGTCTCTACCGCCATGCACGTAGCCTCTGCCGAAGCTCCTAACTGGATCTGACCCTTCAAGGTGTTTTCCCCAGACCAGACTCGCAGTCCAGCCGACCGATCAACCGTGAATATCATGCCACTGTGTACTTTTGCAATCACCGGTGGCGAGGGAGGCTGCGCGACCTCGACCTCGCAGAGCCTCGCGGTGCCAGAAGCCCAGTTGGTCCGGATTTTGAATTGACGCTTCCAGTCGACCACCGGGGCGTCACGCAACTTGTAGCCATGCTGTAGCCACTTTACAGCCTTTGCCCGTTGTTTTATGTCATCCTTTCTCCCTGTTTCTGGTGCACGGCGGGCGCGAGCCCTGATCCAAGCATCGTAATATTTCGCTTTCCAGAGTTCGTGGTCGGTGGCAAGTGAGCGGAACCGGCGCGAGACACTGCAAAGGCGTCAGTTGAGTCATCTGTGGTGTAGGATAGGTCGGATACCATTCAAGTTTTAACAAATCCTGGACAGTCAGAAAGGAGAGCACCCGGATCAGTATCTCGTCGCTAATGTCCAGCAAACTGCGACGAGGACCGGTGCGTGATCTCTTGAAAGTGGGTTGGACTTCGTCGTTGTCGTTCCTGCGCCGCTTGGGCATCTTCCGTCCTGCGTTTCAATATCGGCCAGCGGCAGAAACGACGACGCTTTGCGCGAGTGAAGACAGGATCTAGATGAGATGGTGATGGCGAGGAGGTGGAAGATGGTGGTCCTACTAGGAGAACGGAGCAAGCCTTATCGGCGTAGCCTTATCGATAGGGTACTAGTACAGCCTTGTACTAGTAGCTCAGCCTTACCGACACTGCAGCCGATGTTATGCCGGCCAACGCGTCCTCCGAGTCCACCAATGGCACCTTGATCAACTTGGACCGCGACGCGAGTTGCCCGCTGTCGGCTTCACATACTACGGTATAGTATTGGTTACTACAACCAGTATCATTACCATCACTACCTGGTCCATGGCAGTAGGGCCTCAGTAAACTATCGGGAAATGAGCATACCACAATCGCTCACGGCCACATTGATCCAGGCCCTTTCTCAGAGCGAAGAGCTTCAACGTCGCGTCCAGGAGAGCAACGAAGCGCTTGAGCGCCTTAAGCAAGAGAACCAACGCCTAAAGCGCGAAGTGGAAGACTTGCATCAGGCGCGTTCGAACAGGGATGCGCCCGCACCATCTCAGTTGGAGCAGTTGTTCACTCAGAATGCAGAAAAGCAAGCCGAAATCGACCATCTAAAGTCGAAGCTCCGCCTGGTCCAGGCCAAGGAGAGAAAATGGCGACTACAGAACCCCCAGATCTCATCACCGATGGTCTCCTCGGACGATGTCGAGGCCACGACGCCTGCTTCGGTGTCTCGGAAGCGGCCTCGTAGCAAGACCCCCGACGCACAACGGCCATTACGGGAAATCTCAGCAAATGCTCGGCCAGCCAAAAGTGGCCCACCGCCTAAGAGGCTCAGCGATGCTAGTAGGGTCGCAATAGCCATCCCAGCTTTCACGGAGGATGGTGAAGACCATAACCGAAGCAGTCCTGATCCAGTCATGGAGGACGACGCCGAAGGAGATCGGGACGGCTCGGCCTCCCGCCGGTTGCAGGATTTGCTCTCTGGCCCTCCTCCCGCCACTCCACTCCTTCCACGCCCTGTAACCGGACATGCAACTCCCGCTCGCACACCGTTGAATGTACGGGACCAAAACAACTCTCGACGAGCTACATCGGCGAGCAGAAGCCCGGTGAAGGGGCATTCAATGTTACCGCCGAAGCCACCGCCACCACCATCAGAAGACGAGGAGCCCTTCCGCTCCAGGCCTGTCCACCGTCTGAATCTGACGCATTTCAAGACTAATCCGGCCTATACTGGAGACCAAGACCGTGCCTACGACGATGTCGTTCGTGGCCGTGGGCAATGTTGTGGTAATAACTTGCCAGTCTTGGCCGCAACTGTTTCTCCAGACAAAGATGTATCAGAAGACGACCTGCTGGCGGAATTTTTCGGGCCTGGCGCCGACGCCAAGATACGAAACTTGACTCGATTGGAAAAGGACAAGCTCTTATTGGAAGCACGGACGAAGCGACACGCCGATAAGTGTGGGCAAATGACCACGACAACCGTCGACCGTCCGCAGAGTCCCCCTGGGTACTGGAACACAGACATGCCTGGAACGCAGGAGGACAATGAGAATCGCGAAAAGACCAGAATGAGGGAAAGGGAGGAAGTGGAAAGAAGATATCAGCAGGCCATGCGGGGCGATGGCCGTTGGCTATTTGCAGATGAGTGATGAGTAGACTATTTACAGTGTTGGTAAGGCAAGTCAATTTGATTAAATGGCAGATCGATACCTAGGTATCAGATGCTGGTGAACTGGAATCTCCGCCCAATACTAGTAGGACCAAGATCGGAGTCCTGCAACTGCTCCATTTCTCTAGTACGTCGCAGGTCCGGATCTCTCAAGTGTTCTGGTGCCGGTGTTCCATCTGCCCCTTTCCCCTTTTACGGTATGGACGACCGGTCTCTACAACTCGTGTGACAGAAGCCCTAACCATCGTAGCATAGAACGCGCCACCACATGAGGCCGCCGTACAGGTTCCACGCCTCCTGGCGGTGCAACCCTGCACACTGCAATCATGCCACCACAACTTGAATGACACCCGTGGCATCGGCGGCTAATGCTGTCGTGGCATCCTCGACATCGCACAACGACCGACACTGACATCACGTCGATATATATCGTCTCCCGTGCTACTAATATGCGCACAGTGCTTTGACGCCTCAGAGGGTTTTTAAAGCAACTTTTCTTCTTGTGGTCAATTAATATTACATCTACTTGTTCATGCCCGGCTAGCTACTTCCACTGCTGCGATAAGACGTGCTGGGATACCATGTCGCATCGTGATCTCAGGTTCCCTCTCCAGCAATTTTGTGCCGCATGACCCGACCGTACAACGCCACTTTTTGCCCCCGGCCGGCCGCCACCGCGTGCCCTGCTCCTCAGAAGCTCCATAAGTAGCCTTCGAAATACAGTTGCAATGTCGAGAGAGCAATTGCACGCCGAGGGGAGTAACTCAATAATCTCAGCCGGAGGTTACATTTGAATGAGGTACACATATGTACACAAAGGTTCGGACAAGTGGAATCCTTGCCAGTTGCATCAAGTCAAGAGTCAAAGATTGGTGCGAAGATTGGGACTCCGCGGGATTCAAGAGCATACACCACGTTTCTCGTGACCCTGGGGTTGGAAATGATAAACACAGCCTCTGCGCCGGACGAGACATACATCTCGTAGGTCAGCCTGACGAGGTTAGGTCGCCCGGCAGCAGTGGTGTTGATGATGATGGCTTCAGGATCGGCACGACGGACATGCTCAATCACTGAGGTCGAATACGTGACCTCAGGGTCTGGAGTCGACCATAATATGCGACAGGATACATCTCCCTTGCACAAGAGCGACAATATAGGGCCTATACCGGAGCCTGTGGCAACCAGGACCATCCTCTTAAAGATGGGAGCCACATGGAGGACACCCATGGCAGGTATTCCTCGGACCCACAGCTTAGTTGGCGGGGATTTGATAAGTCGTGAAGTCCAGTCGCCAGCTTTTGAGACAAGCACAGAAAACCCCTGGCCATCTTCTTCTGGAATGCCTGCAAATGCATGCCATTCCACGAGTGGGCTGTCCGAGATTCGAGGGGCGGCACAGAGAGGAAGGTTGGTATGTGTGAAGTGGAGACGAACTGCATGGTCAGATAGAGGTTCTGCATGGACTGGGACCTTTCTGAGCCAAACCCAAGGGAGAGCAAGGGAAACCGTGGTCACGACCAGAGTCCAGAATACAGGACTGTATGCAATAGCCTCTTGGAGGCTAACATTGGCCGCTGGGTCGTGGCCCCGTTCATCAGCAAGCAGCCCGAACTGGATCCAGAACAGAGCGACGGCCGTCCATCCTCCGAAGCGATGCACCATCTCGAACATGTTGTGCATCCTTGTGCGAACAGCAGGGTGAGCGGTGACAATGATGGAAAGCAGCAAGATGTCAAGGATGACAGTGATGACTGGAATGACAGTCTGATGCGTGTGGACTGCCCTGTCACGTAAAACCCGGACAATGGCAATGTTGAAGAAAGCAAACCAAAGGACTGCCGACATCCCTGCACCGCTGTGAACGCCACCAAGGTGATATATCTTGGCAGCCATCCGACGAATAGATAAAGGGAGCCATTTGGGACATTTACCGAACGTCCAAAAGAGTGCGTTGATGACCATCTCCTGTCGAATCAGAACCGCGACAGTCAAGTTGATCGACACAGCTGTAGCCGCAGACTCGGGTGACATGGAAATGAGTTCATGCCGAACAGCGAGTACAATCATGGCAATGACATTGGCAGCTAAGACCATCAAGTTGAGGCGGCGGTAGACAGAAAGGATCGTCCAACGCAGATTCCTTAGTACGCGGTTGTACTTCTTGTCTTCCATTGCTATCTCGGGGATCGGATGTTTCTCGAGCACAAGAGATGAGGCACTTCTGGCCGAGGACGCATCAGCTTGTACTTGCTTGCCTCTTGCTGAATCTGGGTCCGCAGGGCCCGGGAAGGCATTCTCTCGCTCTGTGCTCTCAGAGAAGCGAGGATGGCATCCAAGATCACCGGGTAAAGTATGCTTGAGAACATTGGCTGTGGAATTGACTGCTGGTTCTGGATTGTATGGCACAGCGGTAGGCTCAGCGGTGATGCAACGGGCTCCAGAGCCGAGAGGCAACGTAGTCAGCGACATGCTGGGCTTACTGTTCCAGTTGGTTTGGTCAGTATTGGATTGACCACACGAGGCTAGTTGTTTGATATTAGGAAAAAGTGAAGTTTTGTTGAGCCAGCTGAGCCATGGACATTGTTTACCCGTGGCGCAAAGCTGAAGGGAGCATTGACCAAGGGCATGTGGTCTGAGCAGAGTGAGCAGGAGGCGCCACTTACAGATGACAGTTCTTCCCTCAACTGAAAGAGAATTAACTGCCTGGTGTCAAAGGCGCTGTCCGCCAAGTGTAACTTTGCTCGTGTCCTCCAGGAACTGAGAGTGCGCAGCAAGGAATTTTGGTTTATTCTCGGTCGACGGCGAGGGGAGGTCAACGCGGACAGGAACTCGAGGACAGAATAGCGATCGATGGAGGATATTACATAGGAGATGCCGAATGGAGAAGAGGGGTCGGAGGCAACGAGAAGAGGTAGTCGTGGTGACCGGAAGAGGAGGCGAAGAAAATGCAGCAAAGGCAGCTGAGGGTGACTCGAAAACGTGGGCAATGAGAAATCATGCAGCCGAAGCCGAAGGATGACAGAAAATGAGCCAGCAGCACTGGCAACTGATTCGAAGGCAAGCGAAATACCGCAGCTGCAGCGAGTGTGCGAAAGAAGGCGGGAGACACAAAGACAGTGAAGGTGTGAGAACTCGAGTTAATGATGGGATGAGGTGTTGCCGGTGTAGGAAGAGTAGGGCAGTCGTAGTGGTCGTCACTCGACCATTTGAGGAACTTCAAGTTGAACGTGCACTGCACTGGTAGGTAGTGAATGGCACCGTACCAGGTGCCAGTGCAGTGGGAGTAGCAGGCAAGAAGAAATGATATAGTACTAGTACCGTGGACCTCATTGCAGGTAACTGCGCTTTCCACCCTGCTCCTCCCCTCTTCTATATCTGTCCATGCAGTGAATCGATACTCTTGAATGGCTGAATGCGGTCAATCAGAACCTCATATGATATGCGGACGCGAGCATCATCATATTGTCATGAGCGGCAGGCCCGCTTCGCACAGTCCATCCTGGCCTCTGCCAGCGGTGGCCAATTGATTGGGAGCCACAGCTGAGGTGCTTGAGACCCAGAGGTATACCTATCCTCATTCTGATCTTGCTGGAGTATCATATTCTGGCCGGGATGGCCGACTTGACTAATGTTAGCCGCTGTCAGAACAACAGGTTCCAGCCGCCCGCAGCCTCAACTCGAAGCCGATTGCAGTGAACGGGGCCGACATCGAATTCGAAATCGAGCAAGAACCGCAGCAGGAATAGCAGGGAGCAGTCTCCGCTCGAGTCGAGATTCGCCATCAAGCTGCCCGCTCGCATTGTCTCAGCTCGCCCTCAGGCTGCCTTACCTCGTACTATCTACCACCCCCAGGAGTTGTAAGGCTCTGCTTCTCTGCCTGCACCCGCAGCCTGAAGTTGAACCACGGCCGAGGCCAGTTTCAGTAATAGTAGTAGTAGTATGCTGCCAGTGACATTCAGGTTGCTGCACTGCAGTGCATGGCGCGCAGGGCAGTTGAGTGGTGGCTACCTACCATTTCCAACTGGGACCACTGGCACTGCACCGCCAGCACTAGTGAGGCAGTCTGTTTGCACACCTGGGCAGCTGACATGGCAGCAGTAGAGTCTAGTACTGACTCTCATTGTAGTCATGTTCCAGTTCTTCACCACCACCACATCCTTACTGCTTCAGTCAACAACTGAGGGACATACCTTGCTCACTCCAATAGCTCAGTCTTTACCCGTACTGCCTCATAGCCTTCGCTGATTTCACCCACCTGCTACTGTGGCTTTCTTTCTTCCCACATCCATCCGACCCGTCTCCTCTCACAAATACCTACACTTGATCCGTGGTTCCTTAGCATCCGGCCTCACAAAGGCGTGTTCCCTGCATTCTCTGTCTTACCTGACCTGCAGCCGCCCACCTGTCCAGCCATACACTTCTGGCAGCTGTCTCGAAGGAGCCCAGGTTACACAATGTCTTTGCCCACGTCGTCGGCTCCCCCTCATGCAGTCTGGAAGCCGAGCAAGTCGACGCCGATTCCGATCACAGATATCCTGACTTTTGCATTCGCTAATCTTGGTCGATATGACAATGACCAGCCGGTAAGCTGCGTGAACTTGTCACGGTCGGATAGAAGCTGACTAAGTTGCCATATTGCAGATTTTCATCGATGCAACAGACCCGTCAAGATCCATCTCAGCCCTGCGAGCACTGCATGTCGTTCGTCGTCTGATCAAAGGCCTGAAAGAGCTGGGGTTGAAAGAGGGGGATTGTGTGTGCCTACATGCATTCAACAACGTGAGTACACCTCTGGTGCGAGTCGTTCGGACAGGGCTGCCGCTAGCTCCCAAGTTCCACAAGCTATTGTGTAACCCGGCTAACCTGGGCCATCTGGGGCCATCTGATAGATCTGGTACCCGTTGATTTGGTTAGGGATAATCGGGACCGGCGCTTGCGTTTCTGGAACCAATCCTGCCTACAATGCTTCCGAGCTTGTCCGGCATTTCCAACTCACCAAGCCAAAGTTAATTTTTGTCCAAGGCAGCTGTGTCCATCCAATCATGCAAGCTGCTTCGGAATGCGGTGTGCCTCAATGCAATATCTTCGTCGTTGGCCTGCCGGAGGGGGCACCTTTGCAGGAAATTCGGGACTGGCAGACACTGCTGCTAAACGGAGAAAGCGATTGGCATGGGTCCTTCGATGATGCTCAAGCTGATCAAGACCGGATCGCGGTATATTCCATGACCAGTGGGACAACTGGCCTCCCAAAGGCTGCTATGGTTCCACATCGTTCAATTGTAGCACAAAGTGCATTGTTGGAGTGTCAATTCAACGCCAGGCCTTACCAGGTACATCACCTGTCCATGGACCCCACTGTCGGACGGATTAGAGCTGACACACTTGATAGCCTTCACAGCTTATTTGTCTCCCTGTCTTCCACGCATTCACATCGCCCCTGGCCATGATCCTACCTCTCCGTCTGGGGATCCCGACCTACTTTCTGCCGAGGTTCGTGCTCCAGGATTTCCTGCATGCGGTGCACAATCACCACATCACGGACGTGCCGCTCGTTCCTCCGATCGTTGCCTCGCTGAACCAGCTGCCTGTGGCGGCCCATTCTCTCCTTGAGAGCCTCCGTTACATCATCTGCGCTGGTGCGCAGATGACAGTCAATGTCCAGACCAAGCTATATGACGTCCTAGCACCAAATGCCGTCGTCGCCCAATGCTGGGGTACAACTGAGGCAGGTTGGCACACGTTGTTCGGCTGGAACGAAAAGGACACCTCCGGAAGTGTTGGACGGCTTCTACCCAATGTCGAGCTGAAGCTGGTGGATGACAACGGTACTGTGGTTTCCCAGGATGGGAAGCTTGCAGAAGCCCTGGTCAAGTCGCCCGTGTTGTTTACCGGGTATCTTGACAATCCTGACGAGACCCGGGCAGCATTCGACTCGGAAGGGTACTATCGCACCGGCGACCGTGTCTTTGTTGTCGACAATAAAGTGTTTTATGAAGGCCGAATCAAAGAGGTGATGAAAGTCAACGGTTGGCAGGTTTCACCCACAGAACTTGAGACGGTCTTACTGGAACACCCCATGATCCTCGACGTGGCTATCGTTGGCATCACTGAAACAGATCAAGCAGGGCTTCCAGTCACACGACCACGTGCGTACATCGTCCGGAGCCCCGTCAGAATGGCTGAAGATGATGACGAACGGAAGCCGCTGACAGTCGAAACGGTTCAGGAATTTGTGGCCGGCAGGTTGATCTCATACAAAAGACTCACGGGAGGGGTGGTTTTTGTCAAGGTTATACCACGCTCGGCCACGGGGAAAATCATGAGGCATCGGTTGGCGGAAACCCCGCTTGATTTCCATGACTGATCCAAGATCGTATGAACAACCAAATTCAACGCCAACAGTATCCCCATCGCCACAGCTGAGCCGGGCCTGCACGATGTCGAACTAGCTGTGGTTGCAGAGGGCAGTCCATTGCCGCCAATATGCAGTAGTGGTGGCGGCAAGATGAGGATGGCACAAACTGATATTCTGTGTGCAGCGAACGGTGGTGGTGGTATGGTGATGGTACGATGTCACAATGAACAACGGTGATGCGATCAACAGCAGTGCTGCATTTTATGGATAGATCGTCGCTTAGACTTTGTTTGGCAGGGCGCGGGATACGCAAACATTGGTAGTCGCTGGTCTTGTCTATGGTGATGTTGAAGGTATCATTTGAAGCTGCTGTGCGGCTCAAAGTAGAGGTTGTTATTGCAGTGCCAGTGACGCGCAATTGGCCAAGGTCATTATTTTATTCGTGCTTGAACGCGGCCAAGCAGTTTATTACACTGCATTAAGTTTGGGCATAATCGCGTACGACTAGTAGCACTAGTAACAACATTACAGTATATGTGGTTACCCAATTGTCCACTACTGCCAGTGGCATCGCAAACATTGAAGGATTGTACTCCCTTAAAGACCACGCAGCCGTCTTTGCTTTTCTGTTTCCACCTACTCGTGCTGGTTTGTTAGCAAGTTTCCCTAGAGCACGATAGTCAAAATGTCGGCGTCAGCACCGGCGGACATCGCTGTGCAAATCATTGTGCCCAACGACACCAACCCTACTGCCGCTCCTCTACTGGCTGCTGAGCGCCGCATCACTCCCTCGTGGACGGTCGAACAGTTGAAGGCGAAACTCGAGCCCGTCACGGGAATACCGACGAGTTCGCAGACACTGCGGACCAGAAGGGCGGATGGGTCGTGGATCACGTTGGCCGAGGACTCGTCCCTTGTCGGCGACCCAAGGTACGGCCTACGGCGGGGCTCGGAGATCGAAGTCCTCGACAGTCGGCCACCGAACGTGCGCCAGACGTTCAACTTCTCGGACCTGTCGTCGGTCGAGAAATACCAAATGCCCGAATCGCAGTACGAGAAACTAGAGGACAGCGTGCTTGCCTGGAAACGGAAGCAGAAACTAGGCCGGTTCAACCCCAACCTCAAATCCCCTGAAGAACAGGCGGAAGAGCGGCGAAGGCACGATCAAGCCGAGATCACGGCGCGTGGCATCAAGGAAGGATTAAGGTGTAGGGTAAGCCACGACGACGGACGGAGAGGGGTGGTCAGATTCGTCGGCGAGATTCCCGGGCTGGGAGGTATCAAGGAGGCCGGCTGTGTCTGGGTCGGCGTCGAGCTGGACGAACCGGTCGGGCGGAACGACGGCAGTGTGAAAGTTGAAGCAGAGGATAGAACGCAGACGACCAAACGAATATTCCAATGTGGCGACAAGTTTGGTGTCTTTTCCAGGCCCGAGAAGGTCGAGGTCGGAGACTTCCCGCCTCTAGATGATCTGGATGAGGATATGGAGGAGATATGAAGAATACGCCGGTGGTACACGGTGTTATCATTTACAGTCAGAGCCATGATTGCAACTTGTTGCAACTTTGAACACTGCACCATAGCAACTGCTGGCTCTGCTCGTGTCCAAGTGCCGAAGAAAAGAAATCATCTGTCGACCAGCACTCCTGGACGGTCATTCCAGGATTGCATTGTTTAATGCCTCCATCCTGCAACCATCTGAAGCGCCCCGGGAGCGACGAGAGCGACCAAATCTCTTCTTTTTCTTTTCGTCCCATGGGCAGTACGACCTGCTTCGTCAATATTGCGTCAAGCTGTCGATATTACGTTAGATGCTCATTCCAGCCACAAGCTTTGTAGGGGGCCCAACGGCATTCTGCTGGATTCTCCGGTAAATGACAGACAGGCAAACAACGGATGATCGCAAGAGCGAGATCATGACATTCATCTGTTCGACTTCGGTCCACACGTACTCATCTGTAGTACTGAATCCGCAATCTCACAAGCTAGACAACCAAAACCGTCATACGACATATTTACAAAAGCGGACTTGATCCGACATGCCCATTCATTATCATTATGATCATCATGATAATGGGTCGGAGCCCATATCACCAAACAAACCATGCAACCGGGTCTGTCCAAGTATCAATTCCGCAGGCATTGTGGTCCCCAAGTCACTCAAGATCCTTCCTCCTGGAATGAGGTCTCACACCCTTGGCTGAAGAAAATACGCGCCGTCTTGTCAAGTTCGTTTGCAATCGAGTACTGGTTACCTGTGGTTCCGAGTCAACTCTATCTCTTGCCATGGCGGACAAGTCTCACTCCGAACAAAGACTTACCTCTTGGAACCTGCCAAAATCCCCCTTTGCCAATACTGAACCGGCTCATACTTCCAGATGCTTCACCATCGACCGGGCCTACCGTGACCGTGACTCGTCCTTTGACAACAAAGAAACTCATGTGCATTCTTCGGCTGTTCTTCGGCCGCTTGACTCCGCCAGGAGGCAACTCCACCAGTCCCGTACCAAAAAAGTTGGTGCTGAGCAATTTGGCATATCTAAAAGTCGGCCCTTCGTGCAGACTGGAGCCTTTGACATCGCGGACCTTGATGGCTCCAGGCGCATGCGCAATTTCCACCTCCTCTTCTTCTTCCAGAGGAGCTTGCTCGTCTTGATCCCATACCGAGACAAGGCCACGTAAGGTGCCCGTCTCTGTTTCCCAGGGTTCGGCATGGGGATCATGGGCTGGGTCTTCGTCCATTTCCGTGTCCGAATCCGATATCTCTGAGGCCTCTGCCGTAGGTTGGCGGCTTGCGGCTTTTCGGCCGGTCTTCTTTGTCTTCCTCTTGCCTTGCTTCTTTTTCATGGCCATGTCCAATTCCTCAGTCCGGACAATCTCTTTGATACTGTTCAGAGGGAATCGGGCATTTTCATCCAAGCTGGCATGGTTAGGGCTACCGCCGTAAACACATCTCTCATTTCGCCAGTATGCCAATGGCTTGATGCTTACACGGCCGCTTCTCGTGTGCGTCACGGTATCGTCGGCAGGCGTTTCTCGGCGGAGAATGTACAATGATCTCGGAGGGTCTGGTCGCGCCCTCACCTTGGCAATGACTTCATCGAGTTCCTGCTGTTGACGAGAAGACATCCCAACGTCTGGGTTGCCGGGCTTTGGCGGTGGCTTTGCTTTTGCTTTCGACGAGGGTAGCTTGCTCTTGGACGTTTCCCTCTCCTTTCGCTTCTCTGAAGCAGGGGGCCTTCCCCCCCTGCGTTTCTTAGTCGTGGTAGGCGAGGGCTGAGGTCCGTCGATAACATCTGACTTTCTCTTTCTCCTAGAATTCGCCTGATTTTGTATTGATGGAGGTTCAGATCGTTCTGGTTCAAATGTTTGGTTGGCCTCCTGATCATCAGTTTCGTCCAATGCAGTACCAAGCCCTGCAGACTGTTCATTGCTTTCGTTTTCCGTGGCTTCGTCGTGGCCGTCATCGTGATAGTCGTCATCCCCAAATGGGGCCACAAAATCCTGAATTTCATGCGCAACTTCCACAGCTTCCAATGTTGGTTCAGCCACTTCGGGTGCGCCGTTTTCTGCTGGTTCAGGATTCTCCTCATAGTGCTCTTGTTCAATGTCAGTCAGTCTCCGCCGAGACCTCGGCGCAGAATTGACACCGTTCGCATCGATGTCTCTCAACGGTGTCTTAGCCGGGCTAGTAGTGATCCTCCGTGACTGCTCGTTCCTACTCGGTGTCGGCTCGGGCGTGTTTTCTCGGTCTTCAAGATCATCCGACAACGCGTGTTTGCTCGTGGAAAAAATGTCAACCCCGTCACTCTTCCTAGCTGTGCCACTGATACCGGTCTTCTTGGGCGACGTCGATCGCGGGGGAAGCACCGATCTTCTCCTGGTCGATCCGCGAGATGCAGGAGTTCGTAACGGAGTAGGATTCAAGTCTATGAGCGTGTCAATTTCGTCTCCGGATTCTCCATGAGGCCGAAGTCGGCTTTTCGGCGGGGATGAGTTTCCACCAAAGAGGGTAAGGGTCGTAACGTACTGGTTCTGTTAACACTTTCTTCATGCGCTTCCGGCGATGGACTCGTCTCGTCCACATTTTCCATGGTCGTCATTTTCTTCAACGGAGACTGCTTGCGCGGGGAAGAGAACATGCCCGAGATCTCTTCCATTCCGTTGGCGTCGAGGGGCCGTTGTTCCAACGTGACTCCTGTACGTCTGGGTCCTTTAGCCGTCTGTTCCTCATTGAAAGCACAGGTTTCTTACCTTCCCAGTTTTCCAATCGCGGAGTAGTCCACATTATCGCGCTGGCGGCGGGGCGCAACACGAGGGGCCATGACGGGCGCCGATAGAACCCAAAACCGAGAGGAGTTCAAGAGGAGTAGAACACCGTGCAGCAAAGTCCAAAAATGGGCGCAGCGATATGGAATGGTCCATGTCCAAGTTGTTCAAACTCACGATGCGATCGGTTGTTGTCGCGGTGGACGTATTGGGTTAGTGTGGTGGCATGATTCTAACCTCGTTCGGCAAAGTGCTACGGCGGGGCGTCTCACTTTTGAAACGCCATTTGGACGCGTCCGCCGGTCGCGTCCCGTCGCGTCTGCAGTTATTGGTACTACAATGTATGTTGTGGGCGCAGCCTTGCAAAGGCACTGAAACTTGAACTCCACGACTCAAAGTTGTCCCTCTCTACTATTATAAGCAGACATCACTCAGCCAGCTCAACACACAACAATCTTGGCTGGCCACCATGGAAGAAGAAATTGCTGCATCCGCCGTGTTTGTGCCGCCATCTGTCCAAATCCATCAAGAGGACCTACTTCTCGGCCGCTCCTACGCGCACTACAGCGAAGTGCCAGCAGGTATTGACGTTACCCGCGAGGGCAATAAATCTGAATCAGGAACGCCGTGCGTGTTAGGCGTGGACGAAGCCGGTCGAGGTCCCGTCATCGGACCCATGGTGTATGGGGTCTATTACCTCCCAGTGGAACTTCAGCAGTCTCTTCTGGCCACTGCATACCATTTCGACGATTCTAAAGTTTTGACACCGGCATTCCGAGCAAACCTGATGAAAGCAGTATGCACGGCCGAGACGGATCTATTCAAATCATCCGGCTGGGCCATTAAATCCCTCAGCGCCCAGGACATTGGCGCAGGCATGTTGAAGAACGGCGGATGTTACAATCTCAACGCCCAGGCCATGGATGCCACCGTGGAGCTGATCCGCGGAGTCCTCGATAGAGGGGTCAATGTGACGGAAATCTACGTCGACACCATCGGGAAGCCTGAAGTCTATCAGAGGAGGTTAAGTCAGATCTTCCCCACCATCAAGATCACAGTGGAAAAGAAGGCCGACAGTCTCTTCCCCTGCGTCAGCGCCGCAAGTGTAGTTGCCAAAGTGACGAGGGATGTCAGTTGCGAAGCTCTCCTAGAAGCGTACGTCCAACAGAACCCGTCGTCGTCGTCGGAGGAGGAGCCCGTGACTTGGGGATCCGGGTATCCTTCCGATGCCCGGTGCGTCAGCTGGCTGAAGTCGGCGATCGATCCAGTCTGGGGCTTTGGCAACGAATGCAGGTTCAGCTGGGGCACTGTCAAGGACATGCTGGAGCAGAAAGGCGGGCCGGCAACGAGAACAGACTGGCCAGACGACACTGCTGACGAGAACATGAGACTGTCCCATTATTTCAGCTCGGATGGGGCCACTGGACCAAAATCTGAAGCTGATCAACTACGGACCTGGTTTGGCACTGGGGTTGGGCAAGAAGCATTTTGAGGCCGAAATGTGGAGGGACTTATATACACCACCAGCTCCGCACTAAACACATCCAAACGAAAGTTACGCCATTCCATGCCAGGGACACAGTTCTGCTCATCTATTAAAGCTTTGCTTTTGTCCACAGCCCCTTCATCGCTCCCTCAATGCCAGGGAGATTCGCGGGACCATCATAAATGTCCCTCTCCACTGCTCTGGTGTTGATGTGCAACGGACCAAGATCGGTCACCTTTGCCGCACCCAGCAACCGAGTTGCTGTAGCAGTCTCATCCCTCAGGATCTCCGGTACTCTCTCAACGCCTTGAATTCCACCCGCTCCGAGACCAAACAATGCGGCGCGGCCGATGCCAACGGCTTTTGCACCTAGCGCCAGGGCCTTGACCACGTCAGTACCTCTCTTGATGCCGCCATCGACAACCACGTCCAGCTTGCTGAACACCTCGGGGCAGTATTTCCTGATTTCCAACAGGGTGTGGACGGCCGGCGGCGCCGTGTCTGCTGCTCTGCCACCATGATTTGAAAGTATAATACCCTTCACCTGGGGCGTGTGCTGGCTGGCAATGTATGCGTCTTCATGACATTGCAGACCTTTTAGGATGATGGGTTTGTTCGTGTGTTTCTTCAACCAAGGCAAGGTTTCCGTCCAGGTCAAAGTAGGATCGGTGCCAAAGAATAAGGATTGCCCGATACCACCACCTCCTTTCAGCTCCTGGCCACCGGCATCTTTGATGGCTTGGCTTGTGTCCTCAGCGACGAACTTTCCTCGTTCGTCATGCTCTCGTTTGCCCGGAACCGGTGCGTCGAGGGTAAGACAGATAAACTTGATGGCGTCAAGCTTGTTGATGCGTGCCAACATATCCTCCGACTTTTTACGCTCCGTCTGCACATACAGCTGCCATCCGAAAACCTGGGACGGGTCTGCGTCTTTGACGATCTGCTCGGGCGTCATACTGGCGTTGTTGGAGATGATCTGCATGGTGCCAAACTTTTTGCATGCTTGAGCAATGCCCCATTCGCCGTCGGGATGGGCGAGTCGGGCCATGGCTGCCGGGGCGACAAAGATGGGGATGTCGAGCTTATGGCCGAGAAAGCTCGTGCTGAGGTCGCAGTCGCGGCAGTTGATGAAGACGCGCGGCCGCAACAGGATCTGGCGGTAGACGGTGTTGTTCAGGTGTTTGCTGACCAGGTCGTCGGCGGCCGAGTAGTAGTAGGCCCAGCCCTTTTTGGATATTTTCTTGGTGGCCGCGGCCTCGATGTCGTCCATGTTCAACAGAGCCGCCAGCGGCACTTCCACCTCGGGACTTGGTTCTGGGCCGACATCCTTGGCCGCCTGGACGGGCTGCGGCAGCGTCTTGGGGTCGATGGGTCCGATGCGCGCGGATTCGGGCAGATTCTCCTCGAGCGTCCCCGGAGGGTGGATGGGATCGTATTCTTCGGTGGCATCTTTGCCGGCGAGCTTGAGGATGATGTTGGCGCCGCCAGGGTGTTCGGGCAGGAAATCCGTCACGTCCCAGACATAGCCGTAGAGGATGACCCAGCACGAGTCTCGCGTCGTATGTTTCTGCACTGTATGAGAAGTCAGTAACGAAGAACCGTCTGTACTTCGAGTAATGCAATCACGAATGGCGCAAGGTGTTGCGCATTGAGGTTCACTCACCTTCGGCATAATCTATCAGTTTCGACATGGCTGCAATATGGCACTGCTGGTGGCAGGTAATCTAGCTTGCGCAAAAATGGACCACGACCAGATCTCCGCGCCACCCAGCACTCAGCCCAGAAGAAACAAGTAGAGAACAGAAGCGGAAGACAGCAGTGGAAAAACAACAAAGATCTATTACTAGATTCTACAACTTCAAGTACAGAACTTGAATTGAACTCTGGGGGGTGACGAGGGCCGGGGCCACTGTTGTTTAACAATTAAATAAATCCAAGCGTCGCGATTGGTACCAGAAAACGGCATCTTCGGCCGTGGGGTGCAGAGTCCACCTGGACCTACTACTTGCTGCTACAGTAGTTAATAAGTTGGGGCATTACCTGCTACTACAGTGGTACTGCTCCAATATAGTGATAGCTCAATCGCCACTGAACTTGCGCCCTAGCAGACCTTGTGTAAATCTCCAGAAGAACCAGTAATCCAGCAATTACCTACCTGGGGCAAATGGGTGCAAAGGAAATACTTGCAGGTGGGAGTCCAGACATGATTGAAAGCAAAAGCCGACAACCAGGGCGACAGACGTGACACCCCACAATCGAAAGCGTGGCCGGGATTCTACCCTATAGGTACTACCGTAAGCCCCCCAACTTTTGAAGTTCAAGTCCAATTGGGCAACTTTCGGCGGTTGATGCCCCGAACAAGACCTAAGTACTATTCGTAGTTCGCTGCCAGTGTTTTGACAGCGTCAACAGACACTGCATGCTCCGCCGAATAAATCGAATCGCGTCTCGCCTCGAACCGGATGGAAAAGCGATACAACATTTTATTAATTGGAGTCCATGGTGTTGGAGTCGAACCCTGCACTGGCACTACTGTACTAACGACTCACTCTCCTTTTCGTTGTGAGAGGGACAAGGCTGCATCTGAAGGAACGCTTTCACCCAGCCTTGTGTCTTTCAACTTCAACTGCACAACGTCTATAAATTGACAATATACAGAGAGTTGATCGAGACTCAGATCATCACAGTCATCCCAGAAGCAAACCAGATCTTGCCGCCGCCTCAAGTCCAAGTCCTGCATGGCTGGCTGGAATGCAGCCAGCAGTTACCATGTAGTTCTGCGCTGATGGCGAATATCCATTGTCGGTTGTGAAACGGGAGAATAATTGTAATGATTAATTGATTGCTTATGGTGGAATTCCCCCAGCTGATCCCCTACATCCACTGTGCTACTCTGCTCGGCTCTTCAGACCCTCAAACGCTACCAAACTCACCCACGTCGTCCCATGCAGCCAAAGGGTGACAGAATCCGAGCCTTCTAACAAGAACCATCTCCTTTTTCACAACCCGCATTGTTCATGTTTACAATGCAACACCCCAGCGTGGAGCGTTGATGATGATGCCCATGATGCATCCGGAAATGACACCGGTTACGGGAAGCGTGATGATCCAACCCATGTAGATCCAGGCCACCATTCTCCAGTTGATGGTCCGCCATGTTCCAGCGCAGAGACCAACACCGACGGTGGCACCCGAGATACATTGAGTGGTCGAAACGGGGAGCTCTGAACAACAAGTTAGCAAAAACACAGCTTCATCAACCCTCGGACAGTGGGACTTACTGAGTCTGGTGGCCATGATAACCGTGACAGCGGAACCCAACTCCATGGAAAAACCTCGCGAAGGTGAGTGGAGCGTGATGCGGTTACCCAGATTGCGCATGATGTTGTAGCCGTAGGTCCAGAGACCAATCACTATAGCACCACCACCAAAGGCCCTAGAAGAGTATGGTCAGTCCGCCGATCAGAGTCATCGGGACGCTAACACCCACAGAATCCAGTAAGGTACAGGGGTCTTGGATTTGAGTTGATTGTTGGCCCAGATGTAGTAGATGGTGGTATACGGTCCAACAGCGCTGTGTAGAAAATTAGTCACGCGGTCTGCTTGAAACCATCACAACAAGTACTCACTTGGACACATCGTTGGCGCCGTGGGTAAAGGAGGCTGTGGCCGCCGTCATGACCTGGAGGAACGAATACATGTACTCGGCTTTGTTGTCGTAGTGAGCGGCATGCGCGTGGGTCGCCTCGATATCACCCGTCAGGATGTTGCGCTTGTTCTGCAAGCTGATGACGTCCTTCTCGACCCCATGGAAGAAGATGCGTTTGAACCACCAAAACATCACTGCGGGCCGCAGGTTGCTTCCTTCCGGGCGAGGCCCGATAAACGAGTATGTGTGAGGCTCGGCAACACTGCCAGTGGGAGGTGTGGTGGCTTCGCTGTCCGAGTGGATCGCGTCGTCCGAGGCGTGGACCTCCTTGTCGCTGGCGCCACCGTGCTCGATGTCCCGGAGCTTGGCTTGCGCGGCCGCACGCTTGGCTTGAAGTTCCTCCATGGTCAGATGGCCACGGTAGTAATCTTGTACCACGCCACGGCCTTCTGGGGGAGGAGGAGCTTCACCCCGGCGGAGGAGCAGAGGACCCAATGGAATGTGATACCATTTCAACTGCCAATCTTCCTTGAGCAGGACTCGGTACAGCCACGGAAGGAAGAAGACTGTCACAAGAAGGGCGACACCGATACCCACGCCAAAGATGACGCCGATGGTTTCGCTGTTGTTGAGCTTGATCCTGGAAGAGCCGCCCTTCCAGACGATGAGCACTAGGGGAAGACATGTTAGCCCCACTTCTTACAGAATCAGAGAACCCGGTCACACTTACTGGTGAGGAGGGCGGACGTGATGCCGAAGTAGATGGGAATCGTGATAAATGCCTTGTAGACCGGGTTCTTCCGCAGCATAACCCCATACTTGGTGATCAGGAAGACGATGGAACCAAAGCAGCCGGAAAGGACAGGAGCAATGACCCAGGCAAGGAAGACTTGGACCACCCCCGAGTTGACATTTCCACCCCACCACTGGATTCCGTCCGTGCCAACCACTGCAATGCCCATTCCGATGATACCACCCATGATGGAATGTGTGGTCGAGACAGGCATGCCAAATCTCGTGGCAAATGTCAAGTAGAGGGAAGATGAGACCACGGCACACACCATGCCCAACATCAACAGCGCGGGATTGTCTTCAAACAGGTCGACCTTTATGATCTTGGTTCGGATGGTGTCTGACACACGGGCGCCCACAGCGATACTGTATCCAAATGTCAGATACATATTTGGTTTGCCTGCGATGCATGACTGCAACCCTCATACCTTCCTGTGAATTCCATCACGGAGCCAATAAACATGGCTTGGATGTACGTCAGGGAACGCGACGACACGGAGGTCGCGAACGAGTTGGCGACATCGTTGGCACCAATGTTCCAGGCATCGAGGAAGGCAAAGATAGTGCCGATGGCGAAGAGGTAGTCGAACTGATGGAGATACATCTTGTCCTTTGGGTCAGTCGGATCTTGTCCAGTTGAGGCACGAGGAGACGACGCTGGGGAAGTAGGAAACGACGGGAGGGAAGCGCCCTTTTTATTGCCAGATACGCGACTAGAAGTTGTCTTTTTCTCTTCTCCCTTCAGCGCCAATGTGGACGCAACGTGGACGCCCCATGGTCGCAACAACGCCTTGTGCGGTCCCTATACTCGTCGAACTAGACCAGACCCAAGTGGTCCTCGACGAAAAGGAGGGTGGATACTTCTCATGTGATAGAAACCGTCGCGATGTAGCAGATGGCACCATCTCAACCGACAAACGGGAAGCATATTCTGACCACTAGACACCAGAAGCAACTCGCCAAGTGTACCAAGCTTGTAGAGCGCTGGAATGGATGGCTTGGCGCTTCTGGACAAGGCAGACCAGCTGGCGTGATTTAGCCCAGGAGCGAACCAGAGTCGAGTGTTTGGGGCGACAGGACAGGGGCCAGGCCGAATCGAGTGCCAAGAAGACCGGGTGGAATTCCGCCGCGCCGCCAAAAGTGCCAAGCCCGGAGAGCTTAGCAGAGGTTGTTTCGACTAATCAGGAGCCCTTTCCCTCCCACGTGTACTTCAACGACCAGACACTCTCTACCCGAGTAGCTGCCTCGATCAAGTTTGACAGCGTTTGTAGTCTGGCCGGGCAACGCACCAGGTCCGCCTGGGGTACCCGCCTGATACCCCCGGGGCACCATTTGTGGTCCGCATATGGGCGACGTGGTCTGTCGGTGGTGTCGCAAGAACTATGGCCCCAGGACATACGGGACCAACTGGGTCTGCATATGTTGCCCACGTGGACTCACCACTCGAACAGAGTTGATCAACATGCAGCCTTGCTAGACTCCAGATATTCCCGACCCAGCTATGTTCACCGGTGACCTGAGCGTCCTGACCAGAGAATGTAACCCTGGAAGATTCTGAAGACACGCAGTCTGCGGTTAGTTTCCATCGCGGGGATTTTTTTTTAGAAATTAGTTGTTGGATTCGGCCATGTATGGCCAGGCGTAGAAAAAGTGCATACGACCTGACTATCGTAGAGTGTCAGAAAACCACCATGTTCAACACTGATATGTCGGAGCGAGGCCGATGCCGCTCTGTGCATGACTTGGACTTGCTGTTTGGGTCTTACATGAGCCAGATTCGCTGCACACAAGAACTTGAGAATGGTAGCTTCCATACAGATAGTGTAGGAACCGTCCGAAGTGTGGTAGTCATTCCAAGTTCGTCTTGGCTGGTGGCGAATCTCATGATCTCTGCGAAGGACAGACGAGAGGTCCAGCCCACGGAGCTTCAATTCGTGGAGACATCCCAGCAAGTGCAAGTGACAGCCATCACCATCACTGGGTTTCGGGGTTTCCACCTATCGTCTATCATTGTTGTGGATAGCATTGATCTCTCGCAGGACGAGTTTGGTTCAAAGGGAGGCCTGGAGGAGGAGATACTGTACCTGCCGTGGTGGTGCACTGCATGGGATCGCTGATCCATCAGATTAGTGTCAAGCGATGTCTGGGTTGACATGGCCTGGGCGATCCTCTGCCGCCGAACAAGCGGACCACGGATCCTCCAAGAAGGCTTCTAGAATAACTGGGCGCTCCGTTCAAACTCGCTTACCCTGTCCAGACATTTGTGATAGGCTGCTTTCGTCTGTAAGCAGATGCATTATTAGGGTAGCCATCCCTGGTATACCTGGGATTGGACCCATGTCGGCTGTGAGCACGGACTGAAAGTGGAATTAGGACATCTTGCAAAGCAACTTGGCGAACCATCTAGATCCACGCGGCCGATACATCAGCTGTGGAGTAGGAGCAAGGGAGTGAGTGAGAGCACCCTCTTGGAGCAGAACGATAGAGCAATGGTAGGCACCAACTACACTGTAGGAGGTGGTAGGAGGAAAAGCATAGCATGCCAGTGCGGCGGCAACTTTGTGCAAACTTGAACGACCATGATCGATTGCTGCCCTGGAATGGCACTAGTCGCTGTTCGGCTAGCGAGCTGCCGAGACCTCAGCCTGCTAAACCGGCGTGAGAGGAAGGCCGGATCGGACAAACTGATTGTATCCTCCGAGTCGGAGATCAACCGACCAGTTCTCATGGTCAAGTACTATGACGGTGGCAGACATTACCTTCTTCACACTGCAGTTACAGTACACATCCTCTACTGGCTCAGGTCTCTCAAGCGAAACATTCACAAATACCAAGTATGTGAGCAAGCAGAGGCTAGCTTAACTGCAGCTTGATCTGCCAGTGCGACACCGACCGAACCATGTTTACTGTAAGTCCCGACTGAACCCCGCCGCCATGTCATGCCCGCCCGGGCTCACAGCTTGCTCTTCCTGGTACTAATGCCCGCGTCTCTTTCTTTCTCACACAGTCACGCCATGCCGAAGACCAATTCCGGCTCCGGATGCACCGGGCGCGCTCCGTCGAGCTGACCAACGACGAGCTGGTCGAGGTGCGGGCGGCGCAGCGGACGTTCGAGGGCGCCTACATCCGCACCTCCCTGTCGCAGTTTTCGTTCGCCCTGATTGTGCTCAAGATCTTCACCTCGGAATTCTACTCCATCGGCGCCCTGTTTGCTGTTTATGGCGCGGGTGTGCTGCTGGTCAGCGCATACCGTCGTCAACAGGGCAATCGCCAGTTCTTCAGCGAGATCGGCGACGACGGCCTCGGCAGGAAACGCTTCAGAACTAGTGGTAACGTCGTCGTTGCCTTGACGGCTCTCAGTATTGCTGCATACATTACTTTGCTCGTCCTGACTTTGAAGTTGGAGAACTGAGGTCAAGCCATGGGATTGGGTGGGAGAAGATGCAGTGCATGAAGCAAACAAACCGCGATCCACGATATAGAACCGAGATGGTCTATGCCCCATGGCTCGCTTAAATGAACGTGGCACCGATCGATGTCAATCTGTTCACCTGTTATCCCGATGCGAAGGGTTATACGCACACCAATGTCTGAGAAGACAGGATGCCGGGACATCTCCCGCTCCAAGTCAGCTAGACCTCGCTCTATGCTGCAATAACAGCGCCTTGCTCAGACAGAAGTTACTGTCAGCAGCATCACGACTTCGCTACCCCGTTATACCCGACTTCAACAACTGGGCAGCATGGCGAGATGGCACAACAAGACGGAATTCTTGAACAATTCTGACTTGGCACCATAGAGCACTGTATTTGAATCTATCCTCACACGGCCTGCGAACGTCAACTGCAACGCGATTAGAGTGCCTTCATCAAGCACTATTCAAGAGAGACATGGCGGTCCATTCAGATGGGCATCGGCACCGCTTTGCATGCGGTATCCCCGTGACTCTAGGCTTGCGGTGCTAGTAGGCATGGACTCATTGTGTCATGCCTAGAATTAAACACTGAATTATACTAGCAAAGCTGAGACCAGGGAAACTTCGAATGGACATAACATAAGGCATCGTACATAGTTCGGCATGACGCGACTGGTCCAGCCAATTTCAGCATCTTGCACCTCACGTGAATTCCCAATCATCCTCTCCGTCCATGGCCCGTTCCATGGCTTCGAATGCAGCCTTCGTCTCGTCATCTTCGTCGTCCTGAGCAGTGCCGATTTTTGTGCTACTTCTTCTACCCTTGGGGGCGTCCTCCGCAGCATATTCTACTGCCTCTCGTCCTTCGTCCTTTTCTTCGTCCTCGACGCCTCTACCCATGGCGGCACCTTCGACGGCCAATTTGTCAGCCGCAATGTTGCCCGCGTTGTCCTGATGACCCTTGACCCAGACGAAGAACGTGGCTTTCTTCAACTCGTCTCTCTCGTCGATGCGGTCGCGGATGTCGACGACAAGATCCTTGTTCTCCACGGCCTTGCCCTTGGCATTCAACCAGCCATTTCTCTGCCAGTTGCGATACCAATTGGTCACGCAATCAATGGCGTACTTGCTGTCCGTGTAGATGGTGACGTCGCGGTGTCGCGGCGCGATGTCCAGTGCTCGTAGGATGGCGGTCAGCTCGGCTCGTTGGTTGGTCTGCTTGCTACCTTTGAGAGCTTCGGAGACATTTCTATAACGCCAATTCGTTAGCTTTGCTTTCTCGTGCTCACTCGGGCTCGTGCTCGTGCTCGCGCTCTCAATCCTCTCTCTGCCTTGGCCTGGCGCACCCACGGCTTGTTTCTTGGTGTCACCGAGATGGCGTTCTTCCAATATTCGCCGCCTTTCCGTCCAGTCCATGGTGTAGACGAGATGAGGCTTGGAAGGCAAGACATGAGAGAGTTTGAAAGCACGTCGGGATCGGGAAAGCGGGAGGTTATCATACTTTGGATCCTGGGGTCCGAAATACACCCCGACGCCAGCTCTCGCCCCGGCCTGGCCATTTCGCAAACTCGAGCCGTCCGTGTAGATTCGCAGCATTCCTGGCGGGCTCTTCTCCTTGATGATCTTCTTGGTGCGGCTCTTCTCTTCTGCGGTCCGGTCCACCAGCGTGCCATCTGCGGCCAGTGTGATATTGGGATCATACCCATCCTCCGCCCCTGTCGGTAGAGGTCTCTGAGCAATGTCGTAAGGGTTGCCGTCTTTGTCGGTCGGCGCGAACGTGCCATTGAGCTGTAGACCAGGGGCTGAATTGCGGACAATCAGCCGACGGATTTCCTCCTCTGGAGTGAGGTCCGATTCGAGTCGAGTCTTTCCTGCCGCTACGAAGGCTTCGGCTTCGGCTCGAGTGTCGAATTTCTTGTATTTGGGCTTGGAGACGCCACGGATTTGTGCTTGGGCTTGCGGCCAGTCCGTGTAGACGCCGGGGACTTTTCCGTTTTGCACGGCATAGTATTTCGGATTCGCGGAGGCGGTCTTTGACGGCAATTTGCCGTCGATGAATGCCTGAGCTTCCTGAACAGACGGGAAAGCCTTGTCTGAAATGGAAATTAGCACATGTTGTATCTTGAATTCCCGTCAGGCTAAGAGACCAGCCCAACACAACACGTACACTGGGCGCCCTTGTGTCCTTTGACTTGACTGAGACATTCCGGCCATGTGTTGTAGATTCCCGGCGTCTTTCCCGCTTTGACCGCATAAAATTTCTGCTCCGGTGTCCTCTTCCTCTTGACTCCAGCTACGCCGTTGGAGTTGGCCCGACTCGGACTTGCACGTGAGGCATCGCTGGCTCGGGCGTTGGAGGTATGCGGCGGTTGCGCCATGGCTACACGAAGCCCTGATCGAAGGCCAAAATCCCAGAGTCTTCGGAGTCGAGGCAGATTGACTGTGGGAGACTGTGGAATGCGGTAACTCGCGTTGGTGAATTCGGTGGGTGGTCGAGGTCCAAGAGGATGAAGAGAACTGGGGTCTCGGCGGGCAGTCAGTTCCGGCAAGTGAGCGTTACCCTCGAGCTGCCCACATTGCTTCTTGTCAATGAGGTGCAGCGGTGGGTGAGTAACCGGATGGGAAAAGGAGGGAGATTGAGAAGTCAGCTGTTACAGTGACTGGAATTCAAGGTGGTGAATGACATTGGCCGCAATTGACTGGAATTCAGCCCCGCGGGGTAAGAAAAGGGTCGAGGCCAAGGGAGATGTTCCCGCCCAACTTCAACTTCACCCTATGTTGGAATGATTTCCAGCGGGAGTATTCTCGGCCCTGCATTCAATGGCAGATGCTGTGGAACGAACTGTTTGTTGTCTCTCTGCTGCGTGTTAAGGTAAGAAACCGCCAAGGTACTACTACCAAGGGAGTGGTGAAGCAAAAGACTCAGTATAGAATACCTAGCCAGGTATTAGAGTGATTGGCTCTCTTATACTATGTACTACTACCAGGCAGTGTTACCTCCTTGACTATCACAGTTTTCACGGCCGTTCTCGCAAGCCAAGTTCATTGCAGAAGTAACCAGATCTTGAGCACCAACAAAGCTCAACTTCTCCCGATATCCCCTTTGCATTCGGCTTCTTTCATGCTACATTGAATAGCCCCTTTCGGCATGCTGCTGTTCAGCCACTCCTGAGCCCTCTCCACTCGTCTCTCTCGCGACAGGGGTCTGCGTCCCCGGCGGTGGGGTGTCGATAAAGTGGACTGGTCGATGAGGCTCCGGTGGAGTTTCCACACCCTCGCCCCGCTGGCCGTTTCGTCGGCCGATCGCAAATGGTCCAGTGCTGGGAGCATGGTCGCTGTGGCCCAAGTTGCCCAAGTTCTTCCTGCGACGAAGGTTGATCCCAGCTTGATGGTGGTGGTGGATCGACAAGTCAGGCTCATCTTCATCTCTCTCGGTGCTCAGTGCTTGAGACATGGTCCTGGGCAGGTGATAGCCGAGTTTACCCAACGGCACCGAAAGTCCATGCACCACGATGCTGCAGATGGCTAAGAACCAGACCACCACACGCATGACGTCCCCAAGCCGCCGAGCATCCTCCCGCACTTCCCCATTGACCGTGATCTGGTTCAGGAAGTCGAGGCTGACGTAGAGATAGAAGATGGCCGACACGCCAATGGGGCCGAAGAAGCCGACAAACGCGGCCTGGTGGACTTCCTCGATCTCACGGATGTGTTTGTGCATGGCGAAGATGACGGGAAGCCGGCGAAACAGGAGGATCAAGATGCCCAGGAAGATCAGTCGCCAGATGGGGATGACGTCGTTGGATCGAAAGCTGGCCCAGGGACAGACGGCGCCGAACCAAAGGAAGACGGAAATGTTGAGCAGCATGTCGATGGTCGGTTGCAGAGAGTCGTCCGCCGTTTCGATCCGGAACCTGGGCCACACGCGGTCAGAGAGTCGAACAGCGAAGCATGACCAACACAACTCACCAGTCGTCCCATGTAAAGGCGTTCCCTGCCACGAAACAAGCCAAGACATCATCCGAGCCTATCATGCCACATGTGCCGGTGATGAAAAGCGCAAGGGTGATGGCAAACACCAGGAAGCTCTCACGGTCGACAAATTTCCTCTCCTCGGCCCGGTGAAGAAGTTCTTTCGCAATCCATCCCACCGCCACTCCGTAGGCGACGCTGAGGAGGATGGTGTAACCCCATGTCTCGCCAAACCAGTAGCCCATTGCCTTGCTCGTGCCACCCGATTGTCCCGCGCCGCCCATCTGGGTGTATTTGATCAGATACAGGGCGAGGAACAGAAAAGGGTAGCCGAGGCCGTCATTGGCGCCGGATTCGGCAATGATGATTTTCTGCAGAGGCTTGGGGATGTTTTTGTCCGCGAACTTGCCTTTAACGATCGAGTTGGACAGGATGGGGTCAGTCGGGGTGACGCAGGCCCCGCAGGCCAGTGCATGAAGAATGTGAAGATGAGGGACCATGGCCCAGATGATCAAGCTGGCGCACAGCCACATGACGGTCATGCCCGGTCCCAGGAGGAGGGAAAGAGACTTCCATTCAGTCCTCAGGTACCGACTGGGCAGTTGGACCCCGGCCAGAACCAGCTGAACCCCCAAGACGAGGCGGGTGAAGTAGAGAGTGATGTAGTCGAGATTCTCGACCGAACCACCCGCATATTCGAGGGGTTTGACAAAGTTGGTGGCATGAGGTGAGAAGATGACCCCGGCGACGAGAGAGATTACTGTCGGTGAGTCTGCGTCAGCACTTGCAGCTCTTCGGTCGTTTTGAATGGAAGAAGGGTGCACATCTCACGTACATGCTTCGGAGAGGTAGAAACGCTCCTTAAACAGATAGCTGACCAGGCCAAACAGGGTGATGAACCCGCCAAGGACGGCACAGGCAATATTGAAATTGGAAATCAACAGAGTCGGCATCTTCACGCCGTGCTACTTCGTTGGCGTAGCTATGTCTGCTATCTCTGCGGCCGCCGTAGATGACAATCTTTGTACTTCAATATAGTTCAAGCAACCACCCAAGAGAAAAACCTCAGTAAATGTTATTGGCGCATTTGGTCCTGCGAGCTGTATACAATTCTGCCGGATTGGAAGTGGATCATGTGACGGTCTATGCTCGTGGTGATCGAGAGCATTACACTGTCGTCGAGTCTTGAATGCTTCCCGGGGAGGCGCTGCGTATGTATTATACCGTCAAGCCGGTCGTGGGTGAGAAAAGACCGTCTACAACAATGATGATGGAAGCGGAAGATAAAGTTGAAGATCAAAGAAGTCGAAGCAATGCGAAGCACTACGAAAGACAGCGAATTGACGGCCTCATAAAAGTGGAGAACGAGGCTGATATCAAGCACACATTTACTACCTAGTAAACTGCAGTGGACAGATGGTATCATTAGAGTGACAATAGCACTGTGAATTATTGTACATCACGGGGTTTGGCCAATACCGACCACTTCCCCTTCGTCGAGCTGCATCATTGACACAACACCATGTTGTCTTGTCGGTTATCAAGGCCAAAAGAAGTTCCCTCCCGCGGAAAAGTCTTCAGTCGTAAGCCGATCTGTCCGTACTCCATACAACGCTGCCATGACCGTCTTCCCGCAAAATAAAATCCAATCTTCCATGTCTATCCATCCAGCACGGTGGTCACCCGTGCCGTCGTGTACATAGAAGACAACCCATGACGCCACGCTCATTGTCCATTAGCATTCGCCGCAATGCTGCCGAGAAATCTTTCCAACCACAGCATAATAGTCACCAATCCACCCACGAGTTGATGCGGAACACGCCATCGGGACGTTGATGCCAGCAACTATCTTGTCTGCCAAATCCAAGGGTATTAGTCCAGTTGCCAAGAACGCCAATATGAAGACATGATCGATTTGAAAACAAGCTGGACGTGAAGCATTATGTCCATAAAGTTAATATACACAAGCCCGCCCGAGGGCAAAGCCTTCAACACCAGAGAATGCAAGGGTATCATGTGTTGGTGGAGGAGATATGCCATCAGGCGGCTTGTGGGTCGGTGGCTCGCCTCATCTGATAATCAGGTTCGTATCGAAACTCATCCTTGACTGGATCCCATCGATACGCCTTGAAATCAACCCCGTACGGTCGCTGTCACATCGCGGTTAGCATGCGTACTCTTTTGTCAGAAGTCTTGTTGGTACTTACAGGTTCGAGCGAATAGACCACCCCCAATGGCACATCCAAGTCGCTGATGTCTTCCTGGGCGAGGCCCATAAAGTATGCAAGCAGCACCCGACAGATGCTGCGGTGCCCGATGATCAAAACATGGTCCGTCATGCGCTCGATTTCCAAGATGACTTTGCCCAGGCGGTTGATGATGTCGAGATACCCTTCACCGCCGGGGCCTGGGTAGCGGTAGTGCAGCTTATCTCGCTTGCGGAGCTCGTATTCGTGGTGGAACTTCTCCCGGATCTCCTTGTAGGTCATTCCCTCCATGACTCCGGCGTTCAGTTCGTCCAACATGCGCATCTGTTTGATGTCGAATTCATCCTCATCGAAAAACTGACTGGTCTCGATACTGCGTTTCAGCATGCTCGTCCAAACGCAGAAATTTCGTTCGTGTAGTGTTTGCGCCGTGTAGGCTGGGTTGGGCGGGGTGGTATCACCGGGACGTGGCGGGAAATGCGTGTTGGCCTTCTTCTCAGCATGGTTCGCCTCCCAAGCCTTCCACTGCTCTTCCATGAACTTGCTCAGCGCCCGGGCATATCGGACGCCGTTAGGACTCAAGGAACTGTCGCCGCCAATCTTGCCGTTGACGTTGTCCATGGACTCGCCGTGACGGGTGATCCAGATTTGACGCGGGGCCAGGTTGAAATTCATCAAGTATGTGACGGTTTGAATGGAGAGAAATCCCTTGACCTGGAAACTGACCATCTTCCGTCCTACATCAACCATGGAACAGTATGGCATGTCGTGTTCTTCTTCGAATTCGTCTAGTTTCTGGTACGACTTTTCGTACTGCCGTACCCGCTCTTGGAAATCTTGCAGAGCCACAACCGGGTCCTTGCCGCGGTAGTCAGGACCAGACAGTTTGAGGCGCATGTTGGCTTCCAGAAGGTTTTGATCCTGACAGCGTGACTCCAGAAACAAGACGTTGATGTTCTCGTCGCGTTGCCGGATGTGTTGAATAAGAGACATGCGTCGCTCTTGAGTGTGATTCGTCGCGTCCAAGATGCCAACGGAGCCGCCATCTTCCAAGACGTACTTCAGGAGTTCGTCCAATGCCTGATGAGCCACCTGCTCCCGGAGCTGTTTCGCACGGGTGTTTTCAGGGTCGAAGAACCGGGCAGATTGGTCGATTGGTTCCGGCGCTGGCAGCAGGATAGGATCACCGTTCTTCCCAGACTCGGTCGAGGCATTCGTGGGTGGCGGACTGAGGGGCGTTGGAGAGGTGACTTCGCCATTGACGCGGATTTCGGTCTTGATGGCAGGCGGAGGCAAGAAGTCGCCTTGATCAGCGACGTGAGAATGTTCGGTGGTGGTGTTGGAGCTCATGCGGCGGATGGACTCTCGGAGAGCAGCGTCTGTTCTGTCTGGGAGATTTGGACCTACACCGGCAGCCACTCGGCGACGGTCGCCCACATTGAAGATTCGGGTAGGATGCTGCAACCAATTCAAATAGCGGGCCACCTTCTTGGTGATGTAACTCTTTCCTCGCGCCGGCAAGCCCACCATGATGATGATGAGTTTGGCACCAACATCTCTTTCCGAGATGCGACCGTCGGGGGAGACTTTGGAGCGCGTAAGACCGGGAATGTCGAGGGTGGTGGCGCGGATCTTGGGAGTTGCGGTGCCAGAAGCATTGGCGCTTCCACGGGCATGTCTAGAGACAAACAACGGTCAGCCAACCACTTCTCTTCTCCAAAGGCGCACCGAGCGCGAACACGGTGAGTCATGTCTGCTCACATTTGAGGACTGCCGGGCGCGCTGGGCGCAGGAGTGTCGGTCAGGGCAATTCCCATGGCGGTATTGTTCGCAGGCTGCGGTTGCGGTTGCGGCTGCGCTTTGCTGGGGCCAAGATTGGAGGAAGCCCTGCCAAAGGGGGTCTTGGGAGGCGGCATGAGTCCTGGCTGATTTGAGGTTGCGACATTGTTCATCGACTGTTGGGCTTCAGGGTTCGGAGAGGAGGAGGCGTTCGTCATGATGGCGGTGCGAGCGAGATCAGAATATTGTTCGCTGACGCGACGGCTGAACAAGGCCGCATTCAAGGCAGGACCAGGATTCTCCGACGGCGACGGCTGCCGGGATCCTTCTAACTGAGGCATTCAGCACCCAGATAGGCACAGGTTTGGGGTGCAGCGTGGTATGATTGTTGTTGCAACGAATGCAGAGAAATTCTGGTAGAGGAAAAAAGAGTCAGAGTCATATGCAAATGGGGTCGGATGCAGTGGAATGGGACGCTACATTACAGTGCCAGTGGAGATGAGATTGATTTGGGTGGAGCGGCGATACGTCTACTACCACCACCACTGCAGGCACTGCTACAGTTCCCTGTAAGGACTATGGAATCATGATGGCAATACTACTAGTACTATTATGACTACTCCCTGCCGATGCACTACAGTGGCAGCGCCCCAAGAACATGCCTTGCCTGCGCCAGTGTCTGAACCGTGTTTTGACTCAGTGGCCTCTTTTAAGGCTGGCGCCGCAAGATCAGGCTTCCGTGTCCCCCGACGCAGTGACACTTGCACCTGCAGTCAGTGACGTCGGTGTGCCACGGATCACTTGAACTTCAATGATCCGCCTCACCTCACGCTCAGGCCTCCCTATGGTACTACAGGTGCAGAGTCAGGCATTAGGCAGCCAAGATACCTTATACGATAGCTATAAAAGGTGCTATAGGTAGTACCGCGACCAGACTGCACTGCCTGTCGCCGCCTGCGCTGCGCTAGACACAATGTCAGGGACAGGGGAGTTGAGGTTACTGCACAGTTACGGCTCGCACGTTTTAGCGCTGCTGCTCTTACCAAAGCTTGTTTTCTTGCTGGAACTCCCAGAGTGGGGATAGGGCGGCATCATCCTGAACCCAATTCGTGCCAAGTCGCCAGAGCACTGCGGCTTCTAAGTTACCTTCAAGTTGTACAGACACCGGCAACGTCTCTCTAGGGACCACTCAACCTGACCGAAAAGATGGACATCCTGTGGCCTTTTGTTTCCACACCTCAAGAAGCACAATCTTCACCAAGCTACTGAAGGCGGACTTTGTCTACCTGTCGACAGCGAAGTTGAGCGCCAATGCAGCTTACAAAGGTAGTGATCACGACCCTTGACAGTCAAGCAGCAGTCTGGTCTGGCTTGGCTTGTCTCAAGGCTTTGAATCTAAATGGTTCCTTTCATGAATTCGTTGTCTAAGAAGGCCACGGCATGTCATTCAAACAACCAGGATGATCACTATTGACATTCTGAATAAATCCTCGACAGGGAGGTACTAAAAAATGTATTATATAAGAAGTGAATACATGAAATTGCCGACTCTCGGCACCATATCTCTTTCCAACATGAGGGTCTGGTCATTGGCTTTGTCCGCCCCTTTTTTTCAACAGTTGGCCACCTGAGGATGAGATAGGTGAATCCCCCAATCAAACCCTTGTTCCCGTCTCTCCTCATCCAGTCGCCTAAAAGGCAGCCGCCAGGCCGAGGGCGACAGCGCCCATCAACGCGCTCATACCCACACCATCGTTCTTGGAAGCACTGCCTGTGTAGGTCGCGGGCTTAGTAGGCAATGTGGAACTGGCAGATACCGCGACGGTCGAGCCAGCCGGCGCTTGGGATGGGTTGCCGCTGGAGACGGCAACGCCGGTGGTGGTGGTCTTGGCCGAAGTACCTTGGGCAGCAGGAGCAGTGGTGGTCGTGGTGATCTTACCGGAAGCAGAGCCTGCAGAGGTCGTGCTGACTGGAGCCGGCGCAGAAGTGGTCGTGGCTTGGGCGGGAGCAGACGTCGTGGTAGGCTGGGGAGTGGCCGTGGTAGCGGTTTCGGCAGGCTGCGAAGTCGTAGTACTGCCACTTTCACTGCCACTGTCGCTGCCGGGAGCAGGGAGCGTCACAGGGATAGTAACGCCGACAGAATCACAGACTTCCTCGATGATCGTCCAGGAAGCTGTGATGAGCTTGGTTAGCTAGAGAAGTCGAGTGGTTGGTCGTAACATTTCAATGGGAAAAATTGACATACTTTCAACGTCCGAAGCGCTGCAAGCAGCCGTGACCGCCGACACGATGCCAGAGAAGAAAGAGGTGCTCTTGCAGTGGCATGCGAGGTCGGTCGTCTCGCAGCCGTCCGCGGTGAGGCCGTTGATGAATGGGGTTTCCTGTTGTTTAGAAATATGCGGTTAGCATTTATTGCTCATCGCTCGTCTTTTTCATGCTTCGAATCTGAGGACAGGCCGCAGTCGATAGAATTTCGGGGTACGTACGGCACATGTAGGCAGGGCTGGGAGATCCGATGGAAGACTTTGAGCGTATGCGCCCATGGCCAATGCCAGGGTCAACGCGCCGACGGTGGACGTCTTCATGATGAAGAGAGTTCGGAGCACTTGGGGTCTTTTGCTGCTGAGGGGGCTTTTGAACGAGTGTGGGTGGTCAACGAGTGTGCGAAGTTACAGTGAAGACTGTAGCGTTGGAGAGAGCAGTTGCTGATGTGTTCAGAGCAAGACATCAAGTTCTCAAGTGACTGCTTCCATTTAAATACCATCATCTCTCTCATCCTATACCCCAGGTACAACGCCGATGATCGGAGATTGATTGATTACCTTGATCTAATCATCTCATTCAGCTTCTCAGAGCTGTGAGACAGTCACCGTCCCCTTTCTGACCAAAGAGCCGCCGGATGTGCAAAAGTCCCGTGCCTGATACTGCAGTGGTTGTTGCGATGCGGTTTCGGGAGGAGGATTGGGTGGAGCAACAAGGCTGCGTGAATTACCGAGTTCGGGAACCAAGCCTTGTGCAGTTCAAGTCTTGGCTGTTCTTCAGTTTGAACCATCCACTAGCATCGTGTCTACGGACTGCAACTAAGCCAAGATAGGCAACTCTGCTCTGAGATAGGAAGTCCGGGATCCACAGCGGCCACCGGCGCCCCACTACGCCTCCTGCTTTACTGTACGACGTTCAAGTTTATTCAAACGACAATTACTGCTACGCTGAACACTACACAGGTCCCTAGCTATACATGCAGGTCCCCTTGCCAAGGTGCTATAATTGATAGTCCAGCTCTCAGCCAGTAATCAACCGCAGGGGGTATTTCAAGCTCGTTGCCGAGTCCGACCATGTTCGGCTGGTTCTTGCTAAGTACTCAGGTATGCGGAGCAGCTTGCGCCCTCGCAGTGTCCACGGAGCATCCGAGAGTCGCTACATGGTGGCGTTGTTGTCTCATATCGACGTCGACTTGACTAACACCTCCGTTGGAGTCCAATTCATGCATAGAGGACCTAGGTGAGGTAACCCTGTGTCTTCGGGACTGTTAGATTACTCACGGCAGCACTTTACTTGTTACTAATTTGACCCTTGTACTCTTTCTTCACGGTCAGTGCTTTCTCTATATAGAGACCTAACGGCATCAACAGAGGGAAAGAGAGCGGCCCCCAAGAAAAGTTTAGAGGACAACCGTCATGGCAGTGCCTGTGCCCTAGCACTCAGGCTGGCAGGTACTGACATACGCAAAAAGTCGGAACCAGGGCCAGCGAGAAGCCGGAAGGGCCCAATGCCGAAGCCACCAAGTGCACAACCTGTGCGGAGTGGCAATAACGTTGTGTGATCAGCAAAGTCTTCTTTCCGAGGGGTGGGATCAAGACTAGCTCGTTCATCTCAGGGTCTCAAAAGGTCAAATCACACACAGCTGTGCATCGCCCAATGCCTGCTAGTATCCATTCACGGCTACCATGGACATACTAAGGGTTGTGACTGAGGTAGCATTGAGGCATTTGACAGCAGTGGAGTCGACATAATGTTTTGAGACTTGATCGGACCATTCTCTCTGAATAGAAATGAGGCGGAGACTCGTGGAAATCAACTCCCAGGTATCTGATTAGATGCTTCTTATTCGCATTTCCATAGCGTCCGATGTCGCTCTGAGTGTTGGTTCCAATCTCATAGTCACACGACTATCTGTACAGAACACGGCGAGATAGACGGCCCAGGCTATATATATCACACAGGGGTTTACCATGACCAAGCGGGTAGTCCCCTTCACGCGTATGCACAAGACTCTCCCAAAGCTATTCATTATGGCCAAAGATGCTACCAAGCCACAGGGAGAGGAAGCAGGAGGCGTATTTGAGCTTCGGGATGAAGAGAAGAGCAGCGCAACACCTGACAGCACAGCACCAAAAGAGAAGAGTGATGACGCTCAAAACCATGAGTCTGAACCCAGGACTGTGCCTCAACTCGGGGTGCGCCGAGCAGAGGCCATGACTTCAGTTTGGGGCCGCAAACAGCTGCTCGTGCTTTATATACTGCAAGCAAACCCATCAATCAGCAAGTAAAGCAAGCTCTGCTGACACACGTACAACAGAATCTGGGTCGTCCAATTCATCTCGACCTTTGCCAACGGCGTCGTGACCACCCTCAACCCCTATGTCACCAGCGCCTTCGCGAGCCACACCATGACTCCGACGGCACTGATTGTGGGCGCACTCTGTTCCGGGATTTTCAAGCTGCCGTCGGCGAAACTGATGGATCTGTGGGGAAGACCACAGACATTGACACTGGTGGTTCTGATCCAGGTGCTCGGCTTCATCATCCTGGCGGCATGTCGAAACGTGCAGACGTACTTTGCGGGTCAGGTCTTCTACCAGGTCGGATACCAGGGTATTGCATACTCTGTCATTGTCATCATCGCCGACACCTCGACCCTGCGTACTCGAGGGTTCTACCTGGCAGTGGGCACTTCGTCGGTCATTGCCACCACATGGGCGTCGGGCCCCGCCGCTCAATCGATTCTCGAAACCATCGGGTTCAGATGGGGGTTTGGGATCTGGGCTATTGTTGTGCCTGTCACTTGCGCTCCGCTTGCGGGGCTGCTGTACTTTTACCAATACAAGGCCGAGAAACAAGGACTGGTGTCGCCTTCGCCGGTTCAAGAGAGCGACAATATGACTCTGGCGCAGAAGGTGATTTTCTACCTGCGAGAATTCGACGTGGTGGGAGTGTTGATGCTCTCGACTGGCTTGTCACTGTTCCTTCTCGGCCTGACATTGTGGGCGTTCCAAAAACAGCAATGGAAGTCCCCCATGATTATCTGCTTTTTGATTTTCGGCGGCTTGCTAGTCATTGCTTTTGTGCTGTACGAGAGATATGTGGCTCCCGTGTCGTTCATGCCGTGGCCCTTGATTTGGAACCGCACCATCTTCTTCACCTGTGTCATGGCCGCGAGCACATTCACCGGGTTTTACATCTGGAACGCCTTCTTTCTCTCGATGCTGGTGGCTGTCTGGCACCAGAGCACCGCCAACGCGACATATATCACCAACATTATGCTGGTGGGGACGTCGGTTGGAGGCATCGTCGTCGGGCTGGCGCTGATGGCTGGTGCGAGGCTGAAATACCTGGCTCTCGGGGTTGGGATGCCACTGGTCCTTTTGGGAACTGGTCTCCTGTACCACTTCAACGACCCGTCCACTGAGATCGGATATATCATCATGACCCAGATTTTCATCTCCTTGGGCAGTGGTGTGGTCGTGCTAAGCGAGCAGCTGACTGTCATGGCAGTGTCAGACCACCAGCATTATACCGCGGTGATTGCCATCGAGGGTCTCATGTCCAGCATCGGCGCCGCGTTTGGTCTCACGATCGCCGCGTCGATTTGGATTGGAATATTCCCGGAGAAGTTGGTCAAGTACATGCCGCTTCGGGACCTGTTCAGTCTGCCGCAGATCGTCGGCGACTTGAATGTGCAGGCATCGTTTGCCAAAGGAACCCCAGAGAGGATAGGCATTGATCGCTCATACTGCGAGACACAGGACTATATGCTGATCGCGTCATTGTGCTTCTTTGGTCTGTCGTGGGTGGCCATCCTGTTCTGGAGAAATGTCAACATGCGCATTCCGGAACTGACGAAGGGGAAATTTTAAGTTGCTGGAGGAAGAGCATCAAGTTCATGTCTTGGCTCCACTACCCACCAAGCATTTGGCGGCCACTGAGAAGTGCTGGCTGGGGTAATACCCGGTTGGATAAGACGGTAGAGACATGTTGACCCACCGTTTCAGTCCGGCCAGTTGTGGCCACCCCTTGACACCCTTGACAGCGGCCCAGGAAGCAGGAGGAGGAGAGACAGAGACACGGGTATTGGTTGGATGTAATAGATAAAGTAGATTGAGACCACTGAGCAACCCGGGATAACCAAGGTTGAAAGGCGCCATGAATCATACATGATACCCTTTGACAAACCCGTTCTATTCCTTCCTTTCTACAGCATAAACCGGAACGAAGGATGATCGTCTCCCAGATTCCCTTTCTCATCCTCTGGCAACTCATATCTATAGTCTCGGCCCCCGTTGTCGCGAATCCGGTTCTCCCGAATAATGTACCATGCCAGCACCGTCGCGGCGGCGACAGTGACCCAGCAAAGACCTAACCCTACGCCGAATCCGGTAGGGTACGTCGGTGCCTCACGGGTGAGGAAGACGGTACTCCCGATGATGCCACTATACAAATCCAACGTTAGCAAGATCACATCAACAACGTTTGCCGCTGTGGGCTTTGGCATATTGCACGCAAGATGGACATATGTGGCATGAATGGGGTGATAGTAACACCTACCTGACATTTCCCAGGCCGACTGACAAAGCAGTGCCCGCAGCGCGCTTATAGTGTCCGCTCAGGTTGTTGTTCAGCCAGCCAATGGTGATGGGTTGCGTGATGTATCCGCCCATGACGATGGTGTATAGGGCAAAGTAGCGAGCACCCACAGGCACCGAATGCATGGCAAGTAGGATGGCGTAGCCGATGGTGGTGATGGCGGCACCGAGGACGATGAAGCCGTATCGATGTTTCATCCGGTCGGAGAACCAAGCCGCACCCAGCGCCGCGAGGGCTGCCGCGACCCAGATGGGAATCGACATGACTTGTGAGCGTACCGATGTCCATCCGAGTTGTTTGAGGATGGTTGGGGTGAAGAAGGCGAACGCGTAGTTGGTCGTGGTCACGCCCAAAAACATGAGGACGCTGTGGATCAAGAGTAAGTGGTCAGCAACAGCAACAGTTCAGAAGACAAAACATGACAGGCTTTATGACGACCGAAAGGAAGCAGGACCAGCACATACCCAAGCCAGATTTTGATGTCGCCAAACACGCGCTTCGACGTGCCTTTGCCCCAGCGATCCATTCGACAACGGTCTCCTGTGTCCAAGCCGAGTCGTTGTTCTAGGAGCGTCCGTTCGGACTGGGACAGAAACCTGGCCGTTGTCGGCCAGTCCGGAAGGACGAAGATGGCCGCCGCGGCGATCAGGACCGTGGCAATGCCTTCAATAATGAAGATCCATCTCCAGCCGCCGTATCCGGCAATTCCGTCCATGTTGGCCAGTCCGTAGGCGAGCAGGCCGCTAAAGGCTCCGGAGATGATGGCGGCGCTCCACAGAATGTTTAAGCGCCATTGCAGTTCGTTGCGCTTATAGTACATGGAAACCAGGTAGACCATGCCGGGGAAGAAGCCCGCTTCGAACACCCCAATCAGCACACGGCAGACGACGAGGCCGGCGAACGATCCGGTGACACCTTGACAGACGGTCATGATTCCCCAGCCGATGATCAGAGAAGGGAGGTAGATGGACGGGCGAAGTCTCTTGAGCAGGACGTTGGACGGAAACTCGAGGGTGATGTATGGGATGAAGAACATCTAGTAGCCGGTCAGTCCACCAAACACTGTTTCACTCAGGTACTACCACTCACAAAAAGGGCAATGTTGTAGTCGGAGCCGGTCATGTTCAAGTCTTTTTCCAGGCCCTGAATTCGTGCATTTCCGATGTTCACTCTGAAACCACCCACAAGTCAGCAAAGGTCCAACGTGTCGGAGTTGAGCCAGCAGCCAGGTTCTTACCGATCAATAAACGCGCACATATAGAGCACAAACAAGGGCGGGAGCAGATGCAAGTCGATCTTGCGCACCAGCGCCTTTTCTGCCGCGGCGTCCAACTGGACGAGCTCGCCCTTGTCGGCGACCGGGAGAGCGGCCTCGTCGACCATCTCGGCGTGGATGGACTGACTCTCCTTCTCCGCCATTTTGTCCGGCAAATATTTGATGGACGCGATTTCCAGTCAATGGCGGTCGAGTTTGTTCAAAGAAGGTCGCACGAAAACCACACAAAAACACGTCCCAAAGTACCTACCAGTTAGGCAGGGCAGGGCTCCCCCTTATACCCGGCTCAACCTTCAACCTTGGACCTCTGCGGAACCTTCCCGTTGCCACGCATGGGGGTAAAGGAGGGCAGCACCGATCCCCCACAAAGGGACCCATTGCGGGGACCCCGCATGCAATCTGGATTGGCAATTCACCTGTAAACTACAGGCTTGGGGCCACGGGGGGGTTGCTTAGGCCTGCTTAGTCCACCTATAAGGGTTGCCGCATTGTCGAGCGGAATTAACGACGATACTAAGTACTTAGTTCATCGACGCCCGAACAACCGCGTGCCATTTGCACAGTGGACCTCGGTTGGTATAGAGAGGTACTAGTACTCTGATGGCAATCTTGCACATCGAACCAGCACTGTACGGCCAGCTGCAAGTTGCAGATGTGGAAGCGAAAGACCGGCCCAGAAACATACCTTGGTTTTTCCTGAAAGATGTACAGAGATCGTTCCAAGGGTTGCGAGTCATCGTCCATGTTCGGAAGTGACACGATGGCCTGTAAAATAAATCGTTTGACCTCTTCCTCAGTGTCTGATTCGGTCATCTCCAACATATGGTGGCTGTGTGCTGAGGGATTTCTGGTCAAACCCTGTTCCCTGTTCATACCACCGGGTCTTGCTCAGGATATGTCGGCTGTGAGGCTTATCACGGCCCGGGCAGTCGGCTTGCGACTGTTGGTCGGTGAGAATGTCGGCACATGCAGAAGGCTGCGGCATCGAAAGAGTTGGCCAAACTTGTATTGAAGCCATGACGGCGCCAGTGCCCGGCTCCTCAGGAGTTCGATTGCTGACCGCGCGGATCATTTGTCTTTTCCACAGTGCGGTCCTCCTCCACGTTGACAGCACTACATGCAGAGAAGGGAGCAAGTTCTTCACTTACTAGTTCGGCTCACCTCATGCATTCATATGTCCAGCCGTGTCGAACACATGTTCTGCCGAACGCTTCAGTTTCAGGCTGGCCTAGAATGGCTACACGGAATGTGGTTGCAAGTCTCGACTGAGGCTGATGCACAGAGTAGAAGTGGGCGGAGGCCAGAGGATCCGCTTCATGGCCAAGGGAGCTTTATACTGGAATCTCTCAAGATCTCACCGGTTGGCCAGTCCTTTTGGAAAATGACTAGCACAGCTTCCAATAACCCAAAAGTCAATACTCGGACTCGTGCATTTCCAATGATGCTACATTTGCAATAACCAAAACAGGCAACATAGTATAGGATTGGATGCTAGAAACCAGCGCATAGAAGTGCCTGAAAAGTGCTCCGAGGCATTTCAGGGGCCAAGGTTCTGCAGTGCAGCCAAAGCCTGACGAGCTCCGGCCCGTTATTATAAGACAGGAGACTCAGAGGCAACGGGAAACACCCTCTACAAATAAACTGTTTGTATGCCGCTTTATTAATGCTCAAAATCTCATCACAGCTGTTGTCATCAATTCATGTCTATGCAATTGCCATATATCAAACAAGCAATCCAAGTTTACCCCCAGCGCCTTGCTATAAGGAAGAGAATACAAACAAATAAACACACAAAATTCCATCTCTCGCTAGCCACTTAGGATGACGATGGCTCTTGTTGCTGTTGTTGTTGTCGAGCCTCCCTCTCCTTCTGCTGCCGGCTCAGGGCTGCACGAGCAATGATCTCTCGCCGACTCAAGCCAGTCTCGGCCGGGGCATCCTGTGACCGACCGAGCACAAAGTCGCCGCCGGTCCAGCCGCCATGGTCGGCATGTTCTGCGTCATCATAAGTGTCGTTAGGGTCATAGAACTCTTCATTGGAAAGACGATGTCCGCCATGCAGCGTGTCGTTCCTCTCCACCTCTTGCTCAATCTCCTTGGTGAGATTCCAGAAGTTGCGGTCATGTTCGCCCCAGACGTTGTGGGAAAGTTCATGGCAGAGCGTCTTGCGGATGACCTTGTAGTCTCGATATCCGTCGTAGCGGTCCGTCCGTAGGCGCAGTTCAATCACCTCGCCCCGGTTCCGGTTAAGTCCCAGCGTCTTGGATTCGTGCGTTGTATGTTCGGCCGGGTTCATCTCGGTGAGTAGGCCCACGCTGAATTTATGTTTGCGCATCGCCGCCTTGATGCCCGGGTCATTCGCGAGGCGCTCCAGATATCTCCGACTCTTCTCGGGATTCGGCAGATACGGTAAAGGTTCGATGGCGTGGAATGTGTATTTGCTTTCTTCCTGGATCCGCTTCCAGTCCCGACTTTTGTTTGCCTGCACCGGCTTGAAGCTGCTGGGTCGAGTTACACGTCGGCTGGCCGCCGCCATGTCATCCATCTTTTTGATTTCGGTGTTTGGCGTGCCAACTAGTTTGATGCGCGTCGTCGGGGTGAGAAACTCGCTCAGCTTGCGCTCGGGGAACGGGTGCTTGACGAGACCCGGCCTGGGCAGGAAGAAGAGTGATATCCGCTCGACGTCGGCACCGATTTTCTCGGCGCATCGTGTCGCGAGCCCTTTGATGGTTTCGTCGGCCTCATCCTCAAATTCGAGGGTCTGGTCTCGATATTGAATCCGCATGGGTTGGGTTTCGGCAGAACTGATGTACTGTGTTGTTTGGTCGTTATGTCTTGGACTTGCGATAGAGCGATTCTAGCCGGCAAGATATTCGGATAAATCAGGTGGGTGACGAGGGCACAAGGCTGCGAAGAGTATATGGCGAATCTGAATTGTTTCTCTGCCATTCGACCAGGTGCTGCGCTGGGAATAATGCTAGAACTGTATTAATCAGCGGAGGATGAGGCGGTGCAGCCTCGTGCAGCCTGAGTGTCCACCACCACTCGGACTCGAAGGCGCCCACAAAAGGCTCCAGGCCGATGACGCACGTCGATTGTACGACCCACGTACAGAACTTGAAGCCACTGGTACTAGGTACTAAACTCGGACAACGCGCACCATAATACGACAGCTACTGTAGTTGTAGACGTACAAAAGTACGTTATTGTAATCCCCAATTTAACGGTGATTTACTATGACTTGAAATCATCAGCTCTACTTGATCACACCAGACTCTTTGGTAGGCAAGTATTAATTATTATCGTAGCTCAAGCTGCTGCTATCAACGCGGCCTCTTGGGCGCTACTCTGCTTCGTACTGATACGGAGGCATTGACGCGTTTTCATCAAGCGTATGCTCCGTCTTCTTTGGAGGATGAATCAGGGTGGGACCCGTCGTCGCCCTGAAGAACCTCTTGCTCGTCCGGAAGTTTGATCCATTCCTGACTGTGCATATCCCACTGGTGTCCCTGAAACTCGGTCCGGACCAACGCAGCATCCGAGTACTCTTCCGTCAGGATCGGGACGTATGAAAAGGGCACCTTGGCCTTGACGCCTTCAAAGTAGGTGTGTCTCAGTGGGAAAATGTCTCGTAATCGGTATCGGTGGTTGTTCTTGCACATGATGATTCCAGGCTCGGTCTCGGGGTACACTTCGGACAAGCCGGTGATGTCGACGAACAGTCCGTTGTCAACACTGATGAAGCGCGCGTCGATGATCTGTACACGTCTGTCAGTCCAGGCCGAGCATCTTGCGGTCAAAATGGTACGCACATTGGCTCCGTCTCCTCGATCTCGCTGCCACGACCACGAGTTGACATCGAGGTAGTATCGTCGCTTTGGCTGACCATCGCCGACTTCATAGTCGTAATAGGTTTGGTTGTAGTGTTTCCCGAGAAGTCTCAGACCTTCGTCAGTGACTTGGGTGTCGAGATCCCAGTCCCATGGTAAGATCTGTTGGACGGTCAGTGTGCGCTTTTTTCTTGTCCGTCAAAATTTCCAACCCACCCTGCCATTCCAGTACCAGGCCAGCAGAGTCCCATGTGCGATCCAGGTCTCGATGCCCAGATAGTCAAAGGTCAAGAAGTATGCCCGAATCAGATGTTGCAGGGTGTCTCGTCTTTCCTCGTCGCTCACAATTCTCTGGAAAAAGCGGGCGTCGTAGTGGTGTAGGAGATCATCACCGCCTGGTTCGTGGAAGTACTTGTTTCGGTCGGGGTCTGGAGGAGCGGTCGCGGTGGAGGATGGAGCGCCTGCGCTGAGTGCGGTGGGAGCGGAAAGTGAGATCGACTCGGAGGGAATAGGCGTTGACAGGGTATCCGATAAGGGCGAAGCGTGTCCAGGGCTCACCCAAGTGATTAGGAGGCTGAGGAAAACAATGAAGAGGTATTGATTTGAAACCATGGCTGTTGCTTGCGAAAGAGGTTCCCGTTGAAAGGTTCTCGATTCATGGTCAAAGTGAATTCAGAAGATGCAGGAGAGGTGTGATGGGTGTCGATGGGTAGTTCTCAGCGTGAAGGTCAACGCAGGCAGAGCATCACCGTATGTGCAACGAGAAGGCGCCGTGTACAAGAGGAGACGGAAGGAAGGGAGCCTGAAAGACAACGGAGGCGCGTTAATGAATCCAGAACAGCTTCAAGAGACCGAAGTATTAGACATCATTGTCACCCAGAAGCATGACAGTGGCGGCAATAGAAGGAGCAAGTACAGTGTCACCTCGTAGTAGTAGTAGAGATATGAGATAGCACTCTATGATTAGCAGTCGTTGTACATGTTGCCCAGTCTCCATTCACAGAATTGTGCAGGGACTCGAGACCGACGATATCTCCCGCTTACACTGGCAGTGCATGTCGCGTGCCAGCTTGCCGCACCTGGAATTGTCAGAGACACTTGATTGAGGACCATCATCGGAGCAGCGGCACCAGCACTGGGCCAGTCAGGAGCCAGCGGCGGTCAGCGCATCTCCAGGATTCAGGGTTTTGTGCGCTCTGATAAGAGGCATGGGTGCCACTGACGATGCTAAAGGCTACAGCGTCGCACAGAGCCTTCCCAAAAGCCTCCTTAGGCCTCCCTAGGGCTCCCTAGCCCCTCGGTTCCCGGCCCGCCAGGGGGCCTGTTTGGCTTGGCCGCTTGGCAGAGGCGAGAGATGCCCAACCGTCAAATCACAGCCGCCACCGTCTTCCGTCGAAGCCGAAAGGACAGGGAACTCGACAGGCCTTGCGCTGGATTTGCTTTGCGGGAGTGGAACGGCGGTTATTGGCAGGGGCTTCAGGGTGGACTCCTCAGCCCGTCATTACCTAGGTAATTTAGCAGCGGCAGAAAGAACCCGACATGAACTTCAAGTGCTGTGCCTGACAAGTTGTAATATCCTCCAACATATAGTAATAAATAGTAGTAGTAGCAATAGGTAATCGCGGTTCTGGTTCAATCCCAACTTCAAATTGAAAGGTGGACTTGTACTCGGTGGCCCCGGATCGGAACATTCCCGGACCAACCTTGTTCCGTTCCGGCCTGACTGTGCATTATCACTCAGGCTGCACTGGGAACGTGAACTTGAGTGCCGTCGTACGTACTACTATTTCTCGGCGTGCTATATACAGTCTCATATCCAAGTCTGAGTTCAATGTATATATATCATTTAGTGCCCGTTGGCGTTGGCCCCTGTCACCTCAGCCACAGGGACGCTGTCAGTCCCTTGAAGATGTGAAGTCGGGGCTGCCTGGACAGAACCATTCCCATTCCTCGCCCCATCAGCCGCTGTGTCTGCTTGGCAACATGTTCCATTCTGGTCCCGTCCAACCTCGACACTGCTGAGATTCTTGTTGCTCGGGACATCCAAGGCCGGGTTTCTGACAAAAAAGTCCGCCGGCCTCAGTTGGAGCTGGTGGATTTCCACCGGCATGACCGGCCAGTCTTCCACCCGAGGGTTGTGAGTAAGTCCGAAGACGTTCCAAACCACCACGTCCTCGTTTTCCACGTCGTCATTGCGGCTCACGGCATCCGCAACACCGCCAATCTCCTTTTGTGACTGATTTGTAAACTCTCCCGCGGCGAACAGCTCGTCGTCCTTGTACTTGGTCACCCAGACATGGTGGTGGGCAAAGGCCGCCCGCTTCGCGACGATGGACTCGGGGTCGGCCAGGATCAATTGCGTTGGCGAAGGGATGAATTTGTACGCCACGGGCCGTTGAGAGATCGGATTGATCTTGTTGGTATTGGCCATCTTGATGGTCAAATTCGTGAACGGAGAGGCATGGATGGCCGACGATTTGGTCACCGGCTTTCGCACGACTTCGTAGCCGTTGCCAAACGGATTCGTCTTCGGGTTCATCGGCATCGGCAGCGACTCTTCCGTAAAGATGGTGTTCTCGTGTCCGTCGATGGCGGGATCGATCCGCACCGCAAAGATATGTTGATGGTTTTGTGCCAGGGCACCCGGTGACACGACGTTCCCGTACGGACTCACCTTGCCCGGATCGATGTTCACCACGGATACAATACCCGTGGCCCGTGTTTCGACTGTGATACTGCGTCGGGAGAAACCCCGTAGTCAGCGTGGTGTCACCTGCAGACAGTCATCCGACTCACCCTCCAGCTTGATCCAGCTTGAACGCAAAAATATACTCGTAGTTGGCGAGCGTGATGATAAATTGCACTACCAGCTCTCTCGATCTCGTCACCACGGCTCGGTTGGTTCGGAAGTTGGTATGCTTCCACCCGATGCCGTTGTCCTGTTCGTGGATACAAACGACGTTCTTTGACACTGATGGTTTGCCTTCCGAGTCGACAAGCATGGCGTCGATATACTTGATCACACCAAGACAGTCGCAGCCCAAGGCAAGGTTGTTCGCCGCTCGACCGGCACCAGCATCGCCGAAATCGAACGCCTGCTTGCGCTGAAATGGCGGTCGAGGATCGCCGTACGGGACGGTCATCTCAGACAAGCTCAACCGATACAAGACACTGCGACCGTCATATTGCACATCGTGCAACACTGCACACTCTCGAGGAGTAAACCTAGGTCAAGGTCAGCACCAGCTGGTTTACTTTCAATAGTACTGAAAGAGGCGTGACATACCCAACCCGGAATCTCCATTTCTGCCACTCGATCAACGAGTCGTCGCTAACCTTGAACGAAGGCCCTTCAGGCTGCACCACGTTCAAAGGTTTCAGGTCGTCGCGAAGAGGAATGTCCAGCAGCTCTGGGACATACTCGGCCGGTTGGCAGTGCGCCAGCACGTTTGCTTTGGCGGTTCCGTATTCCAGCCCGTCTTCGGCACCTCCAGTGGCCAGGCGGTCGATCCGGATAATCTCCTTTTTGTACGTGTCCATCACGGGAATGATGGGGAGAGGAAAGGCGTAGTGATTTGTATCGGGGTTCTCATGTCGAAGCTTTGCAAAGCAAAGGCCCTGCGTATATCTACAGATAGACCATCAGAAGACAAACACACAAAAAGGTCAGCTGGAACCAAACTCAACCTACCGTGGAGTCACTTCGCCCGGGTCAGGGCCACCGTAGGGCCACGGATCAATGGCAACCTCGAACTTCGTTTGGTCGAGATTGAGCTCTCGAATGGCCTTTTTGAACATCTCCGACTCGACACAGACATCAGTAAACTCGCGGAACTCGTCCACGGTCAAGGACTGCTGGGCGCCCTTCTCCAAGCGTCGGAGATGGACTTCCTTGCCCGTGGCAATGTCGACAATTGATTCCAGATACTCATGGCTGCGATCGTCGTAGACAACGTCGTACTGGACACGAGCCTGGCGGGCCGGTCGGGGCGTGTCTGGCGATAGAGTCCCGGCGTGCTCGGCTTCGAGAAACTTGACCACTTGGGCCTTGGGCGGCTCGACGGTGTAGATGTTGCGGAAGAGAATGACAGACTTGCGTGCGTCCAGCACGGCTTGTCGCGCGATCTCGATTTCTTCGCTGCTCAACTGGTCAAAGGGGTGTTTTTGCACCCTCTTGGGCACCACATGGCCATTCGAAGCCGTCATGTTGGGTTGAACTGAAGAACGAGATTGTGGAAACCAGAAACGACCAGACCAGACAATCCAAGTGACTGGGAAGAAACAATGACAGAATACCAGACCAACCTAGAAAGAAAGAGATAAAGTCGCAATGAGCCGCCTAGAAGAGAGAGAGAGAGAGATGGGATACTACCTTAGGTAGGTACAGTAGTAGGAGTAGTAGTTCGGTTTGATGCTTCTGCCGTTGTAGCCACCGCGGACTTCTCCTGCTGACAGGTGCCTTGTTTGAAGAGTCAATTCAAACGGTCCAGAATTGCCTCCACAAGCACGCCAACGAGCCGTCCTCTTGGTGATTGTTGTCCATGTTCAAACGATAGGCCTCCAGTGACGCCGCAGACGAGCAGTAGATAAAGCATTATCAATGATCATCCTGTCAAACATGAATCTGTAACCAATGTGGCCGTGGCGTCGCGTCGACATTCCCGATCGAGCCTGATATCTAGAGTCTAATCAATGACGAACTGAAAGGCCAGCAGGAGGTAACCCTGGAGATTCTACAAGTTGAAGGACTGCAGTACGACGAGCTGTCATTACATGCACCCCAGCCTGCCTGTCTCTATGTATCCAAGACTCCCATACTGACATCCAAACTCTAACTCACCCGTCTCTGCTACTTGGCCAGTCTACCCAACAGGAGCAGTTTGCAGTACATACAGTGGTAGGCGTCCCTTGGGGGATTATGGAAATTCGTCGTCTTCATCCGTAGCCCACAGTTCCTCATTCAAAAGATCCGCATGTTCATCGTCCAACGTGGTTGTCACTTTCGCAGGTTCAGGCTCGGGAAGAGAAACAATGCCCGGCATGCCAATTTCGTATCGAATAGGAGGGTATGTCTGCGGCGCCCACGGTGCAAACACCACGGCAAACGTCCTGCTCTTCTTGCGGTCCCGCCAGATGTTCCCTCCGGCATATTCTTGCCTCTCGCCTTCCATCTTAAGGACGATGCGAGCAGAGATCTGGTTGGCCCACGCCAAACCCAGAGCCGGGTTTTTGTACTGTCCGCGCCTTTCGTGAGGGTCGTCGCCCCAACCCGTGAAGAACTGCTGCTGGTAGTCCAGACTCTGTACTTCTTGGCGTCGCTCGGCGACAGCAGGGGAAACTTCGACGTTGGGGCCTGACAAAGCTGGTGAGGACCTCGTAGCAGGAGACGAGGAAGAGGGCCGTCCTATGTTTCGCTGGTCCTCGAACCGATCCGACACTTGGTTGGTCACCACGATAGCGGTGTTGTTTTGAATGGCTACGCGTCTGAGCATCGTTGCCAGCTTGCCCAGCTCCACGGCCCTCTCGGCCAGACCTGCTGGGGTTCGAGTTTCGTGTTCGGCTCGGAAGTTGGCTGCCACCGAATCCAACACCACCAGCCCGATGTTGAATCGCTCTACCGCCACGGGCAGCTGGTAGCGAAGAATGTGTTCCTGGGCCTCGAGGTCGTTGGTCGCAATGGTATGCACAAAGTCTAGAGACGGACGGTCTTGAGGCTCCATGCTTTCGTACTCCGGATGGGCATAGAGCATTTGTTTGAGTCGGCTGGTGTTGAGCGGCGCCTCGGTCGACACGTAGATGGCCCCCTTGCCCAAGCCTCGGGGAGGAGGCAGTTGGACCGACAGCAGCAGGCCCAGGACTAACTGGGTCTTCCCAACAGCGCTCTCGCCAACGATCTCCGTAATGTGTCCTGGTGCAAACCCACCGACCAGTGCTCGATCAATGGCTGGGTCGAGTGTCTTCACCCTCAAACTGCCCTTGTGCGATTCCGCCGCTTCATTGCTCGGTCCACCAGCATCATCTCCGGCGCCTACCTCGGGCTGAGACGTGTCCTGGCCTATCTTTTTCACATTAGCCGCCACGTCAGCCTGCAGCGCTTGGACGACGTCCGTGACGAGTTTTTGGACGTCCACCGACGGTAGAGGACATGTTCTCGCGATCTCCTTGGGATCGGATGTGAGTAGATCGGCGACGGTGATGTCGTTCTTCTCGAGCGAGTGCAAGAGATGCGTGTACGGCTTGATGTCGAAATCAGGAAGGACTTCGAGGAGGTCGGACATTGCCAGTCGAACTCGAGGGCGGCAGCGATCGGGGCGTAGAGATGTAGCCACACAGAGCCATCGTTTACCCCAGGTTCACCATAGACACAGGGTAGCAAAGGGACTGTCCGACAGTCTGTTTGCTCCTCGAGCAAACGCGGCTGAAGCACAGCAGGGGCACAACAGCGGTACAGGGGTTGGCTGCAGTGACTGAAACCAAATGATAATGTCGATGGTTGATTTACAAACCAACCGACGAGGCTGCGCGTGGCACGCGAAAGACATAATATAATATTCGATTGGACCAGCAGAACAAATTGATCCATCGAGCCACCACCACTCATAGTGTCCTTCTTTCTCCAGCTCCAACTTGAACGTCAACTCAAGAATAACATACACTGTACTTCCTCCTGCGTGAAATCGAGTATCCTCTGCAACTTGAACCACACTCAAAATGGCGTCTGTCGCCCAGCCATGGCTGATCTCAAAGTAAGGCACACCTACAGACCCAAAGTCCCTCATCTTCAGTCCCAGTGCATGTCAGAAAGTACATTCTAGCTGACAACCGAATTCCAACCCTCAGATTCATTGACCCTATCTTCGCCGTCTGTGTCGGCCTCTCTGCAGCAGCCGTGCGAATCCGCCGCGAAGAGAGAGAAAAGTACCCCGACCAAGACTCCAGCTTCCCTGCCCTGTGGCAGAAAGGCGTCACGATGGCGCGGAGCTACTACGCGCGCGAGGTGAAAAGTGACAGCAAGTGATGCGCGTGAAGAGGGAGTTCAAAAGGGCCAACAAGTCTATATGGTCTGGATACCGGCGTTTCGGACGGCTATCAAGGCAATCAGGTCTTGAAATGAGTCGACAGTCCCATTTTTCTTGATCCTCGCTCGACACAGCGTATTGCACTGCGCGCCGATAATTTTCTCACGCCAATACCGGGAAGCAACATCGAACTTCCCTACATGAAGGACACACTGTTCCCACAGCCTCCTCGTGGAGACCATGAGAGTTCTTCTCTATCAGACCTTCACGCTCCAAGACTCGTGGCTTTACTGCGGGAGCCTTGTCCGTACTCCCAGCTCGAGATATCCTGGTCCACCGAACGGGAGGGGTCATGGGGGCACAAGTTCAGAACTGCTCCATGGGGAAGCTTGACGATCGATACTGAGTGGCATCCATTTCGGTCCCTATCTTCTTGGGTTGACTTCTAGACGCCATGCTCTGGGTTTATACAGTCATCACTGTGATGCCGATGACTACATCGCATCCAGAAATCCGGCACTATTTCCGAATTTTCCGAGTCATGTGTCAAATGCCACTGGGATGGCCTGCAATCAATAATGTCGGTTTACTTGCTTGTCGTTGCAAGCAAACAATTGGGAGGAACATTGCGCTCACAATGCCCGAAAATCGATCGTTTTGGAACCACATCGTCCAAAGTCATTCCGACGGATGTCTGCGGCCGACCTCTACCTTTATATCTCGGGAATTGTTTGAGCTCGAGTAAACAACCACTTAATCCCAATCCTTTTCTTCTGAGGCTATACCGGGCACCATTCTGTCAGCTACGCGCGAGAGCATGGCCAGGCTTGTTTGACACAACTTGAAGCACACCAACTCGGTCCGGAGCACGAGAGACGATGCTGCCTGAGCCACTGCAAATGATTTCAACATTCGGCCTGGAAGGAGGGGGGAAACTACGTAATAGTCCTACCTAAGTACATGCAGTGATAGTTGTGTCGCGTTATCAGGAAAATGAATCTCCCCTTCAGACAATGCAATAGGTCCCATGAGTCGGCCAGGCATGTTCGTCGGCAGGAGATGGAAACCCCATGACTAGTAGTAGGGTGAGGGCAGACTGACGATGAACCGGCCGGGCGATTTCGAGACAGAACAAAACATGCAATGCAAATCCTGCCAAAATGATAGCCACAATACCTCCGTATCTCGAAGGCAGACACTTATCGAATCTATACACTCAACCTTTAAGACCAACAAGACATTGGTGGTGTCAGCAGAACATGCAAATTCATTGCACATGGCATCGTGAGATACCAGTATATAACCTCTAAGTAACAGTAATGAAAAACATATAGCGTAGCACATCTCTATCTATTCAGAATTCAGTGCCAGAATGCTAAACTCAGCATTGGCCATGATGGCCGTGGAAATGGTCCTTACTAGGTATCTATGGAAGCAAAGGCGTTGGAATATATAACAAGCATCAGAGGAGGAACCGCGAGGGACAGATATCACAAACTGACCCAAACAGGGCGAGACTCCTGCGCATTGGCAGACACAACCGAGACAAGGGATTCTCATGGAAAGTGAAGATTCATATTCGCTTGACCCTGTCCCCGTTTCTCCCGCCCTCAACCCACAATAAGCTCTACCTGTGCAGTCTTCTATCTCTCTATTCCCGAGCAAATCATGCACAGATTCATGGCCCAACAACTACAATATCCCTCATTAGCACACCCTCAGGCCACCCCCTGAGGAGGATACTCCTTTAGAATCAATCTTGGAAGATAGTCTATCCCAAGGCCAGGCATTCAATCCTGCATTGGCAGCAACGCCAGTGAACGCCACGCCCGCATAATACAAGTCTCTCTTTTGATCGGTCATAACCATTCGCCCCGCTGTATCGCCACGCCTCGCCTCACTTTGTCGGGGTCAAAACCACCACCACGGGAAGGTCAAGTCAGAGACTGATGTTCTGCCCCGACATGACGACCTCGGCCGCCGGGCACTGGCTCGTCCGAAAACCCGTTGCAATTGGAAATCCTATGCAAGCCGCTTCGAGTTTACACGATCTTGCCAAAGGCCGGAATGAGAGTCTGAGCCAGCCAGAAGCTGAAAACCAACTTGGGCCCAGTCATGAGCATCTTTGGCGTCAAACCCTTGAAGAAAGCCGTGATGCCTTCATTCTTCATCATGCTGCCCACAATTCTGAATCCAGATTCCGGGTTCTCAAAGTTCCTGTTTTGAATGCGCGTCTTGATCACATCCAATGGAGCCGACACGATCAAACTGGCCGAGGCACCCGCAACCGAAGCCACAAAGTTCTGCCCCCAGGTGGCTTTGTTGTAGTCTTCAAGCTTGAACAACTTCTCTTTGGCCCAAGCCGAACCACCGAACAGCGCAAACGAGCCAGGGGCGTTACGGGCAGCCGTCCATCCAGCACCGCGATAGAGCCCCATACCCTCGTCGGCGACGATGCGGAAAAAGCCTCGCGACCGGAATGCTTCCGGGTTGGTCTGTCGTTTGATCTTCAACACATCGAGCGGGAGAAGGATGATCTCGCCAATGCCGATCAGCGAACCGGCCGTGGCGTTCAGGATGGCCTTGCCAGTGCCTTTGCCGAACGCATTGTCGAAATCTTGCGCATGGTGCTTGGTCAGGTAGTCGCGCACAAATGGCTGGCCACCATATTTGTATATCCGCTGCAGAATCTTGTATCCGGCCGCATATCCCAGACCGGGGAAGAGAGAGGTAAACTTGGTGCCAAGGGGAGCCGAGGCATATTCGCGGAAGATGACACTGTTGAAAGCCGAAACCGATGTCACCTGCAAAAGATCGGTCAGTCTCGGGACGAAGCTGGAGCTTGGGGTGGGAAGAGCTTTACTTTGCTAGAGTTGCTCATCAGCCGTTTGGCGATTGTGTCCACAGGATGGAAGACCAAGAGCTCTGCAACACCAGCCGAGCCTGAAAAAGAAAAAGCGGATCAGTATTCGCAATCCTAAGAAATTATCGACGTGCGTATGTACCAGATCCCAATAATCTCGCTGTGCCGGATTCTTTTTTATATTCTTTAGTGGCGGAGCCCAGAGCTGGAGCCATCGCGGGAGGAGACATGACGGTAGTTTATAACGAGAGACTGCGACTTCGTCTCAGAGCAGGAGTTGAATAGAGGAGAGGTCGAATGAAGGAAGTGAGGCCGCAGAGCAAATAAATGCTGCCGAAGTACTAGTACTAGTATTTGATTTCTGTACTGGACCGGCTGCTCTTGAGAATAATCGATGATGGTCTTTACGCTGAATTGCTCGCCGCAAAGCAAAAGAGTGCCAACCCGCGCGGATGAGAAGTAAGTCGAATGCGCCTGATAGGTACACGAAGGGGAATCGCAGTAGGATGATGACCGTGAGCAAGGAAAAAAAGTTTTGGTGGAGAATCAATGGGGGAGGAGACTCGAAGCTGCGCCGGTGCCAGTGCCAGTGCCAGTGATCGGAGCTCCCACTGCTAAAGTCGGCCGCCGGAGTTGGGCCTTATCTTATCGCCGCCAGTTACAGATGTTATTACATAATCGTGTCTTGTGCGACACTGGCACGCGATATCACCCGTGAAAAACCTGGTAGAGTACCGTACCTGGTACCTGTGCTGTTGGAACACCTCTGTATTTGTATTATTGACAGACTGGTGTTCGCGCTTCCAGTAGACTAACTGCATAATCATCTTCCCATCTGAAGTGGCTGTTGGAGATGGTTCCTCGACTCTTTTTATGTGGCAACGACATGAATCGTCACGATCATAATCTCTTGTGCTTTTGCTTGCCAACCATTGCTCCATATCCATGCGGTCTTGCTGACTATGCAAACGTAAATATCTCAATGGCACCACCGCCATAAACATCCGTGTCCCGTCCTGCAACGCCGTCGCTAAGATCCAAAGAGTGAAATTAGGACGCTTGAGCTGGCTCCAGCTTGATTCTGGACTTGATGCCATTGCTGCCCTCCTGTCTGGCGTTAGCAAGTCTTTTCATTTTGGGGCAGCCTCTCAACCTCACCTCTGCTTTCCTCTTCCCAAGGACTGAATCAGGGGTCGCCGTTCGCCCTGTGCCGCCGACCGGGGTTGAGACACCATCCTTCTCACGACCTTTGGTCACTTCGGCGTAACAACTGGCGTGATAATACCGGCCTCCGATTTGAACGGCATCTTTCCAGATGAAATCCTGTACGTCCTCACTCCACTCACTCTTGAACGGTTCTTGGTCGATTGGACAAGGCAATGATCGAAGCACGGGATCCGCTGGCACTCGAACGAAATCCTGGGTCTTCTTCTTCGCCACCGCCGCAGCAGCGTTCACCGGCGCCCCATTTGCGTCGACAGGTCCGGCGTCGTCCTCATACTCTTTGCTCGCGATCCACTCCCGCTCATCAACATACCAACTGCGGTTCTGACCACGTTTCTCGGCCTCCAGCATTCTAGCCTTGGTCTTGAAGTGCCAATCCAGATGACGGGCTTTCTTCGCTCTGCCGGCCTCGTCTAATGTGAATCTCCTTCCACAAGTACTGCACTGATTCGGACGAGCATTCAAGAATCTTGCGATGAGGTGTGGCCGCCGTATCCGAATGCTAGCTGAAGCTAGACTGACTTCATCAACGGGGTCGGCGCCATATGTGGCATGGCTCGGCATGGCTGAAGTGGTGCCTGGAGGCGGAGTTGGTACAGCAGACAAGAGTCCTGACGCTCGCAATTGGGCCAGCAGGGGGTTTTCAGGCACTGGAGGAGGAACGTTGTTGACAGGCAGAGAATTAGTCGCACCCGAAGTAATTTGGCCATAATAGTTGGGTGGCTGCACAGCTTGCTGCTGAGCAGCAGTAGCCCGTAATAATTCAGCTAGATTGGTGCTGTTGAACAACGAGGTAGCAGCCGGTGCTGGCGGTTGCGGCATAGCAGCTTGTGGAGGCATGTATGCGTTTTGCACAGGCGGTGGTACCTGGACAGGCGTCGGAGTTGCAAGCTTTGCCGTCATCCTCTCGGCCATCTTTTGCATAATTGTGTTTCTGATATCCACCAAATCACTTTCTGAGGCGTTGCCGCTGTCTAAAATCTCCTTCAAAGTCTGCAGACTCGCCAATTTCCTCCGAGCACCCGCATCCATGGGATGAGTAGCACATTCGATTTTGGCATCGGTGGTAAGGTCGTCAATATCGTTGTGTAGCTTCTGTACGTCAACCGCCCCAGCCGAGACAGGCCGAGGTTGCGGTGTTGGTGTATGATACTGTGGTATCTGAGGAACCGGAGTCTGCTGGAAGAACGGAGCTGCTGGAGCTTGGTACGGTTGAGGATAAGAAACGGGGGGTGTGTGAGCGTACGGTGGTTGCGGCGTTGCCGCCTGCGGCTGGGGACTTTTGATCTGCGTCGGGACGGCCGGAGCCAGCTGCGGATATGTCTGTGGAGGAGTCGGTGTATGTCGATACCGCGGGTCGGATACTAGCCTTGCAGCAGGTGCTGGGACCGGGGTGGATTGATAACGGGTAGTCGCTGGTAAGGCAGAGCGGAATTTGTTCAAGCTGTCGACGATGGATTGTGTGCATGTGTGGGGGAAGACGGGCGTGGGCGAAAGTGAACCGGGCACTGGCTCGCGCCATGTCTTCAACATCTCTTCCAGCTTCCGCCGGACAGGAGTATCCACCTGAGAGTAAGCCAGCATGAAGATCTGGTGCAGGTTGCGACCGAAATACACCGTGTACGGAGATCCCACATTTTTCGCTATCGAGTCCAACACATATAAGGCCGGCAGCTTGCGTGCGGGAGGTGCCTATCAGATATCAGCATGCTTGACAATGGTTAAGTGGTTCGAGCCGAGAAGACCATTTTCAAACAAAAGTCGTACAGAAAAACGAAGGAAGCAAAGATGGCGACATACTCTGTTGATGTGGTTCTGAAGGACACGGGAAATTGCTTCGGCGTGTTCAATGTTTTCTTTCGCGATCAAGGTCAGATTTGAGATCTGATATCTGTCATTTGTCACAAGGTCTTCCAAAGACCCCTTGTAGTCTTCGGCGACTTCATCAGACGGTAGTCCTGACATGAGGAGCAACCAGGGCAGAGAGGGAGGACACTTCGCACGAGGATAAGAGAGATTGAAAGGTGGTGCTGTGTGGAAGTGAGAGTCGAGTCAAGGGTCCCACAGTCAAACGGGCAGTCGAGCGTGTGGTCAGAGGGAACTCTGGTCTTCAACACAATGACAGTCACCGGGTGATCTTGATATAGCCAGCAGACTATGCACACCGCGACCAGACACGAGGCCGGAGGTAGCAGATAGACAACAACGAAAGAGAAGAGTCGTGGTATCTTTTGGCTATCTACAACCCTCGGACACCGGAAGGCAGATTGTTGTTTGACCCTTTCTTTTGTTCTTCACTGGCTCCAGCTCAGTACAATAGCCCCTTGTGTTCCACCCTTCCACCCTATTCTTTCATGTTGCGGCCGCAGCCTCAATAAAGGCCAGATTTGCACCCGGTAACAGATGAACACTTGCGTGAGTCTTTGAAGGCTTCGTTCGCAGTTAGGGTGGCTCAGATGATCGTCGAGAGAAGGAATTAGCAGCTAATTGTTGGATCTTGTTCTCATTGAGCAACCCGGAGATGGCTGGTGGGTTAGATGTACCTTGCGGAGGGTAGACGATGCAAAATCAGGGGAGGCGGAGGGATGAAGTGAGAGCGTGGTCAGGTAGAAACGAAACAATCAGTGAAAGGATCGGAAGACGCAGCAGCAACTTCCAGACCGCGAAGGAACATATTACGTCAGCAGGGGCCAAGCCACGTGATCTATTTACTAGTGCGGAATAAACGCCCGCCGCTATTGATGGTGTTCAGCCTTGCGCATCTGCGCCTCTTCTGCCCCTCCTCACTGAAGAAGTCCTCAGCATGAACGAGGAGTTCACCATGTCAGCTGTAAGAGTCATCTTTACATTTCATCGAGGCATTTCATAGATTTACTCGGATATATTGAAGTATTCACACTGAGTTCCGGAAGCCTTGTCAGCTGCACCGATTGCAGAGCAACGGCCTGTTTCGACATCATTCAGATCATACAAAATTCCGCTTTATCCCCTGCTGATGGGTGCATCAGATCCTTCGAGGCAACTGCAATTACATACTAATTGTGCACCCAAAACTCTCATTCATTCCACTGTGGTGCTGTTCCCGCCCCCTGTTTGAGTGGTAAATGGACCTATCTCCGTCAAATTGCTGATCCGGCCAAGGAGGAACTCAAGTTGTCGATACCCTGCTCCCGGCACATATTGCGGGATTTCGTGACCGGCAAGATTGACCGTCACCCACGTGAGACCTCTTTCTGTGTGTGTGACCCCCATTATCCCACCACCCGCAACAATACCAACAGGAACAGCCGGGATGGGCTGGGTGGCAGTCTCATTGAGCACAAAGCCAATCGAAGGATTATATGGTACGAAAAACAAGTCACTGGGAGCTTCGGAGAAACCTTGTTTACCATTCCATGTCATGTTGTTCAGGGTCATCAGAGTCCCATTCGTAAACAAAAGGAAGTCGAACAAGCCGCTGCCGACGACAACGTTGTTGGTGCGTTCGATAACAGATGGCAAAGCTGTGAAGCTCGAGGGCTCTGATTCGTCACCGTTAGGGAATAATTCGTCGTCACCGCATATCACGTAATTGGTGGGCGGTGCGTGAATAGCAGCTTGAACATCGCTTCGATTGAAGTAGTTGTTCGGTCCCTGAGTGCACACATCTTCAGTATATACATCTCCTGAGCCCTGGACCATATTTTACTTACTTCTGCGAGCGATGGAAACCCAAGCTCGTCCCAGACGAACGGACAGAAGTCAGGCACGTGATACACGTTGAAGCAAGGGTTGACATAGACGGCGGCCGCCACGATAGCATCCCATACGTCGCACCCTATATGGAGTTAGGGTCCTGGAGGCCACCTGTGGTAACTTCGAGACAACAAACCTGGTGCGGAGTCATTCGGTGCAGTGAATTTTCCGGGCGGTGGAAATGTCAATGCCTCTTCCATGAACTGAAAGTAGCCACACTTCTCAGCTTGGGCGTTGATATCTTGTAGAAAAGTTTGGTTGAGGCCGAGTACATTCTCGTAATTGTTCGCCGCGGTCACAGCAGGCGCTGGCAACGTCAGTTACATTGGCTCGGCGTAATGTGACAGTCCTCTTACCCTGGATCAGAACCGAGTCTAATCCAATACTCGGGTCGTTGATCTGAATCCCTTTGACATTGTAGTAATCTGTGTTGTTCTGGTCTAGCATATAACTGGCGATGTAAGGGATGTACTGCCCGGCATATGACTCGCCAGTGATGTAGACCTTGCGGCCAGTGAGGTTGAAGGTGGTCATGAAGTTTTGCCAGAAACCCGCAAAATCTCGACCTACATCGACCTCGTTTCTTATCTGCGCTGGGGCGCCTGGAGCCGCAGGAGAAAACCCAGTGCCGATAGGCTGGTCAACATACACCATGTTGGTCAAGTTTGTCCAAGAGAACGGATTCGGCTGCGGCTCGTAGGTACCACTCTGCCACAGGAAAGGACCATGCTCTTGGAGCAACCCGTCGAGCGAGCTGCAGCCGGGTCCGCCATTCAGCCAGATGGTGATTTCGTCAGATGCCGCTGGGTTTGCCGAAGGGAAGAACCAGAACCAGAGCTGATTGACGTTCGAGCTATTCTGGTCAATAGGCAAGGTCCCGGCATAAGACTCGCCGATGTCAAAGTTCACAAGGGGAATGCCGGAGCCGTTCACCGCAAATTCTGGCTGTGTCAGTCCTATCAACGGCTCATATACAATTCCAGAGCCTACTCTCGGTCTGTGGAGTCAAGTAGCTCGATTGTTGGCGCTTCACGAGAGGTTGGCGATTTTGCGAGGCGGTAAGCTTGTGTACCCTTTTAGGCGCACGTTTGTGAGGGTTTTCCATGGCCAAGGCACAGGGCACAAGACATGCCAGCAACCAAGTATTGAAGCGCATTTTGAGTCAGGGCAGCAGATCCACGCACGAAAAGGAAAAATGGACTCGAGAGAGAAGAGCAAGAGAAAGCAGCGGTTCCCTGGACCACCTGAAATACCTGTACCTTCCTGTACCCCCACCACAGCATGACACCATGGACCGCATGCTCGTCCTCAGCGGCAAGCTGGGTCAGCGCAACGATGGTCTCCAACACATTGGCATGACGCAGCACGAGTGCATCATCAACGGAGGCAGATAGGAAGGTTGCATTTGCGTTGGTAGCGACGGGGTGCTTGATCGCGCTTGAGTGAAGCTTAAAGATGCTTGAAGTTGTTCGCGTAGAAAAAGTGGAGGGGCGTCTTCCAGGCCATTCCCCTTCCAGAAGGTCACTGTGCATGGTGAGGCCATCAGATGTAACTCAGCTTCAAGTTGCGGAGAGAACATGTTGTAACCCGGTCCAGATCCATTAGCCTATTCGCAGACCCCGGAAGCAGTGGGCCGTGTAAGCGGCGGTCAAGGCGCTACATCCTTGAGATGGACATTCCCGCAAGCAAGGTAGAGCGCGAAAGCTGTCTGAAGCGTAGATACCCTGCGACAAAGGTGGGATGGCGGGTGAAAAGTAGCAATCCGTGCAGCAAGATAAGAGAAGAGCTCGTCTAATGGTCGCATCAAACAGCGACTCCAAATTGCCTGACCCCTTCCAGTGAAAGCTGAACTGAACCAGTAGCAGAGTGAAGCTGAAGCTTACCTCAAGGTACCATTTGAATAAAGGCATCATGATTGCGGGAAGATGCGTGATAGCCGCAGCAGTGGCACCGGCAGGGAGGAGAAACAATCCCCAAGCTGGCGCGTCACGCGACCAGAGGTGATGCTCCCACGTGACATATCACATGACAAGCGCTTTTGCTTAGTCATAATATGCGTCTGCTCCCGTCAACGCCGGTTGATGTAAGTAGTGGCCGGGAATGGTTAGCAGCGCCCTCGACCCTTGAGGCTCCTTACAAGAACCGCAGGCATCCCCATATCCCTCATATCGTGGACTGACACACATCTGCTCGACCTACCACTGTTTTCACACGCCTACTTTGAACGCTTACCGCTCGATCAAATCGTCTACTGAACACATAAACGGCACCGTTGATTACACAACACCTACCGCCACAGTCTCATCATAATGCGCTTCTATCTGGCGCTTCTTTTCACCTTAGTAGCCGCCGTCCTCGCCCTCCCGGCACCGCAAAAGCCTGTGGTTGTGCAATATCCTGAAGACACTCCAGCCTCCGTCATCCAACATGCCATTGAAGAGATCAAGAAAGATGGAGGGATTATCACTCATGAATACTGTAAGAAATCACTTGCATGCTCTATGGACGACCATACTGACAACATTTTAGCCCTTATCAAGGGTTTTGCTGCACGAGTTTCGGAAGTCACCCTCAAAAAGATAACCGCGATGGCCGATTCCTATATCCCACTCATCGAATCTGACTACGTGGTCCATGTTGACGGCACAACTACCACATCCGAGGAACAATGAGCGCGGTTCATGTTGCATGGATTTCAGGATGCAGGAACTTTAACGGGTTATAAGGCGGCAGCCATGAAGGCTGACGATGGTATTCAGTTGGTCGGTATATATGAGAAGGCGTTGGGGTTAGCAGGTGGTATGAAGTCTTCGGATGATCGATACTAGACTGGCCAGTATAATGAGACTGTTCATCCAAGTTGTTGAAGCGCTATTCTACAGCGCACGACGACCACGATTTACGACAATGTGTGCACTTAGGCCTGTGATTATTGTTATCTGTCAGATCTGCTTAAGAGTCGAAGCTTCTTATTACTAAATTACCTTTGTTGCGGAAGCCCTGACCTAGAATCAGGCGACGTCATATCAGGTAGTTTTGGCATACAAGTCTCGCAGTAGAGACGACGCGCGACACAAATTGCCCGAACGTATTTGGGCGCGGCCACTGGCACTACGCGTCGAGTATCATGCAATGATTAATTGATATTACTGCAATCACATACTCGTCTGGATCTGAAACCGACTACGAGCCCTGATTTTATTCACCCCTACTCAATTACCCCAGCATGCAGCAGAACATGGTACGAGGATGATATGCTCGAGGCGTAGAAGTGTTCTCTCCCCATGGCGACCGACGAAGCCGTGGCCGCAGGACTGATTGATTGGGTCAACAGTCTCTCTGTTGCTGATCCTGTCTACACTGTGGACGACTTAGCCAATGGCCAGGTCATCTGGAAAGTGCTTCGTGCGTTTAAACCAGATGTGGTGATCTTGCGAATATGCCCTAACATCTTCCAGAACAGATTGACCGCTTCAGCTTTCCTGGCGAGCTACCTGAAGATTGCGATACAGACCAATGGATAAACAAATGGACGAATCTGAAGCACGTCTACGATGCCTTGTCCATCTTCCTTATCGAAGAATGCGGTCAGCGGCTGCCTGGCAGCCGACCAGATCTCAAAGCCATCGCACAATCCTCTTCTCTCGGCGATACTGTGGTGCTCCTGAAATTGCTGGTGGTTGCGGCAATCAATTGCGCCGATCGCATCGAATACCTGAAGCAGATGCAGGATCTCTCCGAGGGTACTCAGCAGGTCTTGATGCAAACAGTGCAAGAAGCTGGGGAAGACGAATGTGACGAAGCGGAGATTTCGGCTGCGGATGCGCTGTCAGCCCACGAGAGTGTCCCCGTTTCCCCTCGGCCATCCGGGGAAGTAGATTCAGTGCTTGAGTCAGAGGAGCGGCTGGGCAAAGTCATAGCGGACAACCAACGGATAGCACACGAGAACCGGGAGTTGCAAAAGCAACTAGATGAATATCACACGCGTCAGGAGAAATTGCAAGAACGGTTCGACCAGGTCCAGGACGAACTAAAGGAGGCGACCGAGCGACTCACGGCCCTCCTAGCAGGCCGATCCGACGCTTCGACCCGTGCCCTGGATCCGAAACACGACGCACTGATTGCCTCACTCGAGAATCGAGTCCTGGAAGCCGAGTCCGAGGTGGATGAACTTCGTAAGGCCAATGAGGTGCTCAAGATCAAGGCGGAGAAAGTCCAGAAGCTGCAAGATGACTACGATGAGATTAAGATCGAGCGAGACAGGTTGGCTCGAAAGGCAAATACCGCCGAGAAGTACAGACAAAAGCTGGAGGCAAGCCAGGACCTGGAAAAGGAAAACAACAACCTCCGGACCAAAGTGACCGAGTTGCAGAACCAGCTGAAGCAAGCTGACTCTGTCCGCGCAAGTTCGAGCGACCTGCAAAGGGAGATCGACGAATACAGGCGGCTTCTGCCGAGTATCGAACAGGAAAGATACGAATTGAATGAGATGAAGAAGAGGTTGGAATTTGACTATCACGCCCTTGAGGCGCGGTATCAGGACGCTCTGGAACAGCTCGCACAACAGGATAAAGCCATCGAGGACCTCCACGGACGGCTGCGTGACTATGAAGATGGTGTTGATCCGGCGGACAGAGCAACCAATCGTGCCAGTCCCGTTGATCGAGACTTGATTCAGGAGGAAGCCGAGTTTTTGGAATCAGAAGCACGCCTAACAGCCGCTCTGCTTGACGGGGACGAAAGTCCCGCTGACCTGGTACCCAAGGAGTCTAGTGAACCCCATGAGACGCTCTCCTCTGCATCTGCTCTCCAACTTGATGCCGGTGCCGAGGGTGACACCATCTCAGAGGCTGAGCTCAAAGCGATCATGTCAGCAATGCGAGCACAAGCACAGGCTGGCAGCGCTACTGAAAGAGAGTCGTCTATACGTGCGCAGAAGAAGCTGGTGATAGCTATCGAGCGGCAAAGGACCAAGAACAAAGTGCTTCTCGAGCACGTACAAAAGCAAGATCAGGCAATAAAACAAATGCAAGAGGAATTACACCGGAAGGGTCCAGAGACACAGAAAGAAGAACCACGCGATGTGCCCCCTCCGCCGCCACCAAAAGACACGCCGCAAGATCCGGGCCGCCCAGAATCGACAGATCCAGATGGGGCTAGTCACACACTTCAGGCTGAAAATGAAATTCTGCAGCGCGAGCTCAAGCTCATGGCTTCGGCCTGGTACGACCAAAACCTCCGCCTTGCAAGCGCCAGCTCCTCGAATTCAGGGCGCAGTAGAGGGCTGGGACCTGGGGCCGAGCCACGTGGATTCCTTGGGCGGCAGCGGCATAGAATTGATGCCGTTGCATTTGGCCGTGCTTCATAACCACAGAATGGAGTGTTGAATGACCAGGCTTTGTATAACAATGCGTGCGTCGTCCATCCCAAAGTGGTGCACATCTTCTCACGAAGAATCTCATGACGGAGCTCGCCTATATTGTCAGCTTCAGCCTATACAATACTACCACTACCTTTCAAACCAAAGCCTGGGTACAGCCTTGGGAGTGTGTATATGGCTTGAACTATATCTTGCCCAGCACGGCTCGGTGCTTGGGCCAGGCGCCTATGAAGGAGCGCAGAACTTGCATTGTACTAGTAAACGGCACTATCTGAATGCTCACATGCTACCAGTATGTTGGTATAGCTGGCTTGCCCGGCCTCCTAAGCTTCCAAAGGCGGGACTTCTGAGGGGATTCATGGTGTGGATTCTTACTCCAAGTCCCGCTTCCTGACAGCCTCTTCCAGTTGCGGGGGAAGAATGAAGTGGACCCGATATCAACCACCAAACACAGACCTGTCTGTTTGTTCAATTACAGATACTTAACTTTGGTACATTCAGACTGTGAACCTGAGTCACGCACGCTCGACTTGGAAAATCATAGCAAAGGGGGATTGCCATGGGATTTGTAAAGGAACACGAGGTCTACGTGACTGTTTCGGCGCTGGATGCTGGTCAGTTGACTTTACCGGAGCGACTCTTCATTACGGACGCGGACCCCGAAAAGCGCGCGACGGTTCCTTCATTGTCATTCCTGATACAACATCCTGAGCCGAATGGGAAAACCACCAAAATGGTCTTCGATCTGGGTCTCAAGCGCGACTTGACGAAGTATCCTCCCGCGCAGCAGGCCCATATTGCCAATCGACAGCCCACGATTCTTCGTCCAGATTGCGCAGACAGTCTCAGGGCGGGCGGGCTGGATCCTGCTCATGACATCGACATTGTGATGTTGAGTCATGTGCATTGGGACCATGAAGGGACACCAGATGACTTTCCAAACTCAAAGTTCATCGTCGGATCTGGAACCTTGCATCTGCTCGAACATGGAGCGCCTCCACACTACCCGAAAGAAATCTTCAACCCTGATCTACTACCGCGGGATCGAACCCTGGAGTTACCCCCGGTATCAGCGGGAAGCACGACTGCGGCCAAGAAGCAAACCGACCATGAATGGAAACCATTTGCGGGCTTTCCAGCAACGGCCGACTTATTTGGCGACGGGAGTGTCTGTGTGGTCGACAGTCCAGGGCATCTGTTCGGCCATGTGAACCTACTCGCCCGCGTGGGCCCTCAGAAATGGGTTTATTTAGGCGGTGATTGCTGCCATGACCCACGTATCCTGACGGGAGAAAAGGACATTGCATTGTATGACGATGGGCACGGCGGGCTTCGGTCAGTCCATGTCGACACGGAGCAGGCGAAGGAGACTCTGAAGAGGATAGGACCGCTTCTCAGGAAACCCAGTCCTGTCTTCGATGGGCAGGCGGACGTTGAGGTTATCGTGGCGCACGACAAAAATTGGCGGGAGAAGAATCCGCACCGCTTCTTCCCTGGAAAATTGTAGTCATGGATGTAGAAATGTTAAGGTGTCACCGATCAAATTACACCACAGATACTTCGCACTGTTCATCTTCGAACGAAATCTTCAAGCACCCGTAGATACTCCTCGGGACAATACCAGGCTCAGAGGAAAGGGATTTCCTGGCCTGGCAACGCAAACCCTGGGTTCGTACACTCGTTTGCGCCGCGAGGCTACGGGGTGACAGTCACGTGGAAGGCTGAGCCAGCGAGGGGCTCCGATTAGAAGAGTAAACCCTGCGGAGGAAGAATGCATTTCAAGTTTCGGTTTGCAATCCGGTTCATGTTCAGTTGCACTGCCATCCACAGAGATACAATCATGGTACATCTGGCTGTTAACCTCGGCTTCCATCCTCTACCATCCATCTAACTTTCTAGACACCATGGATCAACCCATTCTCGAGCCCTCCCTCTGTTCTGAGAGAATCCCCGCCCACAGGCATCTTTGCCCCACCATGATTGTCTTTCCCCAACCTTGAATTCGGGGAAAGACCCAGTCTTTGTTGTCAACCACGCAGACTCGGAGTCCTCAACTCTCCATCTACCTTATCTTCCAAAGCCCAAATGAGCGAGCAGCACGAGAATCCGATCCCTGTGGGAGGCCACGCCGTCTTCCGAGGTGGAGAAGCCCTCGGCCGATCTGTTTGTTCGCAGCAGGATGATGTGATGCCTCGCTGTCGTTTTAATGCACGCGAAACTGAATATCGAATTTCGCGGTGAGCATCGACATAGCTTTGGTTGTTTGACTGGATCTACAAACCCAAGAGTAGGACGTATAACCAAAAGGAACAGAACTTATTGCAAGAGACTCCCCGTCAGCTAACCAACCACAACACCGACGGTCAACACACAACGACCATGGCTTCGCCAGAAAATACAGTGGCCTTTATAGGTACGGAACAAGAATGACCCCAATCTCCTCTTGCTCGGTGGCAAAAGTGTGACCGTGGACGCATTCAAGTTAATGACTGACTCTGTGTCTGTACCCAATAGGGCTGGGAGTGATGGGCTACCCTATGGCCGTCAACCTGCGGTCGAAAACACCATCGAGTTTGACCCTCTTGATCTGCGACGTGTCTCAGGACGCATTGGCTCGATTCCAATCCCAAGTCGCGGGCAAGGGTCCCGTGGAAGTCGTTGCAAACGGATTCGAGGCCGTCCAGCGCGCCAACACCGTCATCACAATGCTGCCGACGGCCGCGGCCGTGGAGAAGGTCTACCTCGACCCATCGACGGGCATCATCGCGGGAGCTGTCGAAGCGTCCAAGTCGAACCCGCAGAAGAAACTGCTGATGGAATGCGGAACAATCGAAACGGCGACGATTCTGCGGGTCGCCCAGGCCACGACCGAGGCGGCCTCAAAACTCGGGAGCGGCGCACAACTCGATTTCGTCGACGCCCCCGTCTCAGGCGGACCGATGGGCGCGGAGGCCGGAACGCTGACGTTCATGGTGGGCGCGGCGTCAAAGGAGGCGTTCGAGCACGCAAAACAGTACCTGCAGCACATGGGCAAGAAGGACAGCATTTTCCATTGCGGTGCGGTGGGCTCCGGCACCGCCTTTAAAGTTATCAACAACTACCTGTCAGCGATAACAAGTCTGGCGGCCAGCGAGGCGCTCAACATCGGCGCCAAAATGGGCCTCGACCTCAAACTGCTAACCGACGTTATCAATGTGTCTGGCGGCCAGTGCTGGGTCACTTCGCAGTCCAACCCCGTTCCCGGCATCCACCCAAATGCCCCAGCCAGCCGCGGCTACGAAGGTGGCTTCCGCATCGAGCTGTGCAAGCACGTCCTAGAAATGGGTTCCTCGCTAGCCGAAATGGTCGGCGCCCGCACTATCCTCGACAAGCCTACCCTGGCCGCCTTTGACGAGGCCATGGCCGATGAGAGGTACAAGGGCAAAGATGCGCGTGTTGTCTACAAGTGGTTGAATGAGAGTGAGCGGCCAAAAGAGTCAGAAACAGAAAACAAATCATGAACAGGGAGGGACAAAGTCCCACATCGCCAGAAGGGCTCCATGGGGGATGAAAAGCATGCAGCGAGATCAGCAAATATGCAAACAAGCAAAAAGACTTGCCCATGATTTCCCACGGGACATGGTATATTATAACCTCTACACTGTGGTACTCCCTGCTCCAGCCGTATCGTACTGCGTTTCAGCATACGTGAATATTGAGCCATCTGGTCGTAATCATAATAAATCCTAGAAGAAATAATCGTCAACGGTCTCGTCTCGTCCATGTCGTTAGTTCTGCCTTCTGCCTTCTGCCTTCTGCCCTTCGGCCGGCTGACCGACCCGTAGCATCATCCGGCTTCAAGCATGTCGGCATATATGTTGAGACTCTTTCCGATAACATCGACAATGGCCCAAGTCTGTGCGCCTCGGAACACCTGTGCCCAGACTCTCAAGACCCCAGCACTCAAGTACTTCATGGCGGCAGGAGAGTCGATCGGCACATCCACCGGCATGGCGAATTCTGTCTCGTCGAGCATCGTCTTGACTAGAGTTGCGATTCTCCGCTCGTCACTGGTGACCGTCGGTCCGGACTCGGGCAGACTCAGGGCCTCGAGCCACTTGCTCAGCAAAAAGGCACACTCCAAGGTACACAGCGAGTGTTGGATGGACCACATGAACGTCTGGGTCTGCGCGACCAGATGGATGCCGATCTTGACGGGGATGCTCAATGCATGAGCGGAATGGAGAACCGCCCTCACCAGCTTCGGGGTGCGTTTCACGCTCGGGCTCTCGCGGAACGCGTTGGCAATCTGCACTGGGTCCCTGGTATCCAGAGCACGGCCGGGGCCGAGGTCGACGTTCAGTCGGATGTATGCAAGGCGCAACAGGGCGGTCGAGTTGAAAGCGACTGGTCCATTAGGATTCATCGGGTCGAGCGATGACTCCGGGTTGCGCTTCCATGCAAGCTGCCAGCTGCGGAGTGCCTGTTCGATCGCTGCCACATCGTCGAGCCGGAGGTCACCGTCGTGATCCAACCGGTACCGAGAGATCTGGCGGACGAAGAAGATGTGCTGCAGCAGGGCATGGACGAGCACATAGTTTCCCAACGAAGAGTTATACGTGTTGCCATGATTGCCCGTCTTGGAGAACAGCCGCCGCAATGCCAATTGAAAGTCCACCTCGGGCGGGACACGGGCGCGAATCTCTTTCCATCGCGCCGCCGTCGGAGCCTTGAACTCGGCTGCACTGCATGGTAGCGTCATGTGGAGCTCAGACGCAAGTATTAGCGAAGGAATGTTGTACACAATCGTATGGAGGTTGAAAAAGGCAAACACAATGAATTTGGTTCGTTTGATGGTTTCATGTCGAATCCAGTCGGTCCAGCTGATGTCCTTGGCCAACGGGGTAGTCCTGAAACCGTCATCGCGGACAAGGGTGGCGAGCACACTCTGGATGGCTAGAGCCTCACGCAAGATCTCGCGATGTTTGGCCCATGTCGCCATGGCCATGAGTAACAGCAATGCTTGTGCCGTCTGCATGAGATCTTCTGTCGGCCTTGTTGAGTCTGCCTCCAGTTGCGAGGGGAGGCCCAGGCATCCTGATATAGATCCGCTCTGCGGCGTTTCTCCGGTGCCCATGATCTCACTGTTTCTAGTGTAGGCAGAATACTGGGGAGAGACGTCCATCGAGCGGCGTGACGAAGCAGCGAGTCTTGCATCTCTTTGACGGATCCTCTGCATGGCTATTGCTTGACTGACATGAAACAGTTCCACGCCTTTCTGTCCTTCAAAGCAATACTGAGCCCCGACTGCGGCCATGGCCAGGATGAGTTCAATGCAACAGTTGTTTACCGATATCGTCGGAATATGTAGGAAGGGTAGATGTTCGTGGAAGCCATTGACGTAGCCAGCAAGATACCGAGACAGTGCCAACCGCGACGGCAGCTGGAATGTTGAAGGGACCACGTGGGCGAATTCGGCCAACTTGTATGCCATATTCTGTCTATCTTCGACATTGAAATCGGCCAGTGGTCGATTGACCGGGTTCTCGTCGCCTTTGGGGCCCGCGTAGCCCTCCTCTGGTTGGAGAGACGGAAGTCTTGACCCAAACCTTGAGAAAGAGCTCGTGTCCTCTTGCTGTTCAGCGGGTTGCCCGACGTGAGAGGCCGGTGCATTCTCCACCGTAGGGACAGCATCTGCCGTCTGGGTGAGTGCCTCCGGTGAAAAGAAAGGAATGGGCTGCTCGGCGCTGAACACGGAGGAGAAATGGTACGAAGATAGCCCTCCATTGTCCATGAAATTGGCAAGATCCTGGAGAGAGTCTTCAAAGTCAAAGCTGGCCAGGGTGCCCGGCTGAGCAGGAGGCTCGGGCAGCGGAGGCTGCGTTTGACAGGACCCGAATTGGTCTTGCACCACATATGCTGGATTGCAGAGGAGATCGGGCTGTTGTAGAGGCGGCTGAGTGTGTGCCTGCGTGTGAACCTCTTGGGGTTGGGCCTGCTCAGCCGCCATAAGCAAGGTTGCGAACGAGAGTTCATGGTTTGCGGGAGTGTCGGCGGAAGTCTGGAAGTTGTTGACCAAGGTCTGAGAAGTCGAGAATTCAGAGGCCGTCAACGTGGAAGGTTCCGAGTCTGGCAACGAGGATCCGGGATCTGTTTCCCGGCGTTTACGACTGTGTGGTTGAGCGGGATTGGGATTGCTATTGCTGTTGAGGTTGTGGTTGGTGCCGCCATTGCTATTGAGGCGGTGGTCTCCCCGTCCCTGTCTGCCCCATCGTTCCATGTCATGGCTGAGTCGCTCATGTCGGACCAGGAGATCGCTGAGGTCAGTGGTCAGTGAGGTCGCACAGGTAGCCTGTCTTCACCAGTCGGTACCTTCGTGTGAATTTGCTATCACATTGGGAGCATGCGAACGGCTTCTCTCGCGTATCTGAAGGGACCGTCAGTCAGCGGAATGGTCTTGGAGAAGATAAGACGGGCGCCGTACGGGTTCTCTCATGCCGTTGCTGGTGCTCCAACCGGGCAAAGAGTCGTTGGCAATGTTGACATTGGAACCGTTTTTGTTTCTTGGGGGGCGGTTCTTGATCTTGCTCCTGATCTTTCGAGTTGTCCGTGTCCCTGTTCCCTTCTCCGTCGCCGTTCTGCCCATTAATCTCGATGGTGACAGTATCCTCCAGCATGGAATCCCGAGTGCCGACAACCATCAGAAATGGTAGAGTCCAGGCTTAGGTGGTTAGGAGCAGTGTGAGTTACAGACCAGCCGCAAGGGACAGAGGAAATCTGGGGAAATCCGAGGGTCGCAGTCAACTCCTGACAAGAACTTGAAAAGCCGCCCCGGATGCTGAGCCTTTGGCGAGTCGCTAGGCGCTTATGGGTGGGCAGTGGTGACCAGGGTGCCGCCTAGCCCTTATCTCTGGGCCTAATCTTGCCTGAAACGGCGTCCATGTAGGTATCCGCTCTGGGGGTGGAGAGCGGGGGTTCCAGGCGCGAGGGCCTCCTCGGGCTAGGGAGGCTTGGACCAATGCACCCTGTACTATTGGCACTGTTGGGCGCATCACGTCCGGGGTGTCCGGGGCGTCTTTGGATTCTCTGCAGTGTGCAGGAGTAGTGTACATGATTCTATTCTTCAACTTGCCATAGCTCTTCAACGACTACAAAAGCTGCAGAACCCTGCCATGGCACATGGCTTTGAACCCGGTATGCTGCGGCTTTTTCATCGTACGGCACAGCAGCATGTCTGTGGCATACCACCTGAACACTGGTACAGTAGAGCGACATTGACCTTCCAAGCTTGGGGAAGCGTTGAGCCTCCACTCGCCCGCAAATACTGGCCTACCCTAGCCCTTGAACGAACTGCCACCCTCAACACTGCGGCTCTCGATCTCGTCTCGTCTATCTCTCTTTACCCCAATTCAACCCTCCCTTTCCCTCCTCCTCTGTCAGGCTGATGTGGGACCAGGCTCAGACCGGCATCGATCATCTACAATGTAGATCTATCATCTGCTCACAGATCTCAATCATGATCCCAAGAGAAGTGCCAACGAGATTCCTCTCCTTTGGGCGTCCTTCACATCCTCGACCGACGGAATGTCTTCAGCCTACGTGAGGCAAGCCCCTCCTTCACCTCCTGAAAGTGCCTCTGAAGCCACGGTCGAGGTGTATGCCCTTCAAGCCGGTCATTTTGCCTTGCCAGAACGTTTCTTCGTCCACCCGGCCTCGGAAACAGCGAGGAGGACCGTCCCTTCACTGTCTTTCCTGATCATCCACCAGGATCTAGAAACAGGTCGCACAACTCGAATAGTCTTTGACCTCGGTCTACGGCGAGATATTAGTCGCTATCCTGTCCCGATCCAGAAGCATATCGAAACAAGGCAGCCCTTGACGACCCTTCCTGACGTGACTGCGAGTCTGGCAGCTGGTGGACTGAAGCCAGACGATATAGATTATGTGATCTATTCTCACGTGGGTTCATAAGAGCACTGTATGGGACGAGTGAGACTGACTATATGTAGGTGCATTGGGACCATGTAGGGGAACCTCGAGATTTCCCGAAAAGCACATTCGTGGTGGGAAATGGAGCGGTAGCTTTGCTGCAAGGCGCAGGGTCGTTGCGAGGGAGTCATTCGTTCTTCGAGGCTGATCTGCTACCGTCCGAGCGAACCATTGAATTACCAAATCCCTTCGAAGAGGTTGACGAGGAGCAGCATGGCTTTGGTCCGGATGCAGCAGACTTCACGCAGGAATGGAAGCCTTACGGCAATCTTCCCCGAGTCCTCGATGTCTTCCACGATGGGAGCTTGTACATCGTCGACTCACCAGGTCATCTTCCAGGCCACATCAACCTTCTGGCAAAGACAAGCCCGACGTCAAGTGTGTACCTGGCGGGAGATGCCTGCCATGATCGGCGCATCATGAGAAATGAAAGGCAGATCGGAGAATGGCTTGATGACCATGGGCATATCTGCTGCATCCATGCCGACAAAAAACTGGCCGAGCAGACGATTCAACGCATTCAGGAGTTGGAATCGAACGGCGTCGAAGTGATTTTTGCGCACGACTACGAGTGGGAGGAAGATCCGCGGAACCAGTCTCGCTTCTTTGGACAATCGAAGTCTTGACAGATTGGTCGAATGCCATTTGCATAGGTACGCAGGGTTAGGGGTTCTATGGGTTTGAAGGCATTGCTTGGACATGCTCTCGTGAATACATTCTAAAACCTGCCCTCAACCTGACCTTCTGTGCTAGACGAGTAAAAAGTAGACACTTTAGCCTTGGTGACTTTGTGTGCTGAGTGCAATGCATCCAAATAGCCCCATAATGCGAGATGGTACTCGGTGGACGGTGGTGGAGGTGTGGCTGCGCGTTTGCTGGAAAGGGAAACATATGTCTCCCCACCACAAACCGATAGTATAGTACCTTGATGATGGCTACTAGGATACTTTTGAACGGCTGCATATTGGCCGAGGCCAACGGAGAAGATCCCGACGAGATCGGGAGCAAGGAGGAGAAAGGTTCAGACCAAGTCAGTAGGTACATATTGCTGATGCTCGAGTTCTCCAAGTCCAGCCGCCACAAAGAACATCATCCACGTTGACAAGCTGCGACTGTTGGAAATCGCAGGCTTCACAATCAAGCCTCTACGCCCTCGACTTGTAAAATCGGATTCTCTTCCTACTGCGAACATGGCGCCGTCGAAGGACCCTTCCGAGTTGAAAAAGACCTTTGTAGATCAAGTGGGAGAGGCACAATGGGACGAAACATGGGAGAGCATTGCAAAGCTCAGCCCCGAGCTGTTCGAGGCCAGCGTTGATCTGTTGGCGGTGCCACGAAAGAAGCGACATCTCTCGCCCAAAGTCCAACAACTCATGTCCATCGCCGTCGACGCTGCCTCCACTCATCTGTACGTGCCGGGAGTGAGGAAACACATCGACGCGGCCCTCAAAGAGGGCGCGACACCAGCCGAGGTCATTGAGGTCATTGAGCTGACGGGCACCCTGGGCATTCATGCATGTAACATTGGAGTCCCCTTGTTGGTCGAGGTCATGAAAGAAGAGGGCATCTACGAACAACATCCTACGGGGGGCAAACCGTTTGACGAGCGGCGCGAGAAGCTGAAGGCTGACTTCACCAAGAATCGAGGCTACTGGCATACTTTCTGGGAGGACTTTCTTGCCCTGGACCCGGAATTCTTCGAGGCTTATCTCAAGTTCTCGTCGGTGCCCTGGTTGAAAGACGTGGACGGTTCAGGAAAGGGAGGCGGTGCCCTAGAACCCAAGGTATGTGGGAGTCGCACACCGGTCGGCCCCAATGGCCTCGACTTCTATGGCATGTCGTGACCGTCGAGACTGACGACTATCTAAATAGGTCAAAGAACTGGTCTACTGCGCCTTCGACGCTGCCGCGACGCATCTCTATGTTCCGGGCCTGAAGCTGCACATGAAGAATGTCCTCAAGTACGGCGGCACGCCTGAAGAGATCATGGAAGTGTTGGAGATTGCCACTCAGCTCAGTCTACATACGTCTAATGTTGCAGCTCCGATATTGGCTCAGCGACTGAACAAAACGTAGCAAGCGCACTGGCAAAAAGTACTGCAAGCTTAGCCTCCAATATACAACATCGTACAATTTCGGGAGTCGGTATGAAACAACTTCTATGGGTCCGATGGCTTCCCCAAAATACTGGGGTCTTCAACGTTACTAGTTCATGGTTGGGGAAATTCCCCGGTTTCTCCTCCTGATCCACTGGGTCAAATCCGTCCATACTGTTCTATCTTCGTGTTACACTGCTTCGACTGGACCGCTTGTTCCTCTGCGGCCTTATCCCGAACATGGCCAAGATGGCCCGCTCCATCGACAGCCCACCGTCTGCTAGCACGGGTTCTGATGCAACATCACCAATGGCAGAAGTCTCTGAATGGCCCAATTCGGCTATGATTAGGGCTGGAAATGAGGAGCAGACCCCCGGCAGTCTCCAGCATCTACAATGTAGTCGCTTCTGTCGGCTACCTCACGGAATTCCTGCTTGCCAACGCTACGACCTGCTGTCCATGGTGCCGTCTACCTGGCCCCCGAACATCTTCCCTCGACGGAATGTGCTAGGTATTCCCCATCTGCGCTGCTCCGTCGGTAGTACTCCAAACTCTGCCGCCTGGGCCTTTAAAGTCGGGGGACTTCATGTAAAGGAGCAGCTGTAGCGCTTTGCTACATTCACAATTTCGAGCAGTCCAAGTTCGGTGATCGGGCCTTTCGTCTGTCAATGGAAGACAAAGAGACAACCTCGATGGATCGCAGGATCGAAGAAGTCAAGGCAAAGGCCGAGCTTGAGGAATTCGTCGAAGTCGGCCGTGTCGGAGAAGTTGCGGATTTCCACAAGAAGGAGGCCCGGCTGAGGCGCAAGCTTGACCTCTACATTGCGCCGGTGATGATGTTGCTTATGCTCATCAGCTACCTTGACCGGGGGCAATATTGGGTTTGCAGCTACACAGGGCATGTCGGATGACATTGGTCTAACGGGCAATCAACTCAATGTAAGACGCCACATAGCCTGAGCTCTTCATGCTCAATGTTTCAGACAATTACTGACGTTCGCTTTCAGACCGCCGTTTCCATTTTCTACATCTTCTATGTGTTGGCCGAATTTCCCACATCTATATATGTCAAGCGCCTCCAGTTCAACAGAGTCATTCCGGCCATCACCTTCTGCTGGGGTCTTGTATGTCTCTGTTCAGGATTTGTGCGGAACTTCGCCGGCCTTTGCGTGTGCAGACTTCTTCTAGGGTTCTTTGAAGGGTGAGCCTGATACTCTGCTCTCCTATAATGCTTGATGCTGACTTTATACAAGCTGTTTGTTTCCTTCCATGACGCTCTTCCTGGCAAACTGGTACAGACGTGAAGAACTGGCTCAGCGAATATCCTACCTATTCAGTATGTCCTAGCACACTCAGTTCTTTGCTGGTCCTCTAACATTTTGCAGTTGCCTCGGCTCTTTCCGGTGCCTTTGGCGGACTGATCGCATTCGGTATCCTCTACATGGATGGCGTTGCAGATTATCCAGGATGGCGATGGCTGTATATTCTGGAAGGGCTGATTACTTTGGTCTGGGCCGGCATGTGCATCTACCTTGTACCCAAAGACTACCACACCGCATACTTCCTCAACGAGGAGGACAAAAAGGTTATGGCGGTGCGAGCGGAGCTGTCCGAGTCATACAGTGGTGGTGACGGCCACTACAAGATGAAGGACGTCCGACTCGCGTACAAGGACGTCAAGACGTGGTTGCATGGAGTCAGTCAGATCGCTGTCGTCACCATCCTCTATGGCTTTGGCACTTTTCTGCCCATCATCCTGAAGAATGGTTTCCACTATACCACCAAGCAGGCCCAATATCTCGTCATCCCGGTCAACCTCTGGGGCGCTATTGTGTATGCTGTCGGGGCGGTCATTTCAGACAGGTACCACAAGCGGTTTTTGGTGTTGGTCGTGTGTGCCCCAATCGGCATTGCTGGCTATGCCGTCCTCCTCACCGATGTTCCAGTCGGTGTGCAATATTTTGCAACATACCTCATTGCCACCGCTTGTTTCCTTTGCACTGGTGGCAATATCGCGTGGTTGTCGGGCAATGTTGCTCCTGATGCCAAGAGAGCCGCCAGTCTGGGTAAGACATATCATCTCTGTACTTTGTTATGCTAAGCATCGTTTTTCTGTCTGTCTTCTGATTTTGATTCGATGATAGGTATCCAATTGACCCTCACGAACCTTGGAGGGATCATATCAGGGCAGATTTATGCGTCAAAGTCGGCTCCGAAATTCACGCTGGGCCACTCATGGTCTTTAGGAAGCCTTGCCTTTGCTTTCATCATCTTCATCGTTGTCCGCATTCTATATGCGAGACGCGAAGCCGCAAAGGAAAAGGCTCGTGCAGAAGGAGTGGTGGTGCCGCCGGAAGAGTTTACGGACCGCTCACCGACGTTCAAGTACCAGTGCTAGACGATTGGACATAGTATGGTTCAAATTGGCATGATGGGAGGGTTGTGTGTTATCTGTCATGTTGAAAAGTGAAACGATGGCCCATAGTTGGTTGGACGTGATCTCATTCTTTCAATATAATTCCGTCCGTTGCCATATTCAATGTCCGTCATAGTGGTGGCTTCTTGAGACTGGTATCGCAAGGCTGGCAGGGGCAGGGGTAGTGGGGTTATTAGTATGAGGCTGACTCAGCGTCCAGCCCCCCGCCAAAATGGTTGCTTCAGTCCGAGTCTCATCCCACCTCAACGACGGATATTGTACTTATTACAACTTGAAGTTCGTCATCGAGCTGAGGTACGTGGTGGACGGTTTCCAGCCGTTGATGAGCGAGGCGACGCTGGGACGCCTCAGCTTTATCGTTGAAGCGAGCATTCTCGCCAAAGGAGACCGCCATCAACTTACCTCGTCGTTCGTATCAAGGCGGGCGATCGGGCTGGAGCAAAGTTCAAGGAGCTGCGCAACCCAACCTGGCACTGATTGACCGGACACTGCGCGGCGCGGCGCACAAAACTCTTCTTCACCAGTAGGACTTCACTCAACTCCCTGGCTGCGCAGTTCCTCAACCTGGAGCTGTGCATTTCCCTCCAGTTTTACTTGGAGTCTCTGTCAACCAGACCACGACCTGGGACTGTGGACTCCGTCATTCAAGATGGCCGCTCCTGAAATCAAGAGAGACGAGTTCCTCTACCGCGACACTCTGTTCGTGGACCTCGGAGAGACCAAGCGTCATGCACGCGCCTCCATCACCGAGCTCAAGGACCTTCTTCTCCCGAAGAAAGGCAAGCTCCCTGCAAAAGATCAGGTCGCCCACTGGTACGAAGCCCAGTTGATCCATTATGGCCTGCCGCGCACCAAGGACAAGAACACCGCCAAGGTGCGGTTGACGACGGCTCTCATTTCCGACTCTCTCGCTGTGCCCGCCCATATCTCTCAACTGGAGGCAGATATGAAGAAACAGTATGTTGCAGCTGTCAGAAAGGCAAAGGCTGCTGCTGGGAGCGCCTCAAAGGCTTCGAAATTGGCCGAAAGTCCTGCAACAAACTCCAAAAAGAGAAAGGCCACGACCAGTGAGAGCCACACAGGCGCCAACAGCACGACCATCTCCCTCAAGATCGGCGACGTCAGCCTCGAGGTAGGGATCCCTACTGCATCTGCTGCCGGCAGCAAGAAGCAGAAGACGCAAGCTGCAGAATCCAAGAAGAAAGCGACTGCGACTCCAACATCCAAGACAAAGGGAACTGCCTACTCCAAAGCGAAGACCACCGCCGCACCGAAGTCGAAAGCAACTCCCAAGGCGAAAGCTGTCGTCAAAGAGCCTGCTTCCAAGGCCAAGACAACCGTGAAGGCGACGACGATAAAGCCTTCGACGACACAGCCTGGTCCCGTGGTTACATCATCATCTCCCATGCAGAGAGCTGGTAGACCTATACAGACTGCCAGACGCGGCAAGCCCTTTTCATTAAGTCCTGCCACTCGAAATGTCCCGCGCGACTCCACACACAGCTTCCAGAACCCAAGCAGTCTGTCAGACAGTGACATGGACGACGACGCCCCTCCACCCTACGAATCGATCGATTTCGATCATGCGTCGCCTTCACCGTCAAGGGACTCGGACTCGGATATCGTCCAAATCTCCGGTGTCTACAACGTATCGTCGCCGCAGCTGGATCATTACCATACCCTCGCCCTCCAAATCGACCATTACACCGACGAACTCTGGGGCAGCTTCCAGATCGGAGCACACTCTGGAGTCATCCGCATGACCAGTATCGAGGGCATTACGAAAGGTCGTCCTGTTTCGTTTGGCTGGCGCTCAAGAAACGACAATACTGGCCAGTTGAAGTTTGGACGAGCTTGTAATGGCTCGATGGTGTTCGACGGCCACGAAGGTGTCCATGGACACTTTTATGGTTTTCTGTACGGAGATGACCTGGTGTTCGTGGGAAGCCTGGAGGACGACACGCCTGGTATGGTTGATCTCGATGATCTGCGTGAGCAGTGGGACAGTTTTCCTCGAATTGCGTATGATAGAGACTGAAGTTGGAAGCCGTAAGAAGCCTTCTTGGCCGATTGCTGGGTTTGTGACCAGTGTTTCGAGCGTCGAGAGGCTAGGTTAGTCAAGTACGAAATAGGTACGACTCCTTGGTAGCCGGCTGCATCGTTCGAGCTCTACGACCTATTGCGCTGATTAGTTCGGCTAGTAATGACTCTCTTCAGGACGGCATGGATAGTGTGCAAATACAATTTGATCTGACGGCTTCATTAGATGAATCCACATCCTCATGTCTGACACCTGCCGAATGCATTGCATTGGCCCTGAAAATGGACGGCCCTTACGCGTGCTACTGGGTTGGCCTCTGCTGTCGCTCCGCTCAGAATCTTCTGGGCGGCGTCCATCACCATCTGCCGGCCACTTTTCAGATTCTGATCAGGGCAGACCCTGCCACTTTGGTGGCGGGGGCGGCGGTGATGGTGGTGGTAATGTTGGCAAAGGAATAGTGGATGACCCTGTCTCGCCATTTGCAGTTTCCACACGCTCCATCAAACTGCCCTGGAGTCTGGTGGCATCCGGTGAAGGGTGACAGGACCCGAGCTGGGCGAGGTCGCCTCTTTTTGAGGGATTCTGCCATGTCAACTCGCTGTAGCCGCCGCTGCTTGCGATCCTGTTCTTCTTCCTACCTTCTGTTGCGGTTGCTGCACGTGGCAGGAATGTCATGTCGGGGGGAGCAGGTGTGTGGAGGTGGTCGCCTCTGGTTCGGTACTCATCCTCTATCAATCCCTCAATCTGTGGTTCGATTGCCCTCGTGGAACCCCTTGGATACTCGTCGTTAGGGGCAAAGACCCCCTATAACCGATCAAATACAAGGACTGGTCATATACTGCACCCTGTAGCTGGTAGTAGTAGTAGCTGAGATCTGAGAGGACGTTGAACTGGCCTTGTAATAATGTGGTTCGGTATGTCAATAAAATGCCCGATTTGGTATCCCAAGGTACTCACAAACCGCTCTAATAGATCCTTGGCATCAAAAATCCCACTCAGGGCTCGAGGCTGGTGGCACTGGCACCCACACGACCACTGGAAGATCAACATCTCGATCTCTCCCTTTTCATCTATCGGATCTCAAACTCCGATTCTTCCTAGATCGCAGTGGCACCCATCTCGCGCAGTAGTAGTGGACCTGTTCACAACATAGTCCCCAACCTGACTTTGACTTCACAAAGCAAGTCTTGAAATTCTCTTGCGCGTGAATACTATCAATAGATCGGTCGCGACTCTTTTACAGCAACCCACTCAACTCAACTACTCTTGTCATCACCATGTCGGAAGAATTCTCGTCGCCGCCGCCAAGGCAATACCGGTCCGAGGCATCCAACAACTGGCGCGCCAAAGACGACACTCCACGTGTGGATCAATCACAGTCCCAGTCCCAGCAGCCGCGCATGCGATCCAACTTCAACAGGACCAACAATGGATCGTATTCCAACAACAACACAAACTCTTCTACGTCTGCAGATGCATCTGCGACACCTGGCACGCGTCTTTATGTCGGCAACCTGCTCTACACGATCCAAAAGGGCGATGTGGAAGCCTTGTTTGCCGAGCACGGCTTTAACGTGGTTGGAGTCACCATTTCGACCGACCCTTTCACAGGCCGCAATCCCAGCTACTGTTTTGTTGATGTCGACAGTCCCGAGGAGGCGCAGCGGGCAATTGCCGAGTTGAGCGGCGTGGATTTGCGCGGACGCGCTCTGAGGGTCAGTCCTGGCGTCGCCAGACGTGGCCAAGGCCAAAGTGACAGCAATGGCAACGGCAACGGTGGTCGAGAAGCCCGCGTCAAGAACTACGACCAGGGATGGGGCCGAGAGTCGAAAGAGGAGAGAAGTAAGTTTGATTTCGGTTTCCTCCCCACCAACCCTGGTCCTATTCTTTTTGTCAGCAGAGAATCTTGTGAGTACTAGTACTGACAAACATATCTGTTTTTTGTTGTAGCTGGCGACTACAAGCCGACTTTTGACCGCTGGAACCGCACCGATGCTTCTTCGCATTGGCAGGCACCTCAGACCGAGGGCCGGCGTCTGTTTGTCGGGGGTCTGCCGCGTATCGAGCCGCAATCGGCGCTCGACGAGGAGATCCAGGTTCTCTTCGCCACACACCTCCCTGACTCAAACACCAAGCCCACCGCCGTGTCCAAGCTCATCTCGCCGCATCCCAGCAAGGTCGTTGGTGGCGAGCCCGGAAACCACTATTACTGCTTTGTCGATCTCGAGCGTGCCGAAGACGTGGATGTCGTCATTGAGAAACTCGCCGGCGCCCAGGGCAGCTGGGGTGGAGCAGTACGTGTCGGTCGTGCCCGAGAGCAGAGAGAGCGTGGCCCCGATAGGAAGGTCGTCAGAGAGCAAGGACTCCGAAACGATGGGGAGAGGAAACCCTTTGAAACTGGAAGCTGGAGGAGAGATTGAGGTTCTGTTCTCGAATGAAAGGAGGCCAAACCTGGCTGTAACGCGGCCGTTACCTTACGCTTGCTTGTCGGTGGCCATGGACCCAAGTAATCCAGGAGGATGCGCGTGCTCATGCTCGCAGAGGTGTCAGATGTCGATTCTTATCAGAGTGCTTCAAGTTGAGGCAGGCGTTGCGGAAACGGCACGACAGTGCTGCTGGCTGCCAGATTAGCATATCAGTGTGGCACGATAAATACGCCTCATGAGCCACCTCCGCTCGTGCCGGACCAAAGAGTCCTGTTGTGTAAGAATAAACTGGATACGAGAACTACGTAGTGCAAAGCTCTACTCACGGGAGAACAAATCTCAGCCCATTCGACGATCGGTCTTCTTGATTATGATTCCATTGTTTTTCTCTCGCGATAGGCGCAAGTTATCTTATGTACTCAAGTACAGGACGTGTTGCGCATTTTCGTTCACCTGACCAAGAAAGAAACCTGGTCCCCAAATTCGTGGTCTTGTACAGATTCGCTAACATAACTCGAGAACGTTGAGTCTGTCCGTAGTTTCATCCCAGTAGCGATTTCGGCGTCATGGTATGGCGGGAAATGTGCAATAACAATCACTTTTCGGCAGCTCCCTCCCAGAAGTCTGCAACATCGTCTCATTTACCGCAATCCAATCTTGCTCAAGATGTTGCTGGATGTGGAGGGCTTCGAGTCGCCGAAAACGCCCAGGATGCTCTTCCACACATGCTCGGGGTCCTGGCTGGCATCAATTCCAGCCCAGATACCCTTGGCCTTGTAGTAACCGACAACAGGAGCCGTCTGTTGGTGGTAAGTGGCCAATCTCTTCTTAAGAGTCTCAGCATTGTCATCGGTTCTTTGGATCAATGGCTCGCCAGTGACATCGTCCTTCATGGGCTCCTTGGGAGGGTTGAAAACTTTGTGGTACGTTCGGCCCGAGGCAGGATGGATCAATCGACCAGTGATCCGAGAGACAAGGAGGCCATCATCAATTTGGAGTTCAATGGCGTGTTTGAGGGGCTTGTTTTCACGATCGAGCATGACATCGAGGCCTTCGGCTTGAGCGACCGTTCGGGGGAAGCCATCGAGGATGAAGCTACGCGCATTGTTAGCGAGGACGGACATGGAGTCCCAGAACACGCAACTTACCCATTCTCGCACTCTTTGTTCGTGTCGAGCTCATTCTTGATCATGTTGATCATGATATCGTCACTGACCAGTCCACCTTGATCCATGATCTTCTTGGCTTCTCGTCCGAGGGGAGTCTTCTTCGCAACCTGGGCGCGGAGCATGTCGCCAGTAGCCTGCTCGGTATTAATTGCATGTCCCGAAAGGTTCTAGTTCCATGATTCCATACCAAATGGCAGACACAGTACCGTTCCTTGATCCGAGGAGCTTGAGTTCCCTTGCCTGTCGAGTACAAATCAGTTGACGCGTCCACAATGCTGCTACCGCGGGAACGCACCTGCGCCTGGGGGTCCGATGAGGATCATGCGCATGGACTCTACCACCGAGGGTTTCTTCCCGCCGCCCTCCAGTCTGCGTTCGAGTTCGTGCACTCGGCTCTCGAGCTTATGGACAAGGTCCTTGAGATCATCGATCTTCTCCTCGGTAATCGGGGCCATGGTTGCTGACAGGTATGAGTTCCGGACCTGACCAAGGTCGGGGAAGAGGAGGGAAGGTTGGGACGAGGTTTAGTTGATGTGAGAGGAGAGAGAACTTGAAGCAAAACAAACCAGGAATTGGTCGCAACACTCTAGAAGCAGTAGCCACAGCAGGAGAACCTAGGCAAGGCAAGGTACTTCAAGTTGAGTGGTATAAAGATGGGACTGGAGCCCTAGGAATAGTGGGCAGCTCTGTTACTCTCCGCTCTACCGAACTGGCCGAGTGCCAATTTGTGGCCGCAAAAGGGCACCGCCGGGAGCTGCCACCGACTGCTGTCCCCCAAGCGCCAAGAAGTCACGTTTCTTTCAAGTTCAAGCCCGAGTTGAGCTGCCTGACTGATGAGCCGCCCACGCGTTTGCTGAGCTCTGGTTGCTCTCCTCGTTTTCCCGCACAACAGTCTCCAACTCCTCTGCCCCCTTTCAGCCTCGCCAGCCTCTTCCGGTTCATCTTCGTCGCTGTAACTGGATCGTCCGTTGGCCCAGCCTTGCATGCAGTTTGCCCGAGTCTATGCCGATACAATAATGTAGTTGTATTGATGCGACGATCTACTAGTATCACCCTTTGTCGGTGACCGCAACATGTTCATGACAGTGCACACTACAATGGCAATGATATCGCTTTACCACCACACAGTGTGATTCATTCAAACTTCTGCCCTATCAACTTTCGGTGGCAAGATACCTTAGAGGCTTACAATGGTCTTAACGGGTAACGGGGAATTAGGGTTCTATTCCGGAGAGGGAGCCTGAGAAACGGCTACCACATCCAAGGAAGGCAGTCGACGCGCAATTACACAATCCCGAGACGACACGGGGAGGTAGTAACAAATAAATACTGATACGGGGCTCTTTCGGGTTTCGTAACTGGAATGAGTATAATCTGAATCCCTTAACGAGGAATAATTGGAGGGCAAGTCTGATGAACTTCACTTCGAATCTTAATGATTTCACGACGTTGAAATGATTGCTGTCGCCAGAAATAGGGCGCCCGTCTACAGTTGTAGAGCCATACTAGGGGCAACTGCACAAGCAGGGTTACGGCGGGCCATATCCCAGTCCAGTGTACCTCAGACTCCTTGAAGCGGCATATTACGGCGCAACCTGCAGTTGCTGGTACCATTTCAATGCCAAGGCTACGGCGCGACTCTATCTTTTCAAGTGCAAATACGTGCGGCGGATGATGAGGCGCGTCGCTTGCCAGCCTGCAAGTCGAGATCTACCGTAGCATGTTCATGTTCAACACCACCGCTCACCAATCCGACAACTAGGTATTTACCTTGAACCAGAACTCTGCAGTCTGTCTCCTTCTCCGTTCGCATACCCTCCGAGTGTCTCGAACCTCTTCCCTCCGTTCCCGCAGCTGAGGCTCTTGTCCCAGCTTTCTCCTGCTCATTCCTCCAGTCCTTCCACCTCATCTCATACTCAGCCGCCATGCCCGCAACAACCGCAGAAACCTTATCTCTAGTAAGCAGACAGGTTTCAGTTGCCCCTTTGGTGCTTCTGTCTGTTGCCGACCACTATGGTCGATCAGCCAAAGGTACCCGGAAGCGAGTAGTGGGAGTTCTCTTGGGGCAAAATGATGGGAAGAATGTCCGGGTATCGAACTGTTTCGCAGGTAGGTCTCATAGCTGCCAAGTATCCCTGGCGCAGCTGACAATGTCCAGTGCCGTTTGAAGAAGACGAAAAAGACCCTTCAGTATGGTTTTTGGATCACAACTATGTCGAATCGATGCGGGAGATGTTCAAAAAGGTCAATGCCCGGGAGAAGTTAATAGGCTGGTATCATTCGGGTCCAAAGTTGCGAGCGTCCGACCTGGAGATCAACGAGCTCTTCAAAAGATATACCCCCAACCCGCTGCTTGTCATCGTGGATGTACAGCCCAAAGAAGTTGGCGTGCCGACCGACGCTTATTTTGCTATTGAGGAGATCAAAGATGACGGCACGACCACCACCAAAACCTTTGTGCATACGCCTTCCATCATCGAGGCCGAAGAAGCCGAAGAGATCGGAGTGGAGCATCTTCTAAGAGACATCCGGGATGTGGCCGTTGGAACCTTGTCCTCCAGAATCACCCAGCAATTACAGTCCCTACAAGGTCTTCATCTGCGACTCAGAGACATCGGCGCCTACCTCCAAAAGGTGCTCGATGGCGAATTACCTATCAACCATGCTATTCTCGGTAACCTGCAAGACATATTCAATCTTCTCCCCAACTTGACCGTGCCTCCCGCTTCCAAGCCGCATGGCGCGAATCAAGTCGAAAACAGTGAACTGGCCCGTGCCATGACGGTTAAAGTGAACGACCAGCTTATGACAATCTATCTCAGCTCCCTCGTTCGCGCCATCACCGCATTCCACGATCTAATCGATAACAAGAACCAAAACAGGCAGCAGCAGGAAGAAAAGGAAGCCAAGAAGGACGAGGCGGAGAAGAAGGAGGGGGATAAACACAAGGATGACAAGAAGTTGGCCAATGGTGCAGTCAACGGCGAGAAGAAAGCTACAGAAGACAACGGAAAGGGCAAGGACAAGAAGAAAGGCTAGATAATGCAGCAGACTCGAACTGAGGATTGCATTCAGGCATTTAGCATGGCGTTTGAGCGGGAGATCCTGCGCAATGGCTTGAGGAAGTACATACATCATCGTGTCACATCAGCAGGCTGGTTCAATGTACAATATGGCATCGAGGTCACATGAAGTGGTCATAGAATTTGGATGCGGCTTCTGTCTGTCACTGGATGAAAGAAGTTTCCGTGGCCAGACTATATCTCTCGTGGCCGTTGCTCATTTACCCCCATACCGAGTGCACTCGTCTTACTCGCTAACGGCTCATTGGAAGCTCTTTAGGAATTTTGTCCTATTCTTGCTATGTAGGATTCCAATGGAACCTGCCAGTCCTGCCACAAGATAACGGGGTCCAGCGGGGGATAAGATTCCTGCAAAACGTTCGTCCTTCAAGTTCTCGAGTCTGGTCCTCTTTCTACTAGTAGGCAAAGGCTGCACGCGGACATGATGACATGTACTGTGCTGTAGCCACCCGTTAACCCAGGAGCTCTTATCGTGCGCCGAACTCGCCCCAACCTGCGCCCCATGCAGCGAGTTCCTCCTTGCTGACTTCCCGGGACGTGACGGCGGAACTAAAGAGCTTAGGGGCGGCCTTTGCCAGCACCGCAGCCAGGATGTGTTTGCAAGAAGGCGCTGAACGAGAGGAGGGATTGGTCGCCAGGCCGCCGAACATCCAGTCGTGGGTTTGGTCGGTAGTATCGATGTCGGCTTGTGGTTGTTCCTCAAACTGGTCCGAGTCATGACCACCCACATTGAGTCCCTGAAACGCCGAGACACTGAAGGCCGGACAACTGCAGTTCCAGCTGTCCAGCCGGACCTCGTAGAACGTGGAGGTCGCATCACGTCGGCGAGAAGAATAGTAAGAAGATCTCGAGATTGATGAGCCTCCGCGGCCGCGCCGGCCTGAATTCGACGAGGTTACGGCCGACGACGATTGAACATAGTACACCTCCCACGGACCTCCAACATCTGGGCTTTCCTTTGGTAAAGGGTGCTCGACTTCTTCGGCACTCTCGGGGCGTAGTGTAAGCCTGGTCACGAGGCCGCGGTCAAGTATATCCAGCGCCGGCAGCAGCTCGTGCGGGAAAAGCACTTGGAGCGTCAGAAAGACATTGCGCGCATGTTCGGCATCCGAAGGGGAAAGTCTGTTCAAGGCGCTGGGCGGCTGATAGATTTCTGGTCCTAAGAACCTTTGTCTCGCTGGATCTTGTTGGGCTGTAGACTCATCAAGCGGCGTAATGCTCGACAGGCTTAAGAACACGCTCGTCATGATGGAGCTACTATTAGGAGTAGACGACCACGGCCCAGACTGGTCGTGCATGGTGGGCTCGGCCACTGGGCGGCATCCGCCATAGTACCAGTCTATTCTAACAGACTGCGTGAGATCTTTGAGAAGGGGTGTGTCCCTGTGAAGTAGGTTGTTGGCGTGGTCGAGAACGTAAAGGGTGGAGGATAGAGAGGAAGATTCGGTGAATAATATTCACAGAAATATTGCCATCTACAGGTCCACCATGATCGACTGGGGATACGCTTCAACCACTTGAATTCTAAGCACTTATCCCTGTGAATCATGGACCTCTAATTAACACACTGACTCTTATGGTGACTTACACGCTCCGTAACAATATATTTGTTCGACCAGAAGTTGGACTGATTCTCAACGCGAATAGAAAAACTCGATAGTCTACAGCAAAAATACTGATATTCTTCTAAATAGTCGTGTTCACCATGTCTACATACCTAGGTCTCTTTGGTTTATATTTTCAGCCCTGCCATCTGACTTTGTTCGCCTTCATCACCGATATCATACCCATGGGCACTTGGGCAGCATTCACAATTTGGACACTGCCATACTTTTTCAAAATCTGAGGTCCGTATACGGCAAGGATCCATTTCCAATAGGGATCCATGGATGTCCACGGCTTGCATATCGTGGGTGGAGACGCCGAGGAGTCTGTATCGATATCGTCAAGATCTTGGAGCCACGAATTCAGCTGCTGGGTCTGCCGCATGTGATATTGCTGCGGTATCTTGAGAAGCTTTTGGTAAGCCGTGCCCAGATGGATCGAATGCTCCTCTCGGTACTGTAAGTACTCTCCTTTGGACATGAATTCATCCCCGACGTCGATGGGCACGGACGAGCCCCTATGGTCAGCATAACCCCGTCTTCCATCCTGCTCGAACTTCAGTTTCGCAGCATTGTATGCGTTTTCGTCGGCCTCCAGACCCCTTTTTAAGATCTCCTCAGGAAGCCGCCGCATTGTTTCTCGCATGGAGTGTAACGGCACCAGTGGGTTGCGAAGCTCCAGCCCACCCAGTCGAACTGGCCAATACCAGACCCCATCCGGGATGTCCGTCATGCCGTATTTCTCTTTTACCAGCTTCGCGAGGTAATCCGTCACTGAACCGTCAGGGAAAATGGTTTTCTGGATCCTGACCATAGTGTCAATCATACTGTCAACATGCTCTTGCCCAAAAGCATTGCATGGTTGGCCAAAGTTATTGCTGAAGAACCGAGCCATGTACGCATTGTATGCTTGAATCCACGAGAAGACCGATGTACAATGAGATAACTGCCGCTTCAGCTTTTCGATGTGGTCGTCAACCATGCTCTGGTCGATCACAAACCGTACACTAGCAGCATCCAGGCGAAGAAAGCCCCAGCGAACTGCACCTTTAGGAAGGGACAGCTTGTCGGAAGAGACGGACTTGTCATGTTTGCCCAGTTCTGGTGTGGAGACACCTTTGGAACTCTGTTTTGTCATTGCATCGGCACCACCCTTCCATACCACGGTGCCTGTCTTTTCACTATTAAACTCGATGCCCATGACGGAAGCAAAGGCCGTCATCGCTTGCCAGCCACGAAGACACACATCTTCTGTTCCCCATAGCCAGAAATCGTCATGAAGACGGTAGAGGTAGCTTTGACTGGCTTTGTTGACGGCGAAATCCATCACGAAAAGGACAACTTCTCCGAAGACGTCACTCAGGGCATGTGACATAGGAACACCTCGCTGCCGAACCTGCGATTGTCCATGTGGACCATCTTGGGCGAACCGTAATGGAGCTTGGAGGAACTTCCTGAAGAAGGCCAGCCAGTCATCACTGACGCCAAAGAACTCAAGGACGGCAAAGATGGTGCCATGAGGAAGAGAGGGCCCGAACCACTGGAAATCCGACCGAACAATAGCATGAGGCGTGTCTGGATGCAGATGGCGAGCAACCAGGGCTTCCGTAACGACAAGGTGCAGAAGGGTTTGCTTGATTTCGGCCGGGCTCTTCCTGCCCGGCGCGGTCGTGTTGTCGTCCTCCTCTCCATAACCCCGAACACCTTCTGCCTCGTTTATGGGTAGCTGTGTCAACAAAAAGTCTTCTTCATACTGTTTTCGCCGTATCTTCGCAACAGTTTCCTGTGAAGTGGCATTCATACCCAGAAAATACTCTCTTCGGAAAAGATCGTTCTTGGGAATTGTTCTGGACGGTCTCTCCCACGCCGCTGACCTAAAGCAACCGGTGAAACACTTCTTGAAGTGAACTGCCCACTTCATGCCAATGACATGCAATAGCAGGGCGTCAAGAACATCCTCGTCCATGAAGACACAATATCGTCCGTTTAATTGGCGCCGTTGCTGGACTGGGATGGAACCGTCAATGGTGGTCCACTGCCAGCTTTCGAGAGAGGCGTATCTTATGTTGAGGATGTCAGCTACTTCCTGGAGCACCTCTTTATTGTCTCGGAACGACGTTAGAATGGCTGCCTTGTCTTCAGGAAGCAGATCGGTCTGGAGGACTCCACGGATAGCTGTCTCTACACTGGCAGGGTTAAACAGCCCACGCCTTTGCCAGAGATTGAGACTGAATCCTTGCGTAGCACCCTCAATGTCATTAAAGGCATTGGAAACCATTTTTTCTGACCGGAATAAACGGCTGAGGTAATGCTGAATTTCGGCCTTGCCAGTCTCCGACTTGGAAAACACAAGGGACTCCCACTGCTGTCGCTGTTCGTGCATTTCTTTCCGACCAATAATTTCAGGGGAAGACTCCTCCAGTCCGCCCTGTGCAGCACTCTCGATGTTGAGATTACTGCATCCAGAAAGCCATTCGGTCACGAGCTGCGAAAACAAGTCGGCATGCGCATGTCGAATGCTTCTCATTTCAAGGTCCTCTAGCAGTGTATGTTGAGTGTCTAAGACCAACTCGGAGCTCAATGCTGGATCTTTTGCGGCTTGACGGAGGAGTAGCTGCTGGTTCCGCCGCGTGCGAGCAAGCTCGGTTGACCATCGGATGTCAGCTTCAGGCAGGTTATCGTCCGGGAGTCGAATCCCATCAATCCGACAAGCGCCTTCGAGCAAGGTGAGGGTCCGTTCGAGCTCGCTCGTACATGACTTTGCGGCAAGAAGAAGCTCTCGCTTCTGTGTTTCATACTGTTCACCCTGTTTTTTGAGCTCCTTGAGTTTGCTCGATGTGATTGAGCGCAAAGTCTCCGAGAGGCTTGACGGTGCCATTACGGAAGAATCCCTCGACAAAAATACTAGTGAGAGAAGGGGGTTCGCAGCCCGCAAGGATGCACTGGGTATTGGCCGGGGGCAACTGGGGAACGCTGAGTAGAGACAGGACGCCGAACAGAAATCACCGGCTGACACACCCCTTTTCTTTTCCGACCACAAACAAATGCGCTGACATCAAGGTTTAAGAGCTGAAGTGGAGTGAGGAAGAAGGTACCTGATGAGAGATGATACTGTTATACCAACCTGGGGTGCACAGGAAGCATCTAGTTGCGCCGTGACTCACGCCCAGTCAAAGATGTAGCCGGGAAAGATGCATCTACCTTGATGGCGTGGATATATAGGTAGATGTGAGAGTAATACAACCGGCCCAGATTGCCATTATCGAGCGGAATCGAAGATGGTTGCAGGACTTCGAGTTCAAGCTGCAGTTGAACCACAATTTACTGATCATGTTGAAGTTGTACAGTTGTGTGCCTGCGTCACAGTTCAAGTCGAATTAAGCTCACCACCTAAAAAGGCTTAGCCTGATACTGGGGATCACTACTCATTGAAGCGAACTTCTGCCGACGCTCTTGGGTGCAGTGCAGTGCCTTGTAACGCATTTCAAGATGATGAAGACGCGAACGTGAAAAGTACATGTAAACACCTCCGGACGGCGACCTGCAAAGGTCTTAAATTGATCATGCTACAGTAACAACTAATTGATGATTATGACCTCGTTGCACACTAAACTCAGTATTTCCACGAATATTGTGGCATCATGATTCCCTCCGAAACCCTCCATTGCTTCTATTTCGTCACTTCACCATGGATGGGGCGGAGTCTCCCTCAACATCCAAGGTGATCGTTCAATGCATCGACCCTCACAATCTATACGATATCATCGAACCTCATTTGTCAAGCAGGACTCCCCTGCGAAACCTTCATTGGAAGTCGCCGAGTCGCCCTCTTCGATCAATCGCATCCCTGAATGTATCCGTCGTCCGAGAGGACACTGATGGCAGGTCGCAAGCCAACGTGCGCAGGCACCAGATCCCAGGACTGCGGCAGACGCCTTATGTAAAACTGTACCTCCTGCGTTGTGATGATAAGGAGCAATATAAAGAGAAGGCCCGCAAGGAAGTCCGCCAATGGGTCAAGACACAGACAAGCGCCAGTGACGGCAGCAAGTCGTCAGGAAAGGGACAGGAGGACCATGATGCTTTTGAATGGCTGATTGTCCACGTGGTGCTGCCCGATACGCCGGCTGCTCGTCAGCCAAAGTCGTCCAAGCATCTCTCGATAGAAGCGGCAGAGAGTACCGACAGTGTCAATAGCAAGTCGAAATGGACAGGCAAGAGTCCGTCCACGATTTTGGACAAGCTGAAGGCCGACTTCAATAGTGGCTCCAAATCAGGCATCAACCGCGTTGCGCAAGTGAGGCTTGTAGACGCCAACGACAAACCTACAGGATTGACCCCGTCTGAGCTCGAAGAACAGTGGCAAGATCTGGTCGAGAGCCTCAAAGTGTGCATCTTGCGCTCTTTCGACGCTCGCGTCGCTCAGTACGAGGGTGATATACGGGAAAGGGACAGTCAGCGAAGCCTGCCGGGCTGGAACTTTTGCACCTTTTTCATTCTCAAAGAAGGGCTAGCAAAGGGTTTCGAGAGCGTAGGATTGCTCGATGATGCCCTGGCGATTTACGATGAGCTCTCTGTGGGGCTTGACGGGCTCGTCAAGGAACAGGCTCAAAGGATTGATCCTGACGACAGCGGCTCGCTGCTCAGATTCTCCAAAGAGTCCAAGGACCTATTGAGGGCAGCTCTCAGTTCTCATGCTGAAAATGTTTCGACCCCTAATGGAAACCGGATATTCAGTTTAACAGACATCCTCAACGCTGATCGAGACCTGTTCCCTTTCGATACAGATAGAAAGCACTATCTAGAGCTCATTCTGTCAAATGAAGTGTCTGCTCTTGACCTCCGGATGTACCTCTTTACACGACAAATGGAGATTCTGCTCCGGCAGGGCAGGTCTGACGATTCTAAGCCTCCAAACTCAACGGCATCTGCCAATATGAATGTGGTTGCTGACCTCACGGAACGCGCAATCCAGGCTATCAACCTTATCGCCCGCAACCTTCGCCTGGAACTCTACAATGCTTGGGGCGGCCAGGAAGGGCTGAGTGCAGAGGAATTGCATTCGCAGAGAACTGTCACCGGCAATATTGTCTCAACGTGGGAATGGTGTGCATGTATGCAAATAATGGCTCAGGTTCTCCCAACCATAGGCACAGATGTGGAGTATGGTACTCAATCTTTATCGCTTGACGCTGTTGAACTTTCTCGTGACGCCGATTCGAAGCCCCTAACGCAAGGTGATGCGGGCGGCCCTGCTCAGAGGATGTCGTTGGCCGTTAGCTTGCGACCGAAGCCGCGTGAGAATCCCCAGGAATTGAGCAAAAGGAGCTCCTTGATGTCTGAGGGTTCGCAAACCCGACGGCCTTCCGCTTCACATCCGGGGTTAGAGCGTTTGTCATTGTGGATCTCGAGACTGGCGATGCTGGCACGGCATGCTCTGGAGGCCCTTGAAAGTGTTCGGCCATGGGTCATCGAAATGAAACGCTCTGCCAGCGACGCAAGTGGGCCAGAAGATACGGTGCAGACCAATGGTGATTCAGACCGGGTGTCACACTCGGACAATAATCCAGAGGGCTCTATCGCTGACGAGGACTTCCAGCATGGGTCACAGCAAGAGCTGATGGCCGGTCTGAGTTCGAGGACTTTACGGACAGCAGCATCATCCAAGTCAACATTTCTGAGTCTCTACGCTCTTCTGTCAGTCCTAGCATATCGAATGGCGGCTGATGCAAAAGGTCAGGCGACTGCCGAGCAGATCTTGACCAATCTTGCGGAAATGGAGTACTCCCAAGGTAACTACACAATCGCTGCCCGCTATTTGCACGGTCTTTTGGGCCCGTTACCGAGGCTCAGATGTCGCCCAGGAGACGGCTACCTACTTCGCATGTATGCCGATTGTCTTTGCAAACTTGACAGGACCAATGAGTACGCTCGATGTCTGGTTTCTTGCTTGTACTGGGCCTCTCGGTGCCGCGCGAAGCCTTTGCCCGCCATGCCCTCTGCTCAAAATCAGACATATGTGGATCGTCTGTTCATGATAGCTCCAACAGTTGCAGAAACGACACTTCCTCTAACAACTCTGTTCCACATTTCAAGCGTATCCAGGGCAATAACCAAACTTGAGGGTCGCGATGGATTTGCCATGTCCATGGCCATAAGGTCTCTGGCCGAAACGTCGACGCCATCGCTGCATGATGTCAAGTTGCGCTTGGTCTCCAAGGATGGAGTTGAACCCCGATTTATCACCTTGGCGCAGCGTGGTGATTCCTGCATCGAGTCTTCCGGGACCATGCTCTCGCTAGAGACTTCGGTTACAACACATGGCTGGTACACACCGCATGAAGTTGAAGTGCGTATCGGCCGCTTGAGATTCTTGCATCACTTCTCAGTGCCTCGTGAGGAGGAGCCGACAGACTCGATGGAGCCGGCGAACTCTCAACCAACGATTCCCCCAGTTCTTGTTTATCCCTTTTCTCAATCTCTCGAGGTGAAAATAACACCTTCTCCGTCCATCCATTTGGCACAGATCCGGCGTCTCTTGGTCACCATACGGCCAGGTGACAACGACGTGAAGCAATGTAAACTGCGCTTGAAAACCGCCACTGCGGGCCTGAGGCTGAACATCCACGATTCACAACTGCTAGGTGGGGAGACTGATACGGCTGCTCTACGCACCGCACGTGAGGGGGATGCTCTCATACTCATTGTGGATGACTTGAGATCTGGATCACCAACCGAGGTTGAAATTCCATACACGACGGAAGTCCAAACAGAACCCTCAGTAGTCTTGCGAATTGATGCGAGTTATGAGACTCAGCAAGGTGTTTTCACGCTGTATGACACTGCAGTCGTCAACGTCATCTTGCCGGTTACTGTCAATGTTCAAGATGTTGTCCGAAGTGGTTATGTCTATTCACGGTTCACGGTTAGCCCGGCGACCTTGGTCCCTTTGAATCTGGTGGAATGTCAGTTGGAAGAAAACGAAGCATATGCTTGCGCGGTTGGACACGGGTTTCCTCAGCCCCTAGTGGTCTTTCCCAAGCAGCCCGCGAGCTGGACGGTACGTCTCATCCCAAAACACGCCGAAGCACCAAAGTCAACGCAGCGGATGACCCTGGTGGTCCGATTTCAAACGCTGGATGAGAGTATGCTGGCTGCCTTGGAAGAGAGCTTGACTTCAGCAATCTCAAAGACCAAACATGCATATGCCGCGAGGTTGCTGGCTACACATTTACAGAACCGAATACGTTCCACATGGACCGAACAAGACTTGGAAGTGGCGGGGCTGACACAGGAGGTTGAAGTCTGGAACTTTGAGGACATAGACTGGCCGGCTGTGCTCTGTGCCTTTGACCGGCAGACAAGTGCCGAGATTGAAGATTGGCTCCAAGCATGGCACTCCAACCCCAAATCCATTGCGCTTCCCACGAAGTCGGCACGGCTGCGGCAGCTCAAATTACACGTGGATGTGCCGCCTCAACCCGTGGTTGTCTGCGCTGCATTTGTGGTCAACAAATCAGAGAAGTCAAGAGACATCGCTGTAATGGGTCAGCCGTTCCTGACTGAATTGGTGATGAGCCTGGGAAACCAAGCTGAAAAGCAAGTTGAAGCAGCCTTTGAAGTGGCGGCCATTGCGGAATCATGGCTTATTGGAGGCAGACGGAAAGGAACGGTACTGCTGGGTGATCAGCCTGTACGCATTCCCATCGTTCTGTTCCCCCAGCACCTAGGACATGCTCTCCTACCGGTCGTCACAGTCCAATGCCGGAAGATGGACAAACCAGCTGGGCGTGGCGAAGACGGGTGGACTACCGTGCCCTGCGAGGTGCACAACGAGACATATGGACGCAGTATATTAGTGACGCCGGATCTCCAGAGCACAACAGTGGAGGTATCTGGAGCCATACCTGATGATGGCGCGGGACGACTGATTGCAAGCACGAATAGACAGTAGAAACGACGATAAAAGGACAATACTTGAATACGCTTTTGACCAAGGGACCAGTTGAACTCTGGAGATCCCGGATCAGATAAGACGTTGATAGGAGGGGCAGTAGATCTGCAGGCACCCTTCCGGGCTATCCCTTAACCGGTGTGGTGTCTCCCAGGGTCGCCGGGACGAGCCACACGCCAAGCCAAGAATGTCATAGCTTGCAGTGCCGCTGCTTGGAATGACGCCAGATCTCACCGCGCATGCAGTGGGGCGCAGGCTCTTCCAGTACTAGTACGACTACTACTGTGTGTGGCCCCTGCCTGCGCCGGTTGGAGGCGAAGGGCTTTTCGACCTTTCCCACTGGAGGCGCCTCTTCCCCAACAAAATCTGCCAGGACGTGGAGCTTCGGTTCATTCTTCGATTCATCCACTCACCGCACCCCCTGCGACCCTCGTGAAAATATCCATCTGGTGCCAACAGTGGTTTGACAGTGCTCTCGACCCGACGCTTTGCTTAGATCGTAAACGCCCCTGACGCGGACCTCTGCATTGTGACGACACGTCGGGATACAAAGAACGCAGCTCCTTGCCCCTTCGACCGAGGTCTATCGGAACGAGCTCTTCTGCCCATGCAGTTTGCTTTCCTGGGATCAGAGCTTTCGGCATGTGCTTCTGCTGGCTGCACATGTCAATTACAGTTGTATGCTGTGCAGTGGCTGGCCAGTGAACAAGGTCCTATGGTGACGAGAAGCTGAAGGCAAACAGGAACCATGTGCCTCGTCTGGGCCTTGTCAGACCTAGAGCGAGATCAAACAATAGCAGACACTTGAGGTTCAAGCTGAGACTGGAGCTTCGGCGAATCGCTAGGCTTTGAATGGGTCACTTCACCGATCGACGCAGTCACGGCCAAAAACCGGACACGACGTGGATGCGGTGAGACCCCAAGCCGGGCGAGACCATGACTCCAGCAAAGAACGGTCAAGAAAAGAAGGCCATAACATGATGCCAGTCCGTGGGGCGACGGACTGACAAACGGCAACAGTGTCTTTTCAGTAGTACAACAGTAATTGCAGTGCGATGACTGCTTTTGTTGTGCCCAGAGGTTTGTTGGGTACGTTGCCTGACCGTGAAACGGCGGCCAGGGAAGATTGCCTGCTAAAATTCCCGCATCTCAGGTGATAGGCCTAAAATCACCGATTATACAACTAAGTGTACTTGATGACTCGATGACTTGCGCATCATCATGCTGCTGGAGAAGCTATACGCGATTTACTAGTAGTATCACAATATAGTTGTACAATGTATTATCAGCACCAATCGTCTGGATCGTTACGCGGGTATCAGCTGGGGGCGTGGTTGGAGATGCTCAGGGGCAGATCTTCGGGGAGAAAGCCCAGACGCTGTGGCTGGTCCTTCTGAAGCCCTTTTCCAGTTCCACCTGAAGCTGGGCCCCCATCATCGCCAGGCCGAGCGAAAATCCAGGGTCCCGGACTACGCCTACTACGCACTAGGGCCTAACAGTGCAGGGCGTGCTCTGGCTTGCCGGCGGGCTGCAGTGGACACTGGCAGGGCAGAGGCGGCCCTGAATTTAGTGCTGGTCCCCTAACAACCCTCGTAGTGACTGCCAGAGCCACAGCGTGGGCATCTGTTGAGGTTCGCTCGGTGCAGTGGGCTGCCCAATTTTTTTTTTGCCCTGGGCCCCTGCGAACCACAGTGCGGTGCAGAAGCCAGATCCACCACCGCATTCTCCTCAATCCCAATGCTTGAGACGGCGACCACCTGCATGCCACCCGCCGTCCTGCTATATTTTCAAGGAGCTTCCTGCACCTGCTTTCTCTAATTCCCTTCTTCTCGTGCAGTGTGGTGTGGTGCTTCAGGTTCTGTTCTGTTCTCACTCTCTGATCCCTTCTCGTTGTCCTGGTTCGCCGTGTTTGTTTACGACGCTCCTTGCTCGACTCGCCGTATACGGTCCTGCCTCCGAGTTCGGTCCCAACAAAATACCTGTACTCACCACTCGCCCCCTTCGCCAGGTCGTTCCCTCTCTATCGACCATGACTTCGACTGCGTTGCCTTCCGAGGCAGTCCTTCGCCGCATGATGTCCAGCGATTCCACGCCAGTCTCGTCTGCCAACATCTCTCCTCTCGACAGCCCCCGGTCCTCGCCCTCGTCGACCTCATTGTCCTCTCTGGCCTCCGAGGACGCCGCTCCAAAAGAAAAGCAGGCGCCCGAAAAAAAGCAGCTGGTGGACAGCTATGGCAATCCATTTGAGATTCCAGACTACACCATCGGTGACATCCACAGAGCCATTCCCAAGCACTGCTTCGAGCGTTCAGCCGTCACCGGGCTGTACTATGTGGCCCGAGATGTAGCCTGTCTGGCCACCACCTTCTACCTCTTCAACCGCTTCGTCACTCCGGAATACATTCCTTCCACCGCCGTCCGAGGTGCACTGTGGTTCTTGTACACCGTGATCCAGGGTCTGTTCGGTACCGGAGTCTGGGTGCTGGCCCATGAGTGTGGCCATCAGTCCTTCTCGACCAGCAAGGTGTTGAACGATACCGTGGGCTGGATCTGCCACTCGGCTCTGCTGGTGCCGTATTTCTCGTGGAAAATCTCTCATGGCAAACACCACAAGGCGACCGGGCATTTGGAACGTGACATGGTCTTTGTCCCACCGACCAAGGAGGAGTATGCTTCCAAGAGGGGATATCTGCTCCATCAGATTGACGAGCTGACTGAGGAGACTCCCATTGCCACTGCGTACCATCTGATCAGTCAACAACTGGGAGGCTGGCCTATGTATCTGTTGACCAATGTCACCGGCCACAACAAGCACCAAGGTCAGCGTGAAGGCCGTGGTATCGGAAAGCACAACGGCTTCGGCGGTGGTGTGAACCACTTTAACCCATCCAGCCCACTGTACGAGCAGAAGGATGCCAAGTTGATTGTGCTCAGTGACCTTGGTCTTTTGATTATGGGCAGCATTCTCTTCTGGGTTGGCAAGACGTACGGCTTTGCCAATTTGTTTGTGTGGTATCTGGCACCATATCTGTGGGTGAACCACTGGTTGGGTAAGTCATTTTTCTAGATTTCTTGCTGGTTCTGTTTCACTGACATTGAACTCCAGTGGCGATCACCTTCTTGCAACACACCGACCCATCGTTGCCCCATTACACTCCCACCACCTGGACCTACACTCGAGGCGCAGCCGCAACGATTGACCGCGAGTTCGGCTTCATTGGACGGCAGTTGTTCCACGGAATCATCGAAACCCATGTCCTCCACCACTATGTCAGCACCATTCCCTTTTACCACGCGGACGAAGCCAGCGAAGCCATCAAGAAGGTCATGGGTCGGCACTATCGCAGCGATACCGAGGGCGGTGCGATTGGCTTCCTGAAGAGCATGTGGAAATCCATGCGGATGTGCCAGTGGGTTGAACCCATTGAAGGCACCACCGGCGAGGAAGCCGGTGTCATGTTCTTCCGCAACCGCAACGGCCTGGGAGTGCCACCGGCGAAATCGCCAAAGCCTGCTGCGTCCTAGGTCGAGGCGTAGACCAAGAGAATTGGAAGAGCATTGATTGCATTGAAAAGCATGCTTGAAAGGGGTCCTGGCGTTTATATTGATTGTTGGGTTAAGTCAGGAGGCATAAAGCTGGAGCCTAGAGTATTTAGACATGGTGTATTCAGGCAAAGGCTGGGAAGAGAGAAGATCATGATCCAGACCAGACCGGCTGCCCAGAGATAGACCAGATACCCCGGAATCGCGCGGATAGATTTGCACCACCTACAATTGACTTGTTCACTGGCTTGTTGTGATGAAAAAGAGTACGCGCAATCCAGGTTGGCTACAGTATAGAACCAAGTGTCGGACGTGCCGTGTGAGTGGTGTCAGTACCTATTCACTTGAACGCAACGGCTGCTGTCTCAGATTAGTTCCAGTTGTGTTCAAGTTTGATTCGCCAGCAGTCCGAGCGTGCCGGCACGGTCAGTTGAAGTCTGGGGGTAGAGAAGAGGTACCTACCTACAGTGCGAAACTGCAACTTGAAGGGGACCTTACCTGCCAGCACCGCCTTCGCTATGCCTTGCTACATAATACATGCCTACCCAGGATCTGCTGTAGATACCTAGCCTGGTAGGCAGGGAGAACTTTTGGTGTCTGCTCGAGACGGGTCATTAGTAAAGCTGGTGCCTCCAGTGGTGGCTTCGAAGCGCCTGCTACTGACATCAACCCCGGGCAAAGTTCCTCCGCCTCCATTCTACGACTCTCCAACGTCCATCCGCATCTTACGGCCGAGGGGGCCTTCACGACTCCCACTACTATCTACAACTGGTAGATAGCTAGTCACTAGTAGCTAACTCAAGTGGTTTGACTTCTAGCCTTCACCGTGCGCAGTGTCTCTTCCAATCCAGAGTCGCCATTCCAGCAGCCTCGCCGCTCGTATTCGCGTCCATGCGATGTTTAGACTCGGAAGCCTGAACACTCTTTTGCGCCTAGAGACGTCATTTGCCAGGAGTACGGCCGCAGACGCCCAGACTCGAGATCCCCTCGAGAGACCTTTGTTGTCACTGAAGCTTGTTTGGACATGTCTCGTCTACTAGTCGGCACCACCTCCAGTCCGACTCGCTTTCGGAGAGTGCCCGTCCAGTCTCGCATGCTTTACCTTACGTACGGCTCTTATTCCACCAAGCCTTCGGCCGTGGAGAGGATCAAGAAACATGGGAGCAAGCTGTATACTTAAAGACAAGGGGGGTGCTCCAGGTCCATGTCCCCGATCAACTCCAGTCCAGTCTCTATTACAACACAGTACACATATACATTAATACATTGACAATCCCCCCTACTGCTCGGAAGAACTAACCCTCAATCTACACCAATGACATTCAAAAGCGTCTTGCCCCCGTCGGCCGAGCGACCAAAATCACAGTCACGATGGCCAAGTGCGAGCAGGCAGTTCGCCTATGTAAGTTGGTACTCTTGTATACATGAACGACCCAAAAAAACATGATATTGATCGTCATACAGGCTCTCCGAGAAAACTTCTCGCTCTCAACTTGGCTCCTTTTGGGCGCTCTTCTCCAGTCCATTGTCGTCTTTATTGTTCCTCGACTGTATGCCACCATTCCGTTGATCCTCATGCTCGGTGCACGGGTGTTCGATGCAATGGCTGTCACTTGGGGCTGGAAGAAGAACCCCATGCTCGAAGGAGCCTTGTTGCACCGAGTCTCCCCACAAATCCCCGACGAGGACGGCAACTTCCATGAGGACGCAGCAGAGGAAAAGGTTGTGGTTTTCCTTCTGGGTGCCAAAGCCAATCATCCTCTAGGCATCTTCTCTCCCAACATGAATACTATCAGCGGCTTTTTGACCGGCATGATCTCGAATTTGGACGATACGGCCATCGAGAATGGATTCTATGGAGGTTCAAACTGGACCAACCAGGACAAGAATGGCGCCACCGAGTTCCTCTTCCTGAGCTACTGGCGGTCCACCGAAGACATCCACAAGTATGCGTACAGTCCTCTGCACCGCGAGGCCTGGGACTGGTGGAACAAGACGATCAAGCAAAACGACCACATCGGCATCAACCATGAGATTTTCGAGGTGGATCGCAAGCATTGGGAGGCCATCTACGTCAACTTCCAACCCACTCTCCTCGGTGCAACCACGTACTTGCGAAAGGGTGACAAGATGATGGGTGGGACAGTCGACGATCAGTGGATTTCTCCCTTGTTGGATGCTCGGAGAGGCAAGCTGAGGAGCAGTGCTGGACGATTGGGCCGCGACCCGGGACAGCTGTACGACAAATATGAGCTGGCGCCCGGTGCTACGCGCGAAGAAGACTGATTCACGAGACAACGAGAGACGGCTGGGTTTAATACTCACTCGGGTTGATGAGCGAAATGCGGGTAAAAATACAGCCACATATATACCCTCTGACTTATATAGAGGCCATTTAATTCTGTGGTATGTCCAAACAAGGCTGCCATGCATTTGGCTCTACAATTTACAGTATTTGTCAGCACTGAGTAAGCAGCAGCCTTGACTTGTGTCACGTGCGCAGCCTGATGAGCCGCGGCATCTCTGGGCATCCCCGCGCTTTCAATGGTCTACAACCGGGGTGCTCAGTTGTGTCGCGCCAGTCTCCTTTTTGTGCGGCAGATGAAGCGCTGTAGCCTGGCATACCGTTGGTGGTTTCAAGGTGGTGGCCTTGCTGACCGAATCTATGCTCGTGGCGTTCAGCAGTGTGCCTCGGCCACTGAACCATGGCATATAAGGTACTAGTATGGTGTTTGTTTCTGATTTCTTCCTTTCCAGCCAGTGCCTGTGATTCTCATTCCAATTGAGACGGTGTACAGATCCTATTCTCTGCTGTCGTCCTAGGTCGAGGGTCCTGAGACCGTGACTTGCGCTCGTTGTACCGGATTGGTGGCCGAAACCGTTCCCTAAGTTCGTGGTTGCTGTTCAACATGCCCTACAAATCCCGTTGGACAGTCCCCGTGCCGGATTGCTCCTTACAGACCTTCCTCTTCGAGTCTCCAGATCATCCCCTAGGGTCGAAACGGAGTTTCATCGACGCTGCTCGCCCGGACACTCACTATCTCACACGCGACCAGTTTCGGTTATGGGCCCAACGGTTCGCGTTAGGGCTACACAGGTCCAAACACTACCGGAAGGGCGACCGTGTCCTACTCTACAGTGGCAATGACCTCTTCGTGCCCGTGGTTTTCATGGGCGTCGTGTGTGCAGGCGGCATCTTCACCGGTGCCAATCCCACGTTTGTGGCGCGTGAACTGGCCCACCAGTTGAAGGATAGCGGCGCCACTTACCTGCTCTGCGCCGACGGCTCCATAGACACAGGCATCGAAGCAGCCAGATTGGCCGGGCTGGACCCTTCCGAGCGCGTGTTCGTCTACAACGCCAACATCTACGATGCACAAACAGAAACCCGCGGCTTGAAGGGATGTCGATACTGGAGCGAGCTGATTGCTCCGGAGCAGGACGCCAGGGGGTTCCAATGGGACGACCTGACTGGACCAGGGGAGTCCGACACGACGATTGCCCTCAACTACAGCAGCGGAACCACAGGTGTGCCCAAAGGCGTGGAAATCACGCACAAAAACTACATTGCCAACACGATCCAAGTGGCTCATCTTGCAACGCTATGGCCTGACGCTGAAGCCCGCATCGCGCGTGCATCCTGGCTCTGTTTCCTTCCCTTGTACCACGCCTATGGACAGACCCGCTTCGTGGCTGGCGGCTTCCACCGCGAGATTCCAGTCTACATCATGTCCAAGTTCGACCTGATCAAGTCCCTCGAGTATGTGCAGAGATTTCGCATCACCGAACTCGCCCTGGTTCCGCCCATTGCCGTTCTCCTCGCTAAACACCCGGCGGTCGACCAGTACGACTTGACTTCTGTCGAATCAGCCGGGTCAGGAGCCGCACCTCTGGGCAGGGACATTAGCGAACAGGTCGAGCGGCGGTTAGGCAATCAATTCAACTTCAAGCAAGGATGGGGCATGACCGAGTAAGTCACTTCTCTTCTGGCTTGTTTTTGTTTGTATGCTTTTGGTCGATTCAAGAGTCAAGACTGACCTTTTGCCAACATAGATGTACCTGTTCATTACTAGGTTGGGACCCGAGATTGACGTCCACCAACCATTCCGTCGGCGAGCCCAACGCCAACTGCGAAGCCAAGATCATGACCGAGGACGGCACGCGCGAGATCACCGAGCGGGGCCCCTCGGCCGTGGGCGAGCTGTGGTGTCGAGGACCCAACATCATGAAAGGCTACTGGAACAATCCCAAAGCGACGGCTGAGACACTGACGCCGGACGGCTGGCTGAAAACAGGCGACATTGCCTACGTCGACGACGAGGGGATGTTCTTTATTGTCGATCGGAAAAAGGAACTCATCAAAGTCAAGGGCAACCAGGTCGCCCCTGCGGAGCTCGAGGCCTTACTTCTCGAACACCCCGGCATCGCCGACGCCGCCGTCATCGGTATGCCGACCGAAGACGGCGACGAGAAGCCTCGTGCCTTTATTGTCCGTCAGGTCGGTGAGCGAGGCGCCAAACTGACGGCCGAGGAAGTCGCAGACTTTGTCGCTACCAAGGTAGTCCGCTACAAGAGGCTGGCCGGTGGTGTCGAGTTCCTCGATGCCATCCCCAAGAACCCATCCGGCAAGATCTTGCGCAGGCAATTGAGGGATCAGGCAAGGGAAAGGTTAAGGAGACAAGGGGCCAAGCTGTGATGAAATCGCCAAATGCAGGACTAAATTTTGGACAGGGTGTTTTGTTTGTCCTACAGTATCGAACCCTATTCCTACGCCATGTGTGGAATGTGCGAGGGCTCTTTCTTGACCACTGGGCTGTGACAGCACCGCGGCTTTTTGTTATTTTTCCATTGCGCATATACAATTGCTTGGAAAGAGAAATTGAATTTATATGAAATGCATCAAAGAGACGCGGGCAATGATTATTGGGTATGGCAGAATGGCAGAACACCACCAATGGATCTACATGTGCAAGAGCATACATGGTCACAATGTATGTCAGGATAAAAGATTGCTTTTGGTCTATTTGTTACAGCCCAATGGCATACCTCGTCAGTCTATAAACGGGTCGCTCTTCCTTGTGCCTAGCACATCACCCTCTCACCTGACAAGCAGAGTTCTTGTAGTTATGCGAGGATGTTCTTCTTTTGCCCGTTCAACGAATGGGTTCAATGGATTGTTTTGTCTTATCTTTTGATTGTTTGTCTGGTCGACCCTGCAGATCGCTCGTCGAGGCAGCGCTTCAGCTGGCCATGTCTTGTTGGGTGGCGGATCATGCCCGGCACCAATGTATCCATTGCTCGTTTACTTTAGCTCATCCAGTCCTAGCGACTTGATTCTGCGGTCCTTTCGCCAAACGAGTAGCCAAGACAGCAGGATGGCGGAGATGGACACCAGCAGAAGGCTCAGACAAACGGTATACGACGTGCGATAAGTCGGCCCGTAAATGGTGCTGTAGACGTGGGGGCCGACAATGCCGCTGAACTGGGCCATGGCGTTGGTGAGTCCGATGCCAATGCCGGCCGAGACGGTGCCTTCGAGGGCGCGGATCCGCTCCGGCCAGATGACGGGATATGCTGAGCCAGCACACGACACGGCCACAATCAGAGCCAAGTACTTGACCACGGGGTTGTGGACTGTAATGAGGATGATGTAGCAGATGATTGTGGTGCTTTCGACTGTTGGGAACAAATTCGTTGTTAGCGTCAGAAAGCCAGAGATTGCTGGTTCAGAGACGAACGAACAAAGTATGCGGAGTGTACTTACTGGCAACAGCAGTCGTCCATGGTCGGATCCACTTCTTGGTAATCAGCCATCCGAGAGTGTTCAAAAGAATGAAACATGCCACGTAGGGCGGCTACAATGACAGCAATGGTCAGCAAATGTCATGTTCAGAAGTTGGACTCGAAAACGGGGAAGGACATACAATATTCATCAATTGGGATTTGGCGGTCGTGGTGAATCCGAGCTGGTAGATAACGGTGGGCAACGCATAGCCGACTCCAAAGCCACCGATTCCATGGGCGATCCAATAAACACAGAATGTGTAGACAGTGGGGTCTTTGAAAAGCTTCTTCAACGCGTGCCAGTCCCAGTTGCCTGTTTTGCCAGACGGCGCCGTCGACGAGAGTCGCTGGACGATGGTGTCACGCTCTTCCGGTGTGAGCAACCTGGTCGTGTGAGGGTAATCCGGGAGACCGAAGAGAGCGACGAATGACAAGAGAATGGCGGGCAGGCCTTCCAGCAAGAACAGCCACCGCCATCCAGCAAGGCCGCCGAGTCCGTCCATGAAGCTGATGGCAAATGCCAATAGGCCGCTGAGTGCACTCGACAACTGGCCAAACGCGTAGAAAAGGGCGATCCGCCATGGCATCTCGGTCGGCCTGTAGAAGAAAGCCATGTGGTACAGCACGGCAGGGTAGAAGCCAGCCTCGGCCAGGCCGATGGCGAAGCGCACACACATCATGCCCTGGAAGCTCTGGGTTGCTGCGGAAGAGCAGGCGCAGATGCCCCAGAAGAGGATGAGGATGAACATCCATCGCGACGGCCGGAAGAATTTGAGGAGAACCGTGTTGCTTGGTTCGAAGATCAAGTAGCTGTACGAGAAGATGGACAGCGTCCACGCCCACTGACTCGGGTCCAGATGAAGTTCTTTCTTGATGCCCGTTCCGTTTTCCAGATTGATGATGGCCGCGTTCGAGTAGTTGGACGAATCGATGACTCGAAAGATGTACACAATCGAGTAAAACCCGACCAGCCAGTAGTCAACCTTGCGCAGTGCCCTTTTCTCGACCACCGGGTCGATGACAAAGTCCCGGTCCGTGTCGGTGTCGGTGATCACACTCTTGTCACTGCCCGGCGACACAGCGACCGTGGTTGTGAGTGTTTCACTCAAGCTCTTTTCGATGCCCATCTTGAAAGGCTAGAGGCGGTCGGGCAGGGAAAGAAGCAAGGAGCAGGGACGATGTATCCGACTTACCACAACCACAACAAAGTGGCTGTCGACCGGAGAGAATAGAGGGATATGCCCATTTTCCATCCCATATATACCAGGTATCCCTCGGTTTGATGTCCGAGCAGTTTCATCACGACATTGATTGCTGCGAAGGCGTCAAGCAAGTATTCGCCTGCCGGACGACTCCTGGACTCACCTGGACCGACTTGCTAGGATACTCCAGCTCCACAATATGCCCCTCGAGAGTATAGCATAGACATAGCGTTCTCCCTAATGAGAAGGACGGCGGCGATAATGCCAGGACGCGTCGCTCCGGAGGCACAGGGCACGAACAGAAGTAACTTGTCTTGATAGGGCAACAATCATGCATCCCACGCACTCTAACCACTGCAGGGAGAGATGGGGGCGATGATCAAGAGAAGCGGAAATGTAACCGTGAATAAAATTGATGTGTATGGTTGGTGTTATCTCCCAGGAGCACGTCGCATTGGGGTGAAAGCACGCAATATCCAGACATGGAGATGCACCACCAACCGAACCCACGTTCAGGGTCTTTGACAGGGTTGCATATGTTGATATAGCCGAATACTCGATACCAAAGCTTCTGCCAAACCCCGCACTAGATCGTCGCTTGTTTATATAAAAGGGAGATGTGTACTGCATCTGGCATATGGTGAGTGGGAGTGTATCGTCCAGCTCACACACCCTTGAACCTTAGGACCCTGGGAGATCTTTTTGTCTCTCTTGATCTAGATCTGACCATGGCACCAGTCGCTATTCAAGAGCCCGTGGCAGACACGAGCCGGATTCTGGTCAAGCCATGGACCCGACCAGCTCCTACTTCTGAAGACCTGGACTGGGCGCCGCTGGCCAAGATCGATCTCTCTCGCTTCGACGAGCCCGGCGGCAAGCAAGAACTGGCCAAACAGCTGTATGACGCCGTGACCCGCGTTGGGTTCTGGGTCGTGGTCAACACGGGCCTGGACGACGAAAAGGTCCTCCGTCAGTTCAGCATAGGCAACACATTTTTCAAGCAGCCGCTCGAGGAGAAGCGAAAGTTCCCTTGCAACTTTGCCCAAGGCGAATACTTTGGCTACCGGGAGAACTCGCGATGGATCGGCGACACCGGCGTCAAGGACAACGTTGAAATGGTGGGTGAAGGTTCCTCTGAAAGTTGATATGCCACACACTGACTCTCGCGTCTCAGCTCAACATCCCAAAGGACATTCCGGCGCTGTCGCATGTTCCCAAGCACGACATCGTGCGGGACCACTACGACGAAATCGCCAGCTTCCACCGTGAGGTCTTCGACAAGGTGATCCGCAAGTTGTTGATTCTCATTTCCATCATCCTCGAGCTGCCCGAGGACTATCTTCTCAACGCGCACGACTATGACCAAGTCTCCGACGACCACCTGCGCTATATGATCTACAATGTGCGCACCCAGGACGAATGGGATCGCGCCCAAGGCTACACCAAGGGCGGTCACACGGATTTCGGCAGTTTGACCCTGCTCTTCTCCCAGCACATTGCTGGTCTGCAGATTCGGACTCCCGAAGGCCAGTGGAAATGGGTCAAGCCGGTCGAGGGGGGCATCACATGTAATGCGGCCGACACCTTGACTTTCCTTACCAATGGTATGTATCATCCGCTACCGAACCATGAACAAAGCCACTCTGACTTCTCTGCGCCAGGATTCATCAAATCGACGGTCCATAGAGTTGTGACTCCGCCGAAGGACCAGATCAATGTCCCGCGGCTTGGATTGTTGTACTTCGTCAGACCAGGCGACAACACTCCTATGAGAACCGTTCCGTCACCGCTGCTGGAGCGGCTGGGTCTGCTCAGGGAGGAGGACAAGGACCCCAACAGGCCAGTCCCAACGGGCACCGAGTATGTCCGGGCGCGTGTCAAGGATGTCCATTACAAGGACGTGGTAGAGAAGCGCGAGGGTACGTCCTTCGAGTTCAAAGGACTGAAGGTGCAGAACTACTACGAGTAGATCGTCTTCGTAGTGGGAAAATCTCACGTAAAAGCCATCATAAAACTTGTTGTATCCCTTCATTGCTCTACCAGGACAGCTTCCCGTTGCTTCCATAGATTCATTCAGACGCACAACCGGAAGACACTCCGTAAAACAATGGCATTGACGAGTCCATAGACGCGCTAATTTCGAGATGAGGCTAGAGAACGTCGCGCCGTTGTCGATCGGAGGGGAAGAAAACATGACTTTGCAGAGGACAGCCGGAAGAGACGGCAAGATGTCGTGACCGCCGCTAAAGGTGGAAAAGGCATAGCTCAGGCGTGAAACAAAATGGAGCTGCATTTGCACAAATAAGCCCAAGTTGCAGGTCGCTCCAGAACGATGTCGTCGTCCAGCAAATATGCTTGGAACATCAGCTCGGTAGTAGGCCACCAACAGTAGCCCACGGAAGGAAATACGACTCTGTTATCGGTGAGGAGCAGGAAAACGCGGTGGGCCTGACCTTGGAGCATCTTCGGCATCAAATTGATTGTGCATGAAAGACCCGTAGAATGGAGACGGAACATTTCCATGCAGAGTCGTTGGTATCATGAGTACAAGGCGCTTGCTCATTTCGAACTGCTCTTCCTATTGCCAATTGGCCCAAGAGCCACAATTTTACTTTTCATCCTCATTCTTCTCATCATCCTGACCCAGAGCAGACAACGCCATTTTCAATTCCTTCACAATCCTGCCATCTAGTTTGTCACCGTCTTTAGAGTTCTGCAAGGCGAGCTCCCTTGGATCAGTCGGAATAGTCATATCTTTCCGAGCGTCCGGCTTCAAGGCTAGTATATCTCGAATATCCTCGGCAACGGCTTTTCGGTGCTCGTCATATCCATTCAATGGCAGTATCGTGAGTGGGTCCACGGCTGCCGAGGCTCCAGCCTCACGATATGATGCAAGGATACGTGAAAGCAACGCAAGAGTGGCTGCCTCGCTGGCGACTGTGAGTGTAAGAACATCCGTCCCGTTCGCTCTGGCCTGGGGACTGTGCATAAAACTCGTGCTTGCCCGCACAAGTTGATTTGGGAATTGGTTCAAGAAGGACGAAATTTCTGAAGCAATGGCACCACCAACCGCGTGTAGAAGGTTCAGGCAAATCGGCAAGAAACCCGTAGCCCAGATCTTGTAGAGCACCCCACACGTGGGTCTAGGGTCGACGTGGGAGACACCACCGGGGGCACGTTGCAATGACTCGGTCGTTTTCGATGTCAGGATGCGGCCCAGCACGCCTTCGATGGCAAAATCCTCTGCAAGGCGTGGAAGAGAGGACAAAGACGCCAGCATCTGGACGGCGAACAGCGCGTAGCGCGCTTCATTGTCTGGCTCTGGCCGCGAAAGGACGTGAGACCAGCTGTAGAGCAATACGCATGAAGAGGCGATGCCAGCCGAAGACATTCTTTCTGAAAGTTCCACCGAAAATTGTGCGATGGTCGGCAACCGCAGAATGGTTTGTGTGAGGGTCAATAGCAGAGACATATCGCGTAATCCGATATGGGAGGAGTCTTCCTCCAGATTATTCTTCACTTTTCTTTCGTTTTGATCTTGGAGGGCTGTTACTGCTGATTTGAAACCCTCTGCAACGATTTGGGACATGATTTCCAGGAATGTCGCGTTGGAAGGGTCTAGAGTCACGACGGCGGTGCTGGTGCCGGGAATATTGGTTGCCCGGCGTTTCTTGTTGACATGAAATGAAATGGCCATCAAGAGGATGTACAGCGTCGACCGCCAGTAGGCGAGGTCATCATTGCTGATGGCTTTCTCGTAGGAGCCATTACGGAACCGGACAGCATCCCATGCGGGATCTAACAAGCCAACAAAGTCCGAGCCTCTGGCACCAACTGCCACGAGCTCGGTGAGCAACGCCATCGCCAAATCTGCGCGTGTCTGGAAAAGCGTGTCGAAGATGGTTTCCGCAGGATATATCTGGCAGTTGGCCTGCAGGCAACTTCTTACAATGTGAGCCATTGTCTTCTGGATCTCGCGATCTTGAACGAAGAACTTGCAATGGTCGATGCACAGACGTTCAACGCTAAGCAAGAGTTTCAACTCCGAATCCACCAGAGATAGATTCGCATTCGCTCGTCGAAACTCGGCTGAAAATGATTGAGTACTAGATCTGCCGCCGCCTCCATGCCAATATGTATCATCGACAAAGAGCTTGTTGGCGAAATTAAGGTCATAGTAGAAGTTCGTGCCATATTGCGTTTCGGTAAACCCTGTCCGTTTGATGTTCGCGACTGACAAGCCGTTGTATTTGGCAGAAAAATTCCTCCGCAAATTGGCATGAAGAGATGTATTATAGCTGGAGACTTCCACGCCGTGCGACGTCAACCAATTGATCAGAGGAATGAAGGTTTTGATCGCGTTGAGGTTCCTTGATGCCTTTGCATGGTGCAGTTGGGTGTTGGAAAGATCTGTGACCAGTGTTGCAATCAACTTGTGATATGCGAGTTCCACTTCATCACTGCGGCCACCGTCCTCATGTGTTGTGTACGAGACAATCCTGCTGAAGAAGTCGCGCGAAGAATCGATGTTGCTCGTCACCCAATGCCAGTTCTGCTGTGCCTCCAGGAGGAACTTGAGCATTGCTACGGCCACTTGCTGCGGGAGGGATTCAATGTGGCTGAGTTCATCAATCACTAGCTGGAGGAAGTTCTTCCCACGCAAAGACTTGGATGCTGCTTGCTCTGTGGTTGTTTTTCTGGAGCTATCTGGAGCGGCGCCGGTCAGGATCACCATGGCCAGCCATTGCTGAGAACCTGAAACCAGAGAGGTCAAAACCTTCCAGAGCTCGGCGCGCTCCTCGCTTGACTGTGATGCTTGATCAATGTGTCTCAGTAGATGGAGAAAGTCAATACAGGAGGCAGACCCGAGATGGCCAAGCAGAGATGACGGCTGATGTTGACCAACATACGAGATGATCGTCCTAATCAACCTCAAGCAGTGGACTCTGACCTTTGGCCGGACATGGAGGAGCCGGACTAATGCTGGCACAGCGTTGAAAACATGCACTTCTGCGGACGAAGGCGGCAGGCTCTGAAATTCACCATACCGTGTTATCAGTGTGGCTAGCGCTAGCAATTTGTCGAGATGACGCTCGAAATATTCTGCAGGAAGAGGAGCAGACTGTGGTGATGTACCAGCAACGAAGAAGGCACGGAGTATGGGGTCGACGGGGACATGGTCAGAGCCGGTAGCTCGGAACGATGAAATGAGTACTCGTGCCGGCTCTGTGAAGACTGCGGTTGGCCCTGACGGAGAATCCGACGGACTGCCGATGTCAAAGGCAAAACGAAGGATGTCGCAGAATGTTTCGGTAATTAAGCTGCCGATGCGCAGCTGTTGTGCTGGTGACTCAAAAGACCAGTCAGATATCTCCTGGAAGACATTGAACATGGTTTCTGTGGTGCTCAACAAGATCGGACCTTGGATCTTCCATCCCAGAGGTATCACGGATCGTCTTCTGGATTTAGGTAACGCATTTATCGTCAAACTTTCTTCGCGATCCGTAAGGCAGAGACGCACCAAGGCTCCGTACAAGCGAGCACATCTCTCCAAGAAATCAAAAGTGCGCGATGGAATCTCCACGGCCGTCACAATTCCAGGAATAACTGTGACCGAGGATTGACGGCCGAGGAGGCTTGTGTTGTTGAGGCTTGTCCAGATGGTGTGTGGTCGGATGTCTGTCAAAACAATGACAAAATCCAAGCAGGAAAGCAGAATCCGTAGGTCGAAGCTGGAAATGGAGCGACGACGGAACGACTGTAGTTCCTGCTCAAGAATCTCAAAGATGTACGTGACGATGTCAGCATCCGGGTTGAGATGTCTACTAGCCTCATCCAAAATGCTGTTGCAATGATCTCGTACTTGTTTGTGGCTCCGCCCATCTGAGGCACTTTTGAGGACGGTCGACAACAAAACCGTCAACAGACCAATGATCTCCGACACCACGGCTGCAGGCTCCTCAAATGGTGACAAGGCTGGCGGTAACAGACCCATGTACTGTAACTCCAAGAGTTGTCCCAAGTAAGCTAAGCCTGAATACTCATATTGCCAGCGAATCACTTTAGGCGTCGCGTCGGGATCCGATATGAGTTCTCCTTCTGCATCTGCTGGGATGATGGATGTCGAATCGGATCCTTGATGCGTATAGGTCAGTAACCTCTGCTGCGTCAAGTCAAGCGTATTGACCGGCTTATTTAAGGCGACCAAGTTGCCAATCTCGTCCTCGCGGATCGTCCGATATTCAACCCCTTTGATGGCAGCCTGCGTAAACGAGGTGAGCTTTCTGAGACGATGTTCGACGTATTGCGTTCCTTCATCATTGAAGAGCTGAGTTTTCGCCAGGGCCCGGGAAAAGCGCAAAAAAGGCAGACACTCATAAGGGAAACGGGCTGCAGAAACATCGTAGAAACCCTGTAGCAGTGATTCATCGTCTGCGAATTCGACCGCAGGGTCGTATGGTCGTTGCCGGCCATTGTCGTTATCATCAGGATCGGTCCCCAACAAGGACAATTGCGCCGACACCAAATCAGGCGTGTAACCCAGAAACGAGTGGGACACAGTGACAAGCTCTTGCAAGGTCTGTAGTTGATACGCAGAGAGTAGAGTGGACGCATCAGAAGGTGACATGCTGAGATACCCAATATAGTCGAACACTTGACATCGATCAATAGCCAAGCTGAGCAGTACGCTCGAAGCATCATCGTTACTGTTAGCAGGAGTGACCTTCTCCAGGAGTTCCTCAAAGATGCTTTGTTGGATGGAAGCAATGCTGCCTGTGGAGCCTCGTCGACCGGTGGCAGCATCAAAGGTCGCCACCGTCTCGATGGATTTCTGGGGCCGACCATCCCGCGCTTCTCGCACAGCAACGGCAAGCAATCGGATCTGGTGAATGACAATCGCCCATGCCAGGATGGCTGGACCAACTTGCACAATCCCGGCTTCGGCTTGAGAGACAAGGAGCTGATGAATCTCATGCACAGCATCGGCGTCAAAAAAGTACTGCTCTTCTCGGCTTGGGCGCTTGGATTGATTGGATAGCGCAGTTTCGTTCAAAACTGCAATGGAGGAGGCCAGGTCGAAAAGTGCGAGTGTAACAAGAGATCCTACCGACTGAATCCGCTGGATTACAGCTACTTGCGCAGGGTTTTCGGAAGTGAACGATGCGAAAAACCCCACTGATACCATTAGTTGCAACCACAGCAAGAGGGTATGTGAGGTCGGCGTGGCCTTTGAATTCCTAACTCTGAGCAGGATGATCTCTAGGATTGTGATGATACTTTCCAAGCTAGTCGTATCGGACATGTCTTTGAGCACGACTGTTAGAGACTCGTCCAGGTCCCACTGCTGGGGGTTCTGTAACCTCTGCAGTCGTTGTTGGATCTCTCTGGTCCCAGCGTCAATGTCATCGGCCAAAGAAGAGTCTGTATTTTGGGGAATGCCAGCAGCCAAATCCTGCATCTTGCATAGGGGAACAATCTTGGTCTCCGGAAGTAGACTCGCATCCAGTAGAGATCTTCTGGTCTGCAGTGCGACGGCTTGTTCCCGCATGTACCGACACAGCAGCCTGGCCTGACGGGAAGCCTGTTGCTCGAAGCCCTTGTCGTCTCTTGCGGCAGAGCCCTGATCGCCCCGAAACGTTTTGTGAACATAGTCTGAGCCTAAGGCCTCACGGAGGCTGGCGAGTTCGGCCTCCGAATAGCCCTGTTTCAATCTTGATTCTGGTCGGTATTGCCATTCCAGCACGGTCAACCGCAAAGACTCTAGTTCATCCAAGTTGACTTGCTTGCTCAGCCACAAAGCATCCGTCTTGAGGTCGTCGATGCTGTAGAGCGGACTTGAGGAAGCGGTGATCGCGGAGGTTACTGAATCAAATGTGGTTTTCGAAGAAGGCGATGGCGGGGGAAATGTGGGAAATAGTTGAGACAAGACCTTCTTCGGACGATCGCCTGAAAGTATCTCAACTGCGAGACCCGACCTGGTCTCGTGGTGGGATAGCAAGGCCTCCAACAAATCGTCCCAAGAACTAACAAAGATGTTAGCATGCCAGCCGCTTTGGCGGGTGAGGGAATCAACCGTACGGGAGCAGAAGCTCGCCAGCGAGACATTTTCCCAAGTCTGGGAGATACACTGGGCTCAGGGACCCTGGCGCCATGACTGAGAGAATGGTTGACCTTGTCAAGACATTATTGATGTTTTACAGAGGTCGCGCGCGAGAAAACGGCCGACATGGACATTCGCTGCCGTCAACAGGAACTTGAAGTTCAGGCGCGTCGCGACATTTTGCAGTGTGAATGCTCCGCCGTTGAGGGATTCAGCCTTGGCGTGTTTGTTGCTGGCCGAGGCTGCAACACTTACCGGATCGGGCCTAGCGTCATATGCGTCTATTGCCTCAATCCAATTCGGCCTCTGCCAGTGACTCTTCCCTCCGGCCCATTGGAAATCCCTCCTCTGTCTGCAATGACGAGGAAGTGCCCTGTTCTGGCTGCAATGGCGCCCTCTGCTCTCGTCGATCACTCTCCTTACCAGCCGACACCCGCCGAGAAACTGCCTACCGCCAGCAACCTCGTCCTGATCGACAACTATGACTCGTTCACATGGAACGTCTACCAATATTTGGTATTGGAGGGCGCAACCGTCACAGTCTACCGCAACGATAAGGTCACCCTCGATGAACTGATTGCGAAGAACCCGACACAATTGGTCATTAGCCCCGGACCAGGTCATCCAGACACAGATGCGGGAATAAGCAAGGACGCCATCAAATACTTTGCCGGCAAGATTCCTATAATGGGTGTGTGCATGGGGCAGCAGTGCATCATATCCGTCTTTGGGGGAAAGGTAGACGTGACTGGCGAAATCTTACATGGCAAGACATCTCCGCTGAGGCACGATGGCAAAGGGTGTTACACCTCATTGCCACAAGATCTGCCGGTGACGAGATACCACTCCCTCGCTGGAACACATCCAACTCTGCCAGAGACGTTGGAGGTCTCCTCCTGGATCGCCAAGGGCCCTGACGGCGGCAAGGGTGTTATCATGGGAGTCCGACATAAGGAATATGTGATTGAAGGCGTCCAGTTCCACCCCGAAAGTATCTTGACCGAGAATGGGCGGGTTATGTTCAAGAACTTCCTCACCATGTCCGGCGGCAAATGGTCTGACAACCCGCACGTTGCTGGCCACGAGAAACGGAGCTCGGTAACCACCAATGGCAATGCGCCGGCTAAGAAGGAATCCATACTCGACCGGATTTACGCTCATCGCCGGAAAGCGGTTGCAGCTCAGAAGCTCATCCCGTCACAGCGTCCTGAGGATCTCCAGGCTGCCTACGATCTAGGTCTGGCTCCGCCTAAGATTTCGTTTCCGGAAAGGCTTCGGCAATCCGCGTATCCTCTGGCCCTGTTGGCTGAGATCAAGCGAGCGTCTCCTTCTAAAGGCAACATTTCTCTCGGCACGTGTGCTCCAGCACAAGCTCGAAAATACGCAACTGCTGGAGCTAGCGTTATTTCTGTTCTGACCGAGCCTGAGTGGTTCAAGGGAAGCCTGGACGACCTGAGGGCTGTTCGGCAGAGCCTGGACTCCATGCCCAATCGGCCCGCCGTTCTACGAAAAGAGTTCATTTTTGAAGAGTACCAAATCTTAGAGGCCCGGTTGGCGGGGGCCGACACAGTCTTGCTGATCGTCAAGATGCTTGACGTGGAGACCCTGACTCGACTCTACCATTATTCGCGTTCCCTCGGAATGGAACCTCTCGTTGAGGTCAACACACCTGAGGAAATGAAGATTGCGGTTGACCTAGGCTCACAGGTTATTGGAGTCAACAACCGTAATCTCACAAACTTCGAAGTTGATCTCGGGACCACCAGTCGCTTAATGGATCTTGTTCCCGAGTCGACCATTGTTTGCGCCTTAAGTGGCATCTCCGGACCCCAGGATGTCCAAGCTTATCGAAAAGACGGAGTGAAAGCGGTTTTGGTTGGCGAGGCTCTAATGCGAGCCACCAATACTGTGGACTTCATTGCCAGGTTGGTTGGAGATCCTGATGTCAAACCGAGGCAAAAATCAAGATCCCAGCTACTGGTCAAGATTTGCGGCACACGAACACCCGAAGCCGCCAAAACCGCCATAACAGCAGGGGCGGACTTTGTGGGGATCATTCTGGTCCCTGGTCGGAAAAGATATGTCTCAGATGATGTTGCTCTGGAAATAGCAACGGCTGTCAAAACAACCCCTAGACCTGCCACAAGGCTGCCAACGTCGTCCGAGGTTGGTGCGTCGGACTTTTTCGAACATTCGTCAAGATTGCTGGCGAGACCGGATCGCGCACAATTGGTTGGTGTCTTTCAAGATGCCCCTCTTGAACATATAATTGAACAAGTGCACAAACTTGGCCTTGATGTGGTTCAACTCCACGGCTCTGAACCTATCGAATATGCTCGCAATATCCCGGTTCCAGTGTTCCGCCGATTTTCTCCTGCTGAACAGGGCCTCTCCAGCCGAGGGTATCATGCGCTACCACTGCTAGATTCAGGGGCAGGAGGAGTCGGTCAACAACTGAACTCAGACGAGGTGAAGTCCCTTTTTGACAAAGACCCTGGGCTGAAAGTCATGTTTGCTGGCGGACTCACTCCGGAGAACGTCAACAGTGTCCTGGATGGCTTTGGTCAATCTATTTCAAACATTGCTGGGGTTGATGTCAGCAGCGGTGTCGAGTCTGGTGGGCAGCAAGATCTCACCAAGATCAAAGCATTTGTTGAGGCAGTCAAAAGTCGATAGAGAACAGTATGCTGGAATTGATACCCGCCATTGGAACTACTTCTGCATCTTCCTGCCAGGAATACCCAAGTCCGCCACAGCATCCGAACAATCATTTGTGCATCAGTTTTTATATGCTGATATCGGGTCTGCATCTAGCACCATCTTTCGAGAGAACGACCCTTACTCCATTTGTCTCCTATATCTCATTTTGCCCTCCACTTTGCGTCCTGTGCTCGATCAAGATATACCCTCCAGCAGGATTGTCTTCGGCTTTGCTTTCCCCGCTCTTTCTTTCCTCATCTTCCTCCCTTTGGTCATCATCGTCACTTCCTCCACGTCCACGTATCCTTTTCACTCCGCCGGGCGTCTTTTGGTGTCATGTCACTTGAACTTCGCAGGACGTAGGTATCAGCATCACTCACGATGGCATCACTCATCTCATTTTGATATTTCAGGCTCTAGGAATCTCTTTTATCGACGTCAATATTCCTACGGATCCTTGCTCCAAGCATCATCATTTATCTGTCATTTGTTACTTCAGCCTTTCTCTTAGCGTATCATTATTTGAATCACCCCCTGCAACCATGGGAAAGACACTTCGAAACCTCTGCATTGCGTCAACCAACGACTTCCCTGGGGACAAGAACGACAAGATCAAAGGATGGATCGAGCATAATGGCGGGATCTTCTCCAAGGACATGTCGGCGAATGTGACGCACCTGCTCGCTTCACAGAAGGCTTGGAAGAGATATCATCCGCTAGGTGAGTTGTCGATTGCTTGTTTCCTGGCAAGCTCAGATGTGGTGTGGACAAACAGTGTCGTTTGCTGCCCCTTGCTGTTTGAGCAGGCAGATGGCTTGATTGCTATTGTTGGACCCAAGTACATATTTATGCCCCTACCGATCTCTGCCTTCTACCGATCTATGCGCTACCGATCTTGTGCTCCTATCGATCTGTCCTGTATTGTGCAGGCCAGACGCTACGGCTGCGCTGCTAGTTGCATGTATTTATTCATAACTCCTCTTATTACCGATCTCTGATCCATTCACTGTCACCCCCTGCACTTCCTACACTTTTGCACTTTAAAAGTCACTCGATCTGTCCAGCAGTGTGCCCAGGACAGCCGATTTGTTTGCCGTGCTATCTGTTGCATCAATCCCAGAGTTGAACCCACTGCTGCTCTTCTATCATAACCACTCACCGATCTGTTTCTGCAGTGCGAGAAGCACGTCGCCTCCGCACCGTCCAAATTGTCCGACTTGAGTGGTTGGAAGACAGTCTGCTCGGCAAGTCGAAGCGGCCACTCGAGACAGCACAGTACGCATTCGAGCAGCGGAAACTTCCCACGGTCAAGACGAAAACCACCCGGAAAAGGAAGGCCGCCGCTGCTGCTGACGATAGCGCCGACAACCCGGCAAAGAATACAGCAGACGAGAAACGTACAGCCGGACACAGAGCAGCGCAGGTGAAGAGAGGCAAACCAAGCGACAAGCAGCAGGCAAAGAAGAGAAAGATCGGCAAGAAAATGGACAAAGCGAACATGGCAGATGTGGAGGAAGAAGACGTCGTTCTGAACAAAGACGAACAGATTGAGATTTCTGGTATTTCTATGGCCTTTTACCCCTGTATAAATCGCTTGTTCTGCCTGCGATAATGTGACAATGTCACACAGATCGAGGTGAAATAGTATGCCATTTGACAGGGCTGACCAGTCACAGGCAAAGAGTTCGACGCCGCATGCGCCGAGTTTGAGAAGGACATAGGTGTCCGTAAGTGCTGTCCCTCAACAGCTTTTTTACCAAAGACACTGACAGGTTTTCCCGGGGCAGTCGGCTACCGCCCATTTGTGGACAACAACGGAACGGTGTTTCTCGTCACCCTGGTGCGAAAGGATATCTTGAAACACCGGCTGGAAAAACACCGTCTCAAGGTGCGTTATGCACCTTCATTTGGCTGCCACCATACCACATACTATCCGATGTTCCCTGAAAACCCCGATCGCCGTCGCAAGATCTCGGACGACTCTTTGCCTTCGGGCATAGAGGAAAAGTATGCGTCGTCGGGACCTGGCAAGAGTACTGCATTTGAAGGACTGGATATTTGGGGATCCAGAGCCAGTCTGCCCCCTTGTCCCGTGCCTCTGTATTACTTCCCCGAGCAATCTGCCTATTCTCGTTACCCGGTTGTTGCAAGTTCTCTTCCCCGAGCTCTCCGACCCTCCAACCCGGCACTTCGTGTTCATATTCCCGATCCATGGGCTCAGGCATTACAGCTTTTCGAATACGATCCCGCACTTGCGAGCAAATCCGCCGAGAATGCTGCGGGCGCCAAACCGCAGCGGCCGAAATTCAAGTCGTACGCCTGCTATTTCATCTACACCCGACCCGGCCAACGACACGTCCAGATGCTTGCGCCGCCCGGAAGCACGTTCGACTTTGCATGGGACATGTTCCGCAAGTTCTTCAAGAAGCGAGTCGGGGTCGACTGGGAAGATCGCGAAACTGCCGCGCAACGCTCACAGACCAGCCCGGACGACTCCAAAGGCGAGGACGGAGCTACCGACCGCAGATGGGAGTTTTGGGGCCCATTGAAGGCAAAGCTGAAGGAAGAGGGTGCATGTGCAGTTGGGGAGGAAAAGCTACTACCAAGTGTGACGGTAGTCATGAACACATCGCACATGGCAGCGACAGGAGGAATCGACGCCCGGGCGAAGACTCCAGATGGCGGATGGTGATGGAGTGCTGCTGACATGGGCCAGGTGCGGCGATAGAGTGCGCTGTAGCTGGACAGGCTTATCGAATCTGGAATCCAAAGGGGCGTCGGGCGCTGACTGGGAGACAGCCATGGATAGCCGGCTGATCAATTCGAAATCAAAGTGAATGAGCGAGCACAATCTGCTGAAGCTTGGAGGGAGAATCATGCTGATATATGGCACGATTGTGGCAGATTCAATCGGCGACCTACTCTCTTCATAAGTAATTCTTCTTCCGTCCTGTCCGCGTGTACTGTGTCAAAGCCCATTCCACCTCGCCCCCAGAATCCTTTTCCAGCGTGCCTCCTTTTATCTCAAAGCATCTCATGGTCATCCTGGGTCCGACCTCGGCCAACTCGACATCACGGTAGCCTGTCTGGACAAAAACGTGGTGCCGGACCTCAATGCTGTCGTCCACATTCTTGAATGTGACCACCCTATTCCCGACCTTGTGAGGGCCATCGCGTGGCGGGAAGAGGTGTTTGAGGATCTGAACCACTCTCTTGCCCAACCTCGTCGTAAATCCTTCAAAGATCAGATGCGGATACGACTCGGAGACGGTGCCTCTTGCGGCGTCAGGAATGTCGGCTCTTAAAACAACATTGTGAAGAGAGAAAGACGCCGTGGGACCGTGTGGCAGATGGGAGATTGTCATGGCTGTCGGTGTTCCTCGATGCTCGTGGAGGAGGACGATGTCGGTCAAGGCGGCGGCTTTGGCACTGGCCAGCAGGTTGGGGAGGATCAGGTTACCACGATTCAGCCGGATCGCGGTCGGGAGGAGAAGCCGGACTTCTTTAGAAAAGGTAGCCAGACGGGTCGACGGGCTGCGAGAGGTGGTGACTAGGGGTCTCGGGTCTGCAAGACCAGAAAGCATGGAATATTCATCGTCGATGGATTCTTGGACGGCGGCCGCCTCGGGGTCGAGCGACTCGTCGTACTTGAAGTCTTTGCGCAGAGCCTTGTCGTTGGCGACGGAGGGATCAAGAGGCTTCCCGCTCGCCAGGGACTTTTTCAACAGCGAGCGCTTTTCTGCAATGCGAGCATCTCGCAGCTGGAGGGCGCGACGATAGATGTAGTCTCGCCTCTCGCGGGCCTGTCGCCGCAGCATGGCGGGAGACAGAGGCAGGAAGAGGAGCACTGAGTATCAGGATTGATGAGGACGTAGAGAGCAAGAGGGTGCGTGTGACGGGAGTCAGCTCAAACAAAGGGATCAGTTGATTTAATTAATGAATTCCGGTCTCCGAGTCTGTTTGCAGTTGGTGAAGTTCATGTCAAGTTGCCTGCATTTCCATTTTTTTGGGCGTCGATCGAACTTGAAGGTGGAGTCGAAATTCGCCGCACGACGGACTACTTAGTCAGAAGCGAGCAGCGAGAACTTGAACTGACTGCAACTTGAACTGCACCGACTGACAGACGCTCCCAACTGGATCAGACTCTGTTAACTGCTTCGCTTGTCTCTCTAACCTCCCAGCCCATCCAACATCCACTCGTTCACTTCCTCCTCCCTTTGCCCCGGCACATGAACGACCTCGCCTTCTCCACGCAGTCAGGGATCTAGCGAGTCTTTTGGAGGGGTGTGGATTTGTGGTGACGGCGTGATACAAATGTCATTGACGCCGCGGGAAGATCAAGATCGGGCCATTCTCTTCAACCCGCGCTTCTAAAGCCCTAACCGTTTACGCCGCTCGAGACGGGTTCGCAGTCTACTGAGCGTGCCCACGCCCGCGCCCGCCAATATGGAGGCCTTCCGCAACATGGGAAACCATCTGGTTTCCAACTCCGCCGCCGCCATCAACGCCAGCGACGACATCTCGACCGTCGACCCCGACGAAAGCGTCCTTAGCCTGGCCAAAGGCCCTCGGCGCCGCCAGCACGACGACGACGAGTCCGAAGGAATCGAAGAGGACGATCTGGAGAGTCTCGCCAGTGCCGCTGTGGACGGCAATAAACAGGCCGCTAAAAAGGAAGAAGAAAAGGAATTGCCTCCCCATGCCTGCGCGTAAGTTGGACCGAACAAAGCCTGCCTCTGCTGCACCTGCTAACGAGTCTCATGTCAGCTACTGCGGAATCCACAATCCGAGCTGTGTGGTCCGGTGCCTGACTTGCGGCAAATGGTTCTGCAGCGCCCGCGGCAACACGTCCTCCTCGCATATTGTCAACCACTTGGTCCGCGCTCGACATAAAGAGGTGCAACTACATCCCAGCAGTTCTCTGGGCGATACCGTGCTGGAGTGCTACAATTGTGGAACCAAAAATGTTTTCTTGCTAGGCTTCATCCCCGCCAAGTCGGACACAGTCGTGGTTCTCCTGTGCCGCCAACCTTGCGCAGCCATGCCTTCTTCCAAGGATATGAACTGGGACACGTCGAGATGGCAACCCTTGATTGAAGATCGATCGTTTCTGTCCTGGCTGGTGGCTCAACCGACCGACCAGGAGCAGCTTCGTGCCCGCCATCTCAGCCCCCAGATGATTGCCAAGTTGGAGGAGCTGTGGAAGGAGAATGCGTCGGCCACCATCACCGATCTGGAAAAGGCGGCCAACATCGACGATGACCCGGCCCCGGTGCTTCTCCGCTACGACGATGCCTACCAGTACCAGAATGTCTTTGGCCCGCTCGTCAAGATCGAAGCCGACTATGATCGCAAGTTGAAGGAAAGCCAATCTCAGGACAATCTGATTGTGCGATGGGATCTGGGGCTGAACAACAAGCACCTGGCCAGCTTTGTTCTCCCGAAGCTCGAACTGGGTGACGTCAAGCTCGCTGTGGGCGACGAGATGCGGCTCAAGTACACGGGGGATCTGCGCCCAGCATGGGAAGGCGTTGGCTATGTGATCAAGATTCCCAACAACCAGTCCGACGAAGTCACCATCGAACTGCGCGCCAAAGGCGACCATAAGTCAGTCCCCACGGAGTGCACCCACAATTTCACCGCCGATTACGTCTGGAAGGCCACTTCGTTCGACCGGATGCAACTCGCCATGAAAACTTTCGCTATTGACGAGATGAGTGTGTCTGGCTACATCTTCCATCGTCTCCTAGGGCACGAGGTGGCAGCTGCCCCGATGAAGACACAACTCCCCAAGAAGTTCACGGTTCCCGGCCTCCCCGACCTCAATAGCAGTCAAATCAACGCAGTCAAGTCGGTTCTGCAAAAGCCCTTGAGTTTGATCCAAGGACCCCCCGGTACAGGAAAGACGGTGACTTCGGCAACCATCATCTATCATCTCTCGAAAATTAATGGCGGCCAAGTTCTGGTTTGTGCGCCCTCCAACGTCGCCGTAGATCAACTCTGTGAGCGCATCCATCGCACCGGCCTCAAGACTGTGCGAGTCACTGCCAAATCTCGAGAAGACGTCGAGTCGTCGGTCAGTTTCCTGTCTTTGCACGAGCAAGTCCGCATGAACGATAGCAACGTCGAGCTGGCCAAGCTGAATCAGCTGAAATCGGAGCTGGGCGAATTGTCGAGCCAGGATGAGAAGAAATACAAGTCGTTGACACGCGCGGCCGAGCGAGAGATTTTGACCAATGCAGATGTCATATGCTGCACTTGTGTGGGTGCCGGAGATCCGAGGTTGGCCAAGTTCAAATTCCGCACCGTTCTGATCGACGAGTCGACCCAATCTGCCGAGCCCGAGTGCATGATCCCGCTGGTGCTGGGTTGCAAGCAGGTCGTTCTGGTCGGCGACCATCAACAACTGGGCCCCGTCATCATGAACAAGAAAGCAGCAAAGGCTGGCCTCAACCAGTCCTTGTTCGAGCGTCTGGTCATCCTGGGCTGTGCGCCCATCCGCCTAAATGTCCAGTACCGTATGCACCCATGCTTGTCCGAGTTCCCTTCGAATATGTTCTACGAAGGCTCTCTTCAAAATGGCGTCACGATGCAGGACCGCTTGCGCCCTGATGTTGATTTCCCCTGGCCCGTTGCAGATTCGCCCATGATGTTTTGGTCGAACTTAGGCAATGAAGAAATCTCGGCGTCGGGCACATCCTACCTCAATCGCACCGAAGCAGCGAATGTCGAGAAGATTGTGACACGATTCTTCAAAGCTGGCGTCCACCCACAGTCCATCGGTGTCATCACGCCGTACGAAGGTCAGCGCAGTTTCATTGTCAGCTCCATGCAAACCAATGGCACCTTCAAGAAGGAATTGTACAAGGAGATCGAAGTGGCTTCCGTGGATGCTTTCCAGGGTCGAGAAAAGGACTTCATCATCCTGTCTTGCGTCCGATCCAATGACCACCAGGGAATTGGTTTCTTGAGCGACCCCCGTCGTCTCAACGTCGCACTGACCCGAGCTAAATATGGGCTGGTCATTCTCGGCAACCCCAAAGTGCTTTCCAAGCATCCACTGTGGCATTATTTGCTGCTACATTTCAAGGAGCGCAATTGTCTGGTCGAAGGCCCCTTGAGTAACCTGCAAATCTCACTGCACCAGTTCAGCCGACCCAAGCAATCATACCGCGGACCCCAACGATATCAAATGGCGTACAACCATGCGAGCCACATGGCGAGCGGCATGATGAACGGTGGGCGTGCCGGCATGCGCAACGACTACCGCGACGGTAGCTCTGTTGTGGGTTACATTCCTGACGATGTGTCTTCAATCCACTCTTCCGCCATAGGTGGCGTGGGTGTTCCGACCGGCTATCCTCCAATGTTCCAAGGCTTCACCCCCGACACGTGGCCCGCCCTCCAAAACGCGCAGACTCGTCGCCAGAATGGAATCAAGCCGAGGGCAGTTCCAAGCAGTGTCGCTGGAGAGTCGACGGTTGCGACCGAGTCCGACATAACTAGCAGTGTCGTCGGCCAAGGCGGCGTCAGCTTGGATCAGCTGTCCATCCATGATACCAATAAGCAAACCAGTTACAACCAAGCCGATCGACTGAAGCGCTATGTCGAAGGTGGCAATCCTGGCGCCGGCTATGTGGGCAGTCACAGACTTGGAAAACTGATGCATGAGGACGAAGATGCGCGCAGCATTTCCACCGCCTTTGCCAGCCAAGTTGGCGGTGGCTACGATTGATGGAGCATCGGGCGAGACGAGAGAATAAAATGATAGAAGAGCTCAGTGGAGCATATCCTTATGATGCAGCCATCAGCCCAGACCACGTTGGACCTGGCCAACTACAGGCATATTCGGAGTCATGTCCGTCAGCCAGACCGGATTCAGTGACGCATCGGCCTCAAGGAGCCAACGCGCATCGGCGCGGGGTCGGTATTGGTGACGATGCGCTACTGAAGTGAGCCGGACGAAACCCGTCGCAACAGGACGACGTTAGACGGATAGTATCAGAGTCATGCAACCCGACCGCCGAGCAGCCGCGACAGAGAGTGGTTGTGGTTCGATGCCGACATTCACCACATTTACCTACTTCATCAGTTGTGGACGCGGCCATTTCGGATCAAGAATGGCACCGCGGAGGTGGCAGGACGTGTGTTCAGCGAACCGAGGAATTATCCGGAGGGAAATGGGCAGCGGGGAGAGTGGCCAGGACGGGAATGCATATTCAGGTGGACATTACTGAAACCAAGATTGAGACTGAGATTGAGATTGATAGTGCAGATTGCGTTGATTTTGAAAAACACGCACACTCGTTTATAGCAATCCAAAAAGTGGTTGCACTGCGGTTGACCATATCAAGATACTTGCAGGTACTACTAGATAGGAACCATGAATATCAACCAGGTGAAACCACTATACAATGAAGCCTCGCAGCAGAGGCATCTAAGCCATGGCAGTCTGTTGCGCCATAGTACTCTTGGTCTGAATCTAAGTTTGGCATAATCCTCGCTCAGGGTTGAAAATTCGGCGTGGTGGCCGAAACAAGCGCTCTAAATGTTGGAGCGCGAATCGCAAGACTGCTTTGAATGCTCGCGGGTCATCTTGGCCCTGTCGCATTTCTGGAATTTTGTCGATTTCTTGTAAAGTCGTCGTCGTCAATCTAATAGTCGTATCCTCGTAATCCATACGCATCGCCCCATATAAACCCATTAAACTCGTGAGATCGCCATATCCATTCCTCAATCATGGGTATCATGCCCCATTGGCAATGGGCGGCGAGTTCGGAATCGGCAAACTCTTGAACTCGGTTCTCAGCGGTTCATCCACTAACGGATCATATCCGTTCCATAGCTTCAGGTCACCGTTAGTGTTGCTCACGGGGACGACGTCAAGCTGCTGAGGAAGCAAAGCCGGGTGAAAGAGTTGCGGTTGGCGATCCAGTAGGGGCGGCATAGTTGAAGGAGGATTGACCGGTGTCTGCATAGTGTACGACTGGTGTGGCGCAAAGCCAGGAATCACAGCCGAACCCGGTCGATGCATCTGCTCATGTACAGGACCTGGTGTGGCGCTCATGTCGAAATTAGGGTACTCGTCTTGCAAGGCTGAGTGGCCGCAACAGCCACCAAAGCCGCCAGGGTTGACGGTAGAAAAATCGGCCAAGGGGGTGTGGCTAGCCAAAGCATCCATGTTCGGACTGGGAGTTGGAAAGTGATGAAACGGAGTATTCGGCAAAGGCCCAGGGTTGCTGTTCTGGCCTGTCATTGACGCAACGGTGGCTTGACCAATGCTATAATCCGTTCCATACGATGCATCGAGGTCGGTCCAGCTGAATGAGGTATTTCCCAACTGGCCATCCGAGAAGTTCCACGTCCCACTGGGATCGTCAGGCAGGAGGTCCCAAGCAGCAGGTACTGTTGGCATGTCCTCTAGAGGTTCAGCGAAGGGTTCTGTTGGATCCGGGGTAGCAACAGCGCCCGTGCCAGAAGGAGATTGTACGTGAGAGCAGTGCGCACTGGCGGGCTGATTGGTCCAGGAGTGTTGTTGGATAGGATAGGTCAGGTATATTGCGCCGGGTTCTGAGTTCTCTGAAAAGAATTGAGCGAGCTGTTGTTGTGACATCCCAGGTGTCTTTGAAAGAAAAAATGTTGGGCGCCCTCCCATGCACGACTGTGGGGTGCTTTCCGGGACAAAGGATGCAGGCATCAAGCCGTCTCCGACAAACGCCTGTTCTGCCAGATTTTTGACCTGTTGTTGTGTATGCTTGATGGAGGTGGCATTGTTTGGATGGTCGGGGCAGTAGAGACAGGAGCAACCGGATCCACAAGAACAAGCGGCAACCCAGGAATCGTTGGACATACTGTTACTTTGCGGCGTGGGTGCTGAGGGCTGCCTTTCTATTGAAGGCCGAGAAACGGCAACATTCTCTCGATGTCGACAGCCTCCTGAAGTCGTCTTCGATGTACCATCGGCGGGTTGCTCCTCTTCTTTGGCTTTTTTGGAACTGCAGCAACTGGACTTGGAAACTTCCGGGGTCTTTGAGATGCCTTCTTCTCGCTCCTTCATGCGCAGTCGCCGTTTCTGATACTCCTCATCGTCAATCTGGCGGCCATTCGCGTCTGCCCATACTTTCTTGAGAGTCAGAGTATTGCCCTTGTCGTCCTCCCAGACGGGACGTGGGGTGGATGTTGCTTCTCGTTTGATGGTTTGAGGGCCGTCGACTCGCACAATGAGGTACATTTCCTGGGTGCAGGCACAATCTCGTTCACATTTGCAGGTCTTCGTCGTGCAGGCGCAGTTCCTCGGACAGCGACAGCCTCGCTTCTGCCCACCCGAGGGTCTTCCTGGCTGGTTTGTCTCGGAAATCGGTCTGGTCCTGCCATGGTCACATTTCTGCACTCGGTGGCCCCTCTTACACGATTCGCAGGCGTATGTCTTGCCGTTGAAATGTTGAATCGCCGTGGAATCGCTCCTGGTGGCTGACCTTATCTTCCGAATCTTGCCATCCTCGACTCGTGCGCTCTTGGGTGGACTGGTCACCCTGTCAGCCTGTCGATCCTGCATGGTCCTCAAAATAGCGGTGTTGGAGGCGCCTGGATAAAGGTAGATAGATATGCAGACTGCCGCGTAGGACACCGGCCGTGTGACGACGATGTGAAGGATGTTGTAGACCACCCGCAGGCCTGCAGTATGGTTCGCGGGTCGTCTCTTGCACGATTTCTCCTGAACTTGAACGCTTGAGCAGCGCGCAGCTGTGCAAAGTGGTGGGGTGAAGGTCGTGTCACGGATTGGAAATGGAAATCTTTAGCGTAGGCGCATCCGAGCCCGAGTCGAGTCTGCCAGTGAGTCTGCAGTGTTTGGCAAGCGAGCGCAGGCGATGCAATAGTAATGAAGGGACTCGCAAAGCAGAGTAGGCACCGCGATTTGGATTGACTGAACGATCGATATTCGGTGAGCAATTGAAGCGAGGGAGCGAGGGTGCTCTGGCTGGTGTCGACAGACTCGGAGGGATCGAATGCAGTGTTCGAGGGTTAAGGGTCATTCGAGTCCATCAGTGCAAGTCCCAATTGATCCCACTTGAGAGTTGAGAATTGACAGCGTGAGACAGCGCCCGATTCGACCATTCAGCGGAGTCTTAAAAAAGAACCCAACCATTATTACTGCCACTGCAACTGCGGTGTACAGTACACTACCTACCTAACTAGTACTACGAAGAAACCACTGCAGCCCGCCCACTGCACGCCACCTCTACGCTCCTTGCTCCTTGATCCTTCGTTCGCCGACGCCATTCCCTTTCTGTCCGTCTTTGCAGTCCATCTCTTCGTTCGCAGGAAAATTGAAGTGTGCATAGATAAGTTGGGGCGTCGTCAGGTGCTGGTGATACTATGGGACAGGGCATGGGCGAGACTCCCGACAGCGTCGGGAAACACGAGCACGACGAGAACAAGCATGATAGCAGCACCAGCAGCCCTAAACCAAACCGCCCTTCACGAAACCCCAGCAGAAAGCAACCCCAACGTCCCTCGAGACCATCTCGGTGGTCATTGCCTCTGCCCATCAAGCGGGTTTTCGACCGGTTTCCCCTTGTCACCTACCCGGAAAACGATCTCCCGCAAAGAGCTCCTCGGCATCGCAACGAGAATGTGTTGTACATTTTCCAAACGACAGAGCCGCAGAGTCGAGATGCACCATCATACAACCCAACCTGCTTGAAATGGCAGGCCTTTCTGAAATTCCACGGCATCCCACTTCGAACTCGGCCGTCCAACAACCATGCCTCTCCTACGGGTGCTTTACCCTTCTTATTGCCAGCGTCCGATGACCCTCAGAGACCAGCGTCACCCGTTTCTGCCAATCGGTTAACGCGGTGGGTAGTATCTCAAGGCGGAAAAGAGGAGGCTGTCCATAATGGACAAGACGTGTACACCGCGTTGATTGACCACGACATTCGAAGTGCGTGGTTATACTATTTGTATCTCGACCAAGACAATTTCCAAGCGGTTGCGTGGCCACTGTATGTTTCTTCTGCCTCTACCTCGTACGCCGTACGGTCGAGCCTTGCACACCAGCTCCAAGCTGCAGCCAGGGAAGAACTGTTAAAGACAAATACTGTGATAGACGGGCGAGCTTTGTATAGGCGGGCAGAGGAGGCATTCCAGTCATTGTCGACTTTATTGGCCGACCAAAAGTTCTTTTTTGGCCAGACTACGCCGGGCCTCTTCGATGCAAGCGTCTTTGCCTACACTCAGACCATCCTTGATGATAAGCTTGATTGGAAACAACCGGCCCTCAGACGCTCCCTGGAAAAACACGAGAATCTTGTACGGCATAGAGCTCGACTGATGCGTGGATTCTTTTCCGACTGAACAACCATGGCTGGTGGAAGTGGTTGCCTGCACTCAATGACGCTTCTGCAGGATGCCCCCGAACCATACAGTCACTCCTACCCATTTTCGAGACCGGTCACCCAGTATTGGCACCATGGACACGTCCACAGCCCTTTCTTCGATTGGTCTGACGATCTCGAAGCCGTGTTTTGTGGCCGTCTCTTCCACTTCCGCCAATGTATGAGCGTAGCTCGTCGGACGGATTTTCTTGCCTGTCTGGGGGTCAGTAAATCCAGCCTGACTGAGCTTCCCCATTTCCGAATGCATATTCGTCCACAGCAAGAGACCACCCGGCTTGAGGATTTCCGCGACATGCTGAAAGAAGATATCGGTGGGAATATGTTCGAGCACCAGCGTTGAGACCACGGCGTCGGCAGCTTTTGCGGATTCTGGTGGACCGGGTTGTCCCAGCAGATCAAACACTTCCAATGTCACATTTTCATCGAGTCCAGACTCTGCCACGAGCCGGTTGCGGGCGACCTGCAGCATGCCTGGACTTACATCGAGTCCTACGACCGCCGCTCTCTCGACCTGGAGTAAGGCCGCTGTATTTCGCCCAGTGCCACATCCCAAATCCACCAATTTCCATGGCTGGGGAAGATTCGATGTCTCCAGTAGCGCGAGCAAACAAGGCAACAGTTTCTTCATCTCCAGGGTATCGAGGGCTTGGAGGAAATTGCCGTCGGTGTCGTAGACTGCGGCCCACCGGTCGTACGCTTCGGCGGTGGACAGATATTGGATAGATGGATCCAAGGATGGGGGAATTGCCATTTTATGTTCAGTCCGGCGTTTGTCGAATGGTCTAGGATAAGTGTATCACTATTGCATAATTGTACTGGTAGTAGTAAGGTAGGTAGATTCTGGAAGGTAGATGTTGTCTTTGGCGCAACCACTGGCAATCTGCCACGAGTTGACGTCTGTAGAGGGGCCGCTTAATTCAAGGACTCCGACTGTATAACGACGACAGACAATGAAAAGCTGTGGTGGCTCTTAACGGGTTGGAAGAAGGGAGGTTGATGTGTGCTGGGGCTGCTCTTCAGGTTGTGAATAATTATATTTATTCGCGATACGAGGCTGCTAATACTTAAGTTTCCAGTAGACTCAGACTGCTTTACCACTGGCAGCACGTCGCGTTGACAGCGACGAGTGAGTCATAGTTCATGCGACCTTGCAAACTCACGAGTACGACGCTGACCCGACATCAATGCCGGAGGACTGCACAATCAAATTGGGCTAGCCATGTCCCTCTTTTGACGCAGAGTCATGTTAAGATTATGGCACATTCTGGGCACTAGTCGCGCTGAGCAACAGAACCAAGGCTGGTCTCCGCGGTATCTTGCAAACATAGTCGTAGACAGGTACCTATAGGTATAGTAGCACAGGGTTCTGCTTCAGCCTTCGAGTTGTCGCCGCAAGAATAACTCCCGAGCTGCCCGCTCATGCAAACTCCGAACACCCTCGCAAAAGCTCAATCCAGCGTACAATACCTCAAACGACCGGGTATCACGAATCAACAATCCACATGCATGGTCGCCTGTTGCCTTGTTACACTGCTCCCACGCCGAAGACACCGCCTCCTTCCTTCAGATCCTCCACCAGATCCTGCACGTTTGCAAGGTACTTTCCAAGCATCTTCTGCTTCTCTTCAGTGGTCTTGGTGTTGACGCCGACGCCTTGTCCCCCCTCCGCACCATTCACCGTCTCTCGCCTTCGATCGAAAGCTGCGATCAACTCTTTTCCTCGGCCACCCAGGATGGCGGTATTGGTTGCGGACGTCGACGCCGACAGTTTCGCGGCAGGCGTTTCGGGCATGAGATAAAAGTACAAAAACTCGACGAGTTTGAGCTTCACTTCGCGCGATGTGCTGCGGGATTTGAAGAGAGAAGTCACAACCAGTAAGCCATCAATCGTTTCGAACGTTCGTGTATTTTGTGGTTGATCAAGAAGAGATGTGACGAGAGCCATGATTGTCGAAGATTGGATCGCAGGACAGTTCGACGGGTCTAAAAGGTCAAGGAACAGCTGAGTCGTGTTAGCCGCGGAGGCGCACCCGGAGGTTCTCATGCGGATCATACATTCATATAAACTTCTTGACTGAAGAGTGCCCGTGAAGGCGGGTGCAGCAGCAGGACGCCCTGGATGAGATCTAATGTTTGGATCACCAACAGATCGTTTGTGCCATTGCTCTCTTTCCCCAGCAGTCGCTCGAGGCAGGCGACCAGTCTCATGGCAATGTTCCATTGGAAGCTCTGCTGCAATTTGAAGAACTCTCGGAAAGCCGGGTCTTCGGGCAGTTCGCACAGTTTCTTCCCCGAGTGCGGAGCAAGCGACCCCAGGGGCAACATTGAGTGCCGTCGGTCAAGTGAGGCGGCCTTGGAGAGGCATAGTTGTGCAAGCAGTCCTTCCACCTGCCGCAGTCCTTTCCGTATTTTCTGAGGCGCTGTTGACGAGAGGTAGTCGAAAGAGTGGGAGAGGAGGGTTTCCATATCAAACGGGAGGCCGAGGGCGATTGGTACAACCTGCAAGATTGACTGTGCTGGCGACAAAGTGAGACGGAGAGTGAGCGTATACCTGAGTTGTAGAGGGACGATTTGACGGAATTGACAGAGATACAGATGGTTGTCAAGGCCAGAATAGGTTAAAACCAAACAAGACGCCTGGGGGTGTGACAGCACTAGCGCTACTAGTGCTGCTTAGTAAGAAAATGGCATAGAGATTCAGATTGTTGCTATAATAATGCCCCAACACTAGTAGTCGCGCCTAGCAGTTAAAGGGCCCTACTACTAATGTACTTTAGCCGTAGCGACAGCGCCGGCGATCCTCAAGCCTTACCCAGAGGCAAATGCGGCGAGGCCTGGGAGATTCCCTAGGCCGATCTTGCTACACTGGCAGCAGTACTATAGTATGGTGCTAGGTACTACTACTACTACCTAGGTAGTTGAGAGTGATAATAGCAGTGGTACTAAGTGGCTAAATGGAGCCTCGTGATACTGTCATATCGTCATACGTTCTACCACATGACGGCCTCCATTTTACGCGCCGATCGTGGAGTGCCAATCCCAGTGCCACTGCAGTCACTTGTTAGGTGCCTATCAGGCGCCTGAGCCGTGGCCCTGAAAGAACGTCGATGCCTAAACTTGAACTGCGCCGGACACATTGGCAACTTGAAGCAGACGAACAAGACTCGACTTCGATACCAATAACACCAACTGGCCTCAACTTCGACATTTGCTTTCGATCCCTCCTATATCCCACATTGCCTTCTTGCCTGTTCGGATTCCATGAAACAGCTCCAACCCGCGTCGTCGTGATTGATTGACAGCCACCCCTGGTGCCGCCGTTCAGCCTCACCTGTCACCCGTCCCTTTCACATGCTTTCTGTCGCCTGAGTTCAAGTTCCCGCCGCGCATGTCGACCGTCACCGAAAACCCAACTTCACCCAATGCGATCCCCGTCCGCTATAGCTCGGCTGGCGTCTTCAATGGCGTCCAGCATCAGCCCTCCAAATCCGTGCTGAAGCCTCTTCCCGAAGATACGTGGATCTCACCCAAGCACCACTCGTTGCCTCCTGCGCTGAGCCCTCCTTTGGCCCTCGCCGATCATACGAATGGCATCAAGCGCCGGCATTCAAGGAAGAAATCCACGACGGACAATATCACAACTCGGCGGACAATGGGAGAATGGACGGACCAGAAAGAGAAGATCATCTTGGGACCCTATGACTATCTGTTTGCACATCCAGGCAAGGACATCAGGTCGGCCTTGATAAAAGCCTTCAATGCCTTTCTCCAGGTGCCCCCGCGGTCACTGGAGGTGATCACAAAGGTCGTCGGAATGCTCCACACGTCCTCGTTGTTGGTCGACGATGTGCAAGACGGCAGTATACTACGACGGGGAATCCCCGTGGCACACAATATCTTCGGCACTGCCCAAACCATCAACAGCGCCAACTACGTTTACTTTCTCGCTCTTCAGGAATTGCTACATCTTGACAACAAGGAGGAAGCCATTGAGATCTTCACTTCTGAAATGCTCAACCTCCATCGCGGCCAAGGGATGGATCTTTATTGGCGAGACACTCTTACGTGCCCGACTGAAGATGACTACCTCGAGATGGTGCAGAACAAAACAGGCGGGCTGTTCCGCTTAGCCGTCAAGCTGATGCAGGCCGAGTCACCCGAGAAAGGCCGGATAGACTGCGTGCCACTGGTGAATCTGATGGGTCTCGTATTTCAGATATGTGATGATTATCTGAACCTCTCCTCCAGCGTCTACACAAAGAACAAGGGCTTGTGCGAGGATCTGACCGAGGGCAAATTCTCCTTTCCCGTCATCCATTCCATCAGGAGCAACCCGTCGAATTTGCAGCTCATCAATATCCTCAAGCAGAAGCCTACCGACGTCGAGGTCAAAAAATACGCCGTACAGTATATGGAGGGCACTGGCAGCTTCGAGTACACGAAAAAGATCATCCAAGAGTTGAAACACAAAGCCGGCGCTCTGATTGCGGAGATGGATGGTGGCTCTGGCAAAGGCCAAGAGGTCAAGGTTATACTGGACAAGATGGACGTGGACCGGTGATGGAAATCCAATATATCAGGGGTATAACTCCACGTTGGCTATCGGTGTCACGATATTACGGGTGCTAACGTCTGTTGTCGGCGAGGGCGGCGAGCATTTTCCCGGGCTTCTGGAATTGAACAGAGTGTTGTCAGTCAGCCGTGGTGCACCGACATTGGTAGCTACTCTGGCAGGCTCAGTCGGGACATCCGAGGGTTGTTTCTTATTGCTAATGAACAACAGGTGGCAGGACGTCTGCCTCCTGCTTTTTCTCAACTCTAGCCGTACTGGGCGATTCATGTGATATGCGCTGGAAGAAACGGCTTCTGTTGCCAACATATCGACAGAGGCTTTTGTCTTTTTCCTTTCGTCCCACACCGTTTTGCCGTGGCGGCTCACCTGACGTAGGCAAAGCCGGGGCTGGCTTGAGTCACTTGCACATGGACCAGAACTCAGCCTGGCAAGAACTTACAGTATTCTGGAGTGTCGACCTCCTTTGCGCAAGCACCATAAGCGATACGCTTCGATCTCCGACGGCCAGTACTAGACTCCGAGGGAATGTCCCACGCTATCGCATTCGGTGGCAGTGAACGAAATAACTACCTTAGTAGATGGTAGCAGTTTTATGTTGCTGTTGGATCGTTCTGGAAGTGATGTTGAAGTCGCTGCAGGTGGACTTTCGATGTGCATGACTCAGCAAACCCTCGCCAATGCCACACTGTCTTTTTTGTGTTCTCCAATTGACACTTGATCACCAAACATCACCGGCAGTACCACTTGATCCTGACACTGTCCGCTAATCGTTCGACCTCTAAAGTTTGCATCATCTGTGACAGGCTCTGGACGCATTTTCAACGGTGAGTGCCACTACTAATGCACAGCGCTGAGCCCCATCATATCATGTGGGGAGCCATCCACACGGGCACGGAGAAGGATGGGGACGACACCAGCGTTGGAGCCTTGAGCCTTGGAGGGGCTCGAGGCAGCAATCATCCTGGGGTCCGGGGATGTCGGTTCCCCAAGGCCCCTCGGGCCCAATTGATTGCGTTCACCACCAATAGCTTTGCCTGGAGACGAGTTGAGGTGCCAGAGGTAGAACGTGGAGCAACGGTGCTTTTATTATGACTTTCTCTGTGGCATGTTCCTTTGCAGTACAATCCGCAACCTTTCAACTCGACGACCATCGACACAATGGCTGGTCTTCAAAATCTGGCATCACGCCTCCCAGAGGACCTTCCCATACTCCGCCTGCTCGTTGCAAGCTGCCTGCTATTCCCTGTCCTCTTCGCTGTGGGATTCTACCTCTGGGTCACACCTAGCACCTGGAAGGATTCCCGTCGCAAGCATCTCCCTCCCGGGCCTCGTGGTCTGCCACTCCTAGGCAACTATTTTGAGTTATCCAATGCAGAGACCTTCCGCTTCCGAGCGCGAAAATGGGCCAAGGAGTACGGCGACGTCTTTTATACCAAGATGGGCGGCTCAGACTATGTCTATCTTTCCTCGCCCACGGCAGTCAAAGAATTGATGGACAAAAAATCGAGCATCTACTCCTCGCGACCGCCTGCTCCTCTTGCCAGCGATGTCGCATCTGCTGGGCGGCGGCAGTTGTTCATGGCCTATGGACCGAGGTACCGCGTCGTGCGAAAGATCGCTCACTCGTTGCTCAATATCAATGTGTCGACGAGCTATCAACCAGTCCAGGATCTGGAGTCCAAGCAATTGATGTACGATTTGCTGCATGATCCCGAGCACTTTTATGACCACAATCGGCGTTACTCTGCCAGCGTCATACTTACTGTGGCATATGGCCATCGCATGGCCGACTGGGACAACCCACTGGTCAAGAAGATTTACACTGTCGTCAATAATCTGCAACAGTTCTCAACACCCGGTGCATTCCTCGTTGACACCTTCCCATCACTTCAGCATTTCCCGCAGTGGATGTTTGGCAACTGGAGAAAGTTTGGGCAAAAGTGCTTCGCCCATGATTCGGTCGTCTATCTCAAGCTTTGGGGTAATTTGAAGAAAGAGGTCGATGAAGGGACAGCAAATCCATGCTTTGCCAGAGACTTCTATCTGAGCGACCCCAAAAAGCTCGGCCTCGACGAACTACAAGCTGCATATCAAACAGGGGGCTTAGTTGAAGCGGGATCCGAGACCACATCCGCTTTTCTGAACTCCTTCATCTTGACCATGACATTAAATCCTCAGGTGTTCAAGAAGGCTCAGGAAGAGATCGACCGGGTGGTCGGCGACGACAGGTTGCCAACCTGGGAAGACGAGCCCAACCTTCCGTACATCAGGGCCATCATCAAAGAACTACTTCGAACAAGGCCTCCCAACAAGTTCGGCATTCAACACTACACCACTGAGGATGATTGGTATAACGGAATGTTTATTCCAAAGGGAACCGTGGTTGTCTTGAACTGGTGGTAAGTTGAGCATATTATGGTACCTTTTTTCCACTAACGCTGCTTATAGGGCCATCAACTACGACCCGGATCACTGGGACCGTCCTGACGAATTCATGCCTGAGAGATTTCTGGGTTACGACCTTCCAGCTGCATCGTATCTCAACATTGCCGACCCTAACCAACGAGATCATTTCTCGTACGGAGCAGGCAGGAGAGTCTGCCCTGGTGTTCATGTCGCCGAGAAGTCCTTGTACCTCAACATTGCCCGCGTGGTGTGGGCATTCAACATCTCCAAAAAGCTCGACAAGGACGGCAAAGAGATTGAGCCAAACGCCGCCATGGTGCCGGGCTGGATGACCATTCCCCAGCCTTTTGAATGTGCAATTACGGTTCGATCTGAGAAGAAGAGGGAGCTGATTGACCAGATCTGGGCAGATGCAAAGAGAAATCTCTCCAACGAATGATAGCAGATGTGTCTCAAATGCAAATACTCTTGGTCAGATCCCAATCTAACCGTGTTTATCTCACTGACCCCAAATTACCATCTTCGGCATGTGGGGATTCCACGTGCTGGTACCCTCCGGTGTAGATGGACATGCCAACAATCTGCTGCACGACTAGTCAATATGGCGCCAGTCGTGGATGCATGAGATCTCTTCTATGTTGTTTTCCTCCGCTTCAGCCGATAGAAGACATTGCTTTGCTTTACGAACCAATAGTCGGCCAAGACCCATTCGGCTGATGAATCAGAAAGAGTCAAGTCATAGTTGCGAAGAATTTGTGGCACCAGTTTCGACATCTCGAGGAGCGAAATGTTCTTGCCCAAGCATGTCCTCGCACCGGATCCAAATTGCCACACATTAGCTTTCATATGACCACTGAGAAGAAGGACCCCAGAACCCACTGCCAGGAAGTTTCTTTCCATCAACTGCAAAGCTGCATCGTCAGCCTCGAGCCACCTCTCCGGTCGGAATTGGTCAATGTCTCTGCCGTAGACTTCTCTGTCTCTGCCAGGCGACCATGGGTTAATGCCCACGATAGTCCCTGGCGGGAGAACCAGGCCAGGACGGACCTCAAAGCCTTCCGACGGGACAATGCGTTCGAGAAGTTGTCCAACAACAGGATGCAGACGCATAGCTTCCTTCATGCACGCCTGAAGATATTTCATGCGACTTGCCTCAGCAAACGTGACGATTCTTGACAGCTGGCCTTTTCTGTCCATGTCATCGATTTCGTCCCTGAGGGCTTTGTAGCAACGCGGGTTTTTGCAGAGATAGTAAAACATCGAGCGTAATGATATGGCTGTCGTGTCACTACCTGCAAATCTTATTCCTGTAAGTATATCTCTGCCCGAGGTCATTGCAAAACGTACATGTTACTTGATGCATGGGAAAGCAGCTCATCGTTAGTCATAACTTCGTCCCCGTCTCGAGAACGCTTGAAGCGCGCCAGCATATCGCGCAATGAGTCTGTCGACTTGTCCTGAAAGGAGTACCTCTCCAGCTGCTTGGCCGCAAATCGGACAATATATTGTGCCGAGTTCAGTCGAGTAAGGCTAGGAATTCAGCTGGCAAGATACGAGCCCACTGGGTTGCCCAGGAGGTATTTGTGCAGGACCGGGGCTTCGCCAATCACGCTGTTATAAGCAAGGCGGCCTTCGATCGCGTTGATGATCCCCTGGACATCCATTTCTTGCTCCATAAACCCGATACGGTTCGAGAAGGTGACTGAAGTGATGACGTCGAAAGCATACCTTGAGACGCCAAAGTCAGCAACTGCAACTGCTTCTTTCGTTCTTGTCCGGAGAGGTTTGATCGTGCGCTTCTTAAACCACTGACCACTGCAACCATTCACCGAAATCGATGTCTTTGCCTTGCTTGCTGTCCAGCTTGGTTTGGAAGATGTCAATGCAGTCGTCTGTCATTGGCTCCAATTCTACCAGTGTGCTCATGGAGTAAGCATTCGCCACCGGCCTCTTCAAGGCCTTATGATGCCTTGCATCTCGCACAGAAAAGACCGTTGGTATGGACTGCCCATCCTTGTTCCGGACATCGAACAGGCTGTAGAAATCGCTCTGGGACGAGGTCAGAGGTGCTGAATTGGACATTTCGAGATGCGAACCTTCATGAACCGACTGGTGATCCCGTAGACTACTGGGATCAGGCTAGCATCTGAGAAGGAGACATGATTCGGTCCGACGCGGACGAGGCGACCATACTTATCATGGTATTCGAGGTGTTTCAAAAACTGTTTGCCCGATGCTGCTGTGATCAACCTGTCCAAGGGAGTGATGCTGGCCCAAAATGGACCTGGAATCTGCCGCAGGCCAGGTCGACATCTAATGTAGACGGCAATGAACAAGCAACTCAGCACAAGGCATCCCGAAAGTGTGGAAAGAGGATGATGTTGGCTCCATAAGACCATATAGGAGATGTGTTCGTTCAGGTGTATCAAACCCATTGTGAGTTGCTAGTATTCCGCGTTGTCTTTGTGCACTCAAACCGGCCGGCGGACTGATAGGTAGTCTAAGACTTGTTGTCGTGTAACAACAATCGAGCCGACCTCCCCCCGCGGTTCCAGAGCTTCCTTCGGCAGTTGCTCACTGGTGTTATCTTCAACGAATTGTGATTGCTGGCATGCAGCCTCCCCACAAGGAACCACAGGCTTAGCATTCCCCGTGGGGTGGCTTGAACCCTGATCTCTTCACACAGCCCACGCCTAAGCAGCCGATGATTGCCTTTTGAGTGGGCGATTCTCGTTCCAGGGTCTTCTCGTTTACTCGACATTCAATTGATCATGCAAACTTCTCGAAAAAGTCGCGTAGCTCTTTGTTGACTGCGTCTTTTGCCTCTAGCATCACCCAGTGACCAGGCGGGGGCTCTTTCACTGCCAAGTCTGGAGCGTATTGACGGGTCATATCCAGCTGCGCTCCTGGGATGGCAATTGGGTCATTGCTTGCCACAAGCATCAGCAAGGGCTTCCGGTGCTGGTATCCTTCACAGGCGTGTGCTTTTGGACAAGTTAGCTGCCGCCTGCGCTAAATTTAGAGCTCTTACCACACTCATCAGCAACAGAGATGTTGTTCACCAACCCATGATACCACAGTAATGGTGCAGCATAGCCGCCATCTGCCGTGAAAGCTTCCTTGTGAATGGCACGGTCCTGAATTGGGGGTTCAGCGGAATTCCTCCTCATTGCAAGAACAAGTACAACCTTTTCCTCGCACCAGCTCCCGATGGCGGTGCGCTGGTCGTGCAGAAGCCACTCCTTGAGCCTCCCAATGCTACCAAAATGGGCCTTCCACAAAGACGGATCTTGAGCATACATGATGGACATCATCGACTCAGACTGTTGCTGGCATTAGCAACAAAAGCTTGAGCATATTTTACCGTCCCTTACATGGCTGTTGATGATTTCGACTGCATTCGGGTCGCGACTGAAGAACTCGATGTATCCAAATTAAGCGTGGCCCAGCATTTTTTCACACATGCCGTTGACCGTGTCAAGATCAAAGCGCTGCCCCAAGGGGCTGCATCCGATGGTTAGGAATGCCAATTTTGCAAAGCGCTGCGGGTGGTGGAATTCCATACGTGAGAGAAGTGTCACTCCCCAGTCATGGCCAACACCAAAGACAGGATCTGATATTTCATGGTCCAGAATATCGACCACGTCTTGACTGATTGCATGCAGTCGATAGTCATCAAGATTCACAGATCGAGATGTCTTCCCGTAACCAACAAGATCAGGTGCCATTACTCCATATTCGAGCTTGGTAAATTACTCAATTTGATGGTGCCAGTCGTGGGCAACCGAGGGAAACCCATGGAGGAAGAGAAGGTTTGGTTTATCGGCTGACGGATTCGGTTTGGCATGAATATAGTTATAAATAAGTCCACGAGACGTCGTGTGCGTGGATTCCATGTTGACCAGCTTCACGTGGTGATATTGAAATGGGCGAGTACATGTTTGACTGTTTTATAGCGCTCGGCCACTTTGACCGATCAGCATTCGGCGACTTTTTACCAAGTATGCCAGCAGTAGTGCGGCAGCCTTGCCAAGAATGGACCCTCTCAGGCTCTACTTCACAGTTCTAGGTTACCATCCATCCATAAGTATGAACGGATATTTGTATCAAAGCTGAGGGTGGTATACTTGCCTGACTTATCCTCGAGTGATGCCAAAAAGAGAGACTGGTCCAATGCCACGGATATGGGACAAGCTAGAGCAGCCGACTCCGGAATTCTTGTGTTTGTCTGTCACACTCGTTTTTGTGCGTACTCAATCCGATCGCGGCAATTGTCCATCCGTCTCAACGTGCCTCGACCAGAGACAAGCGTCTATGAGGGCTAGCAAGGATTGTATCCGATAGATCTCTGTGGGATGGGCAATATTCTGGGGCCCCAGAGAACCATTGACCAGGGCTGGTTAATATGTTCGCATTGATTCGTGGATCATCCCACCCCCACCTCCACTTCTACGCCCTGTATACCCCCTTCATCCCACCCCCGCCACCCGAGACGACCGACTGTTGTATTGACCATTTGTAGGGGACCACATGCTTGCTGCTGTACATAAGAGATGCTCAGATCAAAGCAAAGCACGATGAAGACTTTTCGACTGTTTGAGTGCGCGACACCAAGGTGCAAAACTAAATTTTGGACCATTCATTCTGAAAATGGGCCATCTATACTTGTCTTTGGCTGTTATTGCCATAATCGCTGGCTTGATCCGGATACTGTCAATCGGTCGAAGACCAAAGAACTATCCGCCTGGCCCGCCTACATTGCCCATCCTAGGGAATGTCCATCAGGTATTTCTGCTCCCCAAGCGGGCCCGGAAACTGGCAATTGACGTACGGACACAGATGCCAAGTCGCGATGCCCATCTACAGTTCGAGAAATGGGCAAGGGAGTATGGTCCAGTTTACAGCTTGATGCTGGGCACAAAGGTCCTGATCGTGTTGTCGAGCGATGAAGCGGTCAAGGAACTTTTGGACAGAAGAAGCGGGATTTATTCCGACAGGCAGGATATGTATATCGGTCAAACTCTGTGCAGCGGAGGATTGAGGATGCTGATGATGGTAAGTGAGCACCATTCATATATCTCACAAACGCAAAATCCTGACGGATGTTTCCGATTGTAGGGGTATGGCCCGAAATGGCGAAAACTCCGCAAAATGGTCCATGGCCTCTTGAATATCACTGCTTCCAAGGAGTATGTGCCATATCAGGTTCTCGAGAACAAACAAATGCTCTTCCAGCTCCTCGAACAGCCTCAAGACTTTCTGAAGCACATTCGGAGATATTCCAACGCTCTGACGACAACCATGGTCTTCGGCTGGAGGACTCCCACGTATGAAGACCCGAACATGAAACAGCTGTTTGACGGGTTCAACGAATTTGCCGAGATGAACCAGACGGGGACGGCCGCACTGATAGACTTCTATCCTCTTCTGCGGAAGCTCCCTGACTTTCTCCTCCCTGCTCAGAAAAGGGCCAAGACGCTCCACAAGCATGAGAAACAGTTGTATCTCAAGCACTGGTTGAACGCAAAACATGCCTTCGAAAACGGACAACTACAGCATTGTTTCTGTGAGGGACTCGCAAAGGCACAGCAGACGGATGGCTTCGACGACGACCAAGCGGCATATATCTCCGGAACTGTGCTCGAAGCTGGGTCGGACACCACCTCTAGTACATTGTACGCATTTATCCAAGCAATGGTGCTATATCCCGACGTCCAGAAAAGGGCGCAGGCCGAGGTCGATAAAGCTGTGGGAGAGAGACTGCCCACCATGGAGGACGAGCCGAATCTTCAGTACATCCGTGCTTGCATCAAAGAGTCGCTCCGCTGGATGCCCACCACCATCCTTGGCGCTGTACCACATGCGGTGACGAAAGACGATGAGTACATGGGGTTCCTGATCCCCAAGGGTGCCGGAGTTCTCAACAATGTCTGGGCAATCAACATGAATCCCCAGCGACACCCTGATCCTCGTCGTTTCCAACCCGAGCGCTACTTACACGACACACTGAGTCTCTATGACTCGGCAGCCCATCCGGATGGCACCAAGCGTGACCAGTTCACTTTTGGGGCCGGTCGACGTATTTGTCCAGGCATGCATGTTGCAGAGCGCAGCTTGTTCCTCGGCATCTCCCGCATTCTGTGGGGCTTCAATATCGAGCCAGTGACGGATGCGGCGGGAAATAAGATTCTACCAGACCAAGAAAAGCTTACCCAGGGATTTGTGTGCATGCCGGAGGAATTTCCGGCAAAGATCACACCAAGATCGCAAGCCAGAGCCGACCAGATCATACGGGAGTGGAATGAAGCCCAGGACCGGTTTTTGGACCCTCAGACAAAACAGTGGTTGCACAAGCCTCAAGTGTCAGACTTGAAATAGGCGCCAGAAAGCATGAATCCGACTGAATTCCCCTTCTGATTTCTTCAGTTATCTCGTGTATAAACTGCTCGATTGATGTATTTGATAAAAGTGTAACGCAAGCATGTTTGTGATCAATGCCCAACAGCATGAAATGTACTTGGTGCAGTACAGTATCGGATATACAGTAGTAATTGGACCCCAAGCGGGGGGATAGACGTCTGCCAACTCCTCTCCAAATGGGCTAAGGAGGCTCCCTAGGCTGCTCCCCCCTGCTGGCTGGGGGTGGACCGGGTGGTTCTGGGGTTAGTCCGAAGCATCAGTTAGGCCTGCCGACCTGAGCTCCCGGGGGTCGGACCGAGATTGACCACTGCCATGTCTCTGTCCCGGGCCCTGAAATGCTGGAAAGTTGGGGGTGGGCGCTGGTGGGAGAGATCCTGGCCTGCTTAAAACACCAATCTGAACAGGAATTCCATTTCGTCCAAGGAATACTGGTCTCTCTACCCGCCTTTCTCACGCCTTCGAAGGTCGCCAAAATGAGCACGATTACTTCCCAAGGACTTGTTTTAGAAAATGTTGGGGCAGATTTTGTGTACGATACAATACAATTGAAGCCCCTTCAACCAAAAGAGGTTCTTGTCCGTCTAAAGGCCACGGGAGTATGCCATACAGACATTGCAATTCAAAAGGGAAAGATCCCCGCGCCTTTTCCATTGGTTGTCGGACATGAGGGAGGCGGTGTCGTTGAACAGATTGGCTCAGAGGTGAGCACCGTGAAGGTCGGTGACCACGTCCTCTTGTCCTATTCGTTCTGTGGGCAATGCCATACGTGTCAAAGCAAAAAGCCATTCGCATGCGCGCAACAGGAACTCCGGAACTTTGGATGCAAGAGACCTGACGGGTCTTGTCCTATGCTATGGTCTGGCAAAGAGACACACGGATGCTTTTTCGGGCAATCCACCTTCACGAACCCAGCACTGGTTCAAGAGTGTTCCTGCGTTTCTGTGGACAAGTCGTTGCCCCTGGAGATACTGGCGCCCTTGGGTTGCGGGATCCAGACTGGGGCGGGAGCGGTGTGCAACATTGTCCAACCTGTCGAGAATCATGTGAGAACACTGGTCATCTTTGGGATCGGGGGCGTCGGAAGTGCTGCCATAATGGCAGCGAAGTACCTCTCGACCACGGCACCGGACATTTTGAGTGCCATCATCGCTGTCGACATCAACGAACAGCGCCTCGCCTTGGCCCAAAAGCTGGGGGCCACTCATACAATCAACGGAAGCAACACAGAAGTTCTTGCCAGAATCAAGGAGATTTGCAACGGCACTGGGGTTGATGCGGCCGTTGACTGTACAGGGGCGCTTTCGGTGATCAACAACATGATCCTTGCGTTGGCTCCTTGCGGCAGAGCAGTCACGATAGGTTCACCACCAGCGGGAGCAAAAATGTCCATTGAGGTGTTTCCTTTCATCAACGGCTGTAAGACATATAGGGGCTCACATGCAGGAGACAGTGTCGCCGCAAAGGTACGTCTTAACATTTGTGCGCCAGGATGATTTAATCACTAACGACCAGTCAGTTTCTACCTTTTCTTGCAAGGCTCTATGAAGAGGGCAAATTCCCGGTTGATCTCCTGCAGAAGAAATACAAGGCATTCGAGATCAACAAGGCAGTAGAGGACATGGCTTCGGGGGCAGTAATTAAGCCCGTGTTGATATGGGACTGATGATGACTACTAGTGATGACTGATGTACTTGGAGGGGGTAGAAAATGAAAAGCTTAACGACCGCAATATTTGGCACCTCGAGAGTAATCGTCTTTGCCATTCGACAATGTAACTTGGCCGTGGAGAGTCCGTTCTGGACCCAGATCCACCTCAAAAGCCGAAATAAGATTCCGGATGAAGTGTCACCTGCCGAGCTGAATGCCAGCCATGCCTTTAAATATAGGTTTGCCCCTCCCCAGGTTTCTTCTCGCGGGGTCCCCGGATCGTGGCTCTCAAGCCTTCGCCGCAAAGTTCTCTTTGTTATCTTCAGTACACAACAGCAAACTATGTTCTGACTATAGTGGACCTGCGGGTATGAAATATGGTCCATGGCAGGCTACGCCGGCTTATATATTTGTCCAATATGCTCAAAGTCATACAAGAGGCCTGAGCATCTGCGACGTCATCAAGTCTCGCATGGCGTGGAAAGACCCCATCGATGCCAGATTTGTGGAAGCACGTTCCAAAGGTCGGATGTGCTCAAACGACATCTGAAAACGTGCGACGCCTTTTCAGAAGATCCGGCAGAGCAACCTCTAGAACCGAGCCCCAAGCGCCCTGCACGACGAAAGTCTCCCTCGCCGCAGCAACCCTTGCTGGGGTTTCCCGAGCCTTCTGAGCCAAATATTCAGTACCTAACATCCAGCGATCCGAATGTACTTCGTGCTGATAGCAGAAGTCCTCCTTTTGCCAATATTGCCGGTTGGATATCGGGCGGCTTGTCAAACCATGCTTTCGACGACCCCTCCGAGAATTGGCAGGATTTTCTCAACTGGACATCTGGGACGCAGCGCTTAGAGGTGACAGTGGAAGGCCTGGGTGCGAAAGAGGAGTCTCTACAGTTCTTGGCCAACTTTACAAGCAACACGGGCCTGGCTGCTTCTTTTGATTGTGGGACACTCGAACATCGATGGCGAGTAGCGGACGTGTTCGCGAAATCTGGAACTGCATCAACCAGCGCGATGGAAGCTGCGGTTGGCAGCGGTACACCTGTTCCAGACATCAATGAAGGGTCTCACGCTCACGCAGCCGTCCATCATTGGCTCTCTGACCCTCTCTCATTGAAGTCTCATGAGATTGTCACTTTGGTCAAGGAGGTTGTGATGCGCAAGTCGCAAAATAGCTGCGTGGGGTTGACATGGTCGCCCTCGGTACAGCAGGCATGCGTTCAGTTCTTTTCGCCGGGCAATATGCGACGCTGTCTCTACTTCTACTGGGCAATCTGGCATCCGAATGTCAACATTGTCCATAAGCCAACGTTCGACCCTTTGTCCTCAAAACCCCAGCTCGTGGCAGCAATGGTTGTGATTGGGGCATGCGTTTCGCCCGAACGAAGCGATCTGGAGGAGGCTAGGCATTGGTTCAACTGTGTGGAAGAGATGGTTTTCAGTGACGACGACCTTTGTAATGATGGCCCGAGTCCCGTCTGCCGAGATACCGGAGAGGTCCAATGGCGGCACGGCAAGCTCCGAGCGCTGCAAGCCGCCTACATGGTATGCCTCTACCAGAACTGGGAAGGGTCAAGTTCAAATAAACGTCGAATACGACGACACCGGTACAGCGCCGTTGTTGCAACTGCAAGAGACATTGGCATTTCTAATGCCAGACATCCGGATTACCAACAGCAGACCCTCTGTGATTTCCCCTGGAGCCGCTTTGCATTGAGGGAAGAACTCATCCGGGTTTTTATGTGGATCTTCCTCCTGGATACCGCGTTCGTGATCTTCAACAATTTGCCTCCACGTATGGTAATTCGAGAAATGCGAATGAGCACAGCCATGCCTGAGGCCTGTTTTCAGGCCATGACCGCCGAAGAGTGCTTCAGCGATATACAACAAGGGGAGCAGAATACCCTTGATTTAGTCTCCGTCTTCGAGATACTCTATCAGCCTAATATCGACAGCGCCCTGATTCTCAAACTTTCCAACCTAGGCCCATTGAACCTTTTCGCCATGGCGTCAGCATTCCATTCCATCATATTTCACTTCCAGAACACTTTTAGCTGCCAGGGCTCGCTGGAGGCAATCAAACACGCCCAGCAAGCATGGAAGACAGTGTGGAACGGCTACATGTCTCATTTTTCTCAGGAGCCACGCCATTCGCCTACTACTGCAACCATGGCTGATCTTGTCCCGGATGATATGTGGAAGCGCGCCGGGTTTACACGTTACGCTTCTGAGTATTGGCTTCTCGGGAAATATATGGTTGATCGTCTTTCTAAGCCAGCCAAGAAGGTTTTCGGCGCCGCTACAGATCCAGATAACCAGGTGCAGAGCCCCATTTCCGCTCCTGAGTTGGTCAGCCCTCTTCTCAGCCAGTATGACGAGACGAGTATGCAACAAGTTAACATGCTTATCTCCGAGTTTCGGAATGTGAATATATGATGTACTTGTAAATGCCGTACAGGTCTACTTTTTCTTGTTATATCTTGGAGGGTGCCGCTTGGGGCGTTGTATAAAGCTGCTCTTGGTGATTCGACTATGAGCTTTGCTGTGGGGCGCTGTGTCAGGCCTGGTAGGCTTCTGTGGAGCAATGGTCGTGGTTCATTGTTCGGGAAGGACCCAAGCACCAGCTCTTCTATTCGCATGACAGTGTCCCCCTATTCCAGTTGCAAAGTCCGTAACGACGAGATATCATTCGAAGATACGTATAGCGTGCGTTTGTGCTGTTTATGCTAAGATTCCAACCCGAACCTACTCCTCGCATCTCTGTTGCAACACTCATGCGAGGCATTACTATATCTGCCACAACGCCTACCACTGGCACAACGCAAATTATTACAGCACACCCAACAACGCCAGTATTGGAGAACGCCGCCAGATGCTCACAAGCTAGTGCTTATATGATGGAGTTTTGAAAGGGTATTGCTCTACTTGGCGTCAAAATCTCGTTCAAGGTTCTGGCGGGGAAGAGTATATTCCAGAATCCGGCACCACGGGTCATTTGATTTATTCCTTGTCGACTGGTACAACTTGGGAGCCAGGGAGGGAATTTCAGCGTTGCAAACATCATCTGGATTAGCCTCTACCACTTAAGCCATTTTGTCCGGTCGAAAACCTGTCCAGACGACGCAAATGACTTTCACCAGGCTCCAAAGCAGTTGCTACCTCCACAGCCCACTCGAATATGTAACCATCATCAAACCTGGGGTATAAGCTCGCCATCGTAAGCACGAGACCACTAATACACATAGCGGAAGTTCACGTTTGCCTAGAGAAAGGGTTGATTAGCCGTCTGCCTCGGACTGCACAGATTGGAAATACACACCCTGTCCGTGACGTCCTCAAAACCATGAACGCCTTCTTCATCAGCCAGAGCCTCTCCTCTCGCAATCTTGCCCTCCTTGATGCTGTTCTGCCAAATATAGTAGTACCGAAGCAGTACCAGCGTCACTGCCAAGGCGACGAAGCAGGAGAGAATGACAGCGAAAGCAGGGAAATATCGTGGTGCATCCTGACTCCTGAAAACCTGAGGTCCGATTGCGTTTCCCGCCGCCCACGAGATGAATGTCAGGGAGATGACGACCGACTTCTTTGTAGAACCGGCCACATTTCGTGTGACTAGAGACAGCGCCAGGCCGACCGCCGTCCAGAAGCTGTACATACAGTACCAAGCAATCAAAAGACCGATGCGGGTGGACGGGGTGGCCTTCACGCCGCACAATACTGCAGCACCGGCGATGGTCGGGAGCACAGCGGCGACGGAGGGCCAGATTGTCATCTTGTACTTTTTTTCGATCCAGACACCTGACAGCATGGATATGACTTGAATCACGCCAGTAACCTGAATGGTAATTAGCAGCCGGCCTCATGCCAAAGAAGAATGCCGCAACAAACCATTTGCAGGAGCTGTGTCTCCCAGGTCGAATACCCGAAGCCCTTGATGACGATGGCTGCGAAAGCTCCAACTCCTCCCGAGGGAAGCGTAGTAAAGAGTTGAATGAGAACAAAGGCGTAAACTGGCCGAGTCAGCATTGGAATGATATTTCGTATGCGTGAGACCCAGGAGGGTTGTCCAACGTACCTTGAGGATCCAAGAATGCTTCTTTGACCTGTTCGATTCGGAACTTCTTGTTCTGAACGCCGGTACGGTTGGTTCGTACGCGTTCAAGAATGAGTCTCTTCTCTTCCTCGTTGAAGCATTTCGCTTTCATGGGAGAGTCTGGCATCCAGTATATGACAAACAATCCCCAGCAGATAGCAATCAAACCGTGGAACATGAACAGTCCTTGCCAGGGCTCGAGTGGCGCGGATTCAGGAACCAGCGTAAACAGGAAGCCGACAAGGCCACCCACGATTTGCTGGATCCCATTCATCATGTACCTTGAGCAAAAGTTAGTGGTAAGCTGGTATTTTTGACGAAGGTCCAAACTGACCATAGGATGATAGTCTGTGCTTGCTCCTCACGTTTGTACCACATGGCAGAAAGGACTGTGAAAGATGGCTGGCAGACGGCCTCGAAACCTCCCAAAAATGCTCGAAGGGTAACGAGGCCTGCGAAATTTTTGCACACGGATGTGAGGGTCACTGCCAAACCCCACAAAACGATGTTACTGCCCAGCCACTTGGCGATGCGAATGCGCTGGATAATCCAATTCTCCTGTACGGATGTTAGTTGATATGGATTCGAAGGGACGAGGAAGTAATTCCACTTACAGGATACTCAACAACGAGAATAACCAGATAGATCACTGTTGTTAACCAAGAGTACTTCACTCTGTCAGCAAATGCGGAAGGGTGCTGGAAAGCAAGCCACACTCACCTGTGTGCCGTGAAGGTGTGTGTCCTCCTGCAGTCCCATAATGCTTGCAAAACCGAGCGCGCCTTTGTCAACACTCTGGAGGAAGTAGGTGATGATCATCACGACAAGCACGCGACGGTCAATTCTTCTTTTCAGTCTCCGATTTGTCGCCTCATCGATGTGGATTGGCTGGCTGTCCACATATTGTGCCACCTCCTTGTCCACGAGGTCCTCGTTTATGGGACCCTTCAAGTTCTCTTCGTGTGAGAGTAGAATGTCGAGTTTGTGATGTTCGACAGAGGGTGCCCTCACGCTTTCGAAGCGGATGTCGGAATCGGTGGTCATGTTTCGTCGAGGTATGATGACCCTTTACTGTTTTGCTGACTGGACTAGGGTGATCAATCGATATCTTCACTGTTTTGGCCGCGAGGAGAAGAGCTGCCTTTATGTATGTTGGGGAGAAGTCGCACCCAACCCCAGACCCCGGATTCCGAGAGGATACAAGGCGTGAGAAGTGTGTGTGGCAGCCGAAAGATGTCGAGACTTGTCCATAAAAGACCACGCGCTGTCCCACGGGGGTGGTGGCAGCGGTGTCCACAATTTCTGAACCATTTCCTAATTTGGGGGCGGCTTGCAAACATTTCACGCCACGCACTTGCGGAATCTTTTCCTGATCTGTGTGGTTCGCCGCTTTCCGTCCATATCGATCGTCCTAGTTGTTGCGGCAAAAGAACTCGACATTGCACGATAGGTCTACCACAAGTGTTCCGTGTAAGTGGTTAGGGGGTCTTATAATTCCTTCACAAGATTGCCGTCTGAACCGATTTTGGAAACCGTCGAAACCCTGTGCATTTTCATTTGCCGAACCCAACATCAATTCCTACCGATACTGGCCAGGTCGAGATTTCGTGATCAAGCTTGTTGGTCTTCCACAACATCTCCCTCCTTTCAGTCTGAGGGGTATGAATCTAGTGCCAAAAGAATGTTTGACCAACGATTGGTTGCATTTTCACGCCAGAGTGCAGCAGGAAATAGCTCGGTCAGTCTGGTAGGCGCCACGGTGGTGGTAGATCGCAATGAATTTGTGGGGGTTGCCATTGCCGCCCGGGCTTTGGCAGATGATATAGGCCGGGTCTCAAGGACCAACGCTTGCACAGTATTGGAGAGAGACGTCAGCGACGGCTTTACAGATGTACAGCTTGACACAGCTATCATCATTGGTACAACGGCACGCTCCACGCTTTTACAAACTCTTGTGGACAACAACCAAATCAACGTGGACAGCATACGAGGCAAATGGGAATGCTATCACATTACGCAGGTCAAGAGTCCAAGTTGCATCAAAGGCTGCCGTAATGCACTGGTCATCGCCGGAAGTGACAGAAGAGGCGCCATATATGGTGCCTTTACTATTTGCGAGCAGATCGGGATCTCACCGTATGTTGCCTTTTCATTTTGAATTTCGGACAGTACAGCAATTAACTTACATACTGTTGCAGATGGCACTGGTGGGCAGATGTTCCCGTCAAGAATCACAATGAGATTTATGCTCTACCAACTACCATCTCAAGCAAAGAGCCGAGTGTCAAGTACAGAGGCATTTTCATCAATGATGAAGCGCCCGCACTGACTGGCATGGTTCGGGAAAAGTTTGGCCGTTATGGCAAAGAGTTTTATAGCAAAGTCTTTGACTTGTTGCTCCGCTTGAAGGTACGCCGTGCACATCACGCGCTGTCATGCTATCTACCCTTCTACAAGCTGACCGTTTACATCCAAGGCAAATTTCATGTGGCCTGCCATGTGGCCTGGCTATCCTAATCCTGGGAGTTCTTTCTTTGTAGACGACGCCGAAAACCAGAAAACCGCTCATGACTACGGCATTGTCATGTCCACGTCCCATCATGAGCCCATGCAACGAGCTACGAATGAATGGTTCGAAACCCATCCTGATGGTAGCTGGTCTTGGGTTGAGAACAAAGAAGAAATCACCGAGTTCTTCAAGGACGGCCTGACAAGGGCAAAAGGTTTTGACTCATACTTCACCATGGGAATGCGAGGTGAATATGACAAGGCGATGAAGACGGATGATCCTGCGGCTGTTGTGAGAGACGTTATCAAAACTCAACGATCCCTCATCAGAGAAATCTACAGCCAAGACGACGCTGTCCCTCGTAAGTTGCGACCGGAGAGTGCACTTGAACTGAAGAAGCTAACTTTGAGCTTAGAACTACTGGCTTTATATAAAGAAGTGCAGGAATACTGGGACTCTGGCAAACTCGATGTCCCAGACGATGTCACGCTACTCTTCGCAGATGACAACTTTGGTACCCTCCGACGATTGCCTTTTGGTGATGAGGTGAACCGCAAAGGCGGTGCTGGGGTAAGCTGGAAATCAGGTCACTTTATGTTCTCCCACTGACAGAGTGCAGATATATTATCATTTCGAATATGTTGGTACACCACGAAGCTACAAGGTAAGAGTCATATGGGAGCTTTACGAAGGCTCTCTGACGTCAACTCTAGTGGATAAATTCAAATTCGTTAGGCAAGACCTGGCATCAGCTTCAAGAAGCCTACAGGCGGAATGCTAGGCAGATTTGGGTTTTCAATGTTGGTGACATTAAGCCATTGGAAGTGCCCATCACCTTTGCGATGTCATTAGCCTGGGACATCGACTCGATTCAAGCAGATTCATTCAGTACATTTTACAAATCTCTCGCAGAACGTGAATTTGACTCCGCTCTTGCACCGTCGATTGCTGAGATCTGGCGTGAACATGATCACCTAGTATCAATACGTCGACATGAGCATATTGAGGCCAACAACTTCTCATTGCTCCACTACGACGAGGCAAACACAATTGCATCAAGATGGCAGGGTCTTCTGAAAACAGCGGAAGAGAGCTATTCTTCGGCAGTCGCTGAAGCTTACAAGCCTACCTTGTTCGAACTGGTGCTACATCCTGTCAAAGCCAGCGCCATTTACACAACGCTGCGGATCAAGCAGGCACAGAACCAGCTATGGGCTTCTCAACGACGTAACACAGCAAATGTTGCATTCAGAGAGGTGTTGGATTTGTTCGACGCCGACTTCACGCTCAGCGAGGAATTCCACAGCTTGCTAGATGGGAAATGGAATTACATCATGAGCCAGCCCCATTACGGCTTCAACGACACTTGGCATGCTCCGAGCCGGGACATGATCAGTGGATTGTGTTACGTGCAGAGTCGGCAGAACAGCAACCCTGTCGTGGGTCAAATGGGTGTCGCCGTCGAAGGCCATGCTGGCGTCCGGCCTGGGGTCTGCAACGAAGAGAGTGATCGTACTCATCCCAGCCGTCGGGATCTTGTCCCAGGAGTTACTCTTGGCGTAATGCATCCCTATGGGGTCCCCAGCCGATGGTTTGAGATATACTCTCGAGGGGCTATTGCTCTCAGCTGGTCGTGCTCTACACCTTATGACTGGATCAAGCTGTCTCAGACTTCGGGTCGTCTTGTTCCCGGACAGCCGGATGTCCGGGTGTACATCACCGTCGATTGGACGAAGGTACCTACAAATTTCGACGAGGAGGTTTTGATCGCTGTCAGATCGCAGGGCGGCAATTATGGACCTTACTTGGATGATTTTGAGCAAATTCACCTTCCAGTCAAATACAGGCAGGTCGAAGCGGACAAGTTCACTGGCTTTGTTGAGACAGACGGGTATGTTTCAATCCCAGCAACGGCTCCCAAAACCCTGCCAGATGACTATCGCATTCTACCCGAAATCGGTCGACTCGGGTCCGGATCTGTTGCCATGAATCCTACAAAGGTCGAAAACGCCACAGAACCATCTTGTTTGACTTATGATGCGTATGTCTTTGGGAACGAGCAAGATGCAACATTGAATCTGTACTTCAACATGACGTTGGATCTGGATCCAGCTTCATTGATGCAGTATGACGTTGGTATTGATGGTGGAACCATGCAGAGACATCGTCTTGTGGAAGATCCATGCAGACCGGGTGAGCTTCCGCCAGGTTGGTATCATGCGGTCCAAGATTGTGTTTGGCGCCGCAAACATGCCTTTGGGCTACTCAGCTCTGGCCCTCACAGCATCAAGATCCGGTTTTTGCACTCCAACATCATTCTAGAGAAAGTGGTTTTGGACCTGGGGGGACTGAAATCATCCTACTTAGGTCCGCCTCCCAGCAGGAAGATCTAAGCATCTGTATATTAGAAGACACAAAATATTTATTCTTTTGGGGCGAGCTGCTGATCCTGGTGTGGAAGTATGCCAGTCGACTTGAAGTCGATCTGGTGGAATCACCTTATTGCCTATCTACTCAAACTCTCGACCAATTGACTCCCAAATTTCCATGACATTCGCTTCGGTACTCACGCACTGAGTTGCTGAAACACTATTATTGCTGGCGTTCGGTCGGAATTTGGGAAGTACCTAGGTAAGTTGCGGAATTCGTGCGTTCTGGGCAATGGTCAGCGAGGCGGCAAGCCCTATGACTGGCTACGACGAAGTGCGATTTCGCCCGGTCTTCCCCAGTCAACACGGTCCACAATCCAAGGGTCCAAGGAGCTGGTGGCAACGCGATACGGAAGAGCCGCCCCCAGAAAGAGAAAAAGCGCCGCCGACTTTTCCATCGCGCCTACGGAAACCTGAACTCTCTCAATCATTCCTCCTCCGCCCGGTAACTTGCTCTCCCTGGTAAGAAGCCGCCGCCAGACAAACTACGAACACTTCAACCAGCATACAAAGCCCATGCAATTTGTGTGGCAGTCCGCTCAGCCATTGAAAGGCAAGCGGGCCGCACGAGATAAGTTCCGGCTCCCTTGCTTTTGGAGTAGTGAAGTCTGACATTTTGGGCACCCTGTACGAACTGCCGCTCACGCAAAAGGAAATGTCATCACTCAGAACCACAGGCATCGGCTGATAGCCCTGGGAGTGCGAGCGGTATCCTACCAGGTCCTGCTACGAGGGAACCCACAGCACAGTCTCCTTCGGAGAGCAGCACCCGTGAGTCGTCTCCCCATGCTGGACGTGCTGGAGTGTACAACCCGGAATGCGATCTTGCAGACTTGTCGAATCCTCCGCCAGCCCAAGATCAGGATGCTGCTCTGCCTGGAACACCGTCAACACAGAGCAATGCTCATCAACATGTTGCCGACCCTTTCACAAGGCAGGAAACGAGACGCCGGCTCCTATGGATGAAGAAGAACCCACGAATTTCTATGCCAGCCACGTTATCTGAGCACCATCGAAAATATCTCGAGGAAGAAGGGGCTTTCCTGCAACTACCGCGGACGACAACGGACGCGCTTCTCCCGGTTTATATTACCATGTTGAACGATTTAATACCTATTGTGGATGGAGAGAGGGTGTTTCGTGACTACAGTAACGGGAGAGCCTCCAACTATCTGGTGAACGCCATTTGTCTCGCGACTTGCAAAGCCAAACTAGCGCTTCCGTTTCTTCAGTTGGTAGACGATGGACCAGTCTTGAAGCCACAGGAGTTTGCAGCAAGATTGCTGAGGGGTCTTGATGCAGCTCTAAAGTCTGGCCTCGAGACGGATCGTATCGTTAAGATCCAGATACTTGCCTTGATGCAGCTCAACAACGATGGACCAGCCGGGGCCGAACGTGCCTCGAACTATCTTTCCCAGGCCGTCAGTCAGGCTTGGGCTTCATATCTCCACCTCACAGTTTCTGGCATCGCCGAAGAGATGGATCGCTGGTTCTTATGGTGGTCTTTGAGAAACTTGGACAGATTAAACAAACCAGTCATGGGCTCGTCACCCTTCATGATAGACGATGCCGATGTTTCGACAGAGAGGACCCCGCCAGTTCAAGGTTCTTATCGAGCCAATGTCATGAACGTCTCGTTGCTTCTTGGAGATCTATTGGCGAGCGCCACGCGTCTCTACAAGGCCAGCTATAAGATCCGTGTCGATAGCCAAGAGCATTTTCCCTCAATGTCGGAACTCTTGGCCGAAACTGACTTTGAACAGTTTCATAGCTTACACAAGGGTAAGGTGTCATCCCCCAGGTTCGACTACGTGATGCGTGTGCATGCAGCTGAATTTAAGCTTCTTAGCATACCTGGAAATTTGGTACCATGTGGCCGCTATGCTATCGTGCAGATACAGTGGGCCTGAAAGTTTTCAGTACGAACGGCGCCTCGATTCAGCATGTCGAACTCTGCAGATTATTTCAGAGGGCTACGAACGTATCCCACCACTGCCTCTGGTGCCTTATGCGATATCAATGGCGACTGCCGTGATATACCGGGCCCTCCGTGACGGTAAACGAGATTATGCATCAGCTTATGGGGACCTCAAGCGTTGTTACAAGACTTTGTGTGCCTTGAGCCACATCTGGACGAGTGCCAGGGGTGTTACGAAACTCACAAGGAGGTTGTTACGAAGGCTCTCGTGTTCGGGTGACAGCAACACGCCTTCCTATATCTCCCATGAACGCGCCGGTGATAGATCAAGCAACGCTGTATCTTCCACAGCTCTACCCCAAAAAGGTCCGACCACAGTTCGTCAACCCGATGATGCGTCTGACACTACAGTGAGAAATGATTTTGAGATGGATCCTTTCCTGTTGTCGCTTGATACGGATCAGGTATGGCGTGATGACTATGATACAACTGACGCTTCAGGCTCATTGAGTCAGCTGTACGAACCATGGATGGACACCCCAATGTCTTATCCACAGTTTGACATGGCGTTTAACGACTTTTTTGATAATGGACCTTTGATCTGCTGAGATATCTCAACATGAACTTGTAGCAATCATATGTTCGATGAGCTTCGAGAAACTGGCTTGTCGGAAGAGGTCTTGGTTCCTGTTGTCATCCGGTTGACAGTGTATTGAAGCTGGAATATGTTCACTTTCGTCATAATTGGATGTCACCAAACAGCGTCGGGTAAGGAAGCCTATTCACCGAGCACAATTGCTCAATCAGCGCCCAACCAATACACCGCTACTACTCGCATCAGGTATACAGTACAGCTGGCCATTCGTTCCCCAGAGCTTGGGTGTACAGGTCAGCAAAGGGGTTGCTTGCACGCACTTCTCGACTCTGCGAAGCACCTCGGGACGATGATAGCTCTGAGACGTGCTCGGTAAAGTCTCGATAGCTGACATTGCTTGTCTGTGCCAGGTTCGGCTGCAGGCTGTTGTCGACGTTCTCGCAGGAGTCAAGCTCGCTCACTGCCAGCTCGGCCGAGCGTGCAGCTGGTTGAAGATGCTTCAAAGCGTGCCCGGCGCTAGCATAGGTATGTTGAAGATGTCGAAGACAAGCTATGCAATGCCGCAAATCATGCAGCGCACGTCTGCGTATCCTATTGTCGGAGACACTGCAATCCTGGAGATGCACCACAATGGCAGCAATGAGGTTTGCTACGGCTGTAGCATCCAAGTAGTCTAGCAAGCCCTGGTCGCGGATATTTGCAAATGCTCGGGAGATTTCGTGAGCTGCCCATCGCACGATTGATCTAGCACGAGACAAAAAATGGTCTCTCGACACTGTTCCGGAGTTTTCTGGCCCAAATGCTTGCGGACGATGCACGGCAATGATGGCAGTATAGTAGATTGTTTGGAGAGTCACCTTCGAGATGACCAGGCTGCGATCCTGATCCTGGGACCTTAAGACTTTTGATGCAACCTCATGTGGAAGCATCGACATCCATAGATCGAGATCGCGTGTGCATTGGTCCGTGTCCCTGAAGCTTTTCGGGGACTGTGAGTCTGGCGCCCCAATCCACTCTCCGGAGGAATGCGAGCTGCTTCCTCCATAAACTGTAGAAACAATCCGGTGAATGCAAACGCAAAGCCTCGCCTTTTCCACTAGCAGCGTCGACAAAAGCATTAACTTTGTAGAGCTGTGAAAATCTCTGGGGAGTAAATGTGCGTAAGGAGCGGAAGATGAGATTAAAGGAAGATCGCAGTCGGCGACGCCGATCATAGGCACCTGGGGTTGGGATATGCGACAAGGTTTGCCCAGACCCATTGCCACCACATGTTCTCGCATGTAGCAGCACCACCACAGACGTCTCTTCAGCTTCAGTTCACGACTGCTACCCTGCTCGCCAGAGAGATCGTAGTGCAATCCGAGCGACTGGGCGAGCGTAATTGCCACACCATTCCAATACCACGAATCCTTGAAGTCTCGCACATTACCACGGGGTGTGCTAATAAGCAACGCAGACTGGATCAGCACAGTCTTGTCGTCCTCTGCGCGGAGGTCGAAGAGTAACTAAGACAGTCAGTCCGGACAAGCTCGTCGGGGTGAGGCGGACCGGCTTACCTCGGCCTTCTCTTGTAGAGCTGCACGCGCGGCTAGCTTCGAAGAATAGCCAGCAGCTCTTACATGCTCAATCTCAACAAAGCAAATTGCCGCGAAAATAACCGCAGTAAGCAGCAACAAGCTTGCTCCTTGGCCCGTTCCGCTAGGGGGGCCCACCAAGCTCCGCATGAACTCGTCCAGGTCCAGCACTGGCAAAACCGTGTGCACGAACTCTATATAACGCGACAAGCAAACATTGCGGAATGCCGTTGATGGCAGGGTTAGAGCTCCCTTGTGGGACAGGAAGTCGATGTCGACCTTCCCCAGCGCTGCTGACAGAGGCTTCAGATTGAGAGGCTGCGCCGGTGCGTCGTTGCTGAATGGAGCGGCTGAATCCGAGCTTGGGGGCTCTGAGGGACTTGCAGGGAATTCAACCGTCACGGCGGGCAACAGATCCACGTGCTGAGCAAAGACTTCGCTCGCAGCCTGAGGCTGGTCGACAGCACCTTGAGGCCTCGCAGAAGGCTGCTCCGGAGGTAGAGAGAATCGAACCGGGTCCCCGGGCGTGGCATGCTGTAGCTCTTCGACACTCACATAGTTGGGGCTCCTCGACACTTGCGACGGTTGCAAGGGGTGCTCGGCCACCAACGCTGCAGCTTCGTCCGTAGTCTCGTTGCCAGGAACGATCTGCTCGGTCCTGAAACATGGTCAGCAAGGTATGTATAAAGTGCAGCTGTAACCACGACGTCGATGTCGGGTGGCAACGAACCTTCTACGCTTGTTGGGTCCCAGCTCGCAAGCCACTTTATCCAGGCGGCAATTGGTGCATGGCGGACCGCACAGTGTGAAGTCACAGCGGACCTTTCTCTGCCGGCACGAAAGGCATGCCTTTGCGGAACGACGTTTCTTGGAGATCTCTTGACCCGTCACTTCCATGCCGGGCTCCCGAGGTCATCATGCGTGAAGCGTTCGCAGATAGGACGGGACTTGGCCAGAAGCAGAGTACAGGGTCGTAGCCGCGGAAATAAAGAAAGGAAGACAGTTGTTGTCTTGGACTCAGGAGCCTTAGTACCAGCGCCCGCTCTGACAGATGTCTGAGGACAGATTCTTGATTGGCTTACTAGTCAAGCGGCTTGGAGCGCCATCCTCGGTTCAAGGTGGCTGAGACAAGAAGAACAAGCACAACAAGGGCAGACCGAGGAAGAGACCTGAGCCGAGGAATGGGGTCAAGCCGGGGCGACGAAGGCGGGGGGTCCGGCTTGGTGCACGTGACCTGCAAAGGCCGGGGCCGATCCATTTCTCTGCTGGGGGCCCGAGGTGGCTTGTCGAAAAGCGGTCAAAACGTATGCTTCCCCGGATTGTATCACAGCTTAACTGGGGTGGTAAGCTTGCTCTCCCAGCTTTATCCGGCCTTGCGATCGCCTAGCTGTCGAAGTGCGCTTCAACAGAGATGACCAGGATCAAGAAATGCCTTTGCGGACCCGGTAGAGAAGGCCAATAGCAATAAAGGTGTGTTCAGGATAGACGCAGCCGTAACGGGATCGTTGCAGGAGGCAGAGGCCAAAATTCCACCTGCCCTCTACCGGCGTGGTTGCTTCTCAAAACCGTCGGATTAAGCATCCAACGCAGATCTTGTAGACGTCTTGGGAAAGCTTGTCAAGGTGGAAACAGCCTATCATCAATCCATCCAGCATGATGGCGGTTGCGTCACTGAGAATAGCCTTGCACAATCCCGAGAGAACACGATGTGAAGGCGTCTTGGCCTAGCCGAGGGCATAAGGCGAACTCTGATTTGAGCCACATGTACCTTGGAGCGTTGACAAGAATACTTTGAGGCCACCACCCGGAAAAGTATGTAAGAAAACGCATCTTCTCGCAATCGTTTGACCTATCTAGCCGACCCAACCCCCGGTTTCCCATTCCACGATAAACGAGGGTAAGCGGTGACTGCGCTTGGGATTCAGGACCTCGTTGTTGGGAGTTCCCCAGATTTCAGGACCCAGAAAGTCGACGAAATCCAGACTCGGTGCAAAGATGGCGAGGTTCGAGCGTGCGAACCTCACAAGCTACAATTTGAAGTGTTTGTTCTTCATTGCTTTTGGGGCATTCTTCTATGGCTACGACAGTGGCTGCACAACCTCCATCTTTGGCTACCCTCAGTTCATCTCCTTCTTTGGCTTCAACTCCACGACCCTCGGCGCTCTTGGCTCCTCCTACTATGGGGGAAACTTCATCGGCACGATCTGCAACTTCTGGCTTCCTGACACGATCGGCCGTATTCGCACGATCCAGCTGGCTTCCGTGATCTCGATCCTAGGAGCAGCGCTCCAGATCGGTGCTCATAATATTGGCACGCTGATGGCTGGAAGAGTGATTGGGGGATTCGCGTGCGGCATCGTCTACAGTTGCTGTCCTCTCTACGCGAGCGAGATCAGCCCTCCAGCTTTCCGAGGCAGAGCCGGTGGCCTGTACAGGTACGTAGACACGACCACACTCTGCCCCTTGGGCCATGAGGCGCTGACACTGGCGGTGGCAGCTTCAATGTCGGTTTCGCCTACATGTTCACCGAGTGGCTAGGCCTGGGCTTCTCGTATATCAAGGGCAACGCCGGATGGCGCGTCTTTCTGGGCCTGCAGCTAATCTGCCCAGCTCTCATGATTTTGGGAAGCCTGTACCTGCCGGAATCGCCTCGCTGGCTTGTTCTCAAGGACCGCCAAGAGGCTGCCCTAGCCATCCTGGAGCGGATCCACGGTAAGGCAGACGGCGACAAGTCCTTCGCCCATGCCGAGCTCCATCAGATCCATGCACAGATCGCGCTCGAGAAAAAAGAGCAAACGGGCGTCACCTCGATCGTCAAGCGGCCATCCTACCGCAAGCGCCTCATCCTGGTTGTCGTCTTCATGGTCGGCCAACAAGCTACGGCGATTATTCCCATGCAGAATTATCAAGTTATCTTGTATGAACAGCTGGGCTTCTCCAACAAGCTGGTGCTTATCCTTGTGGGCCTTTGGGGCACCGACACCGTCGTGGCCACCACGATTGGAAGCCTGATTTTCGACTACACTGGCCGCAAACCTCCCGTGTATGCGGCCATGGGAATTATGACCATTGCCACGATTATGTTGACTGCATTCTGGGCGACGTTCGAAAAGTCTGGTAGGACAGATGCCACCTATGGCAGGCTTGCCATCTTCTCCATGTTCCTGTTCAACTTCGGATATGCCTTCATTATGAATTCGTTCGGCTATGCGTACATTCCGGAGATTCTGCCGACCCCAATCCGTGCCGTGGGCACAGCGATTATGATGCTCACGTTCAACGGGATGATCATCCTCTTGGTTCAGGTCACGCCGATCGCCATTGAGAACATCTCATGGCGATATTTTCTGGTGTTTATCGTTTGCGACATTATCTTCATTATAGCATTTTACCTTATGTAAGCTTGTCGTGAGATGTGCTCCGTCGCGTTGCTAACCCAGAAAGGTTCCCTGAAACCTCCGGAAAACCCCTCGAAGAGATCGCTGCACTCTTTGGCGACCCGGTAAGTGGTCTGTCCGCTTGTCTCAAGATGGCACATTCCAGCAACATCATTCCCTAACACAATATGTTTATAGGTGGCGGAAACTTTCCAAGAGGCCGACCGGCACGCACGAGAAGAAGAATCCTCGAAAGTTCTGGCTACGCTGCCGAAGACCTCCGAGCACGAACTTCAAGCACGGCACGTGGAGGGGACGTAGCATTCAGTACGATAAAGAGACTCGAACAGAATCGTGTAGATAGATGATCTATCCAATGACAGCCCAAAGTGTATCGTCTTACCACAATCAGAAGAGATCGGAGGGGTGTATGAACCAGGGATGGGTGTATAGACCCGGAGGGTGTACTTTTACAGGCGGGTCAATTGCGAACGAGCCTGCTACCTTGCTTAGCCAAAGGTGTCCTGAAAGCGGTAACTTCAAATACCATGGTCACCACTTTTGCACACCATGACACCCTTTCGCTACTGCATGAAGCATAAATGATTTGATCTGAGATTGAAGCGGTGTAATTTTGACAATATATATACTAGTCTTGCCCTTTCGTTCAGATTACGAGATGCTGTGCTTGTCCGTTTGATCCACCTCGTAACACGAGCCTATATTACTGCAAGTCTAGTAAATCATGCAGCAGATTGCAAAGCCCGGCAAGAATTCACACGTTGGACTTCGCTTCAGATGAAATAGAATTTTTGTCAAGCAGGCTCGACAGCTTATAGTTTCGCCAAAGATTCAGCCTTTCCCACTTGAGATCCTGCATTCTTGTCCACCCAATCCAGCACACACACCAGCATACCTTCCTTTACAGTCTCGCCTTCCTCAACCTGACACACCCAGCTGACGACCGCATCGTTTGGAGCTCTCACTTCGAGCTCCATTTTCATTTGCTTGACAACGCACAACAAGTCATTTTCGCTGACTTCGTCTCCCTCCTCAACCGCCAGTTGCAAGAATTGACCCGAAAATGGGAGGCAGACGTGACGAGGATCGCTTATATTTCCCATGGGATGCGCAGCTGAGGCCACAGAAGCTTCCATCGACGACTGAACGGTGGCAATGCCATTCCTCTGAGTTAGGTTTCTAGCTGAAGGTATCAAGGTAACATTCGCACAAACTTCGGTAGGGAAGTTATTTGTGCGGATCCGATCGACTTTAACGAGGTATTCTTCGACCGCGGTCGCCTCGGAGTCCTTTGTTTCCTCCAGTCTGATCTTGAAACGATCCCCCTTCCTGAAAAGCACCCCATTGGCACCGGGTGCATTGGTCAATGACTCACTATTGTCAGAATCCAAGTCCAATGGCGCCCGCTTTGACTGGGCGTATCGTGAGATAGCCTCCGAACCTCTGTGCAGCACTGTCGGCAAGTTAGTCTCCAGCCATCGTGTCGAGCAGGCGCCATGAGTGAAGTCTTCTGATTGCAAAACTCCGAGGAGAACTGGTATGTTGGTCTCAACACCAGTTATTTGAAATGACAGTAATGCTCGGATCGCTTTCACTCTGGCTACCTCGAAGCTGGACGCTCTGATAATCAGTTTGGCCAGCAGCGAATCATAGGCTGGCCCTACTGTAGTGTTCTCTGCCTGCCTTAGATGAGTATCTACGCGGACGCCTTGACCTTCCGGTAGTATAACACGGGAAATGCGGCCCATGCTCAACTGGAAGTCCTTTTTGGCGTTCTCGGCGGTCACTCGAAGCTCGATGGCATACTGTCGCATCGAAGTACTGTCGGGAAATCGCCGTGAGGGTAGATCGAGGTCTGCCAGTGGAGTACCAAGGGCAAGAAGTAGCTGAGAGCGTACAATGTCAATTCCTGCCACCTCTTCGGTGATAGTGTGCTCCACTTGAAGGCGGGGATTGACTTCAAGGAAGTAATATTCTCCAGAGGATTCGTGCACCAAGAACTCAAGTGTTCCAAGCGATTGGTAGCGGATGCAGCGAGCGAGGCGTAGCGCACCGTTGATAACATCTTGAATCACACGACGATCTGTGACCATGGATGGAGCGAGCTCGATCACCTTTTGGAACCTTCTCTGAATGCTGCATTCACGCTCCCACAAGTGGGTGACCTCTCCGTAGTTGTCGCCTATTATCTGCACCTCAACGTGTCGAAAGCCGTCAATGGCGGCCTTCTCCAAAAAGACTTGACCGCTGGGTGATTCGCCGCAGGCACGAGAGAAAGAACTCTCGAGGTCCATGGCTCGCTCGACTAGCCGGATGCCGCGTCCGCCACCACCATCGACTGCTTTTATCATGACAGGGTATCCCACGGAGTGGATGAAAGCTTTTGCATCTCCGAGAGAGCTGATGGCACCATCCGACGCTGCAAGGACCGGGACGCCATTGCGGATAGCCAAAGAACGAGCGTGGGTTTTGTCACCTGTTTCGCGTAGCATTTGTGCCGTTGGTCCGACGAATGTGATTCCCGCCTGAGTCAGTTGTTCAACAAGCGAAGGATTCTCGGATAAAAATCCATATGCTGGATGAAGTGCATCAGCTTTCTGGACGCGACAAATGCGAACTATCTTGTTGATGTCGATGAAGTCCTCCGGTGCGTCGAGAAGAACCGCTTCATCAGCGACGGCCGCATGGTTTGGGTCATCTTGAGTGTAGATGGCAATCGTTGCAATACCGAGCTCACGAGCGCTCAATAGTACTCTGATTGCAATTTCACCCCTAGCGCCTCGTCAGCTTTGAGCGCCTGCTGAGTTCCGGAACTTGAACTTGCTCACCTATTTGCCACGAGTAATCTGTTGATGGTACGTTGCGACATCTGGGCGCTATCAAAACACAAAATGCTTCCTACTTTCAGAATCCTTTTCACTTCCGGATAGACAGGAAACTTGGAGTGCCAATCTCTTTTCCGGACTGGGTTGTTGTTAGATGGAATCTCCTGGTGTTAGACTAACACGATTCAATCCACGACTCGGCTGACTGGGCAGGTGTCTGTCCCCACTAGTGCACAACAGCCTGTTCTGCCTAGTAATGGTATGCGCGATAAGGCTGAACACCTCGGCAATAGCTAGATTGTCCGTAGAACAATGCAGGAGACTTGTGGTTACCTGCTTCAAGAGCTGGTGAGGCGATTGTTGCCAAACGTCTCTTCCGACTTCCGAGGCCCGATGACTATGGTCAGAGGGGACGTGCCAGCGGAAGAGTCACGGGATCTAGAATGGGAACGATCTTCAGTCTCAGGCATCTCAAAACCATGATTGGGTTTATGAAGGTGCGCATTCTCTTTCATGACGCGGCTTTCCTTTCATCGTACAAACTCACTTATGGATGATCCAAATTCTAAAGCTCTTGCCAAGGCCTCGCAGGCTGGCAAGGAAAAGGCGGACGCGAGGTTGAAGCAGCTCACAGGGCAAGTATCACCAGAGAGAGACGGCGCGAAAAGTCAAGAGATCATCCGATGGACTGGCAGATTGGTCGGACGTCCTGGCAGAGATTGACAGGGTCCGCACGTTTGCGCAGACTCCAAAAGCAACAACAACTGGGTATATCCGTCACAAACAGGCAGGAAAGCTCTGGGTCAGAGAACGAGTCGAACTGCTTTTAGACCCCGGGAGCTTCCGAGAGATTGGGAGCACTGCGGGCACAGCCACGTGGACCAAAGTCAATGCATTATCCAAAAATCCAATGGAGGCAGAACGACAAACTGTGACAGAGTTCACACCAAGCAATAATGTTCAGGGTTGGTTTGGATCCTTGACCATAAGATTAATGTCATGATTGACGAGAATGCAGGGTTTGGCGCCATCAAAGGCCGACGCGTCCTGCTTACTGCAGACGACTTTACCTTGCGCGCTGGGCATGCGGACGGTGCGCTGATGGCAAAGACGCTTTACATGGAGCAGCTAGCTTGCTTTCTAAAGGTACCAATGATTAAATTGGTTGATGGATCATCAGGTACGGTGATGCACCGATCTCTTGCAGGAGAAGGGCTGACTTCGCAGGGGGTGGTTCAATTACCACTTACAAGACAGACAACGGTTCGTACCTACCTGAGATCGAGTTTCTCCCTTTCATGGTGCGTATCAGCCTCCTCTTGGAAATGGCCAGATACTCATGTTAAAGGTTCGCCAACTGGATCTTGGAATACCGAATTGTGCAGCTGTAGTGGGTCCTGCTGTAGGCCTTGGTGCTGCGAGAGCTGCAGTCTGCCATTTCAGTGTTATTGCCGGAGATATTGGTGCCTTGTTCAATGCCGGCCCCAAGATTGTTGAAGGTGCCACGTTTGAAGAAGGCTTGAGGTCTGCAGAGGGAAAGTGTGCGCCACAGGTTCTCGTAGCTGACATTTCACAGCACTCAAGATCTTGGAGGCCCAGCCATTCATTGTGGCAACGGGGTTATTGACAATTACGCCCCAAATGAGAAAGAATGCTACGATCAAATTGCACAATTTCTCATATACGTGCCTAATCACGGGGGCGTCCTACCCCCGGTGATACCCTCAGACGATCTTCCCGACCGAGATTGCTCTTATCTGCGGTCGACGATTCCGCGGCGCCGTCAGCGAATGTACGAAGTTCGACCTATCATTACCTCAATCGTGGATAGTGGCTCGTTCTTCGAAATCGGGCGCCACTGGGGACGGAGTGTCGTTGTCGGCCTTGCGCGGCTGAACGGCCAACCTGTGGGGATTTTTGCCAACGATTGCATGTTTAATGCAGGTGCTATGGACGCTGGTGGGTGCCAGAAACTAGCCAAGCATGTCAAGCTTTGTGATGTGATGAACTTGCCATTAATACAGCTGATCGATATACCGGGCTTCGCAATAGGAACGGTCGCAGAAAAGTCCGGCGTGATGAAATGGGCCATGGAGCTATGCAAAACATATTTCACAACCACAATACCTATTTTCAGTGTGATTATGCGACGCTGCTACGGTGTTGGGGGAGTTATCTTGATCGACAACCGGGAGCCGAACTGCCGAGTTGCTTGGTGAGTGGACCACTGACTGGGAGGCTATATAACTAATGTCCGCAAAGGCCCAGTCTCAATTCTGGCTCAGTGCCCCTGGATGGAGGTATAGAAGGTATACCTTCACATACCTCGTTGGCTGCTGAGCATACTAATTCCAGAAGTGAACCATCGCGCAGATCTTAGGAAGGCTGGAGATAAGGCTCCAGAGCTATACAGGCAACTCGAGGCTGAATACACAAACCTCCAGCATCCGCTGCGCGTGTCCACCAAGTTTGGTGTCGAAGAGATTATCGATCCCGCCCACACACGACTGGTCGTGTGCGAGTGGACAACGCACATGTACTTCCTACTCTCCCGGTGTAGCGTTTCGCACTCTGACTCAAGTTACAGGTACCAGGACACCCTCAAGGAAAGGCTACAGGAACGAGCAACTGGGAAGCTCAAGCCATCCTTCCGCTAGCGAAGACACTTGTTTAAGGCCAACGAGGATTAACCAGACCTTTTACGTCAAGCAATAAACATAGTCGCATCGCTACGTTCGTGTACAGTTGCACAAGATCGCAGTCTACCTTGAGCAAATGCATCACTCACAGTACGGTAGAAAGACACAAACGACATGGAATGGCCATTGGCGTCCTACTGATGTTAGAACATGGATAGTATTACTTGTACATGGAGTGCAGTATTGTTAGTGGGTGATATATGGCTCCAAACGGAACTTCAGCTGGCGAATTATTCAGAATCCCAACGGGTAGTCTTGGTGAAGGGGTTTGCTGCTCGCCAGACTTGACCGACAGCATTGCGTACATCATAGCGCTGTCCGAGTGTCTGTCGTGCTACATGGTCCCTTCCGTGGCCTAATCATCGACGCTCCGCTTACCCGAGGTTGTCGACTTCTGCGAGTTGTTCCTGTGGGTTCTCACGATGGATGCCGAGGGGATTGGCTTCGGGAGACCTCCGAGTGCTATGGCACTGATGTTGGCTTAATTTACACACAAAACCCATTGTAAGATAATTGTTTGTCTTTGTGACAACAATCTGATGCTAGGGTTCCTTCGTCGCCGCGTCCAAGTCGTTGATCTATGGCATCAGCCATGAAGTCTGCGGCGGCAGCTATGCTACCTCCTTCCGCTGCCGTCATTGCTGCTGCAGGCTTTTGGCTGGACTCCACGTACCATATCAGATCCGACATTGCGCAAATCCGGTGCATGAAAGCAAACCGTGATTTCTACCAGAACCTTTGCAAAGCTCATGGAGAGTCTGACTGGTCCTTCTACCATACACTACACTCGACTCGTGGGCAGAATGATTATCAGGAGGCATTTGTCTTTGAAGGGCGAAGTTGGACATATGCAGAGTTACGTGGAGAGATTGGAAGATTGGCCAAAGCTCTACAAGATTTGGGAGTTCAAAACAGAACAGTGGTTGCCATGTATGTCAACAATTCACCCGAGTTCATGATCGTATGGTGGGCCTTGTACAAGCTTGGAGCAATTCCTGCTCCCGTCAACACATCGATAACCCGAGAACCACTGAAACATTGTCTACGAGTCAGCGAAGCAGAGTTTCTAATTACCACATACGAGTTATTCGATGCGGTGGCAACCAGCCTCGACACCGCCGCAATTGTGCTCAATGACACCCCGTCCATGAGTTACAACGATACTCAATTACCCAAGCTTAAGAAGCTCATCAATTATGACTATGATACCTACGATCATGTGGCGCAGTCTCTGCCAGAGTTGAAGAGCAACACGCTCAAGCAACATCATCTGCAGCCGGTCACACCACAGTCGGCCGACTGGCCCATTGAGTCGAGGCCTGCGATACGAGCTGGGGACACTTCTCAGTACCTGTTCACATCCGGGACGACTGGCTTACCGAAGGCGTCTGTATGGCCAGCGGCATATAGCATGATGGCGTGTGGCTCCCTCCGGTGGCCATTGATGTTCCAGAAGCATCGACGATTCTACATATCAACACCGATGTTTCACGGTGGCGCTGCGTATGTCTTGGCCGTCATGTCTTGAGCGGAAATTGACCCTTTCTAGTTTTGCCGTTCTCCCTGCTACCTTCGCCACATCTGGTACAGTCATTCTCGCGAGGAGGTTTTCCGTCTCGAACTTTTGGAAAGACGTGCGCCGAACTCGAGCCAATGCAATGTTCTACATCGGAGAGATGATTCGTTTTCTGGTCCAAGCGCCACCAGACCCTCATCACCCGGATGAAAAGGCCTCACATGGGCTGGAGCTGATATATGGCTTAGGACTGAGTGCGCCCGTGATTCGAGCATTCCGAGATAGATTTGGAGTTCCGCAGATTGTGGAATACTATGGATCGAGTGAGGGAACGACCAGCATTGCACATAGCACTCTGCATAATGGTGAGGAAGGTGTGGGAAAAGTCGCTTGCTGGGGCCCGTTGATGCGAAGCAGGTACTTTGGACAAGACTCTTTCTACATCATTAGGGTAGACTTGGAGACGGGCGAAGTTTGGAGAGATCCAAAGACCGGCTTGTGCAGACAATGCCCCTTTGACGAAGTGGGAGAAGCCATTACTCGCGTGTCGGCGCCATTGCAAAGAACGCATGACTACGTTGGGGATGGTGGCAGAGATGCCACGGAGAAGAAGCTCCTAAGAGACGTATTCGAAAAGGGGGACTTGTTCATCCGAATGGGGGATGCAATGGTCATGGTATTGCATTGAGGATCTTCCATACTGGGCCGTTTTCATAGGCTGACCGAAAGCTCATAGGATCGCAACGGCTACGTTGCCTTTCGCGACAGGCTGGGGGACACCTTCCGCGCAAAAGGCCACAATGTGTCGACTACTGAAGTCGAGACCGCTTTTCTGCATCACCCCTACATTCAGTCGGCGAACGTCTATTCGATTCCGATGAACAAATATGGCTATGAGGGACAGCTCGGGTGTGCAGCCATCACCATGCAGCAGAGTAAGGCCGACGATCCAGCTGCATTGCAGGCCCTGAGCACATTGGAGGAGTGGCTCGTCAAAGAGGCTGGCCTGGCACCCTACGCGGTTCCTCGATTTCTTCGGGTCATGCCTGGTTCCGCCACCGATTCAGTTGGCTTGAACGGCGGCAAAGATCCAGCGGGCGAACGAGTGTCAACGATCATGAAAAAGCTGAAGACCGGCTTGAGGTCAGAAGGTACAACACAAATTAGCTCAAATCCTGGTGTTTATCTTGCTGACTCCTGGCTGGGATATTGCAGCTCTAGATATTGATCTATGCGGTCCTGACAAACTCTTTTGGATCGAGCAAGAAGGAAGTGGCTTTACCCCACTTGACACAGAGACTCTGATGAGTCTGTTACGAGCGGGCAAGGCGAGACTCTAACGTCGTGTGATGAACGCACCTGCGGGATTCATCGAGCCGGGGGCTGAACAGGCTTGAGGAAGCAGCCAACCACGCGATGGACGATGGACCCACTAAGCCTGGAAGCGTACGGGGCTGGGGAAAGCTGGGAGCCTTTTCATCGGATTCCTGCCTACTCTACCGGGGCAAGCGGTCACCCGATTGTAACACGCTTCCCCGGTGTAGTAGGCCCGAGCTGGAGGTTCCCACGTTACTCAGGTAGGCTAATTACCCAGGCCAAGGCTGTACTAGCAATCTCAGCACCAGGTTTACGGTACTGTAGTTGGTTACTTACTTAGATTCTACACTGGCATGGTCTCGGTTGACGATGTGTGCCAATAGATGGCCCCAGTGTGCCCCAGTTTCTACCTACCCCTCCCGTTGCCCCCTAAGCTCGAACCCCGCACATCCAATTGCCCTTATGTACCTACCTAAGTGCCTGGTGCTCCCCCCCCGCCCTCTCCCCCGGGACCCAAAATTGATTAATCCCTTCAACCCAACTTCCTGTCGACTGTCTCGCAGTTTGTATCTTCGTTCAATAATTGTCTCCCCAATTCCCGCTCGATATTCTCTTCGGACTGTGTGCCAACATATTGAAACACCTCTCAGCAGCTCTGACGCCCGGCAGCGGATGGTTATTGTGAAAGGATGGCGTTTACTAGAGGCTTGCACCTTGGACGAGAACTGCACGCGAAGCTATATCACGACACACAGTTGCAATGCAGCACGGCCCTTGAGAGTATCGATCATGTCGCCAGAGGTCTCCTTGAGGACGCCTTTTGGGCACAAGCGGACATCTATCCGCCGCTCTTTCGCAAAACCCAGATCTCCCCAGCCCATGAGGACTACTCGTTGACCCTGCATCTTGCTACCTTGGCTCTTGGGATGCGCCATGCAGACCGTCGCCGGACCGAGCTGGCCCCTTTCTGGACGGGAACTCGCGAGTCATCCTTACACTGCCTTCTGCGGACGGTCATCGACACTCAAATATCAGTCGCGGACACTGTCGATGTGCTACAAGCCGTTGTCATATTATCCAACCTAGAATACTCCTGTGGCAGGTATCTCTCAGCGACAACCTATCTTCATTACGCATTTGCACGCATTTCGAACCCAACCAATGATATGGTCTCGGTCGAGCTGTGCCAGTCGGACGACGATCTACTCCTTCGACGAGCTTTGATCAGAGTGTGCAGATTTCTGCACATGCAGTGGATGAGCTTTCACCCAACCAACCTTCCTGGACTGCACTTGCCGCCAACGGCCATAGCGCAGGCGTTGCGGAATTCCGAAACGGGCCATGCTTGGGTGAAATACGACGGCGACAATGACAACTTTTCAATCTACCACGCCTTGCTCGAATTGCTGTCGATTATACCATCGACGACACAGATGTCGACGCTCTCAACTGATACCTCCTGCAAAAATGTCTATGCTCAGCTATGCAAGGTAGAGACTACACTGATCCACTTCCGCCGAACGATACCAGCACGATTTCAGTGGAACGGGGACACTTGGCGAACTGCATCCGTGCCAATGTTTCTCCTGCACCTACAGCTGTGCGTGGCTTCGGTGCTGCTGTATGGACGACTGGCGCAAGCTGCAAAATCAAACTGCACGAGCGAGCTTTCAGCCTCTCCGGACGAGGTTTTGGACAGGTGCTATGCTAAAGTGAAGCGAGGGTCTAGTAAGCTGGCATGTTCTGTTCCACGTTTCTTCGAGCGATATGACAGCTCCTATGCCCCAGGGACCATGGTCACCCAACTCGGGGTTGCGGTGAACGCGCTGCTTGATGCACACGGCGCGTTTGGAGTCAAGGGAAAGACTGCCGTCTTACCTGCTCTCAAGTGTTGTGTCGTAGCTCTCGAGACACTGTCTGAACGTCATCAATTGGCAGAGGATTTGGCCAGCCTCGCAACCAAGCATTTGGCTTCATTCTGGTGCGTGACAGATGGCGCGTCCAAGTCGCCAGTGCCAGGCTTAGAGGGAAACAACGTGCCTACAGAGGAGGACCCAGGTGCGCAGCAACCAGCAAACGGTCAAAGATTGCCTGGCAGCGGCCCACGCGCAGAGGCAGCGCGGCCTGCCATTAGGATAGCAAGTACCCAGAAAGGGTCCAGTGTCTCGCGGAAACGGTCTGCGGAGCATCCTGAATCTGGCGAATGGATAAGGCACGCGGCGGTGATTGAAGATCCCATTTTCCCGGCATATTCGCGAGAGATGTCGGTCCTCTTCAGTATGTATCGCGAGGAAAAAAAGCACAAGTCCGTGGGAAGCTCGCTTCAGCTTGACAGTGACTGGCTCACGCACAGCACTCGCGACCGGCATCGGAGCATAAGCCAGCAGGACGTTTCAGAGCAGGCTGCATCACTGACCACTATGGCATCCGACTCCACATCCAGCCTAAGCCCACCCAATCCGATCGAGTGCCAGGGTTCTACGCCAGGAAACGATCCGGCTCTTTCGGGAACAGAGGACATTGTTGACTACCTTCTGGACATGGGAGTGCCACACGATTTTGACATTGATGGATTCTGTTCGGCCCTGAACGGCTACGGCTGTAATCAAACAATGGATTGGGCCCCAGACTGTGATTTGGAATCTTGGATAAATTTACCAGTGCCAGACATGCTTGGCCCGGCGTGACTCAGCGAACTGGGTATGTAAATCATTAATTGAACGAGGGCAAGATGAAGCAACGGGTGCAGCATTGCGAGGTTGGCGCAGAATGGGACTCTCGTCATATTTAGAACAGTGTACAATGAACATACTTTATAATAATGTCATTCCTATACCACCCGCAACAAACACTTTGCTCAACGGCGTATCACGAGACATCAGGTCGTGGTCTGGGATCCTTCCAAATTGTATGGACGAGTCCACTGGAGTGGAAGGCTGGCCTCTCGCTGTCTTAGAGCTAGAGTCTGTCCTCGTGCTACAACTACACGGCTGGAGAGCCGACTTGCTCGGCCCGAGGAAATGGCAAGACGGAGCCAATCACAGTGGAGTTGTAGGATCCGAGGTTGAACACCCGCCTTGATTGATATGCGCCTTCCCAATATGGCCAGGAGTTTGACTTGAGTTGACTTGACCATTGAAGGCCGACTTAGGCTGGAACCTCGGCTTCAACAGGACATTGCCGCCCTGATTCGATCCCGTCTTCATAGTCTTTATAGTCTTCATAGGCTTTTCGAATGTTCTCAACATAATCTCTTTGCCGATTGCAGCAAAATCTAGCATTACAACGCTGTGCTTCAGTTCAAGCACTGAACAAAAGCAGACAGCTTCGAAATCCACGAAAGCTCTTCCCGTTGCAGTTTCGTCCTCACACTGTATGCTTTCGACCGCTTCTTCGAACCATGGCATCTGCAGGTATCACCCAGAAAACGCGCGACACCACTGCGCAGACACCAACAGCAATCATTTCTCCTCATGGCAGAACGGGCGACCCGTCGATGCCGGCCAAGGCCCTTGGCATCTTCTCGGGCGAGGTCTGGCTAGACCTCATCCTTCGCTCAGACGAAGCTACCATCGGTCTGGTAAATTTCCTTCCCGGCGGGAGGACTGCCTGGCACCGCCACGAGAAGGGCCAGATCTTGAAGGTCACTGGCGGGGCGGGTTGGCTCTGTGACCAGGGCCAGAAGCCGCGGCGCATTGCTGCCGGAGACGTGGTCTATTGCCCCCCCGGGGTAGTGCATTGGCACGGTGCCGATGATGGAACGTATATGGTACACGAAGCAACCTCTTTTGGGCAGACCGACTGGTATGAGGAAGTGAGTGACAAGGAGTATGCAGCCAAGGAATCTAAGTCGCAGATGAAAAATGGTGGTGTCCCTGGAGAAGGCCAGTGACGCTGCCTTACACGCGGGTTCGGGGTGTTATTTTGGATGTACTAGCAAAAGTGAAGCTGAGCAATGAGTCTCTCTGCGCCGACTATGTAGCATGAGATTCCCGCCCTCGCAGATCAATTCCCTCAAGTTGAGCCACCTGCAGATCGAAACTTCCGGCTTCATCCCTCCATGACCCATTGGTGCTTTGCTATATGTCGGCGGGTTTGCTTTTGTCGCGCGAGGCATCAATGAGGACCCTCTAACGTCGTACACTCTACACTTCTACGGTACGCTCTAACCGTCCACCGGCCACATTGATAGTGAACAGTGCTTTTGTTTACGCTGGTCAACTTCCGAAATGCCCAGTTCCATGTGAGTTCGATAACTTTTTATGTTTGCGTGGTGGCGTACGATGGATGAGCTTCACAAACAAAATTATTGCAGTTGCTGTTGTTGCACCTCAGAAAGCGTCCCCCGTGTGCGTTTCTGCCAAATCCAAAACCGGCATTCAGAAGTATCGTAAGACCTTCATTCTCCCTTAGAGAGGAGCTTCGCCTTTCAAGTCATCCCGAAATTCTATCAAGCTCCCTTTGCCACTTCGAGAGGTGCTTTTCGGAAGGCCGAGAGCATTTTGTTGGATCCTCGGGCACTGCTGAGCTTCGGCCACGTGCCAAGAATCGTATACCAGAATGCCCTCTGGTGGATACTGCATTTCTGTGTCATGTTGCCGCAGACCCGCGGCCATAACCACTCTCCTGGGAATAATGCTACAAGAACAGCCATGTTTAGACTCTGCGGCCTTGCGAAACGCCCACGGCACAACCGAGGCACTAGCAAGTCTCAGCCAAGGGGAGCCCCGCTTGCCCCAGGTTCGCCCCTCCTACGTCTAGATTCTCTCGCTGAACATCGAGACTCTCATGACGAATAGTATCACTGGTCTGCCTTGGCAAAGGCCGCTCGAGTCTCTCGACACACAGAATTGAGGAGATTGTACCTTATAAGGGCAGGTAGCCATACCCACGTTCCGCGCGCTCCACATTCGCTTCCCCAGGATCTCGTCACGGGAGATTCGTTTCTGTCATGCCACAAAGACAATATTTAGGAGCAATGAGACCGAGGTCCGAGTCTACAGTATCCGAGGAACGAACAGATTTGCGGCTCGCTGGTACTTAGGTTTTCCACAACATGGCTAGCTGCAATGAACGACTATAACATTAACAGCATCTCGTGCCTGCTCTCTCAAGTTCTTCTGCGCCAGTGCAACAGACACGATGAATTCATATCAATTGTGGTGCTTGATCTACTGCTCCTTCGGAGCGTTCTTCTATGGTTACGACTCGGGTCTGACCACCTCTATTATTGGCTACCCCGAGTTTATCAAATACTTCGATTTCAATTCCTCAACCTTGGGCGCCTTGGGCTCAGTCTACTATGCTGGAATCGCTATTGGCTCACTCACCATCGCCTATCTGGCCGATAAGTTTGGACGAAAGCGAGTGGTGCACATCGCCTGTGCCATTTCCGTTACTGGGGCTGCCTTGCAGACGGGCGCCGTCAACCTGCCCATGCTCCTGGTGGGCAGAGTCATTGGTGGGATCGCTTGTGGAATGATATGGTCGTTGTGTCCCTTGTATCTCAGCGAGCTGTCGCCCCCGCACCTCCGTGGTTCGGTCGGAGTACTCTACAGGTATGCGGCGCCCTCTTCAGGCATACCGAGCTTACGCGTGTATGTCAATTTAGCATCGTGCTTAACATCGCCTACGCCCTGAGTGAATGGATGGGCTTGGGCTTCTCATATATCAATGGCGGCCAACTGAAGTGGCGCATCTTCCTGGGGCTGCAGATTCTTATCGCGGTCTTGATGTATGCCGGCTCACTCACTGTATGCAAGTCACCCAGATGGCTGGTTGCGCAAAAGAGGGACGAGGAAGCTTTGCAAATCCTCGGAAAACTTCATCAAGGCGAGACTCGGGCCCTCGAAGACGAAGCGGAGCATAACAGCGTTCCTTTCTTTCGGAGAGAGTTCAACCAGATCCAAGCGCAGATCCGCTTCGAACAGGAGAACCCTCAGATCGGGATCGTGGCCGTGTTAAAGCGACCGTCGTACAGAAGACGCATCTCCCTTATCATTTTTTTCTTCATCTTTCAACAGCTGACGGCAGTTAATGGCCTGCAAAACTACCAGGTCATCCTGTATAAGACGTTGGGTCTGACGGGAAAGACAATTCTCATTATGGTCGGCGTTTGGGGCACTACATCCCTCCTTATGGCCATCCCCTGTATTTACTTCCTCGACCATTGGGGCCGCCGACGGAACTTTTTCATCTCTATGTCTATCGTTCTCGTCTCTACCGTTATGTTGATTGTCTTCTGGGCAAGGTATGAGGCGAGTAATAATACAGACTATGTGCTCGGGAAATTGGCCCTCTGGAGCATGTTCATGTGGCTTGTCGGGTACGGCTGGGTTATGAACTCCTTTGGCTATACATATACCCCGGAGATCTTGGTAAGTCAATCTCTCACCGGCGCCCGTGGACTGCAAGTGACATTGACTGACCGGTCACAGCCCATGGAGATCCGCGCGACCGGCATGGCCTTGGGCTATGCGTCCAAGACCATCACCACTCTTTGGGTAGTCCAAGTCACTCCCATTGCAATCAGCAATATCAGCTGGCGATTTTTTATTATATTCGTCACCTGTGACGCTATTTTCCTGGTTGTGTTCTACTTCTTCTTTCCCGAGGTAGGCCTTCATCTTCGCATTCTGCTGCACTAGGTGCACAAGACTAATGTGAATGACAGACCGCCAATGTTCCTCTGGAAGAGGTGGCTGCGCTGTTCGGTGACAATGTTGTTGTCAGGCTCGAAGAGGCCGAAAAGCTCCCCGGCCAGCTCGAGCGCGACATAGACACATCCAATGACACGGAGAAGCCCAAACCGAGCCAAATTCAGGTGGCCGCTGCCGAGCATGTGGAGGTCCACAGCTAAAAGCCTGGAGAACAGTTCTACTATCTGGAATACCACGGCCATTGGCGACTTCGCATAATCCGAGCTCCAGTCGAGGACGGCCCGTATATTGCCTTCGGCGCTTGACAGGTGTGGCAGTGGTCCTGCTGCCATAATTGAAATAGCCTTAGGAATCACCTATCTGGTGGCTTTTCTGGACGCGTTCTACACATATACCATCCTGCTTCGGACAACGTGCTTTACTTCTCCACAATGTCATCCCAACCCCTGTTTCTTTCTGCAGTTTATTCTTACAATTGTACCCTGAGAGATCAAGATGGACGTGTGATGTCAGCTCAGCCTGGTATCCAGGGTAGCTACTGTAGTCATATGAGCCCGGTGACCAGTGTGTTCGCATTGGCAGTGTATGTTGTTTTGAACGTATTCTAGAGTCGTCGTATATTTTCGGTTTCAAGTTTTGTTTACTTAACTCGGACGACTTTGTCCACATCACTTTCTTTTGCTTTAAAGGTCTATAAAACAAGGGCGATCTTGTAGCACTTGTAAATTGCACCAAAGAGGCTGGCAATAGTGACTAGCATTCTCTGTCGATTTTCAGATGTACAGCAAGTGGCGGGCCTGCCAACTCAAGGCAAATGCGCAGGCCACCTCGCTGCTGCTCAAACACAAATATCAGACTCTGGTTTATCCCTGAGGTAAAGATCTCTATAAATGATCCGTAGAGTGCACTCAATACGTGGTTCATCCAGCGACCTCAAAGCGAACAGCATTGGAGATCTAGCACACGCAAGTCCTGCTCCAGCTTTGGTCGAGTCACGCTCAAATTGCACAGGCTTTTGTGGTCCACATAAGGATACCAACCTCGATAGCCACAAGGTAAGAGTTGGCAGACTTTTTCGTATTAGTGCTCCCGATACTATCTAGATTCCGTTTGTCTTCGGTCCCAAATTGTCCACCTCATCGTTGATAAACAACCAAACGACGCTCTGGTCGAGGTGCTGCATACGGGAAAATGTGTTAGCAACATGAAAAGCGGGGGG